TTCAATTTCTTGTTTAGAATTTGTAGAGTAATACTTCATTTTCATATCGTCGGTCGGTCGCTTGCTCATGTCACTTGTGTGACTGTTGTTCGTTTACTAACGTCGATGTACAAAAAGCATATATGTCTAATGGCATTGTCCCTTTTAACATATTATCTGTGCACATACTAATGGAGCAACATAACATATAATTTAAATAAAAGATCCCAAAGACTTATGCGAGTGACAAACTCTTCTTTTAAATCATGTGGAAATAACTAAGCAAAATAAGAGGGACGTACTTATTTTAATATCCATGTGGGATTGATTAAGAATGGAGATGGACAAGCTTCTTTCTCCAATGACCAATGACAAAGTTTTATTCTTGAAGCATGTACGTCCTTCCCTTTTTTTCCATGTGGGTCCCAAAGAAGTTGTACTTGACCACTCATGTAGCTTTATTAAAATTGAGGAACGACGTACATTAATTATGTAGTTGTGTTGTTTGTTTATGTAGAGAGTGACCAGCGACAAACATGTTTAGTCGTGCCTCTTCCTTTTTTCTCTTAATCGTCGAGCTTCATTCTCTCCAATCTTAAGTAAAACGTATTTTTTCAAATCGTCAGGCGTTGCTCGTCAATGCTGTTTCGGACCTTGCTCCCTTTCTAATGTAGATGTTATTCATTTTTTGTATGTCGCTCATTTATCTTCTTTTGTCGTTCCCTCTCTTTTCAATTGGAGTTACTGTTCCTTTTCCTCTTATGTCGTTAATAGATGTTTATCTATTAAGATATTATAGTAGAATTAACGGAGCTCCTTTTTACTATAGTTGGTCTTGATCTCATAAGATCTAATAAAAACTAGCAAGGACAAACACGTTTTATGTGTTCGTCTTGGTTGATCACTTGGATTGACTACATAAGTCCTTACCTATTGATGAGCGTCGATGAATTCAGAACTTGCTTTCTCAACGGATAAGCAGCTATTAGGCTGTGAGGGCTATACCCCTTAGTTTATTGTCATATTTTCACGAGGACGTACCTCTTGATTTTGTAGATGTTGTCACAGATTAAGGACGTACCTCTTCATTTGTTAGCTAATGATTTATGATCATAACATTTGGAGGTCGTGCCCCTTTGTTAATCAAAGAGTGATGTGACATCATAGTCTATTGGAGGTCGTACCTCTAACTTATTTGTTAGCGACTGTCGTCGCTATCTATTGAGTACGTACCTCTTTATTTATATCATGACTTATCATGGTGAGGTCGTACCTCTTAATTTATTTAGTAGCGACAGTCGTCACTGTATATTGAGGACATGTCTCTCTATCTATTTGCTTATGACTTGTTGTCATAGCATGTGGAGGTCGTACCTCTAAATCAATTATTAGGACTGTCATCGCTCTTACTATATATTGAGTACATGACTCTTTATGACTTGTCGTCATAACATGTGGAGGTCGTACCTCTAAATTAGTTATCAGCGACTGTCGTCGATGTCGATATACATTGAGTACATGACTCTTATCTTCCTAGTGACCATGGTCAATTTGCTCATGAGGCATTGCCTTTAGTTTTTTTTTTGAAGAAACGTCGATCGTCGTTGCTGTTCTATCATGAGGAGGCAATGCCTTTTTTTTTTTTTTACTGTCGTTTGTCATAAGCAGTGCAATGACTGTCGCTCGTCACTAGTTGTGGATACAACGTCGATATTAAAGCGAGTGACGAACATAATCTGAGAATTCTTAAATACTCATATGTAGAAAAACCTTTTATTAAGAAGTTCGTCCGTAGACATGCGCGAAGTAAAGAAAAACAATTGAAAGCAGAGACATCTCGTGGATCGTCTATGACTATGACAATAACGAAATAAATAAAACCAAAACACTGAAAGCTAAACTAACCTAGAAGAGGTAGGTTTCGAGGTTCGTTTCATCAAGATCTTTTTCCGTCAGTGGATCTCACAGAGTTGTTCCACCTCTGCTTCTTTGGTATGTGGAATCGACGATTGGATCTCTAGTTGATATAGCTCATGACCTTTCCCTTTTAGGGTAGTTTGGTAGCATGAACGTGCATGCTCTTGTTCTCCCTTGATCTCTTTGACTCCCCATGGAGTAGGAAATTTTATGGTTTGATGGAGTGTCGATGGCACTGCCCCCATGTCATGAATCCAGGGACGTCCCATAATTGCGTTGTACGCAGTAGCACAATCTAGTATCAGAAACTTTGTCTGTCGGTTAATTCCTCCTGCATACACAGGCAGCGTCACTTCTCCTATGGTCTGCTTTACTTCACCGCTAAATCCTACCAGTGGTGTGGATTTTCGCGTCAGTGCATTCTCATCCAGCCCTAATCCTTTGTAAGCATCCATGAAGAGAATGTTGGTCGAACTCCCATTATCAACGAGTGTCCTTTTCATCAGACTATTAGCAATTGTCAAAGATATGACTAATGCATCATGATGTGGAGCTAGGACACACTTATCTTCATCTGAAGCAAAGCTAATCGTGCACTTCGACAGTCGCTCGCATATAGCTTTGACATCTCCATGATGAGTTCTAGCTATTCTAGTACTCTTTTTAGCAGCAGAATGAGTAATTCCACTAACCTCTGATCCTCCCGATATCACGTTGATGATTCGATCATGCTCCGGAGATTGAGCAGGAGATGGTTTTCTTTGCACTCGTCATTGCTTCTGTCGTCGATGCGACTCCTAGCCCTGTCGGACAAGTATTCTCTCAAGTGACCTTTTTTTAGTAGCTCGTTTACTTCCATTCTCAACGTGATGCAATCTTCTGTTCTATGACCATGGTCAGAGTGAAAGTCGCACCACTTTGATGTGTCTCTTCGTTCCCCTGGTGCTTTCATCTTTTGAGGCCATCTTACTCCAGATATATGATTAAGAACATTGACTAGTTCTGCAGGAGATATTGCGAGGTTACTCATGTCTGGCCATGTGGATGATGAGCGTTGGTCGCTCTCAATTTGGTTGAGTGGTCGATGGTCGCTTCTGCTGTCGCTTCTCTTGCTAGTGCTTTCACTGCGTGGTCTCTGGTACGGTCTGTCATCTCGAGAGGGACGCTCGTTCCTAACAACACGCGAATCAGATCGTGGGGAAAGTAGGTGTCGATATGCAGGGTCTTCCTCCCACCTTATTTGAGCCCATGCTCTAGATAGCACATCTTCCATCGTTCTGCACTGGTACTTCGTCAGTTCCTTGTACAAATCACTGTCTGGGAGCAATCCTCTTTTGAATGCAGAGATGGCAGTGGACGTGACACATGCCGGAATGGATACTTTCTCTTTGTTGAAGCGACCTACGTAATCGCGCAACGGTTCTCCTCTCTTCTGTATCACTTCATAGAGATCGTCGGCTGTCCTTTCTATGTTCCTGCTGCTCGCGAATTGCTCAACAAAGCGGTCTGTCAATGACGCGAACGAGTCGATTGACGCGTTCGGTAGGTTCGTAAACCACTGAAGAGCTGGTCCCGTGAGGCTAGATCCAAATCCTTTACACATACTAGCTTCGCGATATTCTTTTGCTATTGCCGTTGTGAACATGCGTTGCTTGTACTGGGCTATATGATTATCAGGGTCGGTCGTCCCGTCGTACATCTTCATTGAAGGGACGATGAACTTCTTTGGCATCTCAACCAAAGCGATGGCATCCGTGAAGGGAGTGTCTGCATAGCAATTAGGAGCACTTTTGGTGATTGGAGGAGCTACTCCTGGAAGTCGCGCGAGCAAGAGCTCCATAGCCTCCAATCGCTTTGAGAACATAGTATGCGAGTCTTCAGATTGATGTTCCATCGTTGGTGCAAGGGGTGGAACCAATGTTTGGTTACCTTGCGCAGCGTCGGTAGCTCCTGTTCCTAGGGCTGCTCCTGTTGCACCCGTAAGTGGTGGAGTGTCGAACGATTGCATAGGAGGGACCGGTCTCGATATCTATTGCGAGCCTGAGCCAATGACGCGTTTTCTGCTCGTAGGGTTGCGTTCTCCGCCTGGATTTGCGCAAGTCGTTCTTCGTTCTGCTTCATCTGAGCTGTGAGAGCCTCCAGCTGAGCAACGGTGACGGTCGGTGTTTCGGTCGGTGCGGTATCATCTCCCGCCGCCATGTCTCACGCAGTTAAAATTGCCCCTCCTTCTAGCGCCAAACTGTTTGGGCAAAATTTAACCGGTTCGCAAGTACAATAAACGGAATGACGCAGGAGAAGATATCTTATTAATCAATTGAATATCGAGCTACAACAAGTCAATATCAAAGATTAAACTAAGAGAATCTCGTCTGTCGCTCGTCGTAGATCGTAGTTCGTCGTATCTAGGTTGTTCGTCGCTTGCTCGTCGAGAGGCGAAGAACAAGTAGCTATTAGGGTTTTTGTGTGTTTTTCTGAATGTCCCCTTGTCCTTGTTATGGGACCTCTTATTTATAGGTGCTTGTCGATCCTAATCCTTGTTGAGTTGGGCTTTGACGTCGTCGTAATATTCCATTTCCTACGTCGGTCGTCATTCCTAATTTCCTTTTAATTAGATATGCACGTCGGTTTCTGCACAACTCTAATAGATTTAGGAAATTGTACAAACCATGGTCATTGCTAAACCATTAATTAACATCGTTGGTCGCTGCCTCGTCATGTCGATGCTAAGGCCTTTTAGACACTAAGAAGTAAGATCGACCGGTGGTCATCATGGTCGTCAGTCGATCATATCTCCAGCTTGTAATAGAGTTTAAGGAGCGACCGGCTAGTGAATTTATTTCACCCAACAACATGCATTGATATTCCGTTGACAAACATGTATTCACTGGCTTGTTCGTCGTGCAAGCATATATCATAGAAACTTGAATTGAAAAAATCGGCAAAAAGAAATTAAAACTATAAATTGTATATGTACACAAAAGTGACCAACTAAATCGCCAATGAACTCTTTTCAAAAATAACTCAACCAAAGAATTAATAATCATGAGTTAGTAGTAGTCAATAATCAATATAGTTACAAGAATCATTTCATTCACTCACTCAATTCATTCCACGTCTCTTAAGCAGTTCCCCGGAAGAAGAAACTTGTACTTCTCCGCGTTCTCAAGTAGATACGCCGGAAGATGAACCCCGGAGTAAGAATGCGGGATGGGTCCCATCTTCCCGATGATGTCTTTAAACGTATACTCCTCAGGGATCATGTCAAACAAATCCGCACCAGTGCATATAACTCTCTGAACCCTTTTCGGGTTCAGATAATGCGAAAACCGCACCCTATCATAGTGACTATAGGCTTTCATCTTGAACACAAACTCGCTTATCCGTCGAAAACAGAAGCTACAATGCCACCCTGAATCCGCCAAGATCTCGTCCGACTGCCTGTAATGCGCGTACTTCGTCTTACCCGTCTTGTACCGATGCACCGAAGCTCTCCAGCTCTTGTCGTCGACCGGGAACTCGAAAGAGTATAGATAGTTCTTAAGCCTCAGGTGCAAGATTTGCGGTATGTCGTCGCACCAACGGAGAAGGTTTATCGTGTGCCTGCTCGGGATCTCATCAACATCCGACATGATCAACAAGTCATCGTCAGTAATACCGGCGATTCTCAAAAGCTGGTCCAATGCGATCCTCTGATAGGCCTCTTCGTAAAACGGATTCTTCTCTCCTTTCTTGAACCTACCACCTATCGAGCCGTAGGTCAACCGCGGCTCGATAAACTTAAACTCGTCTTCGCGGTGGCCCGCGAAGACTAGTGGTTTTTGTAATCCAGTGAAGGTCGAGTTAGACTCGAGGAGAACAAACTGAGTGACGTAAGGGTATAGCTCTTTCCACCGTATGGTGAGGAGTTCGACTTCGGTGCTGAAGAGAACGGCGTCGTAGACACGGCGAGGGTATTCCCGGGTTCCCCAGCCGTGGAGTTTGCAGAGAGACTCCATGGAAGCGTTCTCGTGGTGGTAATGTGGGATGTTGTGGAATGGCTTTGGTGGTGATTCCCATAGAGGTCTCAAGAAATATGAAATCTTGAGGCCGTGGATGTATACACCAAGAACACACATTGGCACGATCACTAAGAGGAATATGATTGATTTTAAATCCACACCACGCAACATGCAACAGAGTCTTGAAATGCCAAATCCTCGATCCGATTCCTGTTTTGAGACAACAAGAAAAAAAAAAAATGTCAATAACTAAATCCACTCATTTCTTGAATATGAACAATCAAGGCAAAACAAAACCAATTTTGACCACAAATTGTAAGAATGCTTCTACTTTTGTTCTGTTCAAATTCAAACACATAGATTAATCTAGTTCAAGAGAACATTAATCATCACGATCAGACCCGTAAGATCTGTGGTTTAGATCGAGAATATAAGCAAAATGGGTTCTTGGTACAATTCAAGAACCATTGACTAAAGAAGATCTTGTTTTTAAGAACAAATCGTAAAATTCAGTTTTACGATCAAAGGGAGAAGAAGCGAACCTGATTGCCGCATAAATCATCGGATTTTTTAGAACAGTAGTGACCACCGTTTTCTCCCATCATCCACCACATCTTTCTTCGAACTTTCTATTTAAACACCGATCAAGAACTCGATCTCCGGTCGCCGGAGTTTTTCAGTAGAGAAGAGAAACTCAGGAATTGATTCTACAAGAGATGATGAATAAACAAACGAACAAACACAGCTCGATGAATTTTTTACAGAGAATATAAAGTAAAAGGAGAGATTTTCAGAAAAAAAAAGAATTAAAGAATGAAAGAACAAGAACAGAGCTTTTTCTGTGATTATGTCGTGTCTGTTTCACGGAGCTCTATTAGTAAAAGAAAAAACAAATGAAGATGCTTTCCGAGTAATTGTAAGGGACGGTGTGATGATGATTATGTTATTATTATTATGCGTTTTGGCCTCGAGAACTACACGGTTTAAGGGCAAATTAGTCAATGAAGAAAATATCAACGTTCCGTTTGCTTATGAGAGTGTATTATCAATATCATCATCAACTATCTGTCTATCTCACTCCACGCGTTGTGGCTTGACTCAGTCCCCCACCAAGGAAGGCTTTTGTCGTGTCTTTTATTGGTTTGAAAAAGGCTACGAATCACTTACCTCTGCACTCTTTCTCTTCCACAAACACGTGGCTTCCACTGTGAAAAGTACAAAGGTTTAGTTAAACTAAACTTGGAAACTTACAGCATCTAATATGATTACTATAAATACTGGTGTATACAGTTGTTTATATGACAAAACAAAATTAAGGTATTCGTAGTTGTAGTTTGTGGAAGTTGAAAATGTGAGGCTACTTCTTTAGATGGTTGGCTGCCTGGATGGTTGTGAACTTGTGATGAAGAATATTGTCAATGATATTTTCCATGACTTTTCATGTGAATGACAATTTCTGTAGTTAGTTGAAATAAAAATGATTTTTTTGGGGTAAAATTATTTTCTGTCACCAAAATTACCTAATTTCCTAAGGTATATTCTGTCATGCCTAATTGGATAAGTATTTATTATGTACAAGAGGACAAATGAATGTGTAACACTGATTCGGTCTAATGGAAATATGTTTTGTGCCAAAAAAAAAAAAAACATAATTTCCAATTGTATTTAGTTATTTACTCATCTTATTTAATTTTCTAGTTAACTAGTAATATGCACTAAATTCTCCCTTGCTAGCAATATAGTAAGTTAGTAACTATCAGGGGAGTATTTAGTACATCTAACTATTAAGTATTAACTAGAAAATTAAATAAGATGAGCAAATACAATTGGAAATTAGGTGATTTTGGTGAAAGAAAATAATTTAATTACTCAATTTCAAATGAGCAGTAGAATGATGGAGTATAAAACGAGAAATCAAAATAAGGAAGAAAGAGGGAAGAGAAAGAGAAACAGAAGTAGTAAAAACGAAATTATTATTTTAAAATAGCAAGAACAAAACGAGAATGCCGAATTCAGATAAAAATGGAATCAAAAGAAGCAAATCTACGCAGAGAATAAGATTTCCATCGTCGTTGACTTTCTTTTCTCCTTCCTTTCTTCAAATTCCAGAACTGTGTTCTTCACGGTCCTCCCTGATTCAACTCACTTTAAGCTTCAGATTTGATCTCCAGTCCAATCCGTAAGCGATTGCCGAATTCTTCGTCTCGTGTACTGATTCAACTGACTTTAGCTTCAGATTCGATCTCCAATCCAACAATCTGTACCGATTTCTTCGTTTCGTGTGCTGATTTCGCCGTTTTCTCTTCCCTGATGGAGAATCCACCGGCGGAGAAGCTCCTGAAGAAGATACAGCAGCTAGAAGAAAGCCAAGAGGATCTGAAACGGGAAATGTCCAAGCTCCAGGTATCGTCGGCGGAGATTAAGCGGCGTTCTCATTCCGCCTCGCCTCAACGACCGTTGAGGAGGAGAAACAGCGGAGACGTATGGAGAAAGAGCGGCTCGGCATCGTTCCGTCACGCTTCTCCGGTACGCAGAAAGACTCGCCGTGACAATCATTCGAAAGCCGGCGGCAAGTTCAGCGATAAACAGTATTTGAATATTTTGCAGTCTATGGCACAAGCTGTTCATGTCACTGATCTCAATGGCCAAATCATCTTTTGGTGAGATTTTGTAAAATCCATTTTGACATTTCCTAAGATTTTGGATTGGATTCTTAGTTTAGGAAATTGTGAGTTTTTGGATTAGAGTAGAGAGGGTGTTTGAGATTTAGATTCAAATTCGGTTAGCAATGTTGTTCCAGGAACTCGATGGCGGAAAAGCTTTACGGTTTCTCAGCTGTAGAAGCACTTGGGAAGAGTCCGATTGACATTCTCGTAGATAGTCAGGACGCTGCGGTTGCGGAGAACATTACTCGGCGTTGCAGCAGCGGAGAGAGCTTGACCGGCGAGTTTCCTGTCAAGAACAAAGCAGGGGAGAGATTTTCAGCTGTGACCACCATCTCTCCCTTCTATGATGATGATGATGGTGATGGTGGTGGTTCTCTTATTGGCATTCTATGCATGACCAATGATTCAGCGCTCTTTCAAGACCCCAGAGTTTTACCTCCAGATACAGTAAAGTGTCAAGAAGAGGAAACAAGCTTGAGCCAGGGGACAACAAATAGTGTTATACCAGATTTGGTTAGTCCAATTTTAAAGTTGCTAATTCTCATCTTTTGTTATAATGCTTCATCTTTTGACTAGTGTTAGTCTAATTACAGGCATCTAACCAGAGGGAGAGTCATCAGTCTGATCAAGGTTTCTTCGTTGCTGCTTTCTCTGAACAGAGGGAGGAAGCAGCAACAAGTGGTGCAAGCACACCTAGAGGAGATTTTATCCAATCTCCTTTCGGTGTGTGCTTACGTAACGATGAGAAGTTTCCTTCGAAGCTCTTTAGAGAATCTGGTGATGGAAATGATGGAGACTCTGTTATCGCTAAGACACTTACCTCAGAAGCCGAAGAGTGTAATGTAAAGAAAGGAGTATTGACATGGCCACTGAGAGGAAATGAACGGGATTGTTTGGAAAGACGGCATGAACAAGAAAAAGAAGAGGCTCATCAAAGTAATAAGCCTGCCGATAACGATTCAACGGGGTCTTCGTCTTCGTCTAATAATGTGAACAGCACAAGCAGTGTGAACAGCTGTGAAAGTAGCAGCAGCAGTGTTATGAGCAAGGCTGATAGGGACAGCGACTACTTGGACAATGAAATCTTATGGGAGGATATGACCATTGGAGCACAAATCGGGCAAGGTGATGTACTTCTTTAAGAGAAAGATTATGTCATCATACATTGTTTTTCTTTTTTGGTTCTTCTCTCTGTTCTGCTAACATGGTCTTGATAATTTTCCTCTTTATACATACAGGTTCATGTGGAACTGTCTACCGTTGTCTATGGTTTGGATCTGTACGTTCTTCTCTTCTGTTGATTAAATGCCTACATGAAAAAATGACATACTCTAAAAAATCTTACTGAGAGTTGCTAATGTCACTGCAGGATGTGGCTGTAAAAGTGTTTTCCAAACAAGAATATCCAGAAGAGGTCGTTACATCTTTTAAACAAGAGGTATAATTGTTTCCTATCACTTCTCTAAGCATGTCTAGTAGAAGACTATTATTTTTTGTTTTTTACTTGGTTTTAAACGAGTAACACTTTGCATCTGTCTTCCATAACGTTTTTCCGTATGATATCTTCTTCCAAATCAAATCTACCTCTTGTCTAGCTACTCGTTCTAGTTTTGAAGTAGCTGTGCTGAATGTGTTTTTATCTTGAAGGTGTCGTTCATGAAAAAACTTAGACATCCAAATGTTCTGCTGTTTATGGGAGCTGTGGCATCACCTCAGCATCTTTGTATAGTGACAGAGTTTCTTCCACGGTTCGGTCTCTTCTCTTTAGCTAAAACTACATTTCCTTTCGAGGCCAAAATCCTGACTCGCACTCTAAAGTCTAATTCTTTTGAAATAATGTTTCAGTGGAAGTCTCTTTCGTTTGCTGCAGAGGAACACGTCAAAACTGGATTGGAGGCGACGTATCCAAATGGCCTTAGACATTGTAAGTATTTAGACACGTGGTTTTCCAGTTGTGTGTTTCTTCGTTATATCTGTCTTGCGTATCCTTGTTTTCCACTCTCTGATTCAGTATTTCACACAGGCTCGGGGCATGAATTACCTTCATCACTGTAGTCCACCCATCATTCACCGTGATCTGAAGTCGTCAAATCTACTTGTCGATCGAAACTGGACCGTGAAGGTATTGTTCTCATTGTTGAAGTCCTATCGTTTCTCGTGATCCGGACATCACAAAACTTTGATATTGTGTGAATGTACCAGAAAAGAGAGGCTTGGATTTTGATAACAGGGCTAGAAACTATTATTGAATTGAGAAAAGTTGTTTGTTATGGTTAACTTACTGTGACACCTCCAACAGGTTGCTGACTTTGGTCTTTCTTGCATCAAGCATGACACGTACCTAACTACAAAGACTGTAAGGGGAAGGGTATTTAACATAGACTCTTGCCGAATTGATTCTTATAATCAATTCTTTCATGATTAAGTTTTCATTGCTATTTATCTGTTATGCAGCCTCAATGGATGGCCCCAGAAGTTCTTCGAAACGAGGCTGCTGATGAAAAGTATATTCTTGTTTTCTGCTTGGTTCCTTTGCTTATTATTGTTCTAGGCTTTTAGCATTAATCTCTAACGAGGCTCTTCCTACTCTTCTGAAATGCAGGTCTGACGTATACAGCTTTGGAGTTATAGTATGGGAGCTTCTGACCGAGAAGATCCCTTGGGAAAGTCTAAATGCTGTGCAGGTATAGTTTCCTCTTTTAGGAAAATCATCTCCATATGAAAATTTGACTAGGAAAATCTGAAACTTGGCCATATTAGTTCAAGGAAGAGTCTCAACCTTATAAAGAAGACGTATTCAGTATGTCTTGTTAAGAAGCTTGCTTTTTCTGTCTCTTCTTAGTTCCTCTATGTAAATAATATTCTCTCACAGTGAAACAAATATGAAGAGACGTCTATTCAAATACACGCAGGTGATTGAAGCTGTGGGGTTCATGAACCAGAGGCTGAAACTCCCAAAGGACGTTGACCCTTTGTGGATTTCTATAATGGAAAGTTGTTGGCATAGGTACGTAAAAACATATCTAACATTACCTTGCTAGAGAATAATAGACTCACTTGTGTTTTCTTAAATAATTCTTCATATGTGATATGCCACACTCTAATTTTCTGCAGTAGATGAACTTAATTTGTTGTTTTGTGTCATGAATCAGTACAGGCAGATACTACAACTGTAGAAATGTGAGAAAAACGAGAACCAAAACTTTTTTTTTTGTTGCTGAAACTTTTCCGCATATTCAGGATTTTTGTGCCACAAAGAAAATTTCTAAAGTTTGGTAGAATGATTAGTGTAAATTTGGTGTCACTGTAGGCAATTAGTAAATGTTGTAGAATTGGACTTTGATCGTCAAGATTTTGGTGTCGACTATTTGGTTGTTTACAGTTTTACCAACACAATTGAGCTGATAACTGCTCTTAAACTCTTTCATAGTTGCGTTGGCTTAATATGAGTTAAACATTAGCAGCAGCTAATGTTAGTTGAGATATTTGTGCAGGGAACCGCAGCATAGACCGACGTTCCAAGAACTGATGGAGAAACTAAGAGAGCTCCAAAGAAAGTACGCTACACAATTCCAGGAAGCTCGTGCCGCATCAATAGACAACTCCTCTGTGAAGGAAGAAGAATAAACTCCAAATAACAGAATGTGATATATACATTTCCACGGTCAACGAAAATAGGTAAAAAAAAGGGAGGTTTAGTGGAAGTCAAATGAAGGAGAAGCAGAGAAGACTTTGATATGCTTTATCATTGCATGAGAGAGGTATTCTTGATATAAAGTTCCATTCGAAACGTTATGTGCTTGCGATGGGAGCTACAAGAGAGGATGTACATATTTGTAAATAAAGATTATGCCTATCTGTTTGTGTCATTATTTATGTAATTCATAGAGAGAGGCAGACCCAAGTTTTAAGAGAAGTCTGTTTAATCCCTTAATTGTGATCAACGAGTACAAACGGAGGTTTTGAGTGAATATTGTCACGCTTATTGGATCATGCATTGTTGTTGTTCGTGTGAGTTTGGAGCCAGGTTGTTTTCTTTGTTTCTCAATCTAGAAAGTGTTGCAGACTCGAACTTAAGAATACAGGTATACTAATTTTGTTGCAGTATTTTTTTTTTCCATATACAAAACAGAAATCCGTCACTTAATACCAAAAATACAACTTTATCTCTACTGCAAAGATTTAGCAAACCCATAAACCAAAAAGAATACAGCACCTACCAACAGATACCTCAAAACAACGGACAAAAATCCAGCACCAAAGCTCACTATACTCTTTCCAACTGACAAAACTCGTCCTGAAGAAGTTCCATTACAGTTCCCTTCAGTGACGACATGGTTTGGTTCCTCGTACACCAAACTTAAACCACAATTTACAATCTCACCTGCTCCATCTCTCACTTCGAATTTGATTGAAGCCTCAGTAGGGACACATTCATGATGTTCTTGCGACTGCAACGATCCTTGTGCATGATTTGTTATGTGCGATGAACTGGTGTAACCAATAAACACATGGTCCGAATCAATCTTGCGTGGTTCAATCCAACCTCCGCCAAGAGTGCAGCTGAAACGCTTATTTGTCCCAAGTTCGTTTGTGAACTCACAAGTGCACTGTATTGAGAAACGGCTGATTTCATCTTGAGTGCAAGGGAATGCGACAACAGCGCATAGAGCTATTGTCGAAAGCCTGTTGTCACACCAATGTGGCGGAAACTTCAGCTTTAACGTGGAACCAACTGTTTGATGGTTGAACCATGTAGGTACTTCGCTACCTGGAAAGGAAGTGATGAGCAAAGCTTCTGAAAAACTGCCCTGCAAAAGTCAAACAGAATTTTATTTTATTTTATAAAAGTGTTAAAAGAGATTCGATTTAAATAAAATGAGGAATGAGACCTCTTTATAGCATCTAACTGAATCTAGCTGGCTTTTCCTTTGAGCATACGATGTGATACTATTTTTAGCAGCTAGTTCAAGGTTGGTGCAGTTGGTGAAAATGAACTTAGAGTGAACCTGCTCCATATGCTTAACAAAGGCCATGGGGGATGCTACTGTTCTCAGTTTCTGGCAGCCATGTGCGTCTAAGATCTCTAGATTTGGCGGAAGCAATGGAATCGATTTGAGATTCTTGCAGTACTTCAGGTCAAGCAATTTCAGATGATGTAGTTGACTGATGTCGATTTGCAGATTGCTGAGCATATCGTTCCTACTTAAGCATAGACGCTGCAATGAGGACAAGCCGTTCACACCACGTCTTAATTCACCTAGATCTTCCACTTTTGAGCCATTGAACTGCAATATCTTCGGCATGTCTGCAACCGCTGTCCCGTCGAGCAATAAAATCTGCAAGCGTTTCATGTTTTCAATGGGAATTGGAAAAGTCTTGAGCTTTGAACAACCAGAGAGCACCAGTTCTTGCAGAGCTTTCAGCTTCCCTAGGCATTCTGGAACCGCCCTCAACATTTTGCAGTCTTTCAAGTTCAATACGATCAGTCTCTGGAGCTTCACCATGTTTGTAGGAAGTTGACCAATCGCAGTTCCATCCAAGTGTAGAGTTTCTAGATTGTCCGAAACCACCCTGAATTTCTCTAGGCTTGAGCAGTTGGTGAGGATGAGAGTTTTCATAGAGATCAGATTCATATGTGGAAGAAACCGGAGACTTGTGCATCCTCTCATGTTGAGCAAAATCAGACTTTTCATACGTTTCATGTCCTTGGGCAACTCCTGCAAACTCGTGCAGCCTTCAAGATTCAATCTTTGGAGACTTTCAGCATTTACCAACCCTGAAAGATTGCATAACTTGCTTGAGTGGCTAAGATCAACCCACTTTAGCTTCGGTGTATCCTGCAATGAACAGTCAGAGACAAGATTAAGCAACTCTAGAGAGACTAATCTAGTAAGATAATAAAATTAACAATGGTGAAATTATAGAGAGACACACCTTAACACCCTCCCAGACCTCTTCAATCTCGCTGTAAGGCAGGTTAAGGTCGGTAAGATTCTTGGGGTTGAAGTCTTTTGGAAGTTTCTTCAAAGGGAATTTCAGCCAATAGAGATATCTTACTTCATCCACCGGAAACTCAAGCCCCTCAGGGAAGTTAAGTTTGCAGTCAGCTTTGCATTCCCGATGACAACGAGAACTAAAGAATTTGAGGTACCTAAGTTGACGCATCTCAGTGAAAGTACATCTGTCCAAAGGAATCTTGTTCTTCAGCTCAGACATGTCGAGAAAAATACCTCTCACACTGTCTGCTCCCTGCTTAACCAGTTTAAGATAAATAGGTTATAGCAAGTTGAAGTTTCTTAAACAGAAATTTTGTGACATTCTTGAGATTTATGATCTTACTGCTTGTTTCTTCAGCGCACCAATAACACCTTTATGGTTCCACAGTCTGCGTGAGCCGTGTGAGCCAAGTTCCTTGCCAAATGTATACAGCAAATCATGCATCTCCACTCGTCCGCCAGAAATGTTAATCAAGAATTTATTGGCAAGATCCTTTATTTCACGCACAACATCAATGTGCTCAGCGTCGTCACAAGACTCCTCCACTAAACACCCAACGTAATACTCTTCTCCTGATCTAAAGAAACAAGCGACATCGAGAAACATATCTTTCTGACGCTGGCTTAACCCATCGTAGCTTATCCGCAAGACATCTTGTATAGTCTTATTGGGACTTTGTGCCAGCTTGCAAAGCTTATCTTCCCACTGAGTCTCGTCTTTCCCATTGAGCTCAATCCCCAATATCTTGAGAGCTAATGGGTTGCCTTTGGCATAATCCGCAAACAATCTTGAAAGATTCATGAAACTTCCCTTCGGAGTAGAGAGCTTACCACTGAAGGCAAAATGGCTGAAGTACTGAAAGCTGTCTCTGCCGGTCAGTCTCAGGACCTCATACGTGTCATCAACCATCCCCTCGATCACCGACCTGTCGCTAGTCGTGATAAAGATTCTGCTACCTCTCTTAATCCAGTCGCACTCGCCGAGAAGAACTTGTATCTGTTTCTTGTCACTCACACTATCAAGAACAACAAGAGACTTCTTACTGAGTAGGCGTGTCTTCAAGGAATCAAGAGACACGTCAGCGACTTGTTGGTCCACTTTATCATCATCATCATCATCATCATCATCCCTCAACAACTCTCTCATGAGAAGATTCCGATCCATCATCACGCAGTCATGAAGAAAGACGCAGCGGAGGAACTTGTGTCGCCACTTCTCATACATCATCTTCGTCAGTGTGGTCTTACCAATACCAGGCATCCCAACAACACCAATGGTGAGAGTACGCTTGCAGTCAAAATCCAACTTCTCTTCCAATTGCTCAAGACGCGTTTCAATGCCAAACAGAGGAGGCGACTCAGAAACAGAAACAGCTTCAAACGTATCTTCTTCTCTTTCGAGTTCCGTCGAGAAATCATGAAGCACTTTGATCACTTCGTTTACAATTTGATTGATGCATTCACCTTCATCGCTGCAAATGATAAACCAATCAGAAACCCTAATAGACAACAAAACAGAGTATCATTTGGCAAAAAGGTACCTCATTTCGCTTAAAGTGAAGCCCAACTTTTTGGGGACGTCCTCTAGAGCTTCTCTCCACTTATCTAGCTTTTCTCCTTTAATAGTCTTGGCCAATTCCCAAAACTTGTCACCGAACACTCCCTGGAGGCTTTTCACATCGTCAGTCTCCACCTTGTAGAAGATGGGGATGACTATAAGTTTGCCTAAATCAGCGCACTCCTTGATCTTCTCCAGCTCGTCCAAGCACCAGTTTGACTCCGTGTACAGGGTTGAGAAGATGGCGAGCGCGACACTCGACTCCTCGATTCGGGAAAAGAGGACGCTGAGATCTTTCCCTCTGGTTTCGTCTCGGTCGATGAAGACGTTGATTCCATCCCTTCTCAAGGCCTTCTCCAGATGGCTGACGAACCCGTTCCGTAGCTGCTTCCCTCGGAAATTGATGAAGACTTGGTGATGAGGAGGCGATTCGGCGGATGAGAAAGATGCGGCCACCATGATGATCGATGGATCAGATAAGATTTGTGTGTTTGTCTTGAGATTCGTTTGCGGATGAAGTGATGAAAGTGGGAAACTAGGTCCACCATTGAAGGAAATTTCAGTCTTCAGGTCACAGCATCATCGTTGCCTCATCGTCAACGACAGTGGAAACTAGGTCCACCATTGAAGAAAATTTGCCAATTTGTTCGTCGTTTCTTAGTGAGACCAAGTCAATAATGAATTAATGGGGTTGGGGATAGTCTCAGTTTCCCATCCCGAACCTATCGTCTTGATCATCTATTCCACCATCGGTAAGTAAAATCCCCTGCATCGATTCTCGAATTTGCTGGAAATATCGATAGAGTTTTGTTACCACAGAAGCTCGAACCATGGGCGATGACAATAAGGCGGCTACACACACCGTCTACATCAACTGCGAAGACACGTTGCGTTACTCCTTCGCCAGCCACCTCTCCATGGCATTCCGCCGGAAAGGCCTTTCTTCATTTGTAAATTCCAAGGGGACTCAGGATGTGATAGAGAAAGCCAACACTTTCGTACTTGTTCTCTCCATTAACTTTCTCTCCTCCGCCTCGTGCCTGAACAAGCTTGTGAGGGTTCTCAAGTGGCGGATGAAAAACGGCCTCCTGGTCGTTCCTGTGTTCTATGGCGTTAGTCCATCAGATGTGGTGGCGCCAGAGCACGAGTCAGCTGATCGAAGAAGAGAATGGAGTAACGCACTCCAAGAGCTGATAGAATTACCAGGCTACCATTCCAGGTAACTGTGTATAGATTAGTCCGTTTAGTAAATCTTTCTGCTTCTAGATCCTGTCCACCTATCAAATCTAACACCCTTTTAACGTAAACAGAGAAGAACGCAACGATTGCCAACTTGTGGAGGAGATTGTCGAAGATGTATATGAGAAGCTCTTTCCCACGGAACAGACTGGAGTCAGCTCGAGGCTGCTGGATATAGAACACTTGCTTTGCAAACAACCAAGGGGTATCCGTCGCATAGGAATTTGGGGTATGCCTGGCATAGGAAAGACAACGCTTGCGCGAGCATTTTTTTATCAAGTTTCTGGAGGCTATGAAGCTTCTTGTTTCATCAAACACTTTGACCAAGCTTTCCGTGAGAAGGGACTTCACCGTTTGTTGGCGGAACATTTTGGAGAAATCTTGAACAATCGTACGAGAGCTAGTCTGCCCAGGGACAGATTGAACAAGAAGAGAACCCTCGTCATTCTTGATGATGTGCACAATCCTTTGATTGCTGAATCTTTTCTCGGAGGGTTTCATTGGTTTGGCCCGGGAAGCCTAATCATCATAACCTCGAGAGATAAACAAGTGTTCCGCCTTTGTCAGATCAATCATGTTTACGAGGTTCGTAGCTTAAATGTGAACGAGGCTCTGCAGTTATTCTCCAAGTGTGCATTTGAAAAAGATACGAGGGCGCGAGATTCCATGGAGCTAGCGAAGAAAGTGGCTGACTATGCTAATGGAAACCCGTTATTTCTCAGCCTTTACGGTAGGGAGCTTAAGGGAAAGAGTCTGTTAGAAATGGAGAATGCATTCCTGGAACTCAAGCAACGCACTCCGAACAAGATTCATGAGTTACTAAGGACCACCTACGAGACACTTAATGACAGCGAGAAATGCATTTTTCTGGACATTGCTTGTTTCTTCAAGGGGGGAAATGTTAACTATGTGATGCAGTTGCTCGAGGGATGTGGCTTTTTTCCACATGATGGGATCGATGTTCTTGTGGAGAAGTGTCTGGTCACTATTTCAGAAAACACAGTGAAAATGCACAACTTAGTCCGAGCCTTTGGTCAAGAAATAATCAATGGAGAAACAGCACAGATCGAGAGGCGTCGCAGACTTTGGGAACCTAGGAACATCAAACTTCTACTTGAGGATGATGAACTCGAAGGGAATGGAGATCCCGAAGCAACCTACACACGTCCTCTGGTTTGGCACATTCTGATATATTTACACAGAACATGCTTTTGGAGATGAGCCAACTTCTTGATATCTGTTTCCTTCTCTTTCAGGGCACTGAAGACATGGAAGGCATATTTTTTGACAAATCGAACTTAATCTTTGATGTGAAGCCTGGTGCTTTCGAGAATATGTTTAACCTTAGATTCTTGAAGATTTACAGCTCCAGTTACGAATACCATTATGGAATCCGCCTTCCTAAAGGACTCGAGTATCTCCCTTATGAGCTAAGACTCCTCCACTGGGAGAACTATCCTTTGCAATCTTTACCTCAAGATTTTGATTCAAGCCACCTTGTTGAACTCAATATGCCTTACAGTCAGCTTCAGAAACTTTGGGAAGGAACCAAGGTTAGAAAACTCCTATCCGCTCTCTTATTCCTTTTTTCTAAATTTATGTTAACTTTTTGGGAACCTCTCTGTTCAGAACCTCGAGAGGCTGAAGATGGTCAGGCTTTGTCATTCCCAGCAGCTGACTGAAATTGACGATATTTGTAAGGCTCAAAATATCGAGCTAATTGATCTCCAAGGCTGCAGAAAACTACAGAGTTTTCCAGCCACGGGACAATTAAAACATCTCCGAGTTGTAAACCTCTCAGGTTGCAGAGAGATCAACAGTTTCCCAGAGGTTTCACCAAATATTGAGGAACTTCATCTCCAGGGAACTAGCATAAGAGAACTACCAATATCCATTGTGACCCTCTCCCCACAAGATAAGTTGAACCTTGAGCTTTCCAATCTTCTAACAGAATTCTCAGGTGTTTCAGATGCTTTGAACCTTGAGCAATTAACAAGTCTGGTCAAAGGCGTCTCATCTAATAAGCATCTTGGCAAACTTATTTTCCTGAATATGAAATATTGTTCTCACTTGCGTAATCTTCCTGACATGGTTGATTTAGAATCTCTTAAAGTTCTTCATCTGTCTGGATGCTCGAATCTCGAGAGTATTCAGGGTTTCCCGCGAAACCTGAAAGAGTTGTATCTTGCTGGCACCGCCATTAAAGAGCTGCCACAGCTTCCCCAAAGTCTTGAAGTGTTGAATGCACATAGCTGCGTGTTACTCAAATCAATTCCTTCTGGTTTCAAGCAGCTTCCTAGCTATTACACATTCAGTGATTGCTCTACTCTTTCTTCACAAGCGGTCAGCGAGTTTGTAGTGAACGTTCTGTCTAATGTAGGATCCATGGTAAGAGAGTATCAGCAGGTATCTCTCCCTCTCTCTCTATCTATCTATCTATCTAGCTATTTGTTTCTCCAGCGTCTTGTCATTTCTGGTTTATTTTGGCTTGCAGAAACAGGAGATTAACAGATCTCTGGCTTTCAGCTTCATGGGGCCTTCACATGCAAATAACAGATGCACACTGCAACCAGGATCTTCTGTGATGATACGACTGGGTCCTTCCTGGAGAAGCATGCTCATGGGATTTGCTATGTTGGTTGAAGTTGCGTTTTCGGAGGAGGCTATTGATTTTGGTCTTAGGTGTGTTTGCAGATGGAAAGATAAGGAAGGCGTCTCTCATAGACTAGAGAATACTTTTCGTTGTTGGACTCGTGTGGAAGATGTTCCGAAGGTTCAAAAGGATCATCTGTTTGTCTTTTGTGATCTCAGTTTGCATCCGAGTTGTGGTGAAAGAAAGGATCCAGATATATTGGCTGATCTTGTTGTATTTGAGTTCTTTCCTGTCAACGAGAAGATGCAGCTTCTAGATGGGAGTTGTAAGGTGACGAAATGTGGAGTCTATGTAATCACTGCTACAAACGAAGACACAAGCCTTAACATGACTCAGCGAGTATCTTCCTCGGATCACACAAATGAACCTGAAGAAGACTTGATAGATATCTATGATGGCTTAGATAAGAAAGATAAAAAATTGTTTGATTACATCTTATGTTTGTTTAAAAACGAGGAAACTAATGTGGTGGCATGGCGTATTGCTAGCACTGGTCTGGAAATCAGCTCTGGGTTTGAGGCCTTAGCCGACAAGTCTCTCATACATATATCTCCCTACGGTATTATTGTACCACCTCATTTGCTACAAAAACTTGGTAGGGGGATCTTCCGTATGTCAGCGTGGCCATCCAGGCTGCTGCCTGATAGCAGCTGTGGAAGTAGTAGCAGCAATGTTGTAATGAGCAAGGTTGATATGGATAGCCACTGCTTGGACAAAGAAATCTTATGGGAGGATTTGACTATTGGAGAACAAATCGGGCTAGGTAGAACTCTTTTGTGAAAGACATATCCATCCTTCAATACATTTTTGTTTATGTTTTTACTCTGTTATTCTGACATGCTCTTGGTGATATCCCCCTTCATACATGCAGGTTCATGTGGAACTGTCTATCGTGGTCTATGGTGTGGATCTGTACGTTCTTGTCTTCTGTGGATGTTCTAGAATATGCACCATCGATATTTAAATGCCTCACGAACTTAAAAAAAAAAATCTCTTACTGAGAGTTGCTAATGTCACTGCAGGATGTGGCTGTAAAGGTGTTTTCCAAACAAGAATATTCAGAAGAGGTCATTACATCTTTTAGAGAAGAGGTATAATTGTTTTCTGTCACTTCTCTAAGCATGTTTAGTAAAAAGCTATTATTTTTTTTCCTTGGTTTTAGACGAGTAACACCTGCATTCTGTATTCCATAACAATTTTCTCGTATGATATCTTCTTCCAAATTGCATTTACCTCTTGTCTAGCTACTCGTTCTAGTTTTGAAATACCTTGTTTTATCTTGAAGGCGTCGTTCATGAAAAAACTTAGACATCCAAACGTGCTGCTGTTTATGGGAGCTGTGGCATCACCTCAGCGTCTTTGTATAGTGACAGAATTTCTTCCACGGTTCGGTCTCTTCTCTTTAGCTAATACAACATTTCCTTTCTGGCTATTCAGATTCCGTAGCTAAAATCCTAACTCACACTCTAAAGTCAAATTCTTTTGGAATAACGTTTCAGTGGAAGTCTCTTTCGTTTGCTGCAGAGGAAAACGTCAAAACTGGATTGGCCGCTACGTATCCAAATGGCCTCAGACATTGTAAGTATTTACACACGTGATTCCTCAGTTGTGTCCACGATTTTTCAAAGTATAAGCTGCCCTGTGTTGGTTCTTCGTTATATCTGTCTTGCATATCCTTCTTTTCCACGCTTTGATTCAGTATTTCCTACAGGCTCGTGGCATGAATTATCTTCACCACTGTAGTCCACCCATCATTCACCGTGATTTAAAATCGTCAAACCTACTTGTCGATCGAAACTGGACCGTGAAGGTATTGTTTTCATTGTTGAAGTCATATCGTTTCCCTTAATACGGACAGCACAAAACCTTTCAATATGCCGTTGGTAATTTTGATGGAGCTAAAACAAATATATCCGTTGTTTACCTACAAGATACTGAGGAGTTTTTATGAGAAGACAATCATTTGATAGGGTTGATGTTCTACATGTTAGACTTAAAAGGCGAGAGAGAATATTAGAGAAATATATTTTAAACAAAAGATGAATCTTTAGATATAATTTATCTGATTTTCTATTTTGCGTTTGTGTGAATGAAGCATAAAAGAGAGGCTTGGATAATGCTTACTATTATTGAAGTAGAAAAGGTTGTTTGTTATAGTTAACTTATAGTGTCAGCTCTAACAGGTTGCTGACTTTGGTCTCTCTCGCATCAAGCATGAGATGTATTTAACTACAAAGAACGGAAGGGGGACGGTACTTATCATAGACTCTTACCGAATTGATTCCTCTGTTTTTTTCCTCTATGATGAATTATCTCATTGCTTCTAATCTGTTATGCAGCCACAATGGATGGCACCAGAAGTTCTTCGAAATGAGGCTGCTGATGAAAAGTATATTCTCATTTTCTGCTTGGTTTTGTTCGTTTGCTTGTTGTTCTTCAAGCAATTATCTCTGACGAGGCTCTGCCTACTCTATAAATGGCAGGTCTGACGTATACAGCTTTGGAGTAATAGTATGGGAGCTTTTGACCGAGAAGATCCCTTGGGAAAATCTAAATGCGATGCAGGTATAGGTTCCGCTTTTGGGAATATAAATTCAAAAATTAGACCAGGAAAATCTGAAACTTGGCAAGGAGCCCAAGGAAGAATCTCAACTTTATAAAGAAGATATATTCAGTTTAGTATGTTGGAGACCAAACCACCCATTTTGGGTATTGTAATATTCAAATACATGCAGGTGATTGGAGCTGTGGGGTTCATGAACCAGAGGCTGGAACACCCAAAGAACGTTAACCCTTTGTGGATTTCCATAATGGAAAGTTGTTGGCATAGGTACGTAAAAATGATTAGTGCAAGGTTGGTTCTTTTATAGTTTTCTTTCGACCAATAACAGTACCACTGTAGGCAATTAGAAAGTGTCGTTGAATCAAACTGATTATCGAGGAGATATACTATTTGCTCTTGCAGTTTTGACCGTCACGGTTATCTGATAAAAACGCTCCTAAACTCTTTCACAGTTGCGTTTGCTTGATATGCTATAAAACAAGTGTAGCAGCGGATGTTTTGATGAGTTATAATGTTTTGTGCAGCGAACCGCAACGTAGACCTTCTTTCCAACAACTTATGGAGATACTAAGAGAACTTCAGAGAAAGTATACTATAGCTTCAATCGAACAGAATCAGAAGCCTTTTCTCTCCACATCTCCCTCTGTTTCTCATCGTTTCAAGTCATTCAATCTCTACAACAACTTCATTTCTCAAGAACCAATCACCGTCGCCGAAGAATCTCCACCGCCAGAAGAAAAACCAGAGGTAGAGACAAGCCCGAGCCTTGACGAGTTTTGCAATAATCTGAATCTGAACCACGTGGCTCGGTCCAAATCTGACACTAAGCCAGCTTATATAATTATCCCACGGACACGGACACCATTTAAGCCATTTTCTGATTCCATGCCGAAGGAAATCCGCCTCGAGACGCAAAACCTTGTTGACACAAAGACAACATTGAAGCGGCAAACGGATCAACAAGTGTGGAATCCCAAATCTGAAACAAAGCCCAAAATCTCAGACAAGCCCACTATGGTCTCAACACAACAACAACAACAACAACAACGGTCATATTATGAACAATAAGACGAGCAGAAGCAAGAACGAGGAAGCCGCAGGATCGATTTGTACGGAAAATCTTTTGAAATCACAACCACAAATCCGTTTGCAGCTATGATGACTGAAGATTAGGATCAATGCCAGCTGTCCGGGACAGCCTGTCCCATTTATCACTAGGGTTTACGGTTTAGTTCTTGTATGAATAAGCTGTCTTGCTGAATTGTAAAACTTAAGAGAGATAGAATCAATGAAAATGCTTGTCATCTTCTTCATAACTTGTGTATGTGGTATCAGAGACGGTGGATACTAATCGATTCTTGAGCTTTCCTTCCGTTCCTGCGCTAAACATCACCAACGTCACCCTAAATGAGGGGAACTATGTCCTCTTGTGTTTCAAAGCAACTGATGACAACTTTACCATTAAATGATGTTCCTTTTTGCCCTGGAATTGCAAAATCTATGTTGTCTGTTTCAAAGCATACTACTAATTACCCTTGTTCCTTCACATTTGATTGTGATCTATATGTTCTGGAGGATCCAAAGTTCAATGCATGAGAGACGCATTCTTTGATATGAAGTTCATTTTGAAACTTCATGTGCTTGCGATGGGTGCTACAAGAGAGGATGTACATATTTGTACAAAAAGTTATGCAAATCTGTTTATGTCATTACATAAATAAGAGATAAGAGAGGCAGACCCAAATTTTAAGAGAAGTCTGTTAAGGTGATCAACGAGTGAGTACAAACAACGGTTTTGAGTGAATATTGTCACGTTTATTGGATCATGCATTGTTGTTGTTCGTTTGACTTTGGAGCCAGGTTGTTTTCTTTCTTTCTTGCTAAATTTAGAACCTAAACACTAAAACCCAAAAACCCACACACAAGCTCAATTTTGAAGGCCTCGCTGGTTCAAGCAACTTACATTCTCAAAGTAATTTTATAAATACAGTTTTAGGATGACATTTTTAATTGAATCTCACCTTTGAATTTGAGACTCATTCGTAAAAAAAATGTATCAGTATTTGTTTTGACGATTCAACATATATATATATATATATATATATATATATTTTTTTTATTTTTATTTTTATTTTTTGTTAAAGGGCTTTCTGGAGATTACAACAGAACAAAAAGAAAAGAGAACAGAGATCAACATAATCCATTAGATTGAGTCCAAACTTAGAGTAAAGAATCGCCATGTGAGGAGCCTAATTGTGAAAGAGCACGACATTTGTCCATGACAGAATGGAGAATAACATTGAAAACTTTGCCATGAGGTAAAGTGATTCCATCATGAAGTCTTCTATTGCGTTCCCCCCAAATTTCGTACACCGCTCCTTGCCAGACTTGAAGAAGGGCGAGCTTAGTCTGTAAGTCGAGACGAGTTACATGGAGCCAATGTAACAGTTGAGACCAATTGGTAGGTACGTCTGGCTTGTTAAGGCGCAGCGTAAGCCTGCTCCATATTGAACCTGAGAAAATACACTCAAAAAACAAGTGGTCCCGAGTTTCCAATTCAGTACCACAAAGCAAACAGGTTCCCTCCGTTTCGTAACCCCAAGCAAGCAGTCGGTCAAGAGTGGGGTTTCTATTGAGGAGAAAAAGCCACGTTGTTGTTTGGTGACGAGGAGTCCCCGCCTTATGCAACAAAAGAGAGGCCCAGAAGACTTCCGGTTTCGCTAAGCGAATCTCATGCCACACCTGTCTTAAAGAGAAGGATCTCTTAGGGGAACCATTGATAGACCAGACCGGAGCATCATTCTGAGAAGAACAGCCAATAGTAAGAAGGTAAGAGTGAAGCTGGACTTGTCTGTCTGTACGAGCAGGAGGCAATATCCAACCAGTACCGTTCCAAACCTCCGAGACTGTGGCTGAAAGTGGAATGCCTAGACGAGAAGGTCCGTCATTCCCAAAAAACGCATAAAGCGAGCCAAACGGTGTCCAAGGATCCCACCAGAAGAAGGTTGAATCTCCTCGACCAATTTTAATGCTTAGAAACTGTGTGGCTGTTGAACGAAGTTTCAAAATCTTTCTAAACATCCACGAGTAGGAATAATTCCTCTCGTTTAATGCCCAGAAAGAAGAAGATGAAAGATAGTGACCGCGGATCCAAGCCACTCAAATGGAACCAGCTCGAAAGAATAACATCCACAACAATTTCAAAACACACGCATTATTCCAACTTTCAATATCCCTAATGCCCAACCCACCTTCAGCTTTAGGGTAAGAAAGTAACTTCCAAGCGACCTTCGCACCTGAAGAAATGCCTGTTCTTCCATGCCATAAGAATGAACTAGAGAGCCCATTGATTCGCTTAATAACTTTTTTCGGCAAGATAAAGGCGCTCGTCCAGAATCCAATGATTCCCGAGATAACAGAAGAAATCAGAGAAAGCCTCCCAGCTATACTCAAGAATTTATTGTTCCAGGAATCCAATTTCTTCTTAATAAGACCAATCAAAGGGTCACAGTCAGCAACTCTAAGCTTCCGAGAAGAAAGAGGAAGCCCCAAATACCTTATAGGTAACGAGGAAGCCCTGAGACTAAACCGATCTTGAATGTTTGCAAGAGAAGCATCGTCAAGACCTTGGCAAAACATGGAAGTTTTCTGAATATTTATCCCAAGACCTGAAATCCTTTCAAAATCTGAGATGACAGAAAGAACCCCTCGCAAGGATCGCTCTGAGCCTTCCAAGAAGATTAGCAAATCATCCGCAAAACAAAGATGCGTCAATTGTAGCTCTTCACAGCCTGGATGATAGGAAAAAGTTCCCTCCTTCGCTGCCCTATTAAGCATTTGTGATAAAACATTCATCACCATAACAAAGAGGATCGGAGATAACGGATCTCCTTGTCTCAAACCCGTCTTCCCTCTGAAGTAACCCGAGGTAATCCCATTAATACTCACCGACAAAGATGGGTTACAACCGCAGCACCGGACCCACTTAGAAAAGGAATCTGGAATGTGGTAAGAGGCGAGGACATTAAGCAGAAAATCCCATCTAACCGAATCGAAAGCCTTTGAGATGTCAATTTTAAGAGTAATCCTCCTTCCAATTACCTCTCTGTGATAGTCCTGCATTATCTCAGAAGCTAGCAAAACATTCTCCAATAACAGGCGGTCCTTCACAAACGCCGTCTGATTAGGAGCAATGATTGTAGACATGACTAGCTTAAGCCGTTCAGACAGAAGCTTCGTAATAAGCTTGTAAACCGTGTTTAGACACGCAATAGGCGGGAAGTCTTTAAGCTCTTCTGCTCCAGGTCTCTTAGGAATAAGAACCAGTGAAGTAGCATTAAGGGAGGTTGGTATAAAATTGGCTTCAAAGAATTTGAGAACAGAACCCTCCAACTCAGTGCCCAAAACATCCCAAGAAGCCTTGAAGAACTCTACAGGAAAACCATCTGGCCCTGGCGTTTTGTTCAAAGGCATTTTAAACAAACAGCGACGGACCATCTCCGAATTAAAAGGTAAGGATAGGAACCCTTGCTGCTGGAGAGAACAAGTATTTTCAATCAAAGATTCCAAAAGACGAGGGAGATCAGGACTAAAATCACCTCGTATCGTTGTCAAGAAGGATTGATAGTAGGCGACTGCCACCTCATGAACCTCCTGAAGAGTCGTTGTCCTTGAACCATCTGGACGAAGAAGGTGTTTAATGGCGTTCTTTGCATTCCGTGCAGTGGTAACAGAATGAAAGAACTTAGTATTGAGATCGCCTTCTCCAAGCCATTTAATACGCGACCTAAGCTTGAAGAAACTCTCCTCAGCAAGTCGCAAAGATTGCCAAATGTCCTTTGCTTGAGCTTCCAAAGAGAGGTTCACCTCAGACTGGTCATTTAACGATAACATCTGACGAGACGACAAAATAGAAGCAGTTTCCGCTACTCTACGCTCAATAGCACTGTAATTATCCTTGAGCAGAGACCTGAGAGGCCTTTTTAACTGTTTCAATTTAAAACAGAAATCTCTAAGGTTTCCAGCAGACTCCCCATCATTGTTCCAAGAAAATTGTATTGTTTCCTTGAAATCTTGGTGTTTGGTCAAGAGGTTAAAGAACCTAAAGGGTCTTGATCCAAAAGAGGGACGAGGAGTAAGAAGCCGGATGAAGCCAGGAGAGTGATCAGAGAACTCTGGAGGCTCAAAGGAACAATGACTAGCTGGAAACCGGAAGAGCCATTGACCATTGACCAGACACCGATCTAATTTTTTAGCTATAGGCTCCCCTGCCCGATGGTTTGACCAGGTGAAATGTGGGCCTTGAAAGGGGAGATCAAATAGCCCTGACAAGGTTAAACAGTCCCTGAAATCTCTCATACCTCTTGTTGAACGATAGATATTCACATTGGAAGTCTCAGACGGATGCAATATTTCATTGAAATCTCCATTTACAAGCCATGCTCTCTGAGACAAGTTGAAAGATACACAAGTATCTCTCAGAGAATCCCACAAAAGACGCCTTTCTTCTTTTTGATTAGAAGCATAAACCGCTGTGTAGATGAAAGACTCCTCATTTTCCAAAGAAACCTCACAAGTAATGGATTGCTGATCTCTGAAAATAAGCCGGATTCCAACTGGCTCCCTATATATAAGCCAGATTCTTCCTAGGCCCTCAGTGGTCTTTAATTTCTAACTATTTTTTTTTAAATGTCCAAATATTCTAAAACAGAATAGAAAACTGAAAGAAATCGTAGTAATAATCTCAAATTTGAACATATTATTTATCAAATGATAACTAACTACACCAGGTTACGATATTTTTTTATCCATTTTCTAAATGCTTCCAAACAACTTAAATTATCACATATCCATTCGTTTCCTTCACAACAAAAAGCCAGCAAATTTGGCCAAATCTAAAATAAATAAAACTTTAAAGATCTTATTACAACAAGTACAAGATCCAGCTCAGCTCCAATCGTGGAGGATCTCTAATCGGGACAAATAGGTCCCACAACCCAAAGGGGACCACCTAAAGCAGGCATTGTCGGCTGGACACCCACTCGGGTTACACATTACCATTTAAATCAGAAATAAAATCAAAATCACACAAAATCTTGTTTAACCTTTTCTCTTCTTTCACACGTAGGGTTGACATCAGGATAGGAACTTCTCATGCAATTCCCAAAACACCCTCTCTCAAACCAGTTTAATCACGGAACTGCCACTGGCCCTTATGACCTTCGTCCTTAAGTGGCCACTGATTGATCCAAGACAGTCCCTCGTCACACTCATTGGTCGACAATACCGACCGGAGCCGTGACGGGTTTTATATCTGTGTTCCCTCAACTACTGGTGCTCGTTTGGGGAGTTTAAAGATACAGATTCTGACAAGTCATGGGACATTGTTGTTTTGTATCATAAGTTCTATGTTTTTAACTTAAGCCATACATATCAATATCTTTGGATCTATCTAAAGACAAAAGCTCACGATTATATATATACTTCGTCTTTGTTAACTCCGCTTCATTTCAACACTCACACTTCTCCTCTTTTAGTAATAAAAACAAACAGCAGCCTTCTTCTTCTGCATCATCTCTCTCCCACACGGTAAGTCTTTAATCTCCTAATTCTTTCTACAAGATGTTTGAAATCGGATAGTGATGCGGTAATGATATTAAGTAAAACAAAACTACAAAGTTTTTGATTTTTAGTTCATGACATTTCGTTTCTTTAGATCGATGACACTTTACCAGTTTGAGGCATTGTATCAAAGCCAGATGTGTTGTTGATCTTAAATCAATCCCATAAATGTTATGGGATGGGGAAGCTTAATTGACAAAAGTGATATATATCTTTCTTTAAACCTACGACTCGTAAGACTGAGACTACGTATATTATTGGAGAAAGAAAAAAATAGATATAATGAAATAGAATCTGGATGATTGACTGAGTTTCTTTTTTCCCTTTATAATAAGACTTACTGGAATCGGAGTATGTCAGATGTATAATATTTTTAATTTAGTTGAATGAAACACAGAGATCACTCCACTTAAACTGTTAAAAGTGATCAAAACATCAAATATAGAACCTATTTCTCTAGACTGTATAGTTATGTTAGGCTCCCTAACCTTTAAGCCTTGACCAGAAATTCACATAAATCTATCTTATGTGGATACATATTTGTTTCTTTTAGCTTCAAAAGAAGGGGCTAAATGCAATCTGCATTATTTCAGTCAAAAGTAATTATTTGTATAGAGAGATGATCAAGTTTAACATTTTGTCTTTCTTTGAAAAGTCACCTACTTTCAATGATTTGCTATTAGCAGGCTTCTACTTTTCTCTGATATTGTTAAACTTGCTATTAGCGCATAGATGGGTAAATTCTGCATTTTCTTGTATATTTTTATATATTTGAATTTAAAAGATGTGAGAAAGACAATTAAACATTTGTTATTCACTCTTCACCTTTCCTTCGTGATAATGTATACTTCTCAACTTATGCATACATAAATGCATATATTTTTCCCTGCTTTCATCATAAAGTGTGTACACTCATTAAAGACCATACGAAAAAAGAGGTTATTGTCGATTTCATTGCCGCAATTTTATATTATTTCCCTCTTTGATATGAAGAGGTGTATGGACAACATGGCTGCTTAAAATTCAATCTTTCTTTTAATGATTTTTTTTTTTTAGTTTTTAATCAAAAATATAAAAGTAGTTACATGAAATGTCAACAATATAGACGATTTTAAGAGGTAAGAACGAACATAAATGTGATTTAGTTTATGTAAGGAAGAGAACGGAAATGGCAAATTAATCCCTAGTATGACTTGGACGTATACCAATGTGGACCAGGCGATTTCATTATCCAACAATAGTGTTACACTCTCGTTAATGTCATGTCATTTTCAGAAATATATAGCCACACTAGTAATTACATATCACCTTTTTGTATAACTGGTTGTATTCTTACATACGTTATCTCGATGTATATATTATATAAATTGTTCACTGTTCATATCTAACAAGTGACACATCAATTAATAGTCATAAGTCTTTTTTTTCTTGTGCAAATAATACTCATAAGTCTTTCTACTATTCTTCTAGAGTTCTAGGTATGGAAAAACATTAGTATCATGTCCGTTGGCATGAAATTATATTTATCTCCCACAAAACTTAAAAGTTAAAACTTAATGAATAGTTTTTGCAAAAAGTACGGATTTTATAAATCTAAAACTTCTAGTCATTTTGCAAAATCAACAAACATATCAATAGATAAAAGTTGATGTTTCTTAATTTAAATACTACTCTATTTTGGCGCCAAAAAAACCTTTGTATCACCATAAATACTATACAAAATCTAACATATCAATATCACTATACAAATATAGTGAGAGAAGTATGGCTAGTTGGCTACTAGTGAAAAGATTTAGTTTCTCATTTGGGTTCTGGATGGCTCAAGACGCTCTTACTATTCGAGACCAAGAATATATGTGAGAAAGAGTAAAAAAATAACAATAAATAATAAGATGTGTGATGAAGAGTGAAAATACTATGGAGAGGCAATGATGAGGAAGATAGAAAGTGGGATAAACAGAGGCACGTGGGATTGGTAATTCTCCTTTGCACGCTGGCGAATGGTCTAAGCACCATATTTTACCCCCAAGAAAATCAAAAAGGAAAAAAAAACATCAGGAAAAATAATAGTTTTATATCAGAAAAACCCTACCTTGAGTATAAAATTAAAAATCTCTATTTTGCATAAAACAAGAAAAACAAAAAAGTTGAAAAAGTAGATCGCTCTGCTTTGTTTTGTTTCTCTCTTTAACCTTTGAATGATTGGTGAAGAGGGTTTTCTGGGAAGTTTCTTAGCTCAAACATTTTCTCTCTCAAAAACACAAAGAAAATCTCAAGGCTGGTGGTGAAGAGTGTTGTTCTGTTTTTCATCTAGGTGAGCTTTTTCTTCTTCTTCTAAATGTTTGGTTTATGCATGGGAATCGAAAAACATTCTTGTTACGGTTTGTGTGCTATATCAGTAAGGTGTTTAGTTATCTTTTGTGATTGATGGAACTTGGGTGGGTTGTGATGTGTAATGTTTATGTTGATAGCATATCCAACTCTATCTTTTATCCTTTTTTCTTTTATTGCATTGATTTTGATTCTTTTTGTTTGTATGTCCATATCAGATTGGGTATAAGGAATTTGATTGAATGGACATGAACTTTAGTAGTGGCCTCAGTTTTATTTCTGGGTTTCTTTTCTTTCTCTATTATTTCTTACTCATTTTTTCCTTTTTCCACTATATATCTAACTAAATCGCTAACCACAATGACAAATTCCCTTTAGAAAAATAAATATCTTTTTTTGTTCTCTCCCAAGAAAACACTCCATGGACAAAATTTGATCTGTTTTGTCTGACTTGCAGACAGGAAGTTTGTCAAGTTTTCTTGAGGAGGAAACTGTTCTTCAGGGTTTGGAGCCTTATAAGAAGAAACCCTTTTAGAGTTTGGCCATTATGCAGAGGAGTTTCTGAAGATTCAAGAACATAATCCATAAATCAACTATGAAGTTTATGAAACTTGGATCTCGCCCTGATACTTTCTACACTTCAGAAGATTTAAGGTAAGTAGTAAAATCAAGAAGTAAAAATCTTTGGCCATAAATGTTGAGTAAAAAAGCTAAAATTGTTGCTTCTTGCAGATGTGTTTCGTCTGAAGTCTCCAGTGATTTCACAATCCAAGTGTCAGGAACCAAATATCTTCTTCACAAGGTACCTTTTTCTTCTTATTATTCAAGATGATTTTTCTCTTTAAGAGTTTATTTGATGGTCTTCTTCTTCTTCTTCTTATTCTATACAGTTTCCACTGCTCTCTAAATGCTTGAGACTTCAAAGAATGTGTTCTGAATCTCCACAATCAATCCAACTTCCAGAATTTCCAGGAGGAGTAGAAGCCTTTGAGCTCTGCGCCAAGTTCTGCTACGGAATAACAATAACAATCAGCGCATACAACATAGTAGCAGCGAGATGTGCAGCAGAGTATCTGCAAATGTCAGAGGAAGTTGAGAAAGGTAACTTGGTGTACAAGCTTGAGGTCTTTTTCAACTCCTGCGTCCTTAACGGATGGAGAGACTCTATAGTGACACTCCAGACCACAAAGGCTTTCCCTTTATGGTCTGAAGATCTTGCTATCACCAGTAGATGCATTGAAGCCATAGCTTCCAAGGTCTTGTCTCACCCAACCAAAGTGTCTCTCTCACATAGCCATTCTAGGCGTGTTAGGGATGATGATGTCTCCTCTAACAGAGCTAGCAGAGGATGGTGGGCTGAAGATATTGCAGAGTTGGGGATAGATCTTTATTGGAGGACAATGATTGCTATTAAATCCGGTGGCAAAGTACCTTCAAGTCTCATCGGTGATGCCCTTCGAGTTTACGCCTCTAAATGGCTTCCTTCTTTGCAAAGAAACCGGAAATTAGTCGGTAAGCAAGCGGATTCTGATTCAGATTCGGATACAGATTCTTCATCAAAGCATAGGTTGTTGTTGGAATCCATTATAAGCTTGCTTCCTGCTGAGAAAGGCGCGGTTTCTTGCAGCTTCTTGCTTAAACTCTTGAAAGCAGGTAACATCTTGAACGCCTCAGCCTCTTCCAAAATGGAACTAGCAAGAAGAGTGGCTCTTCAGTTAGAAGAAGCAACGGTTAGCGACTTGTTGATACCTCCAATGTCTTACAAATCCGAAATGCTGTACGATGTGGACATTGTCGCAACTATCTTGGAACAGTTTATGGTTCAAGGGCAGATTAGTCCACCAACGAGCCCTCTAAGAGGCAAAAAGGGAATGATGGATAGAAGAAGAAGATCTCGTTCCGCGGAGAATATTAATCTTGAGTTTCAAGAGAGTAGGAGATCTTCCTCTGCTTCTCATAGCTCAAAGCTTAAAGTGGCTAAGCTTGTTGATGGATATCTTCAACAGATTGCTAGAGATGTGAATCTACCTCTCTCAAAGTTTGTCACTTTAGCTGAGAGTGTCCCTGAATTCTCAAGACTTGATCATGATGATCTCTACAGAGCCATTGACATATATCTCAAGGTAACATCATTCTCTCAATTCTTATTCTTGTATTAGTATTGTTGACTACACAAGAATAACTTTGTGACTTAATATCTTATTGTCTTGTTGTGTTGTTGTAGGCTCACAAGAATCTGAATAAATCAGAGAGGAAGAGAGTTTGCAGAGTCTTGGACTGCAAGAAACTGTCAACGGAAGCGTGTATGCATGCGGCGCAGAACGAGATGCTTCCTTTGAGAGTTGTGGTTCAAGTTCTCTTCTATGAGCAGGCTCGAGCCGCTGCGGCTACGACCACCAACTGTGAAGGCAAAATGACTGAACTTCCAAGCAACATCAAAGCACTCCTTGCAGCACACAACATTGACCCTTCTAATCTAAACGCAGCTGCTTACAGCACGACTACAAGCATGGCAGCACCGGAAGATCAATGGAGCGTCTCGGGTCTTAAATCTCCTAAATCAAAGCTCTCAGGTACCTTGAGAAGCAAGCTAGCTGAAGATGAAGAGATAGACGAGAGGTTTATGAACCAAGACGGTGGAGGAAGAACACCATCTCGGTTTAAATCTTTTTGTGCAATCCCTGGTCGGCCTAAGAAGATGTTCAGTAAGTTTTTGTCCATCAACAGAAACCACCCCAACGACAAAAACTGAAAAAGCAAAAGTGTTATTTTAGATGTCTAGAGTAAAAGAAAATGTTTAAACACCTCTCTCTCTCTCTCTGTAACTTCACCAATGTTCATTTAATCTCCAAGGTAATGGTAATAAGATTGTTAAGATTCATGAGGCACGTGTTTAGGAACTAGGAGGTCAAAGAAAATGACCTAAACATTTTAGAGTTGTCTGAAAACAGAGCAACATGGTGATTTTCTTGTTTGTTTGAAATATTATAAATTTGTAAGGAGTAAAGTCAAATCTTCCTCTCTGTCTTGGAAAAATCTGTTGTCTGCTAGACTGCTACTGGTTTATTAGTAAGTATACCCAAAAAGATCATGTTCATCATCAGTATGGAAGAGTTTAAACAATTTTAAACTTTTAAGTATTTTACAAAGATTTTTTTATAATATGATCTTATTTTTAGACAAAATATCTTAACAACCTTGGATTTGATATGCAATTAAGTTTACATAGCATGATTCCTTTATATAATATTGTCAACCACTACACCTATCATCACATGGTCTCTCTCACTAAACAAGTTTCCAAGTTTTTGTACTAACTTCCAATATACTTAACAACAATTACATACATCAAATCATTCTTGCAAAACAAACTGATGAACAAATTATCGAACTGACTTGTATATATTTTTTTAATTACGGCTTCACTTTTGTGGTGTTTTCACATTCCATTATGAAAAGGGGGGAAAAAGATAGCACCGCCCAAATTAAAGAGACAATTGGGCTCTTCTTGAGATAACGATTTAGACTGTTTTTTCAACTTTTACACCAGCGAGCATTATACATATGCATTGTCTCTTCCACATTTTATAACAGCTCATCATTGTTTTTCTCTCAATGATTTGATAATTTCTATATAACTTTTGAGAAACAATTCTAAAGTTGTTTATGTGTTTTGTATTCTTTTGAAAGATGAGTCATGAGTCATTGACTCATGAGTACTTTGATTGTTTTGCCAATCTAAAACCATGCCATGTCTATTTTGTAACTATCATTAATTTGGTAATGTGTCCTTTGAGATGTCTTAAGAGACCAAATATTTATAGTCAATAAAGTTTTAATATACAAACGGGGACCTTGTTATATAAAGTTTTTCATCTTTTTTAAGATGTTTTCTTTTGGGGGAATTGTGATTATACACAGAAAAAAAGGAGGGTTTGTCCATATACACATTTTCATACTTTTACCTATTTTGTCTTTAATATCCTTAATATATTTTAAAATATGAAATAGTGTCTTTCAGAAACCAAAAATATTTCTAAAATTCAGATAAATGATCTTAAGACTTTTTAGAATATTTTCACAATTTTGTTTCAAAAATCTGATATTTTTAAAATATATTGAAGTTTTCTTCTACCAGCTCTGAAATTCAAAGTAGATTATGTATTCTACTCATCTTTATTACATCTACTACTGCTAGAATTCTGTGTCTGCCATTTATACACACATCTTCTTGCAATAGAACACAATTTCTATAATTTATATATACATCTACTATTAGTAGAATATTACTTCTACCCGTTACTCTATGTTCTGCAATTTTGTGAATTTGGTAGAACATATGTTCTACTGAAGACACAATCCTCTACATGTTCTAGAATTTGTTGTCTACGAGAAACGCAGCGTTCTACTCCGATGTAGGTTTTGTGTTCTACGACATACATTATATCTTATCATTGGTGGAGTTCGATTTCTACTAAAAAACACTTTTTCTACCACGTGTGTAAAGCTTGTGTTCTGCTACAAACCGTCTTCTACCACATGTAGAAATCATCTTCTACCGAAAATTTTAGAGAATATTTTTTTGAATATTTTGTTTCCTTTTTCTTCTCCTCCCAACTTCTCACACGATGTGAGTCTCGATTCCCATCTTCTTACTCGTCATCTTCTCCATCTCCATCTTCTTCTTCTCTTTTTCTTCTTACTTACTATGTTGCAAATCAATTTGAGATTGTGAGACACAATTTGATTACAATATCAAAATCCTCACTTGTCACCAGAGACAGAAGAGACGGCGAGGACAGAGAGACGGCAAACGGAGAAGAAATGAGCTCCGACTTTGGGAAAAGAAGAAGAAGAAGAAGAAGAATATCGGAGAAAAAAAGTTCTGTCGGGAAGAAAAGAGTTGTCGATGAGGACCCTTTTGTGTTAGATTTAATGTTAATTATATTATTTAAAAGAAAAGATACCCAAAGTAAACCCTTAATAGATTAATCAATTTTAAGGGCAAATTTGGATTATAAGTTTAGTAAATGTGTATTGTGACAAAAATCTGTCAAAATCTCACAAAAATGTGTATTGGGACAAAGTCTCCCCCATTCTTGTGTATTTTGCCAATTTTCTCTTTTCTTTTTGACATCGATCTCTAAGATATTTAATACGGCATCTTTCATATTAATCATAGATAGTTACAAGTCATCTTAATCTTGTAGGCAAGATTAGAATTAAAATATAAAGAAATTTCATGATTAATCAAATTGTAACATTGAAAAAGTTACAACTACATCTTTTGTTTAAGACGTAAAGCAAAGCAATCTTAGAAAAAAAAAAGTTATACATATATGTTTAAGAGTCCCAATCACTCATCATCTATATTTGATTAAAATATAACAAACAAGAAGAGAGCCATGGATTCATATCCTTGAATCTATTTTGCGGCTCTAGAGGAATCCGAAGACTTAGGAGGGTCCTGAAGAGCTGCAGCCTCTATACTTTTGGTACGTTGCAGCGAAAGACTCCGGTGAATCCTACACCGGAAAGAACCAGGGTGAGTGGTTGGTGAACAAAGGCAGTTGTTCTTGGTGATGCTCGTATGACGGGACAGCCCACCGGAACTAACTTCCGACGACGAATTACCATCTCCAGGAAACTCCATTTTCTGGTTTTCATTGACAATGTCATGACCATTACTAAGAGTACTTGTAGTATTAAGAAAACATAAACTATTTACCAATGCTTTTCACTAAACCATTACAACTAGATACTAATAAGAAAAGAATAACATGTAGGTCTACAACTTGAAAAATTCTTCTTGATTTACATTTCGATGGGAATCAAGAGTAATGGACATACATACCTCTGTGTTAATGAGGAAAGTTGATGAAGCGAGGCCAAAATGTGTCATAAGCTTTTCTGAATCACTCTTCTTCCAAATTTATATTACCTTTGTCTTTTTGTTTTGGGTCATCACGAGAATGATGATGCACTACCATTAAAAGCCAACTGTATCCGTTTTTTCCATAATGCTTCAACCACTCTTATCCCAAAAGCCCATCACTGAGTGGTCCGGCTCCTTTTTTGTGTTTTCTCACTTTCTGTTCTTTACTCTTGAATTATAGTATTGAAAAAAACTTGAGAATGATATTGAAAAGAAATTAAACAATGCAAGAAATATGCTTATTTATAGGATTAACGCTATAATATGTGTTAGATATCGTGTTAGCCGGAGCTATGGTAGGATCTTATATGGTTTATAATAACATATTTTAACGCTATTTTAATTTGCGTTGTAGCATTTTTACTGAGCTATTTTCTAGATTTCGGTAGCTATTTTTTTCTGCTATTTGTATTCTTTTTGTAGCTTTTTTCTTATGTTATTGTCAAACGGTTTACAGCTCTTTTTCACTGTTATTTATATTTTTTGTAGCTCTATTAATACGATGCTTATATGTATAAAATATATATTTTATTTCATAGAAAATTATAAATACATAACAAATCTTACAAACTCTTATCCAAACCAAATCTTGAACAAAAACCTCAAGTACTACTTCTACATAACAAGACTGCTAATCACAACGGTTTATGAGATAAAGAACACAGAGAAACAAACTTCTTCCTCAGTTGAATTTGAGTGTCCCGTCTTGAATCACTCCCTAGCAAAACCAAGATTCCTCCATCAGGTTCTTGTGTTTCTCAAACTTCGTGTCAAAGCTGTTACATTGCTCTGACTAGAAAATCATGCGACTGAAGTAAGTATTGCTTGAAACAGAAAAACTGTCAAGTTTAACTTGAAACCTTGCTGTCTTTTGAATGACGGCTTCTAACAAGATCCTCAACTTGTGATTAAACCCAACAAGAGAGAGCTGGAAATGATAAATATTTTAGTCAAACATAATATTCATTAAGCAAAGGACAAAAAACTGTCTGAATCCTCTTTACAAACCCACATCTAAACCACTTTCCGAAGGGTTTAGTCCATAGTGAAGACCAGCAGCTTGAGCATAGTAAGCTGAAACAGAGAAGTACACAATGATGATATATCTGTCGCATAAGATACGGGTGTATTCTGCAGACTTGATAATGAAATTTTGTCACAGAGATTGCTGAGAGCTTCAATAAAAATAATAAAACATGTTTACTATTTGTACATAACTATTGAAAGAAAAATCGGAGCATAACAGAAAGACTACCATCAGAAATCTATTTGCTTTAATAATATATATAATTTAGTCTATTCGTTTAGTTTTCTGTATATGTGATTTTTGTTTCTACACAAGTTATTAAATTGCAACCAGAGTATTTCCGATCTGAACAAGCATGATGATGGTGACTAGTACGTTCCATCTCCATTTATATATATCTTTTTTTGCTATGAAAACATCTCCATATATTCAGTTCTTATATATAAAAAAATTTGTTAACGCTTTCACCAGTAACAAAATTTTAATACAGTATACATATTCCGTCAAGAAATAATTAAAATGTTTATTGTCTATTCTACATGTCTAACCTGTAGATAAGGGATTTGCACTTTGCAGTATATGCATTTGATTCCTAATCATAAATAAAAGGAAAATGTGCTATTATTATTACTTTATTAGTGAATATGGATCTCTGAATGAGAGATATTTTATTCATATAAAATAGAATAATAGCCTTATCCTAGACATTCCCGTATTCAGTGTTTGTTATGAGTTTTCATTGCAATTAGAAGTGTATGCTTTAATTTCTGATACAAAATAAAAAAGTCGAGTATCGCTAACATTTTGTTGAAGTTTTTGGCATTTTTACTTTGATTGTAACATCATTATTTAATTTTTTGAGATAAAATATACATTTCCACTCGTATGAAATATATGTGCTCAAGTTTAAAGGAAAAGATCCAGAGTATAATAAAAGAGATAGGAGACATAATTTCAAGTGCAAAGATCGCATAAGCAAACAAACGAATCAAACTGGTTTCAGCACACACTGATAATATTATTCGACAAAAGACTAATTAACGCAAATACTAAAAAAAAAACAAGATTGATATCATTCATGAAACTCCTAAAAAAACCTAACATTCTCTACATAATCCGAGAGAAGAATTAATCTTACAAAACGCGTCCCAAACTCATAGTCTGAGTTTACTTCAATCTTAATGTTTCTACAACTATTGCTTTGGGATTGTAAAAGACAACGTAAAACGCATTACGAGCACTGTAAGGTGCCAAAATAAACTCACCCGTATGAGTAGTGCCTGTTATCTGAAATTTTTATTTGTAAACTCTTACAATAAGGTTCGACACTGAAACTTGTCTTCAACCATCCATGTTCCTCCATAACCCACACATTAAACGTGTGTGTGTATACTAAAGCTTTTGTCGCTATGGCTACTTTCCCCTCATACTTTATCAAAGTATACCATTGGAATATAAGATCTGCGGGTAAATCAGTTAAGAGATCCAACTTTTCAGACCTCACATCAAATCTCATTAAGCTCCGTTGCAACATTCCTTTCCCCGTGAAAGCAAGATAATACAAAACACCATCTATGCACAAACCGTTAGACCAAGGACGGTGAGGAATGCTACAATCCATCACTCTCCATGATTCTCTTTCTCCAAGTGTGAATACTCTATCGTGAGATAACTGAAACTTTCGATGATTATCATGAGTCTTTCCGTCAAGCACAACACTTTGTATTGATCATTAACCGGATCATACCCTAAATAAGTTTTGACGATCTTTCTCCTCGTTACGACTTTAGGTAGAGTTATGGACTTACCAGTAGTGGGATTATATATGATTTGTTCTTCGCCAAATCCAAGGCTTATTAAGCCATTAACAAACTGCGGAAGGTACTCTTTGTGCTCAGGAGCTGAGAACGGACATGTAAAACGTGATATACAATGACGTTGCTGAAGAAGAAGACGAGGAGAAGAAGTCCAAATTTGGCGTCTTTCTCTGTATCTAATTCACTGAAAGTGATTAGGAGACGAGGCTGCGACGAAGACCCAAACGGAAAAGATGTGATGAAAGCTCGACTTCGGATGAACGTTTCCCATGACTTGGATACTACTAGAAACCTCGCTACGGATTTCGACGGCAATCTACCAACGATCTCGATCACTACGTCAAGAGGGATTTGGACAAAGTTGTTTTCATCTTCCAACGCTTGTGGATTGATCTTGTTCTTCACGGTCTTGGTCCTTTTGCTGCGTGTTCTCATGATCTGATGATGGCTCTAAACCCTAATCTTGTCTACTCTCTTTGCTAGTAAAACTACAAATTCCGTGTTAATGGGCCTTGTGTAACCGGGGTTGTTGGATTGGGCTGTGGTCGTGTGTATTTTTTTGGGATATCCACATGGCAAGAAAGGATGGAGACTATAAGAAGAACAACTTTTATGAATGAGAGCTTTTTTCAACAAGCCATAACGGCTAGAGATCTCATAAGGCTAACACGTCCATCAAGCACAACATCTTCACACCACTCAACTTTACCCCAAATCCCACCTCTTTTACGTCTTTCTAATGCAACCCCTACACAACAAATCTCTATCGTTGCACTAAAACGTTCTGCTCTAGGCAAGAACACAACCACTTTCCCACCGTAACGCACAGTATGCGACCACCACGAAAACGTCCCATGCAACAATCTTCCAACAGTACCTTTCACCACTCCCCAACACTTTTGCTTTGGATCGTACGTTCTTAACTTGTTCTTGCGATGATCATAGTAATACAATACATGCCAATCTCTTCAGGCTATTCACGAGAAATGATGTGAGGTCATTTCTCGCATCATTGGAGCTAGGCTCAAATTAATCACTCCAATGGCGGTACAACGAAACCAGGTTGGTTTCGTCAAAGGAAGACTGTTGTGTGAAAATGTCTTATTAGCTTCTGAGTTGGTCTCTGATTTCAACAAGGCAGGTCCGATTTCCAGAGGTTGCCTGCAAATTGACATCTCTAAGGCTTATGACAATGTAGATTGGGGGTTTTTACTTCGCCTTTTGGAAGCATTCGAGTTGCCGGAAAATTTCATTGAGTGGATTAGGCTCTGCATCACCACTCCCCACTACTCTGTTGCTTTAAATGGGGAACTGGTTGGTTTCTTCAAAGGAGGGAAGGGCCTCAGGCAAGGAGACCCTATTTCGTCGTCGTTATTTGTTCTGGTCATGGATATTCTCTCCAAGTTACTAGATCAAGCTGTGAGAGCTGATAGGATCAAGCCTCATCCCAAATGTGTAGATCCTCTTATTACACATCTGAGTTTTGCGGATGACATGCTTATCTTCTTCGATGGATCAAGCCAATCTCTTCAGGCTATTCTAGAAGTTCTATCTAGCTTCCACAGTTACTCTGGTTTGGGGTTGAACGCAGGGAAGTCTTTTTTGTTCCTTGATGGGAACTCTCCGGGTTTAAATAATTCAATTGCTGGAAACTTTGGTCTTGTTCCAGGGTCGCTCCCAGTGAAATATCTAGGGTTACCGCTCCTTCCCCATAAAATGAGAAGACAAGATTATCAACCTTTAATTGACAGGGTCATCGCCAGAATCTCTTCTTGGCCAGTTAAGAGGTTATCTTTCGCGGGAAGGCTCCAATTGATTCAGTTGGTTCTTTCAAGCATGATAAACTTCTGGGCAGCAGTGTTTCCTCTCCCCTCAAGCTGTATCGAAAGATTGGAGAAGATTTGTAATGCTTTTTTATGGAGTGGAGCCCCGGAATCAGCACGAGGTGCAAAGATTGCATGGGATTCAGTTTGCTCTCCAAAAGCTGCGGGTGGACTAGGACTATGAAGGATTGCTGGATCCTCCAAAGTCTTCGGTTTAAAATTAATTTGGCTTATCTTCGCAGGGAATGGGTCTCTTTGGGTGGCCTGGGTCAAAAAACACCTCATTCGCGAGAGATTGATATGGACGATTGATTTTAGGCAAACGGGATCTTGGCTTTGGAGAAAGCTGATGAAATTGCGTTCCCTTGCTCGGCCTTATTTGTCTTGTCAGATTAATTCGGGATCGAACGCTCTTTTCTGGCATGACGATTGGACTGGTCTCGGTCCACTTTTAGACAATACCGGAGCCAACGGTCCGAGAGTTTCTGGTATTCGGTCTATGGCGGTAGTGGCTGATGCAATATCTAATGGGGTCTGGGCTTTACCAGCTGGAAGACATCCGATCCTGGTCCTTCTCCGTGGGTGTCTCCCTATATCTGTTCCTGATGTGAATTCTACTATCTCGGATTTTTATTTGTGGAGGAACTCTCAGGGCTCTCCTCCTGGAGCATTTTCAACAGCAAAAATGTGGATTTCTCTCTACCCTACTCCACCAACTCTACCTTGGACTACGACAGTTTGGTCTAAAAGCAGAATTCCAAAACATGCTTTTATCCTTTGGGTGGCATTAAGGAACCGCTTGACGACCCGAGATAAGCTGCGTAGTTGGGGAATGACTGTGCCGGAGAATTGTCTTCTCTGCGGAACAGGGCAAGAGTCAAGGAACCACATTTTCTTTCAATGTCCCTATTCCTTGCATGTTTGGGGAAGTTTCTTACATCATAGATCCTTATCTCCTCCAATCGATTTCGATGATATTGCGATTTGGACTCAGTCGGCTTCACCAATCAAGAAGGTCAGAGTTATTTGTAACCTGGTTTACCAAGCGGTGGTCTACATAGTGTGGAGGGAGAGGAACTCGAGGCTGCACTCATCTATCTCAAAACCTCCCGAAGTGTTAACGAAAGAAATTCAGGTGATTCTCAAGGCAAAACTCTTCTCTATGGACAGGCTTGTTGTTACTCGGTCACAGCAGTCCTCTACTAATGGTGGCGAAGAAGAATCTTATCTCTATAATTGGTTCAAATTTTTCCAGCGTTGATGTTATTCCTCTTTTCTCTTGCTCTTACTCACTGTCCTTGCTATGAGCTAAATGTGTATATATTTTTATCCTACAACTTCCCTTGCTTTTTCATTTTATTTGCAACAGATGATGTTAATAAAGTTATACTTATATTTTTTTATATTTTACACACTGAATGGACTAAACGTGTGGAGATGAATTTATGCTCTTCAAAGTTTTTACAAATATTCAAAGTAATTCTCAAGTTGTATTCAGCTAATAAAATTTAACTTTCTTTGTTAGTTTGACTATTTAGTTTATCCTTACTTTACAACTTTTGTCTCCAGGGTGTCTTTCTACAGATGGTTATTAGTTTAGACAATAATCTTCTCGCGTTTTAACCTAATCCGTGTGCCAAATCCAGTTTATAGACATACATTTATGGTAAAAAAAATACGTTCATGACACACAAATCATGCCTGGAAGTGTCAGTTCATTACATAACATAACAATTGAAGTAAATACAAACAACTTACAAAATGACCTAAGAAACTTACAATGCAATGTGTGTAAAAAAACAAAATCCACCCGCGCATTGCGCGGGTTCACACCTAGTGTTTATTTAATTAACTGTAAATTAACGATATTTTTTGAAACACAAATAATGGGACACGAGTCTACTACTGCGTTTGCATAAGGATTAACGACTCATTAAAAATGAAATGGTCTCAGAAAGGATATCCACTAGAATCTTCTGTTTGACCAACGACTTGAGTCCACATGGCAGCCTTTTGGTCTCTCAAACGTTCAAAAACCGACTCTTTCCCAATACCAATCTTTATGAAACAAAACGTCAAAAATTTATAGAAATTGCGTAGGAGAGTCGTCACAAGTGTTTCAGCGTTTCTTACACGTAACCACATCTCAACCGATAAACACAGTCTTCTCTCCTTTCTTCACGCTTGCTTATAAATAAACAGAGAAGGTGGAGAGATAAAGAAGGAGTCGTCTCATAGTCATCCGTAAAAAAATATCTCAAACATTAGACTAATTCGGCGTTGCTCACCAAACCTGACTTCGCTTCTACTTTCACACACAACTCGTGTCCTCTCTTCAAGACAAGAAACCAGAGCTATAAAGGGCTATCCTTGTTTCTGTCCTGTGAAATTTGATCTCAGTTTTTTGTTAAAAAAATGGAGAACAAGACCAATCATGGAAACGAGGATGGTCCTATACACAGCCAAGTGGTGAAGATAAAGAGAGAGTTTGAGAAGATAAAACAGCCGTCCCTGCAGCAGCCGGAGATGAGGAGGGTCCTCGCAGATATCAAGAGGCGTCAACGTTCACGTTCTCCACTCGGCCTAGGAGAGAGATCTATTTCCGTCGGAAACTAATCCATGTTTGCCTTTTGTTATCGAGAGTGATAGTAGAAGAGGAGGTTCCTAATAGTTTACAGGCTTTGTTGTATATATCTTCTCCATGTAAATACTCTTTTGTTCGATGAATGAATCTCCTCTGTTTGCATAAATAAACTTCTTGATACAAAAAAAAAAAAAAAATTATTAACTCAAAAGCCTTGAGAAAAAGAAACAAACCAAAATGGAGCTTTATAAGTTCTCTTGTGTCAAAGAAGATCCGATTTGAAGCATTAGAGGATAAACCGGACTAAACTCTTTATCACCTCTCGACCTGATCTTAACCGCATAATCATCCAAAGTCGCTTTTACACCTTTCCATATCTGATCCTCTCTCTGGTTATCCAGCCATAGCGAGTACTGCTTAGGACTGAGTCTGTTCTTCTGCATCGGTGACTCTAACTCGTCAGGGCCTCTCGTGTAAAGATGATGGAGGACGATGCTCGGTGGTAGATCCTGGATGAGAGGAGACGATCCCACCTGAGATGTTTCCAGGAAAACCAACGGTCTAAACGCTCTAAGAGCTCTGTACGGTGCACCGAGTTGTTCCACGGGGAAGAGATTCTGTCCCACCGCGAGTTCTAGCTCGGCCATGTCTCTAGCCATCCTGAGTTTCCCCCATTCCGAAAGCGGTCGCACGAGGGAAGCGTGTCTTATGTAGAAGATCAGAACTCTTGAAGCCATTTGTCTCGCGAGTCTAGTGCAGATCGATTCTGTCCCCGCGGTGTTAGCGGCTGCTGCGGAAGGCAATAGTCTAGAGAGGAACTCTTTGCGGAAGTGGAGGATCGATCTCTGTAACTCCTCCATGTACGGGGATGTGTTGTTGTCCAAGGAGACATCGTCGGCGCCGAAGTTTTGATCGTGGATTTGGAGAATGCATGATTCGAGCTGGTCTCGCATTGCTTTGAACAGAGGCGTGACTGGCTCGCACGCCGCGTCGTATATTGCTTTCAGATAAGGAGATAGTACGTCAGCGGCGATGCTGGGGAGGTCTGCTACCATCGATGAGATATGCGTGTGGATTCCTTGCAGATGCTGGCATAATGTGAAGTTCCTGATCTGTGTTGATGTTGCAGGACCTGATATCTGCCGCGTCTCAGGACCTGTTGAAATCTGCCATAATAAATGTAGCTATGTTATGCATCAAACATAAAAAGCATACACACCATTCTAACTTCTCGATACACACCATTAGCAGAGGTACATGTAGCTCTATTTTACTTCATTTGTGTCTTATGTTTTACAAGGAAACTATAGTGTACACATGCAACCTTGTGAATTCGAAGTAATGAAATACACATTGTAGTCAAGCAGAACATGATGCCATACTCTTCAGAGTTTATAGAATCCATATTCAGTGAGATAGTGGGAGCAAGAAAAGGGCAATGTGTACAAATAACCACTAATAGAGGAGAGATATATAAGAGAGAAGAAGTTTAGCGTACCTGGCACTCAGCTCGTTGAGCTAGGTTACTAAGGGCCTTGCCAATCTCACGCAAAACCAAGAGAGTCAAACGACCATCTGGATGAACAGCCTCGATCTCTTCTTGAATGTGTGATAATACCTGTGAGATCTGTTCTTTCGAAGGTAAATTCCCACGGCTCGACATAGGGAATATGGAGTTCACGAGATCTGACAAGCGGCCGAAGCACAGGGATAAGAAAGCAGTCTGGAATATTGCAATGCTTGCAACCATTTGCTCTTTCCTTTCTCCGTCAATGGCAGGTAACACTCCTTTCACGTCGGTGTCGCGAGATATCCTTTCGAGAAGATTCTCTATCATAGACACGAGCTTCGGATATCCCATGGTGAATATTTCTTTTACGAAGCTTGAAGCTGTGAATGCAGACTTCATCTGGCTTGTAAACGCCTTCACAAGTGCATCCCAGACTCTATCGGTTAACTCAGAATCACCTTCCTGTGCATATAAACACTTCATGTCAGCAATGAATCCAAATTAACCTAACATGCCTAACATCAAAGAAACACATTCCAAATCTTCCCTTTGATGCAAAAACATGAAGAATCATCTACTAAAGTTGACTAAACATCATCATGCTCACTAAAAATGGCAAGAATCTCTCATCCACATTCAAGAACACTTTCCCTTTCTCTCAATTATCTAATTCCAGTTGTTCCGTACCTTGATGACTTCGTCAAGAAGAAGGACATGCGTAAATGGATCCCTCTTCTTCGACAATACACGCTGCATGTGCCACACAGCGACGATAAGCGAATACAACTGGTCCATACAACTAGCCATTCTCTGCCACAGCGCGTCCCTAACCTTAGCTCCGCCGCCAATATGCGGTGCTCCACTAGACCTAATCCCTCCCGGCCCGTAGCCACCGCCTGAGCCAGAAGAAATCGACTTCATATCCATAGCAGCGCTCACGCTCTTCACGGCCATGCCCTTGTACTTGTTCACCAATTGATCCACCGTATGCTTCAGCTCTCCAAGGTTATAGAAAACCTGCAATCCAGTTCCTACTTCGGCCTGATTCAATCCTTCCATTCCTCTCTCCAACACCTTCATCGCTTCGGATCTCAATTTCTCCCCGATCTCGTTGACGAACTTGATTTCTTCGTCAATGACGTCAATGCCGAATAGATCGTACTCTTTACACATTGTTAAGATCTCGAAATGGAGCTGCGCAGCTTTTGTTAGGTCGATCTTTTCTGGATCGGGAGAATCTGTGAGATCCCGTAGCTTCTTCGAGAGTCGTAGGGTACGGACCGAGTGAGAAAGCAACTCAGCAGCGGAGTGGAGATTCGATAGCTGAACAGATTTGGATCTAATCGAGCGCACAGGTTCGGATAGATCGGATCGGACTCGGCGGATTGAAGACTGGAGAGAGGAGACGGAGGAGCGAAGGGAGGAAAGAGAGATCTCGGCGTGGGAGAGAGAAGAGAGCTGGGCGAGCAATTCAGGGTGACGAGACACAACATCATTGCGGAGCTGCGAGTCGAGGAGACGGATGGCTTGGTGGAGACGCTCGGCGGTGGAAGCAGGAGATCCGGAGGCGAGTGCGGCGGATGAGAATGATGCGGAGGAGAAGGAAGGAGAGAGAAAAGGAGCGAGAATTGGATCGTTTGCGAAAGAGTCGAGCGGTGAAGACGACGGAGGGGAGGAAGTAGACGGTGGTTGTGCTCCGGACAATGACGACGGAGGAGGGTTTTTGAAGGTGGAGAGACGCTGAAGAGAAGGAGACGATGATGGAGAAGAAGGAGGAAGTGCCATTTTCGCTCGGTTTTTTGCTTCTCCGGCGTCGCGCGTCTTTGTTCTTCACACTTTCTTTATTCTACTTAAGAGTTAAAGACACGTGTCGACGTATGATTGGCAAGCTTTGTCATACTCATACTTTTAATCGCGTCAAAGCGTAAGACGCTGACACGCATCATAACGCCGTTTTCAAATCAGCGTTCTGCGTCTCGACAACAGATCCTTCTCCTCTGTCTCTCTGCTATTCGAGATTTCGTGAATCCATTTTTCTGATTTTTTTTCTTTTTTCTCTTCTATGTTTACGTTTCGTCTCTCCATTGTTCCTCTTGTGTATACGTAAAACAATGGCGGTTAGGTCCAACGGGAGGAAACTATCGTTTGAGATTCTCAGCCAAAGCAGCTCCTTCGAGGATGAATCACTTCCGTCAATTCGCCGATCTAGCTCAGATCCGATCAGTGGAAACGACGGTGCAGAATCGCCTAGGGACAACGGGAAACGAAGGAGAAATAAGAAGAAGAATAAGAAGAAGAACAACAAGGCGACCGAAGTCCAGACTATCCCGGAGAATGGAGAATTTTACTCGGCGATCGCCAACGGTTCTGTTGACGATTCGTGTGGTGTCTCCGGTGACTTTAGAGATTCCGAGATCGGTGGAGTACATGACGATTTTGAAAACAGATTGAATTACTTTAGCGGTGGAAGTGGTGGCGGGTGCGTCGTAACTCTAATCGATGGGCAGACTGTACATCACAACGGGTTCAATTTCGGCGAGTTGAGGCAGAGGAATGTCAACGGGAGTGTCGACGGGAGTAACGATGATCGATTTTCTGATACCATGACTTCTGAGAAGAAGATGTACGCGGCGGCGGAGGAGATCGTTGCGGAGCTGAGCTCCTCCGAGAATCCACCGTTTCATGAAGTGCAGAATCAGTTTCCGAGAAGTGAGACGAACGGGAATGCGGTGACGAGACTAGACACTGAAGCTTCTTTGGATTGGAAACAGCTTATGGCGGATGATCCTGATTGTAAGTTCCAAACTTTTATTGCTCTCTTCTCTTTGGTTACCTCTAATTAGGCTTTTGCAGCAGTGAGGCTTTGATAATCATGTCTGTTATTCTCGTCATCAGTTCTCTCTGCTGAGACGAGGTCACCTATGAAGTACTTTATGGGGGAAATATATGGTGGGGTCTCATTACGGAGCACAACGACTTCTGGGAATGATATAGAACGCGAAAGAATATATGATACAATCTTCCGCTTGCCATGGCGATGTGAAGTGGTAAAAACCAGCTCTTCCCTTCTCTCACAGAATGTAACATTCTTGGTTAGCTAAGTGTGTTATTTCGTGTATGATTGGCGATGGAATCCATAATATGTGAGGGGCTAACTAAATTAAAGTTCAATGTTTATCATGTTGTGTATATGTATGCTTGTGTTTTGTGATTTACAGAGAGGTTTTTCACATTTTAAAGAATCTTAATGCAGCTTATAAATACTGGATTTTTTGTCTGCGTCAACTCATTTCTGTCATTGTTGACAGTCATGCCAATAAGAGTCCTGTTGATGTTCAGGGGGGCTTTTAAGAAAAGGTGAGTCGTCTTTTAGATTCTGCCTTGATGAACTAGACTGTATTACCATAATATGCCTTGATCATACGATTCGCTATACACATGGATCAGCTATTCCCAGTATGAGAAAGTAACTTGATTATATTTGTGGCAGGCAGTTCAGGAGGCCCTCCTCATCGGACCTGTCTGATCTTGCTTGTTTTATAGTTTTGGCTTCTGGAACCATTCTTCTCGGGAGAACAGGTGAAGTAAAAAGCTCTTGATTTGCTTAAACTTGTAATATATTTTTATGTTTAGTCTATCAAAACATCTGCACAGTGGGTTGCATAGGGCGTTGCTTAATTTGTTAAATATTAGATGGACAAGATCATCACTTTTCTGGAAAGAAAGGATTTGTCTTTCCAGCTCATCAAAGTGATGAGAATTCGTGAAATAGTTCTCTGATGTGCTTTTCTTGTCTCCTTTTGTTATGTTGCCACAGATATCAGCCTAATTTACCATATGATTCGTGGTCAAAGTACCATAAAACTTTATGTGGTTTATAATATCTTAGAGGTAACGTAAACACCCTTTTCTGCTCTGAATATTCATGTTTATCTCACTTTTATACCCTTGTATCTCTTACATGATTTAGTTCACATTTCTATCCAGTTTACATTCTTCTTTAATCAACTGCTATTAACAAAATTTCCGTGTTTCAGATATTTGATAAACTCTGTCAAAGTTTCTGTGGAGATGTATTCGGGGCCCTATATAGTTCTGCAGCGGGACTGGCTATTTCCCCTCCTGAGAAATTGAGATTCTTCACTTGGAGATTCGTTTCAGACCTAGCATTAACTATGGCTGCCTCAAATATCCTCACTACTATATTGCTCGTTTAATTTCATGTTAACTATCTCCACACCTTTATTTCTGTTTGTCTCCTTAACTATCTTTACTCCTCCATTCATTCATTTTATTAGCTCAGGCAATCACTCTGTCAACTTGTATCGTTGCTCACAACAACGCCTTGTTGGCCCTTCTGGTATCAAATAATTTTGCTGAGATCAAGAGCAGTGTCTTTAAGCGTTTCAGCAAGGACAACATTCATGGTCTAGTATATGCAGGTAAGCTTTTACTTCAAGATAGGGTCTGCTGAGACTGTAATTTCAGATTTTAACTTTGTTTCTTGATTGGTATGTTCTTGTTCCTCTCTATCAGATTCAATAGAGAGATTCCACATAGCAGCCTTCCTGGTCTCTGTTTTGGCTCAAAACATTCTCGAGGCTGAAGGTCCATGGTTTGGAAACTTTATCTACGTAAGTGTACATGATTCTCTGTTAGTTATAAATTATGTAACAAGCCTCTCTCCGAGTTGCTCATATGTAAATTTTACTTGGACCTCTGTAGAACGCTACTATGGTCTTCTTCTGTGAGATGATGATAGACATCATCAAGCATTCGTTTCTTGCCAAGTTCAATGGGATCAGACCTATAGCGTACTCTGAGTTTCTTGAAGCTCTCTGCGAGCAGGTATGGATGATATAAGCTTCTCTCTCTCTTTCAAATTCCATTCTTGCGCCGAGTATTGTATTTCTTACATCTATTTATCCTTTCTCTGGTAATCTTCTATGTCAAGACTTTGAACATTCGCCCGGAAGATAGAAAGACGAATCTCACCTTTGTTCCCATTGCACCCGCTTGTGTGGTAGATATTCTCTTCCTCTTCCCATTTGCTTGTGATATGTCAAAAAGACGAGAAAGGTTTGAAATAAGTGAGTAATTTTTGGGTTTCAGGTGATCAGAGTACTGACTCCAGTATACGCAGCACACTTGCCTTACAGTCCACTTCCATGGAGAGTGTTGTGGATGGTCATCTTATTCGTCATAACGTATATAATGCTCACAAGTCTCAAAGTTCTCATCGGCATGGGACTTAGGAAACATGCGACTTGGTACATTAATAGATGCCGAAAGAGAAACTCATCACATCTACACAACGATTAGGCCTTAAAACTACAGGAAATGAAGAAAGAAAGGTTTTGTAGAGTTGTGTAGTTGCATGGACTGTGCAGGACAATGAAGCAGCAACCGGGTTTCACTCTTCTCTCCGAGCCGGATTTTACAACTTTGTTTGAGATCATCTTTGTGATCTTATTATACATGTTTTTGTATTCGATGAAGCGATTTTGGTATCGTTAGGCAAATATGTACAAAGAGACCTCATGGATCATTTGGCAAAAACAAATAGTCATATACTCTTCTTCTTCACTACAGGACGATAAAAATACAGTGATACTCTTCATCCCATTTTCTGACTTGTCAAACTACCGAGTATTCTTGACTTGCGAGGCAACGTGAATCGAACAGAACACGTCAACATGTTTATTAGGCATGCCGCACACGTCAACTATATATCCTAAAAATAGCAAAACTAAATTTCATTGTTGTATCTTAGGCATGTTTCTTTTTCTCTAAATTTCATGCATTCTGATAGGAACTTGGTTTTATAGTACATAAAATATATGTGATATGTATCATGAAAAAAGTGTATTTTATTAATCTGAGAGTTTCAATGTATAAATTGTTACAGCTAAATCAAAACTCTAATAATATTATAATACCACTTTGATCAACTAATTATTAGTACTTCTTTTACACCGGAGGAGGAGCCAATGCTTTGATGGCCAACTTCTCACCAGCGGAACAATCTTCAGGAGTGTATGTTCCGATGTAATAACTATAACCATAAGGAAGTTGGATCCTGTCGTTGCCCGATGTGTACTCTTTCGCTCCAGCGTTTGGTTTACACGTTTCGTAACCGGCTCGGTTCACCACATACATATTGGTGATCTGATAATCGTATTTGAATACTGCATGCAAATGCAACACCAAATTTATATCAATATAAGTTTTTTTATTTTCTTGGCAAGATTTTATATCAATTCTTAACAAAATGGATCACGTCACACTACTATGAATTTGATACCGATACGTACCGAGAATATCGCCAGCGTAAAAGGTTTTGCCTCGTGCCCAAGTGTCCATTGGAATAACCGTGTCCCAACCGTCTTCGCCTCCGACATAGTAAGTGGCCGGCTTTCGGGCATGGGTCACATCGATAGCTAGAAACAAGCATAAAACAATAGCCATTAAAATTGTAACCGTGACAGAAGAAACTTGTCCGAATGATCGAGCCATTTTTGTTTATGGGTTAAAACGTTTTGGGTGAAGTAGCCAAACATCTTTGTGTCTGTATTTATATAGACTGTTAAACGATTTATTTCCATAACTTCGTATAAGCAAATGTTTGAACGAGAGGAGACATGTTTACATGGTTATGGAAGAAACATGTTGAATATTAGCATAGTTTTGCTATGGTCAGGGGGCTTTGTTTTCTTTTAAGGCATTTATGGATTATATGTTTAATTGAATTTTGTGAAGTCAAACAAATTTTTGTGTTAAGTTCGAAGTCAAGAATTACGTGTTATTGTTCTTTATGTGATAAAGAAACATTAGTTAAAATCCATCATTATTTAGTCAATGGTTTTGAATAACAAATTATCATCTATCAACAAGTTTTTAACTATTTTTTTACCAAAAAAAAAGTTTTTAACTATTTTTAGTCAAAATACAAGCAAGTATCTTAGTTTTATGACTTTATCCTAATCTTTATATTATTAATTGAGAAGTACATGAAAAATTTATGACCAAAACAATAAATGACCGATGGTTTAGAAAACTTTTGTATTTCAGCTTTTAAAAATCTGCAAAAAAAGAAAATTTAACATAATCTAACGATAATACCAAATCAATAGAATATGTTTTTTGGATTTTCGGATTTTTATCGACAAGTTCGGGTTTGGGTGAAAATTTGAGACCTAATTTTATAGAGATATAGAAATTGCTTGGGTTTCTTTGAAAATTTCTGTTCGGGTTGGGTTAGAGTTTTTTTTTTCAGTTTAGGGTTTCCGGATTTTTTGGATTTCGGGTTTTCGGGTTTAGATATATTAAAAGAGTTTGAGTATTTTAAAATTTTGATTAGGGTATTTGGGTCGGGTTCGGGTGAAAAAGTTTTCAGATTTTTTTTTGTTCAGTTTAGGCTTTTTGGGATTTTTTTTGATTTCAGATTTTCGGGTTTATACATATTAAAAAAGTTTGGGTTTTTAAAATTTTTGATTAGGGTTTTTTTGTCGGGTTCGGATTTAGAGTTTAAATTTTCTACACAAAACCACAACGTCACACCGCACAAATGTACATGTACTCTGCTAGTTCTTCCTATTTCTCAAGAATACTTGTTATGTCATATAGACTGTTAATCGATAAATTTCCATAACTTCGTAAGAACAAATGTTTGAACGAGGAGACATGTATTATGTATACATGGTTACTGAAGAAACATGTTATAATTAAACATGTTACATCGACATAGTTTTCTATGGTCAAAGGTTTTTTTTTTCCATCTTTTGTTATCAAGATATTAATTTATCAAGAGATAATTGGGCCATGGACCTAAAACTTTAATAAGAAACTGGAAAATCTATTAATTTATCAACAGAAAATTCTATTAATTTATTATCGAATAATTCCACCCCAATTAATCTCCAAATTATTAGCGATTTTTGAAAAATCGCACCCGACCGAACTATTAGCAATTAGCAGCAAGATTTTTAACACATAAATTTATTTGGTATATTTTAAGTATATCTCAATTAAAAGTTGGCTTAGAGAAATTAAAACTTTCAAATGTTTATATATTTCTTTGTTACTAAAAAAAAGAGTATTACCTTAAATTTTTTGTTAACATCACAGTAAAAAAAAAGCGAAACAATTATCCCAATCACGCATTAACATCACATTCTAACTTTTTTTGGATTTTTTTAGGGAAATTTGGCAAAATACTCCACATTTACAGAATAGTTGTCCATCTACTCTTTTTTTGCCTAAACTTGTCCACTTACTCTTTATAAAAATTTAAACCCAATTTTAACCCTCAAATCATGTTTTAATAGAATTGGGATTAAATAATTAATTAAAAAATAAATAAATTAATTAATAAATAATAAAAAGTAAAGAGAAGTTTTAGTGTCGTCGACTCTTCTCTCCTTCAAACTTCTTCTTTACTACTTTTCTCCTTGTTGTATTATCTCATCTGCTTGTTTTTTCAATTAAGTAAAACTGCAAGTTTCTTAAGTGTCTCTAACCCTTGATTGTACTCGATTTCCATGTGCCACATGTTACATAGATTTGCAACATAGCAACTTAGAAGAAAAAACTGAAACAGATAATGGAAGAAAAAACTAGATAAAAGATAAGAAAAAATGGAGAGGAGGAAGAAGAACAATATGGAAGAAATGTATTTTTTTTCATTTTTCTGAGAAAAAAAATTAAAGGAAATGTTGTTTTTTCAAAAGATTTTAAAATATTCAGTTACCATTTTTACTATATTTTCTCAGATTTCCGTAGAAGATGCATTCTACCATTTCGTAGAAAACTGTGTTTAAGGTAGATTACAATTTCTACAAACGGTAGAAGGCAATGTTTTTCAGAGAACACACAATCTACAAATAGTAGAAGATAGTATTTTTAGTTGAACACGAATTCTTCATATAGTGGAAGAGAATGTTTATGGTAGAATATAAATTCTACCGGTGGTAGACAACCATGTATATCGTAGAACAAATGTTTTACAGTTCTACCAAGTCGTAGAACATTGAATATTTAGTAGAAATCAAATTCTACGATGGTAGAAACTATAACAGTCGGTAGATTTTACGCTCTACGGTGGATAGATGTGAGAGCATACAGTAGAAGACATATTATACTTTTTTTTTGTAACATCTAAATTTATTGATTTCAAATTTGAATTACAAAGTCAGTATACAGAACTTTCGGAAAGCAAATTATTACATAAGCAGATATATGCGCCATATGCTAAGAAAGATACAAGAGAAGAAATAGTTTGTTTTCCTTCTTTGTCTTCAATCTTACTCTGATGCGAAGCTTGTGCCTGGCTACCATTTTTTGGCAGAACCTTTGAATTGCACACCGCATGACAAAACCCAATGCATCCGACAGTTCTGAAAGTTTGACAGTTTGATACCAATTATTCCGTATCAAAGTCATTATTAGAATTGTTGACTTTGCTTTTGTCCACCAAATCTGGAACGAAACATCAATCCACGTTGAAATCAAATTGCGTGATGAGACCTCCAATAACTCTTTCTCTCCTTGTTGAATTCCCACTGATGAATATGGTATTGGTACCCCAATATCGACTTTTAAAACCACCACCAATACTTTGTTGGTTTAATGAAGCCGAGAGAAGAAACCATCCACACAATCCACACGGACTCCGCGTAAGCCGATGAAAATAAGAGAGACAAAGCGACATCCCCATTTCGTTGTTGAGATCAGGACTTAATTCCTTCGCATGATCTTCAAAACCGAAATCGATTACTCCTGGATCCCATATCCATGTTTGGTTTCTCTTTCTCAATTTGGATATATCCAAATCAAAGTCATGGAATTTTCGGTGATGAAATCGAAAAGTTTCAGTGATGAAACAAAGAAAACCGCCCAGAGAAATCTCAGACGGAGAGAAGCCGACACAAGTAATCAGGGGCCACTGCCGGATTTTGATCGGAAGGAGACTCTCATGAAAGGAGAGAAATAGAACGAGGAATTGAAAGGTAAACATCAAACGCATCATGTCGGTTCGATTAGAAAGATAAAAACCTACGTACAAAACAAACAAGAGAAAAGAAGAGTACAGCTGACGCTGGAGTCGACGTCGGCTGGAGAAAACGCAGAAAAAGGAGGAGTTGTGACAGATCGCAATAGATGTCGCGAGTAGAGATGTCAAACGGGCCCGCACCCAAACGGGTCAACCCGCCGCGGTTTCACTTTGTCGGCGGAGCAGGCGGGTCGGACCGCTGCAGGCCGGGTCTCAAAAGCTCGGCCCTAACCCGCACCGCTTGGTATTGGCGGTTATGCGGGTCAGCCCGCGGGCTTAACTATTTCAGTTTTGGTTTGCTTCATTTGAGCTATTCACTTACTTTTTGTTACTGTCTGGAGCCAAAAAGATGTGCAGATGAGTATATAAGATGCTTCCTTTGATACCATTTTGGATTTTGTTGTCAATTATTATATGGATGAAGATGAGTGCTATGTGTTAGCTTGGTTGTATTTAAACCACATAGAATTGTAAATTCTGTTTCTTTACTGTTTTTGATTGTCTTTGAAAAGCATATACTGAAGATACAAAATCTGTCTTTGAGAAGTAGAAGATATAGAAATGCAACAGAACCAAGATATTGAAAATTCTGATGCAGAGATATAATGAGTCATGACATTATAATCATGAGAAAACTAAAACACATATCACATAATCGTGAGTCAAAACTAAAGCACAAACTAACTCACTCATGACATCATAATCAAAAACTGAAATCTTCATTGTGTAACACAAAGCATTATTCAAACAATCAAACCAAAAGGAAAAACAGAGATCAATAGCAAAGTAAAGAAATTGTTAACATAAATCTGAGAAGCAACAAAAGTAATATGAAATCTTATTCAAACCAAAACTCTAAACTAAAAAAAGTTTGTAATTTGAGAACAAAGTCGAACACCAAACATGTCTCTTCCCCAACTTTCATTTGCTCTTCACCAGCACAAGTCCAAACTGAAACAGAAAACATTGACATGTATATTTAAAAGCCAAGAGATAATTTTCTGTACAGTCAAAGGGATTTCGCTAATAACACAAGCAATGATGAAACCAAACCAAATCTACAAGACAACAATGCAGTCAAGTTTGAGTTCTTCTTCTAAGTGGTCAAGCAAACTTGCGAGAGAACATAGTAATCAAACATGTCTACTTTTCCTGGATTTCACAAGATCAAACATAAGAAACTAAAGAAAGACAACAAAACAGACCTGCATTTGTGATGATCAGCTAAGCTCAGTAGCTTCAGCTTCGGTATTTGTCTCATCTTCTTCCACCAAGTTTTCAGCCTCCTCTGCATTTGTGTGAAAGAGAAAGTTAAATGGAATATTAACATGGCATAAGACAATGTTGTATCTAGGCTTTGTTGTTTACCGTTCTCATAAGCTTCAAAACCCTTGAGCCAATTCCGACTGCATATCAAAGCTTGAACGTTTTTGGGAAGTAAGCGGCTTCGGTATTTGTTCAAAACTCGCCCTCCGATGCTAAAAGAAGACTCCGAAGCTACTGTTGTGATAGGTATGCTAAGCACATCGCATGCCACAGAAGATAGCTCACCAAATCTTTTTGAGTTGTCTTTCCACCAATCTAGGAGGCTCTTAATATCGGTTGTATCAAGAGGCGGTTCATCGAGATAAATATCCAGGGAAGACTTTCCACTAACAGCAACATTTGACTTTCTAAAAGCGAAGAAATCCTGAAATGAACAACATAAAACAAGAAAACACATCTTAATGAAAACAAAACTAATAGTAATAACTATGGTTAAGTAAATAAATGTTTGAAGTATACAAATCTGATGTAAAACTTACATTGTAGTTTTTGAATTAACTCGTTTTTGCTTCACCAAAATTTCTATTGGATCAGATTCTCGTTGTTGTGTAGATGGTGAGTTAGACTTTGGCTTGTTCTCATATGCTTCAAAAAGAACCTTCAGCTTACTTCGCAATGCTCAATCTTCGTTTTGCAAGTGAAACTACAGTCCCTCTCAAAGCAGTATTGAACAAGTGTGAGCTTCAAGCGAGGATCCAAGATGCTAGCTATTGCAAAAATATCACTAACTTCCACCCAATACTTATCAAATTTCTCTTTCATCGGAATGACCATTTCACTGACAATCTCGTCACTATTGTACTCATTAACTCTTAGCCAGTTGTGGATCTGCCAAACCTGAAAGAAATACATGTTTGAAGTCGGATATGTCGAACCTGATATAAGCTTCGTGATCTCATCAAACGGCTCCAGAAAATCACATATGGCTTTTGCTCTATCCCATTCTTCATTGGTAGGACTACTCTTGAAGTTCTTATCCATTGTTTTAAGATTGATAAAACCAGCTCTATACTTGAGAGCCCTCTCAAGCATGTGATAAGTCGAATTCCACCTCGTTGGCACATCCAAAATCAATTCCCTCTTCTCCTCTACACGGGCAGATTCACAACTTCTTCTAAAAAGAATGTCACGGGATTCAGAAGCTGTCACATACTTAATACTCTCCCTGGTTTTATGCAAGGAACTCCCAATCACTTTGAGACCGTCTTGCACAATCAAGTTGAGGATATGAGCTGAACACCTAACATGAAAGAATTCTCCTCCACACAACAAATCATCACGCAAAACCAGCTGAGATTTCAGGATATCTTGCATACAATCATTGCTAGTAGCGTTGTCTAGGGTGAGTGAAAACACCTTCTTATCAATTCCCCACTCTTTCAACATCTCAAGAAGATGCATAGCTAACTTTATACCTGAATGTGGTGGTGGCAGAGCATTGAATACTAGGATCTTGTTCTTCAATTGCCATTTGCTGTCAATGTAGTGTGCTGTCAAACACACATAGCCTTCGTCAGTCACTGCGGTCCACAGATCAGAAGTGAAGCTAATCCGACCATGAAGGTTTCTCAATTCCCTTTTCAATGCAGCTTTCTCATTCTCATAATATTTGATGACATCTGCGACAGCGGTATTGCGACTTATCACTTGCACATCATCGTTCAAATACTTCCACACAGCTCTGACTCTTTCATATTCAACATAAGAAAAGGGAAGATCATGCTGAATAATTGACTTAGCAACCATCTCGCGAAAAACATGCTGATCAATCTTCCTTGCTTTAAGTTTGGCATCAGCAGTAACCAACATATTAGCCACATTCTTACTCTTAGTAATCAAGCATCTCTGTTGATGGCGCTTCAAAGAAGATGTACCGAAGACATATTCTACTTTGAATATCGAATTTGGTAGAAGCAAACTTTATTTATTTTTCTGAGGTTCAAATTTCAACAAAAAACTTGAAAAATATTCTCTAAAATCTTAGAATCACTTTACTGAATTAATTTAATTTTTTGAAATTTTAAAAATATTTATTTCATATTGTTAGCATATACAAGGATATTATAGTAAAAAATTGGTAAATTTCGAAAAAGGTGTAAAGGACAAAAGTTTTTTTTTTCGGGGTATATTCACAAATCTCCCATTTTTTTATGACAGATTAAGAATTTTTGATCGTAATCACGCAATAATTAAAAAATAACCATCTAAAACGTAATAAATCAGTTTATCTGGTTAACTTTTTGACTTGAAAATCCCTATTCTACTCCAATTCCAATTTATTCGCATCCACTTTACACTTGCTCGATTCTCCTCCGCCGCTGAGAATCGTTCCAACAATGTCGGTAAGCCTTCTCAATTCTCGTCGGCCTCAATCTGATTCTGTTCCAAGTCTCTGCTTTGGACTCTTCTTTTTTCAGATCTAATTATTCAAGGATGATGATGTTTTAGGCTTGATTTATAATTGCTACTGATTAAAAAAAACTGCCATTTTTTTTTGTTTCACTTGAATGTGGAGATTTCAGATTTCTGTATAAAGCACCAAACTTTACTGTTCCTTGGTCTGTTGATTTTGATGGATGATGAAAGTCTGAGATCTCTTCACTGTGTCGGTTACTTAATAAAAGCAATTAACTAAATAAAAACCGAAACTTTTTTCAATTCAAGTTTCTAAAGTTTCCAGATTCTCTTCTCCAGATGCTAAAGAAGTCAATAGATTTAACTTAACTCTATGATTCTTTAGTAACAATCTCACTTGAAAGCTATTGACTTTGGCTTTTCCCCTTCATGTATTGATCTCTACACAGGCTTCTTTCAATCACTCGGATCAAACTCAGCACAACATTCTAATGGATTCCCAATCAACTCCTTCAGTTGTAAGTACAAAAGTTTCTCTCTTTAACTCTCTATTCAATGGCCTATGACTCGATTTCATTCTTGTACTTGTTTCTTGCAGGTGAAAACTGTGAAAATCAGCAATGTGTCACTTGATGTCTCCAAGAAAGATGTCAAAGAGTTCTTCTCTTTCTCCGGTGACATTCAATACATCGAAACTCGAAGGTGAGAATAAAAGATCTCATTGCGTTAAAGATCATCTCTTTCACCAACATCTAATGTTAGCCACTTTAATCACAGTGAGACTCAAGAAACTCAAGTTGCGTTCGTTACCTTCAAAGATCCACAAGGAGCAGAAACTGCAATGCTCTTAACGGTATCTCCTTATAGTAATGCTTTTAGGCTTATGCATTAGTTGGAATGTGATGAATCACTGCTTAAAGTTTAAAACTTTCCTCCTCCAGGGAGCTGTCATTGCGGACCATCGCGTCAGTATCACTCCCGCTGTGAACTACGAGCTGCCACAAGAAGCTCTTTCACTTGACTCTGCAGATTCGTTCAATGGCTTCACTGTCAAGAAAGCTGAAGATGTGGTGAACATCATGGTGGAAAGAGGTTACGCTTTAGGAAAAGATGCGATGGAGAAAGCCAAAGCGTTCGACGACAGACACAACTTGATGTCAAACGCGTCAGCAACCATTGCATCTCTCGACAACAAGATGGGTTTGAGCGAGAAGCTAAGCATAGGAACAACTGTGGTGAACGAGAAGTGGAGAGAGGTGGATGAGAGGTATCAAGTGAGGGAGATAACAAAGTCTGCTTTAGCAGCTGCTGAGGAGAAAGCAAGCATTGCTGGAGCGGCTCTAATGGCGAACCCTTATGTATCAAGCGGAGCTTCGTGGTTCTCAAACGCGTTTGGCGCAGTGACAAAAGCTGTTAAAGGAGGTGAGAATGGAGGAGAGGGAAGAAAAGAGATTATCCAACTTGATGACACTTCACCTAAAGCTCCTGCTGTAGTTCCTGTTAGTTCTGTTGATGCAGACCTCAACAAACCAAGTTTATTCTAAAGTTTGCATCTCAGTCTCAATTCTTTTATAAGTTTGATTGTGCATATATGATGAAAAAGACATAAATTGTTGGTTGTGTTACATTCAAGATAGCATTTGATCTCTCTGCAAAGAACTTATTCAAGAGAAAAATGGTAAAATAAATCTCATTTACTGAGTTGGAGAAACTTTTGTGCCATTGGATGCTTAGCTTGGTGAATCTCATTTGGTTTGAGGACTTCAACAATCTCTCCATCAACAACAAGACAAACGAGATCAGCAATTCTCTGGATCTGTTTGATACTGTGAGACACAATCACAGTCGTTAGTCCTCTATGATTCTTCAGTTTAACGATGACATCCTCAACGTGCTCTGTTGATATGGGATCAAGAGCGCTTGTTGGCTCATCTAAAAGCAACACCTCAGGCTCGTTCGCTAGAGTCCTTGCAAGTGCCACTCGTTGAGCTTGACCCACAGATAGCTCTGAGCCAGTCTTCTTGGCAATTGAAGTATCAAGATCCGCAAGACTTAGCAGCTTGTGAACCTCTTCTTCACTTAGCTTCTCTCCTCTCAGATTCGGACCATATCTCACATTATCCGCAACAGTCCCTGTCAAACCAAACGTATCAAAAACCAGACATCTGAAACAAACAGTTGCATTGGTTCCAAATTCCAGAGTAACCTCAACTGTAATCAAATTCCAAAGGATCTAAGCACTGACTTCTTCACATTAACCATGATCTTTGAGGAAAATATAGAGCAGATACCAAAAAGCAATAAACTTTATTTAGCAGAGACCAAAAAGCAACCAACTTTATTTTAGTTGATACCAAAAAGCAACCAACTTTCTTTCACATTTCAATGAAGATCAAAGGATCTAAGCACTGACTTCTTCACATAAAACCATGATCATTGAGGAAAATATAGAGCAGAGACCAAAAAGCAATCAACTTTATTTAGCAGAGACCAAAAAGCAATCAACTTTCTTTCACATTTCAATGATGATCAAAGAATATAAGCACTGACTTCTTCACATAAACCATGATCTAAAGCAATCAACTTTATTTAGCAGAGACCAAAAAGCAATCAACTTTATTTTAGCAAAAACCAAAAAGCAACCAACTTTCTCAATGAAGATCAAAGGATATAAGCACTGACTTCTTCACATAAACCATGATCTTTGAGGAAATATAGAGGAGAGACCAAAAAGCAATCAACTTTATTTAGCAGATACCAAAAAGCAACCAACTTTTTTTGTTAAAAGGCCTAAAAAGCAACCAACTTTCTTTCACATTTCAATGAAGATCAAATGAAAAAGAAGCAATTTTTGGTTTACCCTGAAAGAGAACAGGAAGCTGGAAAAGCATTCCGACTCTACGGCGGAGAGTGATGACGTCAAACTTTGTAATATCTTCGCCGTCCAAGAAAACAGTTGACTCCGGCGGCTCCCAAAGACGGTTAAGAGACCTCAAAAACGTTGACTTTCCGCTTCCACTTGGACCAATCACACCAACGATCATCCCTTTCGGTATGTCCATGGAAACTCCTTTCAGAATCAGAGTTCCATCGTCAGAGACTCGGGTCAAGTCTCTTACCCGGATCTTTGGTTCACCGCCGGAGATAACTTCCACGTCAAGAAGATGCTCACGTAACCCATCGGATTCACTAGACAAAGGTAACGTCATCGCCTTGATGAGCAACACAAAACAGAGAGAAAGGTTTGTCTTTTTGTAAATGGAATTTGGCTAATAGGTTTCAGAGATCGTGGTGAGTCAGTAAAATTGATAACGACAATTTAATATTCTTCCACTACTCTCCCACTTTTTGGTCCAAGTTTCGTTTTGTTCTTAAATTTTAAGAACAATGTCAATACAAGATTTGTTCTTTTTAAAAAACTAAAATCAATTAAAAGGAGTCTTCTCAGGGATGAAATCTTCAGTTCAGGTCTCCAATATTTTTTCAGCACAATTAAAAGCTCAGGAGAACGAAAGTTTAAAGTTTTAACATCACCAGATTCATAACTGAGAAGATAACTTTGAAACAAAATTGAAACTTTAATTCTTTTAAAAACATATATATATGCCTCCATTCAGTTCAGGTCTCCATAGTTCTCCGCATGATTTATCTCGGAAGAACGAAAGTTATATGATTTTGATCATCATCAGAGGCACATATATACAGACGTTTACGATTTCGAAAGATATTTTCAAAACGCTACCAAGAAAAACGATAATACTATTGACAAGAGAACTAAACGCAGGTAATTGATCGATATTGTGGCTTATTGAAACTGTGTAATGGTTGATATGTATATATAGAGATTGGAGGAGAAACTCAAGAGTTGTGCAATAACCCTAGCTCTATTATTTTGTGCCAATATGGGCCTTAGAACAAAACTTTCTAGTGAGAGCCCAACCAACTTTTGAATTTCATTTTTTTTTATGCTTAAAACGATGTTTCCAAAAATGGAATCCAGTTCTGTGTAGAAGAATTTGTTGAGTATATTACAAAATTTTGAGGTTAAAATTCTCAATAGACATGAAAAAGTCTACTAATATTCCACAGAGCCTACTTTGTTATTTACTACAAAATGTTACACAACCAAAGTTTAAGGCTTTACATGTTCAAAAACTCATCCTTTATCTTTGCTAATACCGCTCTGTGCTATTCATTTGAAGCAAGCAACCTCATCTGCTTCGTAAGAATCTCAAGATTCCTAGACCTCTCTGGACTAAGCTGTCCAAATTCAAAGTCATCTGCTTTCTCCATCTCTTCTTCTATCACCTCAAGCATACGACTCTTATCCAACTCCATTCTTCCATCACCATCCTCTTCCTCCTCCTCCAATATCACTTCATCTTTCCCTTTCTTCACATCCTTCTTCTTCTTCTTCGAAGGACTCAACAACAAAAGCTTCTCCCACGCCCCATCATCATACAAATCAGGTATGATCAATGGCATATGATTCTCATCAAGACAGAACTTCAGTATATCCGCGTTTCTCAAAAAATCGTTTACATCGTTGGTGTTCGACTTTGCTGCTCCTGTTGCTGCTCCATCAGTTGGTGGCTGGTATGTTACTAAAGGAAGACCAGTTACGTTTGCGTTTGCGTTTGCGTTTGAGTTTGATTCTCCTTCATCTGTAACTTCTTCCACAATCGTCGCACCTCCTTCCGTCTTTCGCCAGCTTTTCTTCTCCTTCGGCTGTAGCAACTGAACCAAGAGGCTCGGATTCTGCATGACCATCACCAAAAAAGAAAGCATCTCTTGTTGGCTCTCTTCCATTCCTTGAACTCTGTCTTCCAAGTGTGACATTTTAGTGTCTGTCGTCTCTTGGTACTGCCTGACTTTGATCAGCTCCTGCGCCAATGCGTTCTTGTCTCCTTTCAAGGTATCAACTTCTTTCCACAATCGGCTCTTCTCAGGCTTTTCCTGAGAAGAAGCATCACTTTGAACATCTTTGCTCTGATGCTCACTGCTTTGAACGTTCTTCCTCCGGATGATATTCTTCAGCAAATCCTTTTGTCCTCTCACAAAGCCGTCGTTCGCAAACTCATAACGCTCTGCATCCACTTTTCTAAAGCCCTGCAACAAGATTATCACAAATGTTATAACTCTCTCTGCCACATTCAAGAATCAGCCAATGTCTACATGGAGATCAAATAGGCCAAGATTTACTCTTTATCAACCAAATTCTCACTAAGTGTTGTCCCTTAGACATATTAGAGAATCAAAGGAGCTGAACAAAGCATATTTCTTCATGCTTCTCATTCAATTCATCAACTCAATTCGCTCTAAGAACCTATCCACACTTTACAGAAGCAGAGAAAGATTGAAACTTTTTGTTTTTGAATGAATGAAAGATTGAAACTTTGCTTAACCCAACAGCAAGAAACCACACTAGTCATAGCTTTCAAAGCTCCACACAAAGCATTGAAATTGAAATGTCTAATAAACAGAACAAAAACATCAAAAGGGGAAAAATTTCAACACAAGAGCAGTAATAAACATATGATCCTTGATTCTGATGAGAGTCACTTCTAGAAAATTGAATACAGAGAGAGGGAGAGAGACTAACGTAGATGTTGAGCTGGCGGATGAAGCTAGAGAGATTGCTGTGTTTGAAGTATTTGGGCAAGAGCTGAACAGAGAAGACGCTAGGGTCAGAGATAACGAAGCTGTTATCGCCGTTAGGACTCCATGAGATTATAGAATCAGTTGAAGAATCGTCAACTATCTCGTAGCATTTCCTCAGGAACGGCGCCACTGAAGACGACGAAGACCCGTCCGCCGCCGATTTCACCATAGCTTTGAGAAAATCTTGACGATAAAGAAATTGAATTGTGAATTTGTGAGAATTTCTGAAATTCGGAAAATCTGAAATCGGACCCCTTCGCTCTCGCAAAGAAAGAGAAAAGGGAAGAGACTTTGGGATTTAGGTGTAGTGGGAAAGGCGATGAAACTTGCGCGCAGGGCAAAGGATCGCTCCTCTCACATCAAAGGAAATTTCAAGGAAGAGAGGTTTTGTGATTGTCACATATCATATGTCCCCAAAGTTTAGATATTTTTAACTCTTTTGCCCATTCTCTGTAAACCCCTATTTAGAATATTCTTTTTTTCCTTCTCAACTATCAGATATTTACAGTTTTACACCGAAACTATAAAGACACAAATAGCGAACCATCCATATTGACAAAAAACTAGCAAACCAATATAAAAATGTTCATTTGTTTCTGTCAACATCATCAACACCTACATATCTCATGAAGTCCAGGTCAGTGGGATAGAATTAACATAATACACATCGCGAAGGAGATCTTGTACATTTTGTGCTAGCTTGTCTGCCTTTGTGTTTTTCGTTTTTGGTATGTGATGGATAGAAAAGGAAAGAAACCTCCTCTTACATCTATCTATTTCTTCAAGAAGAATTGAGAATGTCGACCATTCTTCTGGGTTAGACACCATCTTCACCATTTCAGGACAGTCCGTCTCGAAAACCATATCGTGCTTATTGAGCTGAATCATACATTGCATGGCCCATATGAACGCCTCCACCTCCATTTGGAGTGGCATAAGCCCTATAGGTTGCTTGAACCCATAAGTTTCTCCCCCGTGTTTGTATTATGAAAATATATATCATCCTAAACCAGAACGGCGTTCTGTCTCTTTCCATACCCCTCTGAAAATAAACCGTACGTAACTGTGGTGCAACCAAAATTCTCTCCCCTAAACATATAATTTCTTGTCGTTGTTGCGCTTCCGCCCACGTTGTGGCCTCCGCCTCCGCCTTATCCACATATTCTCTAAGATCTTTATCCCCATTCGAAAAAGTCTTTATTTCTGAGATTTCGAGATATACCAAAATATCTATGGGTATGCCAACATATATTCATCGTTTGATAAATGTCAAAATAGATGAGCCATATTTGTATATACCTGGAAATGTCCGGGTAATCCTGTGTTGTTATGTAACCCGATTTGACCGTGTATCTCCCGGTTTTGGTAAAGGCCGACCCAAGTGAGTCTGGACGATGTATATTTGTACGTAGTTGGTATTCCAAGGGATAGTTCTGTACTATCAAATAATTGTGTTAATAATGGAAGATTCCACATTGAAGTATATATAAGGGTCAATTAGCTCACTCACTCAAAGGTGAGGGTAGTAATTGATTTCCCTATTGTGAGCTGACCTCGGACGAGAACCTAAGATCCAAAAATCATTCAATACAAAGATAAACGAGCCAGTACCAACTCTTTTAATAAGCATTTTGTGTACCAAGAGATTGAGTCGAGACGATACTCCACCATTCATATGATTGAGAGTACGAGCGAATGTTCATTTCATAGAAAAATCAAGTCCATGATATCTCTTGTGTTATTTGATTTCAACTTGAATGGGCTTTCTCGTGTCAACGGACATTTCTCTCACGATAGCATTCGTTTATATTAAAGTTGAACATAAATTGAGATTAAGAATAGTTAAGTCTATAGTGGAAAATAGAATAATGTTTTTTATTTTTACAACCCAGACCTCACTATAATCGTAAGATTTGATTAGTTACACTGGGTATTGAAGTTCCGTGCATGCGATGTTGTTTGCGACAACATTTCCGTTTGAGTTTATTACTTTATTTATATTCATTAATTTAAAATATGATGGTTTTGTGTTAATTTGTTGTTATGTTTTGAATTAATCAAACCACTCACACAGTAAAAATATAATCAATTTATTTTTCTATTTTATAAGATGTTAATTCCACACCTCATCTCAAGTTTTATCTTTATAAAATTTAGCACTTTTTAGACTATAAGTATGCATATGACTCGATGTTAGAATTTGATAAATCACATTTGCATTCGAAATATGGTATAAAATAATATGTATAATTTTTTTAACATATATCCGTTGTTGTTGCGGTAGTGTCTAAACACGATGATCAATGAATATTTTCTATTATGTTAGTTTTGTAAATATAAATTATATTTTTGAAACAAACATATCACAATTTTTGAAAATTTCATGTTTTTCGTTGGAATGAAATTCGTATATAATAACTTGAATTCATTTTTTGTTTTTTAAATACTTTAACTCTAATTTATTATTGGCTTTCTACTATACTAATTAAATTATATACTACTTTTTTTTTAAATTTTATTTACATTATAACATTTTTAAATAGGAAAATTCTTTTATACAGTTTTTTGAATAAAAAGTTAACAATATATATACTATTCTGATTTAAATATTTATTTAGTTCATCTTCATTTTATATTATAACTTTTCAACTTTTAACACCAAGTTATCCCATATTAATTAATTAATTTGTTGTTGTATTTTTCTTAGTTTTATTTATGTTTAAGATATAAATATATACCAAAAATATAAATAAATATGTATTAAATAAATAGAAGTAGAATTTAATTTTAAAATAATAATTATAGTGGGTTCCATGTGATGTTGATAGCCTAAATGGAGAGAAAACTCCTTAATTATATATAAGATATGATAAATTACTTTGAAATTATTTTGCCATTTTAATTTGATGGGATCAATATACAACAACAACAATAAATGACTTTTTCACACCTCTGTATTTTCTTTTTCTTTTGAGAAATAACATATTTGTGTTTTTTAACAAGAGCATTCCGAACATTTTGAAGTTAAAAATATTAACGAATACAGAAATACTAGGTGATTTTCCCACGCCTTGCGTGAGGTTCAGAGCTTTATGCTTTGATTGGTGACATGTTGTATCATAGTTGAGTTAAAAGAAATGATATTATTTGATGTAAGTTACAGTAAAAATTATGTAGTAAGTTTGCTGTGGAATTAATAAAAAAAAAACAAAAAAGAAAGCAAAAAAAAAATTAAAAAATTAAAAAAAAACATGGAAAAAAGAAAAAATCAGTTGGCCATCAAAAGGATATATAAACATTAATGTAAACAAAGACAAAATTGTGAGTGTACCTTGGCTTTTGATTTGATGGTATTGGTTGGCAGCTAAGAGCAAGATCAATCGCCAGGCTTAGATCCCTACGCAAATATATACCAAGATAGGTTTTACAATATTATAATGACAACTCTTTCTCTTAAATATGTTAAAAAGCAGTTTCATAAAAATAACGAACCTCCCGTTTACTGGTATGTTATTGCTAGGCCTGGAGTCATCAAACTGGCCGTGATAGACCAACTCATAAGGCCTACGACCATTCTGCTCCATTTGACAGGCGAGAGAGCAATATGAGAATCAGATTTCACAAACAAGTCACAGTTTAATTGTTTGGCAATAGTACTCTATACCAAAACAATACACAGATTACCTTCTTGTATAAGAAAAACTCAGGGGTACAGACAGCTCCAAATTCCCTTGCAACCTCTTGTGACTAAGGTAAGAGACCCAAAATGTCATGAAAAGATGAGAATTAGAGTATAACAAACAACCAAAAATTGCTGAAAAAGGCACAAAGAGTACCTCATCGTACAAGTAAGGAAATGGGTATTTAAACTTTTTTGCATCTTCTGCCATGAACTCTGGCCCATCCTATGGAAACAAAGATTTATGAAAATGGAAACATGATCTCAAAAAAACAATAGAAGGAGTTCACAAAAACACAAACCTGAGGATGTGTCACTACAGAATTCGAAGATATTGCAACAACAGCAAGGCCTTTCTGCAACCAATTCCATCACATAAAGAGTGGAAAGCTATGGAAAAAGAAGAAGAGAGAAGCAAGTGTTTTGGTGATTGGTACCTACCTGCATGTAGAAATTGGAGAGCTTTACAATGTCTTTCTTCAAGTGAACCACAAACGGGCAGTGATTGCAGATGAACATAACCTCAACACACAAAACACACAAGAACAGAGAGTTTTAAACACACAAAAATCACAAATCTTCACCTCAAAAGATGGAATTGTAAATAAAGAGATGAAGATACTCACCAGTAGACACGGATACAATTCGAAATCATCTAATCTCCACAAATTTCCAGTGAGCGGCTCCGGAAGCTACTTCACTCAAAAACACACACACACACACACACAAAATTTCTAAGATTAGAGAAATTCCGGCGACGGTGCATTGACTCAAAATTACAGTTTTACCTCAAAACAGTTAGTTTTCTGGGCATGTAGAATTACAAACCAAACCCTTATGAACAAAGAAAAAACGCTAGCCACAATGTCTGTTTTACCCTCTTTAAAGTCTATTCATGAAGTCTATTGCCTATTAGACTTCATCATAAAGGCTAATTCTTAAACACAACTGAAATTTAATTTACAAAATTATAAGAAATTGTTTTGATTAAAAAAAATTTACATAAATAAGAGTAGAACATTTGGCATCTAAGAAAAATAAAATTGCATAAGAATGAATCCATTTAACTCAAGTAAGAGAAATTATGTTTGTAACCTATAAACTGGGTGAAGTCTACTCCAGAAGTCTAATATATAGCAAAATCGTAAATTTAAAGTTTAAAATCTATTAACAATATTTTGATAAGGTATTTACACATAATTTTTACAAATACAAGTACTTTCTATGAAAAATAAATTTGCATATAAATTGATCAATTTAAATACGGTAATACAAATTATGGTATAATCCAAAAAAATATTGTGAGAAGTCTACTAAAGAAGTCTACCAAATAACAAAATCTTAAATTTAAAGTTTAAAATCTATAAAAAAATATTTAGACTTCAAAAATTATTAATCAAATGAAGACAAATCATCTATGTAATATAAATTCATGGAAATTACAATTGTAGACTTCCCTGTGAAGTCTAATAGACTAGTTTTGCAATTTTTCAAATGACAATTTTTTTATGAAGTCTACACGTGAAGTCTACCGAAAAAAAAGACTAGTTTTGCAATTGACCAAGCTTTGACTTTTCAAATAGACTTCATTATCGTGAATAGGCTTAAAAATGAAGTCTAACTCGAAAATGAAGTCTACCCGTGAAGTCTACAACAAGAATTAGACTTCATAGAGATTAGTTTTGCAATTGATCGAATTTTTGAATTTGGAAAATAGACTTCATCGTGAAGTCTACTCCGATAAACGTTGACTATTAGACTTCTTGGTGAAGTCTATCAAGAATTAGGCTTCGATATGAAGTCTAACCCTTTATTAGACTTCGCAATGAAGTCTAACTCAGTATTAGACTTTGAATGAAACCTAATACAACATTAATAGACTTCAGGGGTAGACTTCAGGATAAAACAATCTACTTAAAATTTGCAAAACTAGTCTTTTATTAAAGCAGACTTCACGGATAGACTTCTCATAAAAAGTTTTTATTCTGTCAATTGCAAAACTAGTCTTTTTCGAGTAGACTTCATTACGCCATATTTTTTTGTTTTCAAAGGAATATGGTTAGAGTTCTTTGTGAAGTCTACTCTCTAAATTTTTTGAAAATTCAATTGCAAAACTAGCTTGTTAGACTTCTCTATGAAGTCTAAGGACCTGCAAAAAATATGAAATTCACTCAGATCTACCGGAATTTTACCTTGCCGAGATCTTAAGTTTCATTGACGGCCTAGAACTTTGATTTAGAGCTTCAACAAACTTCCCCAACCGTTATAATAATCTCCCACACCAAAAATGAGAAAATCTAAGAACATAAACTTTGAAAAGATGAAAATGTGTGTTCTTGGGGTGAAAATGAAGAAGAAATTGAAGAATACAAGTTTATGAGATGATATAATGAGTTTGTATATATGTTTGAAGAGTAAATCATGCATTCAAAGCTTGATTTGTGAGAATGGTTGTTGGACGAATTGATGGTGATGGCATTTTCGTGAATAAGTGAAGAAGATGAGGTTTCTTTGGACCTTTTATTTTCGTTATTATCACAAATATGGTGAGGGTAAACAAGGAAGAAAAAAAGAGTGAACTACTTTTGCATTTGACCTCAATTTTTGTACTACTTTTGAAAACAGCCCTAAAATAATGGCTACCTCTTTATCAAAAAACAGGCATGAGTCATTTTAAAAATAAAACTTATCATCTAAAACAAAATTATTCATAATTTAAAACGTTATGATAAAAATATAAAAATAATTTCAATAATTATGCTTAAAATGATACAAATACTCAAATTAAATTAAATGTTTTGGAAGACTATTTTATGCACTACATTAACCAAATTTCATATAAATTATTTTCTTTCAAAATTTTCAATATGCTTATCTTATTAATGTAGTGCACAAAATTATGATGATTATTTATAGTTTATTATCTATGATAAAATATAATAAATTTAGACGATTATATCCGTCTTTTTCGTGTCGTCTACAACATATTCATCATTTTATTTTTTCAAAAACTATATCCATTTTTATTTGTTCTTCTTTTTTTCAAAATTTTCTTCTTCTTATAGTCTCAATATTTTTATTGATCGTCTTCATATCCTCTGTTAATGCTTTCTTATTTTTCTTCATCTTTTTATTCCTAAATTCTCTTTTTTTATTGTCTTTGTCTTCTCTTAACTTTTTTAGCGTCTTCGTCTTATTTGTTTTCTTCTCTTATTTTTCGGTTTTTATTCGTCGTTGTCTTCGTCATCTTCTTCTTCTTTCTGTTCTTTTAGTTTTTATATTTCTTCTATGTTTTATTTCTCAATTTTTTCACTGTTTTTATTTTATATGTAATTTAATTAGAGTCAACAAATAATTTTTCACAAAATTATTGGTCAACTAAAACTTATAATTGTATAATCTATCTGAATTTAACTGGTCAACGATTTGGATCAGCACTAATTTAGTTATTTCTTTTATCCTTCATTTTTTCAAGAAATAAGGATTTAAAAAACGTACATAAAACTAAACCCTACCCCCATTAATAGAAACCCTACCTTTTAAACCCTAACCCTACAATATACACCTCCCCCTCATACATACAGTACACCATAATCACATAATAGATAACTCTTTTCAATTTTAATGGAATGTTTTTTTTGTTTAATTAGTTGTAATTGATGTTATTGTACAAATTTTCACATGATATTTTAAGAATACATAATGCTTTTATTTATCGATATGATTTGAAAATAAAATTAAATAATTTAGTTTTTTATCTATTTCTTTATCCTTAAATTTTTTCAAGAACTAAAGATTTAAAAAATGCAAAAAAAACTAAACCCTACACCCACCATATAAACCCTATCTTCTAAACCCTAACCCTACAATAAACACCTCCATACATACAATACACCATAACCACATAATAGACAACTCTTTTCAATTTTAGTGGAATATTTTTTTTATTAATTTGTTATAATTGTTGTTGTTGTACAAAATTTCACATGATATTTTAAAAATATGCAATATTTTTATTTTATCGATATGATTTGAAAAAAAATATTAAATTAGTTAATTGTTTAACTATTTCTTTTATCCTTAAAAACTTTCAAGAACTAAGGATTTAAAAAATGCACATCAAACTAAACCCTTCCCCACCAATATAAACCCTACTTTCTAAACCCTAACCATACAATAAATACCCCTCCTCCAACCATTCAGTACACCATAATCACAAAATAGAAAACACTTTTTCAATTTGAATTATTTTATTTTGGCTTAATTTGGTGTAAATGTTGTTGTTATACAAAATTCATATAATATATTAAGAATTCGCAATGTTTTTTTATTCGATATGATTTGAACAAAATATTAAATAATTTAGTATTTAATCTTGTATATTTCGTAGGGTAATTAAATACAAAATATATCGTATTTAATATCCAGTAATTCAAATAATTGAAATATTTATTTTTAGAAAAAAAAAGAAAAAGAAAATTTACAATATTTAATAAGGAAATTATGATTTAAAAAAAAACAAAAAAAATCGTGAATTAATAAAAAAGAAATTCAGAAGATTTAATAATAGATTTTCATTAAGGGTATCTGGGTAATCAACCAGCTGAAAATCAATGTGGTGCCTCTAAACGAAATTTTCACTTCGCAAATAATATATCCCTTATATATTAAAAGAGAAGACATTTATAAAAATCCCCTTTGTTTTGAACTTAATTTCAAGTATGCCATGCTGAGGTGTCGCAATTTACCACACTCTCAGAATATTCTAAAAATAACCTCTCTTTATTAGGCAAGTGCTGAAATATTTATTATTAATTTAATCAGAAAAAATAATTATTAATTAAAATTAATTTTTTCTATTTCTTTATCTGATAATGACGAAAATTATGAATAAATTTAAAAATATTTATTAGTCAATCAATCAGTAAAATACGGAAAGTTTTATTCAATTGTATTATATTAATTGTTTAAAAATTAATTTATTATCTTATCATTTTTTTAACTTTAATTTTTCAAAAATAAATTATATCATTACATCAAAATATTTCATAAAACAAAATTAGTTTTTTCTGCATATGCTATGATTTGAAAATTTTAAAATGAAGCAAATCTCTAAAATTGTTAAAAGTCTCATATCGATTATATTTTGGGATGATAGTTCAAAAACCTATTATAAAAAAAGATCCAAATAATGATCAACTATAGTAAAAAAAACTGATTTATTAGGTTTCCAAACTTTAATTTTTTTTTAATTTGATTTAATTTTGTTCTTTAATTGAACTAAATAAATAAATCATAATAAAATCTAATAACTTAATATATAAGCTAAACTATTTTAGTTATTTAAAATTGATTAAAAATATTAAATATATATGCCTTATAAAGCTATTTCAAACTTATTAAAAGATATATATGTAGATTCAACTATGTCACTTAATATTTCGTCATATTCCAATCGAGGCTAAAAAATATATATATCACTCAAAAAAATTTCTAATGTAAACTGACATAATTTTTATTTTCTAACACTCTATTTTTCTAGAATGATACTTATGTGAAAAGATATCTAAAAATAAAACTAAATCAAGAAAATATCATCCCGTGCAGGGCGCGGGTCCAACCCTAGTTAGATTTAAAAGGCTACGTCCTTATTACAATGCCGTGTCCCAAAGGGAGAGGTTTTGAGCCAAGTGGAACGATTCGTTAATCATAGAAGACTTTAGAAACCAAATCTCTATAAAGGGACCGCAACATAAGCACTACACAACTTACCACGAAAACTTACAAGAAAAGAAAAAGGATATGATGATCATTCCAAGCCAATCTTTTTTCTGCTTCTTTGCTTCCCTTATTTTATACACTCTTGCTTCTCCTACTTTCCAAAGAGATGCACTTTTGGAGTTTAAAAAGGAATTTCCCATCGGTGTACCGGACCCAAATCCTTTTGTTGTTTCACCTTTAAGTTCATGGAACACAAGCAGTGGTGATTACTGCTCTTGGGAAGGTGTCACATGTGATGCTAATTCCGGTAAGGTCATATCTCTCGTCCTTAGATGGATCTCTTTCAACGGCTCTTTGAAATCAAACAGTAGTCTTTTTAAACTCCAACATCTTCATCACCTACACCTTGTCTATTGCGATCTGAGAGGAGAGATCCCTTCTTCACTAGGAAACCTGTCTCACCTCATAGAACTAGATCTTTCTAGTAATAGTTTGGTAGGTAAAATTCCACTTTCTATTGGCAACCTTAAGCAGCTAAGCGCCTTGAGCCTTGGGTCCAACCATCTTATAGGGAAGATCCCTTCTTCACTAGGAAACCTGTCTCACCTCGTATATCTAAATCTTCTTTATAATCACTTGGTAGGTGAAGTTCCATCTTCAGTCGGCAACCTGAACCAACTAATACTCTTAGAGTTGTCCGGAAACAACTTGAGTGGTAACATTCCCGTTTCATTTGCCAATTTAAAGAAGTTGTCCGTTTTAGACCTCTCTCAAAATCAATTCAGTGGTGGAGATTTCCCTCGTATACTATCAAATTTAACCAATTTGTCCTCCTTAACCCTTACCAATAATCACTTCAATTCCCCACTTCCTGAAGTGAATGGACTCCACAAATTGAAGCATTTCGATGCTGGTGGAAACTCGTTTTTTGGGAAAATTCCTACTTCCTTGTTCAAGATTCATTCGTTGCGGGAGCTTTACTTGCAGGAAAACCAACTTGAGGGAACTTTAGAAATTGATAGTACAACATCTGGATTTTCCAATCTCATGTATTTATATCTTAGCCATAACAGTTTGATTGGGCCAATCCCTGAGTCCTTGTCCAAAATAGTCTCACTTTATTCCCTTGATCTCTCTTACAATAGGTTGGAAGGTCAAATACCAAGTTTCTTATGGAGGTTATCTTCGTTGAAGCTTTCTCATAATTCTTTCACTAGCCTGGAGAAACCACTCCAAGTTATCTTAAATGGAAGCCACTTTGATCTCGGCTCAAATTCACTCCAAGGAGTATTTCCTCGATGGATATGTTGCTTAAGATCAGCAACATTCTTAGATCTGTCAAACAACCATCTCATTGGTTCCATTCCATCATGTTTGATAAATTCAATTTCTTCTCTTATATTTATGAACCTAAAAAACAACAACATGAGTGGATCTCTTCCGGATATCTTTATCAATGCTACCAAGTTACAATCACTTGACGTTAGCCGCAACCAGCTGGTGGGAAAGCTTCCAAAATCTTTGATCAACTGCAACAATGTGGGAATTCTGAATTTGAAAGGAAACAAGATCAAGGACACATTTCCATTTTGGCTGAAATCTTTGGGATCATTGCGTGTTTTGTTACTCGGATCAAATGCATTCTATGGTCCAATCTATAGACCCTCTACGGATTTTGGGTTTCCAACTCTGCGAATCATTGATATATCGCATAATAGCTTCAATGGAACACTGCCACAAGATTATTTTGTGAACTGGCTTGAAATGTCCTCGGTGGGGATAAATGTAACCATAGTCAACCCATATTCGGTATACATGGGCACAGTATACGGTTATCAAGATTCGATGGATATGAATTATAAAGGAGTAGAAACAGATTTTTCACGGATCTACCTTGGCTTCAAAGCAATCGATTTTTCGGGAAATAAATTTGAAGGATGGATCCCTAAATCCATTGGCTTGTTGAAGGACTTGCGTCTTCTCAACTTGTCAGGCAATGCATTCACTGGCAACATTCCAACCTCTTTGGCAAATATAACATATCTGGAGGCACTAGATCTCTCTCGCAATAACCTTGCGGGTCATATTCCTCGCGATCTTGGCAACCTCTCCTTTGTGTCCTACTTTGACTTTTCGCACAACCTTTTGGAAGGTCCCGTGCCACGAGGCACACAATTTCAAAGGCAAAACTGTTCTTCATTCGAGGACAACCTCGGACTCGTTGGTCTCGAGGATATATGTGGAAATAACCATGTTCCGGATGCAACACCATCACAGTCACAACAACCTGAGGATTTCTCGTATGAGTCGGAACAAGTGGTGAACCGGATAGCAGCCGCAATAGCCTATGTACCCGGTGTGTTATGTGGACTGGTGATCGGACATATCTTCATTCGAGGACAACCTCGGACTCGTTGGTCTCGAGGATATATGTGGAAATAACCATGTTCCGGATGCAATACCATCACAGTCACAGCAACCTGAGGATTTCTCGTCTGAGCCGGAACAAGTGGTGAACTGGATAGCAGCCGCAATAGCCTATATACCCGGTGTGTTCTGTGGACTGGTGATTGGACATATCTTCATTTCGCACAAACATGAATGGTTCGTGTAAAGATTTCTCCGAAACAATCTTGGTGGCACCATATATGATAGCCCATCTCTTTGTATATCCAAAACTCTGCGTTCTCGTATCAAACTACTTGGTTTAGTTATTTTAATGGTTGAGTATGTAGTAGTTATATAGTAGGTTATAACATTCTCAAATCTTTCAAATGATAATTTCGTATAATATGCTTTGTTTTTTTCTGTAGAATGTCTGCGAATTTGATATCAAAGTTTTCCTTCTCATGAATAATAAACTTTTCAAATGGCAACAAGAATATGTTGAATCTTAAATCCATAACTTCTAGGGTGTGGACAATTTTTGTTGTAAGCCAAAAGGGTGATAAAAATGTTTGGGGTTTATAAAGGTTAATGCGTTATAAGTTTTTAATAACCAAGTATTACTGGTTTCTGAAAATCTACTAATTTCACATATATGTAACTAAAAGTTTATAATTTCATATACGCAGTCTGTCACATCACAACAAAGGTTAATTTCATATCTACATTTAAAGATTCCATTAACTTATTCGAACAAAATTTGGAGGATTTCTTGACAGCTTGAATTCAGAGAGCTAGCGTTACTTTAGTGTTGTTAGTCGAACTTTTGCTTAGTCGACAAACGGTGGAAACACGTAATCACGTATCCCAATATGTGTGATATATCCTTCTAATGATAATTCGACATTCAAATTATAAAATAAAACCATGTCACAGGCTGGAAAACCAAGAATAATGGTGACAATCAATTTTTGAATATATTGATAATTTTTCTTTGAAGTTGTTCCGGCAAACTCCTATATTTTATGGAACATCTTTCGTAGAAATCTCTAAGTGTGTTAACTTATTGAGAAAAGTATCAAGGACGAAAGCCTATATCGAGATTGCAGAAGTGAATGATACTTGAGATGGAATTATATTATATGCTCTGTTCTAGGCCGCTCCTAATATGGCGTGTTGCTCCAAAATTATAGACTTCGGGCGTGTTGCTCCTAATCTGGGTCCAATAATCTGTGCTATATAAAAATATGTGTTTGTTGTGTTCGTCGTCTCAGTGCATCTTGGAAACTTCAGTGTATCCAAAAAGAACACGAGTTGCTTAAGAGCATTCTCAGAGCACCCGTATAGTTGAGACGATGCAGAATCTCCAAAATCTTATATATAATAAGAGGTTATCTTTCTTCATTTGATCGCAACTGGGAGAAATGGTCAATGACTTTCTTATAGTAGAGTATATCGAAGGAGAAAAAGTTATATATATTTAATGAATAAAAAAATTGATGAATCAGGTTAGGATAATATGGCGAGCTAGACGGCTCCAAAATCTACCTAGAGAGACCGCTCTAAAATCGTTTCGGGGAGAGACGTCTGCGAAAATTAATTTCACTATAGATAATTTTTTTTTTTATCTTCTTTTGTTATAGAGATCTACCAAATATCAGTAGTGAGATCTCATGAGTCTTGTCTCTTACAATTAAAAGAAAACAAAATAAATGAAAAATAAAAGAGAAGGAACAAAAAAGAGAGAAAACAGAAACGTCCTCCTATGAGATATCCAACAAGAAAACATGTGATGATACTCTTGTATGAGTTGTTACTTTGTGACTGGTTTGGTTTATTTTTGTAATATAATATTTAGTTATCTACTTAAATTATATATAAAACTATTACTTTTGATTATTGATAAGATACATTTCATATGGCTGAAGATGCTCTAAAGAATTTCGGAAATTTTCTACAGTTGAGAAATATAGCAATTTGTAAGTCTTTTTAATCAATAAGATAACATTAAAAATACTATCTATAAACAGTTTGAGAATATATAAAAACACACACAGTTTGAGGATTAAAATGAAGAAAATAACGATTTCTATCAAATGATATATTCAAATTTCAAAGGGATATTAAAGAGATGAAAACTAAAAAGTAGTCCTGGATGTGCAAACTTTTCCCATTAGAAAAGACCATAAAAATTACAACACCAACCATACTTAAAGAAAGAAAAAATATCAAAACCGAAAATAACAAACACAACATTTGACGAGCTTATATAGGTATTGGAGTACAGACTAAAAAAACGTTAAAATAAAAATAAAATAAAAAGATAGATGGTCTTAATGAGCACTTGTGGTGCCACCAATATTGTTTAGCAGAAATCTTTACACAAACCATTCGTGTTTTTGTGAAATAAATATATGCCCGATCACCAATCCACATAACAAACCAGGTACATAGGCTATTGCGGCTGCTATCCAGTTCACCACTTGTTCTGGCTCAGAAGATATATCTTCGGGTTGCTGATGTAATGAAGATGCACTCGGAACATAGATATTTCCACAGATTTCTTCGAGACCAATGAGTCTGAGGTTGTCCTGGAATGAAGAACAATGTTGCCTTTGAAGCTGTGTGCCTCGTGGCACTGGACCTTCTAAAAGGTTGTGAGAAAAGTCAAAGTACGACACGAAGGAGAGATTGCCAAGATCACGAGGAATATGACCTGAAAGCTTATTGCGAGAGAGGTCTAGTGCTTCAAGATTTGTTATATTTGCCAAAGACGATGGGATAGTGCCAGTGAATGCTGTAGAGAAACCAGCACCGATAGTGCTTAGCACTAGCCCAAGACCGTAATACCCGAGAAACCCGAAAGAAACAATAAACCCTCTAAGTATGAAGAGAAATATGGAAGAACACAAGAGAATACTTGAAAGACTTTTAAGAAGAACAAGAGAGAACTTAGCTTTAGAACACTCTTTATTAACTTGTTCAATTTCTTGTGCATTTACAAATGAGGGGGTGAGGAGGTATTTATAGCCTCCCAAATCTACTTACAAAGTTTCTACACTCTTCTATAACCTCCTTAGGTCCTAGATATTTCTTCTTCTTCTTCTACAACTTTCTACAAATTATCTTACAAGTTTATCCTAATCTCTAGAACTCTCTAACATAATATCTAGATTTCTTGTCTTACAAGAACTAGAAAGTTCTACATAAATATCTAGAGAGTTATCTAGTAGAATTCTCTAGAAAATTTGAGGAAGTGATGACCTCTTATGATGTTTCTAGAGAGTTCTAGAACTTGGGCCTAATTTTGGGTTTAATAATAATTTGTTTATGGACCCAAAATTAAACCTTGATCAAAATCAAGTTTAATTTCAATACTCCCCCTTAAACTTGATTTTATCAACCATCCCGAGTTTCGAGCGAAGTAACTCGAACTGACCTTTTGGTAGTGACTTGGTGAAGATATCTGCAACATTATCCTCACTTCGAACCTCCAAAGCTTCAATTGTTCCATCAAGCACCTTCTCCCGTATGAAGTGATGTTCCAACTCAATATGCTTCGTCCTTGCATGGAACACCGGATTGTTAGCCAGCTTGATAGCACTTTGGTTATCTCCATATATGGCAACCGGCTTGTTGATTGGCTCAAACAAATCTTCAAGAAGCCTTCGAAGCCAAATACACTCTTGGGCTGCGAGCGTCGAAGCTTTATACTCCGCTTCAGTGGTAGACAGCGACACCGTTGCTTGTTTCTTGCTGCACCATGAAACGCTTGTGTCTCCACACAAGAACACAAAGCCCGAAGTTGATTTTCGACCATCTAGATCTCCACCAAAGTCAGCATCCGTGAAGCCATAGAGAGAGACCTTGGCATTGTACTTGTACATTAGACCCATGCCAAGAGTTGTCTTCACATACTTCAAGATCTTCTTTGCCGCTTCTAGATGTGGCTTCCTTGGTGACTGCATAAACCGACTTACAAGACCAACCGCGAAGGAAATGTCAGGTCTTGTAATGGTTAAGTATAGAAGACTTCCCACAAGAGAACGATAAGGCCGAGGATCGGGTAGCAAGGATCCTTCATCGCGCTTCAGCTTGATGTTCGCATCCATCGGAGTAGTACGTGTCTTTCCTTCGTGTACCCCGAACTTCTCTACAATCCTTCTTGCGTAGCTATGTTGGCCGATGAATATTCCATCCTTCATCCTTTCAACCTCCAAACCAAGAAAGTTGTTCAGCTCACCCAACATCTTCATCTCAAACCTTATCGACATATCCTCTTGCAGACGAGCAATTTCCGCTTCATCATTCCCGGTAATTATCAAGTCATCCACATAAAGAAGGACTACCACGTGGACTCCTCCATTCTTCTTGAAGAACAGACTCGGATCAGAGTTCGACGGAGAGTAACCGCAAAACTGAAGAAACTGAGCAAGCTTTCCATACCAGGCCCTTGGAGCTTGTTTTAACCCATACAAAGCCTTCTTTAGCTTGCAAACATAATCGGGATGCTCTTGTGATATGTAACCAAGTGGTTGCTCCATATAGATTTCTTTATCAAGTTCTCCGTATAGAAAAGCGTTCTTCACATCTAACTGCCATAACTTCCAGCCAAAGCTTGCAGCTAAAGATAAGAGTGTACGTACCGTAGTCATCTTCGCCACTGGACTGAAAGTCTCATCATAGTCTTCTCCATACTTCTGAGAAAATCCCCGAGCAACCAATCTTGCTTTGTGTCTATCAATGTTTCCATCCCTCTTACGCTTGATCCGGTACACCCATTTGCATGAGACGGGTTGGACATCCTTGGGTTTTGGAACCAAATCCCAAGTTTCATTTTTCTTTAGAGCATCCATCTCCTCCTTCATTGCGGTCTCCCACTCTTTAACTCCTTTTGCTTCATCATAAGATGATGGTTCTTCTTCATCAAAAGGAGATGCAAAGTAGCATGAGTAAGTAGTAACAAACCTTTCATCTCTGTACCGAGCAGGTTTAACGATGTCCCGTTTTGGTCGTTGATTAGCCAAGGAACCATGATCTTCCTCCTCCTCTTCCTCTTGGTTAGTGCTCCCCCTTTCACCTTGCATCTCTGGTTCAGAAATTCCACCATCACTTGGTATCTGAGCAGCTGGTTCATCGTCTTTAAGTGAGCCCGCACCATCTTGCTCAACCAAGACTTGAGGAGATCCGTAATATGAAGACACTTCATCAAAGACAACATCACGAGATACAGTGTATCTGTGTGTCTCTGGATCCATACACCTCCACCCCTTCCTTTGTTCATCATAGCCGACAAAGATGCACTTTTTCGCCTTTGCCTCCAGCTTGGTTCTTTGAGAGTCGAACACATGGACATAGCAGATAGATCCAAATATCCTGAGATGTTTCACTGTTGGCTTCTTCCCATGAACCATCTCATAAGGAGACTTCATATTATTTGGACTAAGCGGCATCCGATTGATGACATAGGCTGCACATCTCATCCCTTCTGCCCATAGAGCCTTAGGCAAATTCTTCGCATGTAGCCAGCTTCTACACGTCTCACTTAGATGCCTTATCTTCCTTTCTGCTACTCCATTTTGTTGAGGTGTGTATGGACATGAAAATTCTCTCTTGATACCATGCTTTCGGCAGAAAGAGAGAAACTCGTTTGACATAAACTCCCCTCCATTATCCGTCCTTAAGGTCTTGATTTTCCGACCCAACTCTCCTTCCACGGTAACCTTGAATTCTTGAAACTTGGAGAATACTTCTGACTTTTCCTTCACAAAGTATACCCAGGTGTACCGTGAGTAATCATCAACGAACAACAGCATGTAGCGGAACCCGGAATAGGAGGATGTTCTCGTCGGACCCATCAAATCACTATGGATCCTCTCCAACGGAGCATTGCATCGTGAAGTAGAATTGTCAAATGGAAGTCTATGTGATTTTCCATATTGACAACCTTCACAAAGCTTTCCTTCATCTTGAATCTTCAACTTTGGGAGCCCATTAACCAGATCTTTATTCACCATAGCCTTCAGCTTAGTCATATTTATATGGCCAAGCCTAGCATGCCAAATAAAAGCATTATCATTCGTACTCATCTTCTCAATGTACGAATTTGAGGCCGATAAGACATAAAGATCTTTAACCCGTGCTCCGGTGTGAACTACGTCCGCCTTTAACTCTTGAATATTCTTCAAGAATTTAACGTCTTTTGGTCCAAATAAAACGTAGTTACCTGAGTCCACCGCATTCACCACGGAAAGAAGATTCTTCTTAACTCCAGGGACATGGTATACGTTCTTGAGAGTGATTGGGCCTCCTTCTTCTCCTTCAATAACAATAGTCCCTTCCTTCTCAACCCGGTGGATTGAATTATCCGCAGTGATAATAGCTTCTTTCCCGTCATGACGTTGAAGACTAGAAAATAACTTCTCGTTTCCGGTAATATGATGGCTACAACCCGAATCCACAATCCAATCATTTCCAAGATTTTTAGTTGTGGATGTACCTGAAGATGCAGCCTCCACCGTGAAACATTTCCCCCAATCTTCGTCTTCAGTATGACTTTTTGATTCCGCCATATTGGTTTCCTTCAGCTTGACCCGACAGTCCTTTTTGAAATGCCCAAGCTTTCCACACCGGTAACACTTGAACTGCTTCTTGTCTCCCGTAGAAGATCTTTCCCGTCCATCATTATTCTTTACACCATCATTCTTGGTTTTTCCTTTGTAGCTCTGTTGCCTCCGAGCTACAAAAGCGCTCCCCGAGTCATCATGGATTTTGACTCCCGCCATTTGCGTGGCTAAGGATTCTTGCGAAGCTAGCAGATTTTCAAACTCCTCCAAGGAAGGTTGTGTAGCCCATCCTTGAACGGAAGTCACAAACGGTGTATATTCGGGTCGTAAACCACGAATAATAGACCGCTTTAACCGAGCTTCCGAAATAGACTCCTCCGGATTAAGAGTGTTAATCTCAGAGCAAAGGTTCTTTACCTTGATGAAGAACTCTGAGATTGAAGACTCCCCCTGCTTCGCATTCGCCAACTCGTTCTCTAACAGTTGTAGACGAGCCTCATTCTTCTTGTTGAACAGTTGGTCCAACGCTTGCCAAATGGAACTAGCGGATGTGCACCTTGAGACATGCTCAAATACTCCCGAGGATATTGACCTCTTCAATGCAAACTCCGCCTTGGCATTCTTCCGTGTCCATTCCTTTGTCGCTTCCGCTGTCGCAGCAGCTCCCATTGGTGGTGTGGTGCTACTGCCGCCGACGACATCCCATAAGTCCTCACTCACCAAGTATGACTCCATACATGACTTCCATAACCGGTAGTTAGATTGGTTTAAGATCTCCATTCCCAATCCAACAACACGACCCATTGATTCCATACTTAGAGTAAACCCGAGTTCTCCTAAGTCCCGATCTTGATGAGCACAAGATTAGAATGGCTCTGATACCATGTAGAGAAACCAGCACCGATAGTGCTTAGCACTAGCCCAAGACCGTAATACCCGAGAAACCCGAAAGAAACAATAAACCCTCTAAGTATGAAGAGAAATATGGAAGAACACAAGAGAATACTTGAAAGACTTTTAAGAAGAACAAGAGAGAACTTAGCTTTAGAACACTCTTTATTAACTTGTTCAATTTCTTGTGCATTTACAAATGAGGGGGTGAGGAGGTATTTATAGCCTCCCAAATCTACTTACAAAGTTTCTACACTCTTCTATAACCTCCTTAGGTCCTAGATATTTCTTCTTCTTCTTCTACAACTTTCTACAAATTATCTTACAAGTTTATCCTAATCTCTAGAACTCTCTAACATAATATCTAGATTTCTTGTCTTACAAGAACTAGAAAGTTCTACATAAATATCTAGAGAGTTATCTAGTAGAATTCTCTAGAAAATTTGAGGAAGTGATGACCTCTTATGATGTTTCTAGAGAGTTCTAGAACTTGGGCCTAATTTTGGGTTTAATAATAATTTGTTTATGGACCCAAAATTAAACCTTGATCAAAATCAAGTTTAATTTCAATACTCCCCCTTAAACTTGATTTTATCAACCATCCCGAGTTTCGAGCGAAGTAACTCGAACTGACCTTTTGGTAGTGACTTGGTGAAGATATCTGCAACATTATCCTCACTTCGAACCTCCAAAGCTTCAATTGTTCCATCAAGCACCTTCTCCCGTATGAAGTGATGTTCCAACTCAATATGCTTCGTCCTTGCATGGAACACCGGATTGTTAGCCAGCTTGATAGCACTTTGGTTATCTCCATATATGGCAACCGGCTTGTTGATTGGCTCAAACAAATCTTCAAGAAGCCTTCGAAGCCAAATACACTCTTGGGCTGCGAGCGTCGAAGCTTTATACTCCGCTTCAGTGGTAGACAGCGACACCGTTGCTTGTTTCTTGCTGCACCATGAAACGCTTGTGTCTCCACACAAGAACACAAAGCCCGAAGTTGATTTTCGACCATCTAGATCTCCACCAAAGTCAGCATCCGTGAAGCCATAGAGAGAGACCTTGGCATTGTACTTGTACATTAGACCCATGCCAAGAGTTGTCTTCACATACTTCAAGATCTTCTTTGCCGCTTCTAGATGTGGCTTCCTTGGTGACTGCATAAACTGTTTATGGACCCAAAATTAAACCTTGATCAAAATCAAGTTTAATTTCAATAAATGCATTGCCTGATAAGTTGAGAAAACGTAACTCCTTCAACAAGCCAATGGAATTAGGAATCCATCCTTCAAATTTATTTCCGGAAAAGTCGATTGCTTTGTAGCCACGGTAGATCCGTGAAAACTCTGTTTCTACACCTTTATAAATCATAACCATCGAGTCTTCATAACTGTTTAATTCGCCCATATATACAGAAAATGTGTTGAATCTGAATAAATAGTCAACTTTTTCATCTCTTGACGGTATGGTCTCATCTATCCACACCGATGACATGTCAAGCCAGTTCACAAAATAATCTTGTGGCAGTGTTCCATTGAAGTTGTTATGCGATATGTCAATGACTCGTAGAGTTGGAAACCCCAAAGGTGCAGAGATTGGACCATAGAATGCATTGGATCCGAGCAACATAACACGTAATGATCCCAAATATTCCAGCCAGTACGGAAACGTGTCCTTGATCTTGTTTCCTTTCAAACTCAGAAATTCCATCTTGCTGCAATGGATCAAAGACTTTGGAACCTTCCCCACTAGCTGGTTGTAGCTAACGTCTAGGGTTTGTAACTCAGTAGTATTGAAAAAGATATCTGGAAGGGATCCACTTAGGTTGTTTCTTCTTAGATTTATATATGTAAGAGTAGTGGAATTCATCAAAAATGAAGGAAAGGAACCAGTGAAATGGTTGTTTGACAAATCTAGGACATCTAATGAGTAGGACTGGAAGATCCATTGGGGAATTAGTCCTTGGAGTAAATTTGAACTAAGATCAAAGCGGCATCCATTGAAGACTTCTTCCAGTGATTTTCCAAGGCTAGTGAAAGAATTATGAGAAAGCCTCAACATATATACTTTCCATAAGAAACTTGGTACTTGACCTTGCAACTTATTGTAAGAGAGATCAAGGTCAAATAGCGGTAGTTTGGACATGGACCTAGGGATTGGACCAATGAAACTGTTATGGCTAAGATTTAAATACGAGAGATTAAAAAATCCAGATACACATTCTGGGAGTGGTCCACAGAAATTGTTATTAGCAAGGTCAACAGAAACTAAAGAGGATGATGGTGTATTCCCAAACTCTAAATTCCCCTCAAATTGGTTTTCATGCGAGTCAACCCATTGTAACGAAGGAATTGAGAATATGGAAGTAGGGAAATTCCCAAAAAACAAGTTTCCACTCACATCAACATACTTCAATATGTGGAGTCGGTTCATGTCAGAAGGAAGTGTGGATTTGAAGTGATTATCATCAAGAAGTAAGAAGGTTAAGCTGGTTAAATTTGGTAGTATACGAAGAAAATCTCCACCGCTGAATTTATTATGACTGAGGGATAAAAAAAACATTTTGTTGAAATTGGCAAATGAAATAAGAATGTTACCACTCAAGTCATTCCAACCAAGCGCAAGACTTGTGAGACAAGATAAGTTTCCTAGTGAAGGTGGAATCTTTCCTATAAGATGGTTGGCCTCAAGATTCAAGCCACTTAGCCTAAGGTTGCCGATGGAAGGTGGAATCTCACCTACCAAGTAGTTATTAGAAAGATCTAGTTCTATGAGGTGAGACAGGTTTCCTAGTGAAGAAGGGATCTCTCCTCTCAGAAGGCAATAGGAAAGGCTAAGGTGGCGAAGATGTTGGAGTTTAAAAAGACTACTGTTTGACTTCAAAGAGCCGTTAAAAGCAATCCATATAAGGACGAGAGATATCACCTCACCGGATTTAGCATCGCATGTGACACCTTTCCAAGAACAGCAATCATCACTGCTTGTATTCCATGAACTTAAAGGTGAAAGACCATACAATTCATTGTGGACCGATACACTGCCCGGAAATTCGTTTTTGAACTCCAAAAGTGCATTTCTTTGGAGCGTAGGTGAAGCAAGAGTGTTTAATATTAAGGAAGCAGAGAAGAAGAAGGAAAAAGATTGCCTTGGAATCAACATCATATCAACTTTCTTTCCTCTCTTAAGTTTTTAATTTTGTGGTTAGTAAGTAAGTTGTGTAGTGTGCCTATGCCGTCCCTTTATGGAGCTTTGGTTTCTCAAGTCAACTATGTTGAATTTTCAAGTCTTCTATGATTAAATGAAATAATAGTAATTATACCACATGGTTGAAAACTCTTAAATAAGATTTGGGTCTTAGACTCTTTTAGACTTAGCTGCCCAATTAGTTTTGACTAGAACCCAATACTGACCAAAGTGTACAAGTAAAAAGACAAAATGTTGAATATTAGTAGATTAAATTAACAAAATACTGAAATACCTTCCAAACGTTGAATATTACTAGTAGGTTAAATTAACAAAATAAATAAATAAAAAAACAAATACTGAAATACCTTCCAAAAAGGGCATAAACAACACAAGTTAATTTAAAACTAGAACCCAATACTGAAATACCTTCCAAACAAATACCTTTCAAATTTTCCATGATCGAATTATAATTTTTGTTGATCTGCCAACAAAAAAATGCTTTTGTCTGCTTAATCTCTGTTATATAATCTGTGTTTCGTTGGTTGTGTTTGTTGTGCATCTTGGAAACGTCAGCGTATCCAAGAGAGCACACGAGTTGCTTAAAGAACTTCGGAAAGCTACAACTAAGATCTTAGTCATTAGGATTCTAAATATAACCAGTTTGTTAAATTATTTTAACAGTTTGAGAATTATTTGTTGATCTGCCAACAAAAAAATGCTTTTGTCTGCTTAATCTCTGTTATATAATCTGTGTTTCGTTGGTTGTGTTTGTTGTGCATCTTGGAAACGTCAGCGTATCCAAGAGAGCACACGAGTTGCTTAAAGAACTTCGGAAAGCTACAACTAAGATCTTAGTCATTAGGATTCTAAATATAACCAGTTTGTTAAATTATTTTAACAGTTTGAGAATTATTTTTAAAAATGCAGAAGTCAAACACATATTTTCTCTTCAAATTGCTAACAGAATTTCCATTAACCATTCAATAAGAGAAAATTCTTTGAAGATGGCAATTCTACAAGTTTTCTTTAAAGTGTGTATACTTTGTTTACAATATGTTTTGTACAGTAAATAATATTATATATTTTAATTCTAGATTAGAAAATGTAAATTAACTTTTGTTGTTCATGCCCTTTTTAACCCGTACAGTAAAAACGTTGAATATTAGTAGATTAATTTTAGGTTGAGAGCATTTTTTCTTTTTCTTTTTGGTAGTGCCAAATGCTTACAACCAATCCGCGTTGGTCCAGTTGGTTAAAGGTCTCACAATTGTGAGTTCTCCTTCCTGGGTTCAATTCGGGTTAGCCACCTAGCTACCTTTTAGGCAAAGTTGGATTAGTCATTGGGCTTAGAAAACTTTTTTGGAAATCAACTTTTGAAAGAAAAAAATGATCAAACACATTTGCTAATGCTACGTTCTTTGAATAATACATATAATTTTTAAAATTAAAAAAAAAAAAAATCTCATGCAAAATTGGTCATCCGGTTGCACACTTCCACAACATCTTTCAAGTTTCAACACTTCTAATTCTATCCCAAAAATATTTTAAAGTAAATACTATTCGCATCAAAGTAATTGAGTTTTATACCCATGGTTGAAAATTCTTAGATAAGATAAGATCCATTATTATTGGTCCTAAATTAGGTCTTATTAGACTCTTTTACCCTTAGTTTGTCTAGAACGGCCGCTAAGTACTGACCGAAGTGTACATCTCTTTTTTATAACAAAGACACAACTTAACAGTCATCACAAATCACCTGACTGAAAGAGATGGAGAATCAAATACCTTCCAAAGGGATTCTCAAGAACGAAGGTCTCAAACAGGTTTTTCCATGATTGAGTTATATGTTTTGTTGATCTCCCCAAAAAAACTGGTTTTGTCTGGTTATAAAAGGATATTTGTTATATATATATATATATATAGCGTATCCAAGAGAGCACGAGTTGCTTAAGGCACTTCGGAAAACTACCGTTGTGAAATATGGCAATTTGTAAGTCTTCTTAATCATTTGGATTCTATATATAATCAGTTTGTTGAATAAGTATTTATCATCTTTAGGTAGATTGATGTTTATGTTGCATCCCCATATATAGCCTCTATGTTTCCAGTTTTTTGTTCTTTTTATTGGCTTAAATAGCTTATGCTAATATATACATTATCTTGGCTTAGATTATATTATTAAGCTGTCAAAGAGAAATAGGAATAAGAATGAAGGCAAAAGAGCAAGGAAATTTACTTTGTTCTCAGTTTATATTTAGTTTTGGCTTCTTTGTCTTATCATTTGGATCTTGTTTTCACTTTCCATTAATATTTATAGATATAATCTATCAAGGGTTCTGTTGCTAGTTTTCAAGGAACTCAGTTTCATGTTACAACAAACATTGCTGGCAAAGCTGCTACAGCTCCTCTGCTTAGTGTCCGTGGTATCATTCTGGAAAACAAACTGGCTCCACTGGCTTATCTGCTCCATGCCATAGATGTTTTATGGACTGTCTTTAGGAAAGAAACATATCAGAGAAGGTGCTTGTATGTTGATTTTTCATGGACTAAGGTTCTGGATTTCGTTCATTAAGCTAAGACACGACTCTAGAAGCTGACGGTGAGAATAGCTAACAATAACATTCCTTCTAGATAAGCTTGGAGATCATAGATTCCAAAGAAGTATTTTTTCCGCTGTAAAGTCGATTGCTTTATCAATTGAGTACGCTAAAAAGTCATCTTATTTCTCATTAGTGGATTCATTTTTTTTCCAGGGATGAAACAGAGACAGAAACTCAAGTCTTCAAAGTCATCTTGTGAATTCAGCTCTTGCCACTGTGATGGTCGAGCATTATAGCGAGGTTGATTCTTCTTATGACTCAACTGACGCTGGGAATGAGAAGTGAGTTGCAGCCAACCAAGAAGACATCATCACTTTGATTTGCAGTCATATATTCCACCATGAATTTTTAAAATGTAATTTTTGCTATTCCAACACTTTTTAACTGTATGTGTTCATTTACCCCAAAAAAGTATGTCTGCGTCATCAGAAATTTTTTGAAAAGATTTTGCAGAGGTTTATAGAAGGTTTTTTAGTTGTCATGATGAAAATGAAGTTTTAGTTCCGGTCCAAAATTTTGGCCGTGATAGACATCTGAATTTACCTCTAAAAAATAAAACTGATGAGCCATATCCACACAACAAAATCATTACATATCACCTTCACATTTTGAATCTTCCATACTATATAACAAACAGAAAATAAATATAAGTAAAATTGAATAAAAACATTTCTTCATTAAAAAACTAATAACCAAATTTATGGAATCTGCATAAAAACATAATTTCGCGCAACGCGCAGGCTCCTACCTAGTATAGGAATGTTACCACTCAAGTAATTTCCACCAAGCTCAAGACTTGTGAGACAAGATAAGTTTCCTAGTGAAGGTGGAATCTTTCCTATAAGGCGGTTGGACTCGAGATTCAATACACTTAGCTTAAGGTTGCCGATGGAAGGTGGAATTTCACCTACCAAGTAATTATAAGAAAGATCTAGTTCTATGAGGTGAGACAGGTTTCCTAGTGAAGAAGGGATCTCTCCTCTCAGAAGGCAAAAGGAAAGGCTTAGGTGGCGAAGATGTTGGAGTTTAAAAAGACTACTGTTTGACTTCAAAGAGCCGTTAAAAGCGATAGATATAAGGACGAGAGATATCACCTCACCGGATTTAGCATCGCATGTGACACCTTTCCAAGAACAGCAATCATCACTGCTTGTGTTCCATGAACTTAAAGGTGAAAGACCATACAATTCATTGCGGACCGATACACTGCCCGGAAATTCGTTTTTGAACTCCAAAAGTGCATTTCTTTGGAGCGTAGGTGAAGCAAGAGTGTTTAATATTAAGGAAGCAGAGAAGAAGAAGCAAAAAGATTGCCTTGGAATCATCATCATATCTCTTTCTTTCCTCTCTTAAGTTTTTAATTTTGTGGTTAGTAAGTAAGTTGTGTAGTGTGCGTAATGCCGTCCCTTTATGGAGCTTTGGTTTTTCAAATCTTCTATGATTAAATGAAATAAAAGTAATTATTATTCGCATACTATGGTTGAAAAGTCTTAGATAAGATTAGACTCTTTTACACTTGGCTGCTCAATTAGTTTGGATTTGACTAGAACCCATCAACCCAATACTGACCAAAGTGTACATGTAACAAAGACAAAACTTAACAACGCACATCACAATCAAGAGACTGAGAGAGATGGCGAATGAAATACCTTCCAAAGGGTTCTCAAGAGCGAAGCTCTTAAACAGGTTTTCTTTTCTTATTATTTTCAAATTTTCCATGATCGAATTATAAATTTTGTTGATCTGCCAAAAAAAAAAAGGTTTTGTCTGCTTAATCTCTGTTATATACAGTAGAACCTCTATAAAACAATACTCGATAAAACAATAAACACTATAAGATAATAATTTTCTCCGGTCCCAACTCGGGCCAATGTAAAAAATAGCATAATGCGATAAGATGATAAGACAATAATATTTTTGAAACTCCTATGTAAAAATATAGTCCCAACAATAAGCTAAGATAATAATTATAAAACTAAGGCATATATATCTAAGACAATTTAGTAAAATATGACTCCAATGTAGTTTGTCTTTTCTGAAAGTTGGATTCCCGTTGGAGCTCATCTCGAATTTTTCTTATTGCATCTACAATTTCTGTGTGTATTCTCAACTTGCAGCAAAAGTTGTGAAGAGTTCTCGAAGCCACAATTGCTTAACTACTTGCACATGTCTTTCCTCATCATCTTCAACTTCATCTTCACCATTAAGAACAGTAGACATAATTTCTTCTAGATTTTGAACTTCTGAGCATGAAATATGTAAATAACAAAGTATAAGGAAAATTTGAATAAAAAAGTGAAAAAATATATTTCTATAAAGTTTCTTGTTTTTGATAGAATATTTCTATAAAATAATAATTATTGTTTTATCGATAAAATAATAATTATTTTTTATCGATAAAATAATAACTCTATAAGATAATAAAATTTCAAAGTCCCAACATTATTGTTTTATAGAGGTTTTACTGTAATCTGTATTTTGTTGGTTGTGTATGCCACAGTACATCTTAGAAACGTCAGCGTATCCAAGAGAGAGCACACGAGTTGCTTAAAGAACTTGGGAAAGCTACAACTGAGAAATATGGCAATTTGTAAGTCTTAGTCATTATAGCACATGCATATACTCTCGACGTTTCTCAAACAAAAACAAAAAAATAAAATAAATATAAAAATAATCTATGTGGCGAAATTAATGTCAAGAAGAGATTTGGAGACGTCTCTGAAGTAAAGTTCGACAGATGACTTAATATTATTTATAAACTTTTTATTTTTCTTTTTTTTCTCTAAGGACAAAGTAATTTTTTAAAAGATTGTGCATCATCTCTGCGATGCATTTGCTCTTAGGATTCTAAATATAACCAATTTGTTAAACTATTTTAACAGTTTGAGAATTATTTTAAAAAATGAGAAAAATATTTTTTTTCAGGCAGAAGTCAAACATATATTTTCTCTTAAAAATATATATATCCTTTTGCTAAATATGTCCTTATGAATATAATATACTAACAGAATTTCCATTAACCATTCACTAAGAGATCAATCTTTGAAGATGGCAATTGTACAAGTTTTCTGTAAAGTGTATACAGTACTTTGTTTACAATATGTTTTTTGTACAGTAAATAAGATTGTATATTATAAATCTAGACAAGAAAAGGTAAATTAACTTTTTGTTGTTCATGCCCTTTTTTAACGCCTACAGTAAAAACGTTGAATATTAGATTAACTTTTAGGTTGAGGGCATTTTTCTTTTCTTTTTGGTAGTGTCCAAATGCTTATAGGAATGTGTAGATTTTAGGATTTGAATGATAAAAGCAGCACACAGTTGCTAGTGCTACGTTCTTTGAATAATACTGCTATATAATTTTTGAACTAAAAACAAAAATTCTTATCCAAATTGGGTCATCCGCTTGCACAGTTCCACAACATCTTTCAACACTTCTAACGCAAAAATATTTAAAAGTAAATATTATTCGCATCAAAGTAATTGAGTTTTCTACCCATGCATGCTTGAAAAGTCTTTAGATAAGATAAGATCCATTGTTATTGGTCCTAAATTAGGTCTTAGACTCTTTTATGTACCCTTAGTTTGACTAGAACGGCCGGTACGTACTGACCGAAGTGTACGGTGATCTCCTTTTTATAACAAAGACTCAACTTAACAGTCATCACAAATCACCAAACTGAGAGAGATGGATAATCAAATACCTTCCAAAGGGATTCTCAAGCACGAAGCTCTCGAACAGGTTTTTCCATGATCGAGTTATAAGTTTTGTTGATCTGCCAAAAAAAATTGGTTTTGTCTGGTTATAAAAGGATCTTTGGTTGATCTTGTTTTGTTGGTTGTGTTCGTCTCATGCAGTACATCATGGAAACGTCAGCGTATCCAAGAGAGCACGAGTTGCTAAAGGAACTTCGGAAAACTACAGTTGAGAAATATGGCAATTTGTAAGTCTACTTAATCATTAGGATTAATCTATATATAACCAGTTTGTTAAATTAAGAATTTTTTTTATCTTTAAACAGTTTAAGAATTATTTTAAAAATATGAAAGAAAAAATTTGAGGATTATAAAAAATGAGCAAAATTCTTTTATTCTTTGTACTATTTGTGGAAGTGTCAATACTTTGTGTATCTTTATAGAGTTTTTTTCTCTTTTTTCATAAAAAACGCAGCAGCGGGATGGGGGTTCCAGTTGATGAGGGTCATTTTCTATCGATGCTTCTAAAGATCATGAATGCTAAGAACACTCTCGAGCTTGGTGTTTTCACCGGTTACTCTCTTCTCACCACGGCTCTTGCTTTGCCTGAAGATGGTCGTGTAATGATTCTTCTTCTTCTTGCTATAATCATATTGATGGGATTGTCTTTTAAGCATATTTTAAAGATAAAATCTTTAGAATTTTTTTAATATGATTATAAATTAGAGCCTATAATTTAAGAAAAATAAAATTCTACAAACACATCATCTGTAACCTGAATATAAAATACTGTATGCACATGGTCTACTAATATTTGAGACGGCTAAAAAAAAAAGATATTGGTTTTGATTCACAAAATACGATGGATACTATTTTGGATCCAGATAACTGCCATAGATATTGACAAAGAAGCTTACGAAGTGGGACTAGAGTTTATCAAGAAGGCAGGTGTCGATCACAAGATCAATTTCATCCATTCCGATGGTCTTAAAGCCCTAGACCAATTGGTGAACGACGTACGTGTAAAAAGATCTATTTTTATTATTTTTCTAGTTAAACTTAAATTAACTCTCTTTTTTTTACTAATGGTCATACTCTTACATATACAACATGCATTGGAAAAAAAGCAGAATCAGAAGTTTGATTTTGCATTTGCGGATGCTGATAAGTCAAACTACGTTAACTTTCATGAGAGGCTTCTGAAACTGGTGAAGGTTGGAGGAATCATTGCGTTCGACAACACCTTATGGTTTGGTTTTGTGGCTGAGGATGAAGAAGGAGTTCCTAGGCTTATGAGGGAATATAGAGAGGCTCTTATAGAATTCAATAAGAAACTGGCTTTTGATCCTCGAGTGGAGATTTCTCAAATCTCCATTGGAGATGGTGTCACGCTCTGTAGACGCCTTATATGATCAAAATACTACTTTAAGACGTAAGACTAAAGTTTGGGAGCTTAGAATAAAACTGTTACTTTTCGTTAAAAAAAAAAAGAATAAAACTGTTACCTACTTTGTTGTTTGTTTGTTTGTTTAGTTTGTCACAGCTTTTACTTATATATACTGGTGTGTTGATTGATGATCACTCTTCATCTTGTTCCTATACTAAGCTATTGTACAATTATAAAACTTCATGAGGCTGATCCATAATCATGTGAAATATTACATTTTAAATTAAATAGGAATAGTATTGAAAATTGTATATACTTTTCTCAAATATCGTATTAAAATTAGATAGGAATAGTTTATTAACTATATTTAAATATTGTACTATATAATTGGGATAAACAAACTTTTTTGTTTGTTTAATCTTTTGAGGTAACATGTAATATAAGATTCATCCTTTTTAATAAAACACATACATATGCACACTATCGTTGTTCAATTCCATGTTTTCTGCCAAAGTTACATATCCACCCAAATGATATAACACAAATTCTTATCCCAGTAAATACATTTGCTAAAACTCAACCGGATGCTATAGAGAGGGAGAAAAAATTGATCAAGCATTACCTATCAAAGGTATCTCCAAGAGTTGGATCACCCCGCATTCTCCTATCTTCCAGGTGCCAGTGTCAGTGAAAGTGTAGATCTCAAACCTAAAGAAAAGCTCGTCAGAAGTCACCTCTTCTATAATTTCGAATGTGTACAAATGCTCTGCTAATACTGGAGATACAACAAGGTTGGTTGGGCTTTGCGTAACGGTGAGGCCATTCTGTCTGAACATGATGCGACAGTGTAGCCTCATCCATAAACAAGCACCAACACCAGCCTCATTAATCAACAAGATGGAACCCTTAAATCTCAAGGCTGTATGAAGAGGCTTGTGATCCAACTTCAATGTGAGGAAATCTTGAGTAGCTCGGTAAGTGAAGTACGCAGGCACTTCAACACCGGGTAAGATCGTAACTCCACGAGTCTGTATCTGGACGATGAGGTCTCTAGCTTCTTGATTCAGTTTGAAGCAGTTGGCAAAGTTGAGAGTAATATTTTGATTAAGAAAGAAGCAATCAAGTCTTTCCAGTGACTCACAGTTTTCTGCATCTAAATGTGATAAAGAATCTGAAAGTTGTGGGAGTGATACCAACTTTTTGCATCCCTTGAGTATTAGTCGATATAGACGAGACCATGAAACCGTAGATGAAGGTATTTCTTCTATTGCAGTCCCACTAAGCATGAGAAATTTAATGTTTGTAGAGATCTCAGGAAATAACTTAAGTAACACGCAATCAGAGAGATCAACCAGATTTAGGGATTTCAAGTTGATATTAAATGGAAGAACCTTAATCTTTGAGCATCCTTTGAAACTCAACCTCTCCAATTTATGAAGGTTTCCAATAGCGAAAGGGATCTCTACCAGACTTGAGCAACCACTAAAATCCATCTCTGTGATATTAGTAACATTTCCAATAGAAGAGGGGAGCTCCATTAGACTTGAACATCCTATAAGACTCAGTGTATGGAGATTTACAATACTCCCAATTGAAGAAGGAAGCTCAACCAAGCTCAAACATCCACTAAGATCCAATTTGTTGATGATAAAGGCATTACCAATAGAGGAGGGAAGTTTCACCAGCTTGAAGCATCCACTAAGATCCAATTTTCTGAGAAGAAATGCATTACCAATAGAAGAAGGGAGCTCCACAAGACACGAGCAATCAACCAGTGTCAATTCCTTGAGAAAAGTGATGTTTCCAATAGAAAATGGAAGGTCTACAAGCCTTGAGCATCCACCAAGTTTTAATATACTTAGGTTAGTGATATTCCCAATAGAAGAGGGAAGCTTCACCAGATTTGAGCATCCGTCGAGATTTAATGTCTTAAGATTAATGGCATTTCCAATAGAAGAAGGGAGCTCCACTAGGCTTGAGCAACCACTTAGATTAAATTCCACAAGATTAACAGCATTTCCAATGGAGGACGGAAGCTCCAGTAGACTTGAGCAACCACTTAGATTAACATCCAAGAGATTAATTGCATTTCCAATGGAAGAGGGAAGCTCCATTAGACTTGAGCATCCCATAAGATTCAATTCTACGAGTTGAGTGGCACTAGAAATGTCAGGAAGCTCCATGAGGTTCTTGGAATAACTCAAGTCCATCTTCTTCAGATTTCTCAGAGGCTGTACGTACATACTGATGCAGCGCATCTCCTTACTATCGTGGGCTTTACGTCAAACGCTCATGGGCTTTCACGTTTGACGAGTTGGTGTTTAGTTTTTACTTTGTTTTGGTTTTCCTATTATTTTTAGATAACTCTAAATCTTTAGTTGATTAGGATTAGGAGATTCGTTCATAGCTTCTCGTTTTGTATTTAAGGTTGTTCATCGGCTTTGTAGAACACACCTCTTGATTATTATTGAATTGTTAAGAGCTTTACAGCACTGTGAAGAGTATTCACGCCCCTTTCCTCTTGATCTATCAACTCTCACGAGTTCCTAGCTCAAGAATCCAACCCGATCGTCAAGTCCCAGCCGGTTCTTGACCTTCTCTCTGGCAATTGCTTCCGCCTCTCTATCAGTTGGTATCAGAATCAGTACGTTTCTGGAGGTGTTTTCTGTCGTGTGTTAATGGCGCCGAAGAAAACAACAACCACTACCGGTAACAACAACCACGAGCAGCGTCCGGAAGGTCTGACTGCCGAGTGGGCTGAGCTTCGTACCACACTGCTCGCGATGCAGGAACACATTCAAGCAACGATCCACGCATCGATCAACGAGATGGGAGAGATGCTACTGAATCGTTTGGATAATAGGCATCGTCGCCGCGATCACGAAAATCCTTTTGCTTGTCTTGACGGTGAGACAGAAGACGAGGAGGATCCGGATCACAGACGTGTCCATCGACCTGGTCGTAACACAAACAACAATCACGGTGATGATCGTGACAATCGATGGGAGTACAGCTTTAAGGTGGATATCCCTGAATTTCATGGAGGTGTCCGTGGCGATGAGCTCGTTGACTGGATCGTCTCAGTCGAGGAGGTTCTGGATTTCAAGCAAGTCCCCGACGATCGACGTGTCCCACTCGTTGCCATGCGTTTTCGTGGCCACACAGCATCATGGTGGAAACAATTCAAATCCACATGCACGCGTACAGGCAAAGAACCCGTGAAATCGTGGGAGAAACTCAAAAAGCATCTCCGTCACACCTTTCTCCCTCATAACTACGATCGTACTATGTACAATCGCCTGCAAAATCTGAAGCAAGGCAATCGTAGCGTTGATGAATACGCCACTGAGTTTTCACAGCTCCTGACTCGTAATGAGTTATATGACTCGCAAATCCAGCTTGTCTCGCGCTTCATTGGTGGATTACGTCCGCAATTAAAATCAGCGCTGGCACAATTTGACCCAGGTACCGTGTCTGAAGCGCAGCGTCGCGTTGCTACATTCGAGCAACAACAGCGATCGTCGTCGTGGACCACTTCGAGTTCCCGGTCACGACCGCCGGAATCGACGTTATCCCCTGCTGCTGGCGCCTCTCGCGACACTTCTGACCCGACTCCGATCAGTCTACGCCCTCCGCAGATGCCAGAAGAAGCACAGCTCCGCCGTTCCACGCGCCCAAACGCCTTGCGTTGTTATGGTTGCGGTGAGGCAGGGCATCGTCAAACAGCTTGCCCCAACCAATCGCGTCGGGGATTGCTCATCGACGATTCCGCGCCTGACCAACTACCAGTGTATGACTCTCAGGAGGAAACAGAGAAGGACATGGACGTTTTCCAGACTAGCGGTGATACTGGTCCCCTTTTGCTTACTCGCCTCCTCGTCGATTCTCCATCGACCGAGTGGATTGACTCTATGGGCGAACCAATCGCTGAAAGCGACATGACGGCTTCGTTCTTCATGGATCGCGAATCCATCCTCGTGAAATCGCCGTACCTGTGTGATGCCGCCAAGCCGCAGTGACCAATGGCTTCGCACCAACATCTTTCGCTCCACGTGTACGATCAAAGACAAAATCTGCACATTTGTCATCGATTCGGGGAGCTCGCGCAATGTCGTGTCAGCGGACGCGATCAGGAAATTATGAATTCCTATTGAAGCTCATCCGACGCCGTACTCGCTATCGTGGATTCAAGATGGTTGCTCTGTTCGCGTGACTCACCGAGCATTGGTTCCTTTCTCCATTGGCCATGTCTACAAGGATCGCTTCTACTTTGACATCACACCAATGGATGTGAGTCACTTGATTTTGGGCCGTCCTTGGGAGTACGATCGGAAGATTATTCACGATGGAGCGAAGAACACTTACCAGTTCATTTGGGAGATGCACCAAATTCTGCTCTTTCCGACTTTTGAGATGACCGGTCATTCTCCGCTATCTGATGTGCGTTTACAACCGGCACCTCTGGTTCCGTCTACAACGAAGCTGCTTTGCTCCGTCAACGAGTTCGTCGAGAAATTTTGCAGCGAGGGTATCGTTTTTTCCCTGCTTTCAGCGTCGGCAACATCGACTCCTTCTCCGCCTAATGTCGCGTTTACCAAACTCTTGGATAAATTCAGCGACATTTTCCCAACAGACTTGCCAGCTTCTCTTCCTCCTCTACGCGACATCCAACATCACATTGACCTCATCCCGGGTGCGACTCTACCAAACAGACCACACTATCGTATGAGCCCTACCGAGCACGAAGAACTACGCCGTCAGGTTGAGGATCTTCTCAAGAAGGGTCACATTCGCGAGAGTCTGAGTCCCTGCGCAGTTCTAGCTCTGTTGATTCCAAAGAAGGACGGTACGTGGCGTATGTGCGTGGATAGCCGCGCGATCAATAAAATCACTATTCGCTATCGTTTCCCTATCCCACGTCTCGATGACCTCCTGGATCAAATTGGCAAAGCTTCGATTTTCTCCAAAATCGACTTGAAGAGCGGCTACCATCAGATTCGTATTCGTCCAGGAGACGAATGGAAGACAGCCTTCAAGACGCGAGAAGGCTTGTATGAGTGGCTTGTCATGCCTTTCGGATTGTCCAATGCGCCGAGTACCTTTATGCGCATCATGAATCAAGCCCTGCGACCGTTTATTGGTAAATTTGTGGTGGTTTATTTTGACAATATTCTCATCTTCAGCTCGTCTCTCGCCGAGCATGAGGATCACATTCATGCCGTGTTAACAGTCTTGCGGAAGGAACAACTTTGTGCCGCGCGCCACAATTGTGAGTTTTGGTGTGTCACAGGTTCTGTTTTTGGGCTATGTTGTTTCTAACGAGGGTCTCTCGGTGGACCAATCCAAGATTGCCGCCGTTCGCTCTTGGCCGACACCGAAGACAGTAAGCGACGTCCGAAGCTTCCATGGGCTCGCGTCGTTTTACCGCCGTTTTGTGCCCCACTTCAGCTCCATTATGGCTCCGATTACATCGTGCATGAAGGAGGGTGCTTTTCATTTGTCACCGGAAGCTGATGCAGCGTTCGATCTCATCAAAACGAAGATCACTTCCGCTCCGATCCTGGTACTACCGGACTTCTCTCAGACCTTTGAACTACATTGCGATTCTTCCAAGCTTGGTATTGGTGCGGTGCTGAGTCAACAGGAACGCCCTATAGCGTACTACAGTGAGAAGCTAGCAGGAGTTCGCGGTCGTTATAGCACGTACGACGTGGAATTCTATGCTATCGTCCAGGCAATTAAGCATTGGCGCCACTATCTTGTGCACAGGGACTTCGTCCTCTTCACTGACCACGACGCACTTCGCCACTTGGATAGTCAGGTGAAAGTCTCTGCTCGTCACGCCTCTTGGATTGCCTTCCTGCAACAGTTCACTTTCACAATTCGCCATCAATCAGACAAGCTTAATAGAGTTGCCGATGCACTTAGTCGGCGTCACACATTATTGACTACAATGCACACTTCTGTTCCTGGCTTCGCTGCTTTTGCAGAGTTGTATGCCTCGGATCCGTATTTTGGTCGTGTACTTACGGATGTGGAGAATGGTTTGACTGCTGATTTCACCTTGCAGGATGGTTTTCTTTTCAAAGGAGTTTGTGTCTGTGTCCCCGAGTGCAGCTTGCGACTACAAATTATTCAGGAGCTTCACAACGAGGGACATGTCGGCCGTGATAGTACGCTCCAGTTGGTCACCACTTCCTATTTCTGGCCGTCTCTTCGCCGCGACGTTGAGAGGTTCGTCGAACGCTGTCGTGTTTGTCATTTAGCCAAAGAACGAGCGTCTAATGCGGGCCTCTACATGCCTCTGCCCATACCAACTCAACCTTGGACTGATTTAAGTATGGATTTTGTTGTCGGCTTGCCTCGCACGCAACGTGGCAACGACTCTATTTTTGTGGTCGTCGATCGTTTCTCTAAGATGTCCCATTTCATTCCCTGCAAGAAAACAACAGATGCTGTCACGGTTTCGTCTCTGTTTTTCAGGGAAATCTATCGCTTACACGGGCTTCCCTCCTCGATCGTCTCCGACAGAGATACTCGCTTCTTGAGTCACTTTTGGCGGTCTTTGTGGAAGATGTTGAACACTAGTTTGGACATGAGTTCTGCTTACCATCCCCAGACTGACGGGCAAACAGAAGTGACTAATCGCTCGTTGGGTAATTTGCTTCGATGTTTGGTTGGTGATAATGTGAAGAGTTGGGATGCCAAACTGTGTCAAGCGGAGTTCGTTTACAACCATGCCACGAACCGGAGCTTGGGACTGAGTCCTTTTCGCGTCGTCTATGGTCTCATCCCTCGTAGTCCGCTTGATCTCTCTACGTTGCCTGACAAAACCCGCTTTCACGGCCAAGCTATTGACTTTGTCGAGGGAACCCAGCGAGTCCATTCGGAGGCTAAGGCAAATTTGGAGGTCTCTTGGGCCAAGTATAAGACTGCTGCAGATTTAAAGCGCCGTGATGTGGTGTTTCAACCTGGCGACCTTGTCTGGGTGCAGATTACCAAGGTGCGTGTCCCAGCGCACGAATACAACAAGCTCCGCGCCAAGAAGATTGGCCCTCTCAAGGTGTTGGAACGCATTAACAACAATGCGTACCGCTTGCAGCTCCCGCCACATTTGAAGACCTCTGACGTGTTTAACGTCAAGCATCTTACGCCGTTCATGGGTGACAATGACGCGTCAGATTCGTGGTTGAATCCTCTCCTACCCGGGGAGACCTGATGCAGCGCATCTCCTTACTATCGTGGGCTTTACGTCAAACGCTCATGGGCTTTCACGTTTGACGAGTTGGTGTTTAGTTTTTACTTTGTTTTGGTTTTCCTATTAGTTTCAGATAACTCTAAATCTTTAGTTGATTAGGATTAGGAGATTCGTTCATAGCTTCTCGTTTTGTATTTAAGGTTGTTCATCGGCTTTGTAGAACACACCTCTTGATTATTATTGAATTGCTAAGAGCTTTACAGCACTGTGAAGAGTATTCACGCCCCTTTCCTCTTGATCTATCAACTCTCACGAGTTCCTAGCTCAAGAATCCAACCCGATCGTCAAGTCCCAGTCGGTTCTTGACCTTCTCTCTGGCTATTGCTTCCGCCTCTCTATCACATACAAATAAAGATATCAAAAACACATATAACTACGTACTCATAGAACACACTTCCATATTTAATTCATATGAAGCTAAAAATAATTGTATTACCAAATAAAAAAAGTAGAGATCGAAAATAAAAAGTTCTTTTTAAAATAAATTTATCAAGCAATAAAATGACTTACTTGAATTCCTTCCCAGAGCTTCTCAAGCTTGCTTTCACACATAACTAGTTCCATAAGAAACTCTGGTTTAAACATTGAAGGCAAATATGCCATCGGAAACTGTTTCCAGTGTAATAATCAAAGTTTTTGAGATATATAGTTCAAACCTCCTGGCAAGAACAATCTTTTGTGATAATCAAAATGACCACTGAATCTTAAGAATTGGAGATTAGTCATTCCTTCAAAGGCTCTTTCACTTATATTTAGATTTTCCTCGATCATATATAAGTTGAGATCAATGCCAATAACACTTCTACTACCCTGGAAAATAAACAAATACAGAGTAAGTTATTAACAATTATATAGAAAGACATGAAATGAAGAACTAATGTCAAAATTTACAGCTTTATTATCATCAGTGAGTACTTCGAAAATGTCTTTTGGATCAACCAAAAACTGGCGTTGCCCGGGCTCACGAATGGATTGCTTACGAACAATTTCTCTACCTAGTTGAACTAGCATATTATGCATCATGTACATACCTTGTGAAGTGATAGTTATAAGAGATTTTTCAGCTAAGACGTGAAGCCCTTGTCTTACATCCAAGAAATTGTTTGCAAGATATTCTTCAAGTTTCTCAACTCTTTCATACGTGAATAAACAGGCTATGTAAAGAAACAAATCTTTATCTTCGTCGTCTAAAGCCTCGTAACTAAACTTCAAAATGCTTTGAATACCAACGTTAAGGTTGTTCCCTAGCCTTGGAAGTGCATTTGTCCACTCATTCTCGGACATTCCGCGGAAATAGGAACCCATAACCTTTAGTCCTAGAGGAAGTGCACCGGAAAATCTTGTAACTATCCAAGAAAGCTCCGCAAAACCATCTTTAGGAGAGTTTTGACCAAAAGCATACATGCAGAATATTTTAAGAGCCTCATCACTTGGTGGAATATCCACCTTGTAAATATGGTTGATCCCATGTGCCTCCAAAACTCTTAAATCATCTGTTGTGATGATAATCCGACTTCCAGAACCAAACCACCGAGTTTCTTTCGCCAAGGCATCCAATTGTACTGACAGATCCACACCATCCAAAACAGCAAAATTCTTCTTGTCGTTTAATCTTTCTTGTACAACTCTTAAATGAGAAACCTCAATATCCTTTTGTTTGATTATTTGAGACATGAACTGTTGTTGTAAGTGCAACTTCACACTGTAGTCATCGGAACAAGGTCTTTTATACATTGCCTTGATATTATTCATAAAGACACTCAGCTGGAAACTTTCCGAGTGTTGGTTAAATAAAACTCTGGCAATAGTGGTCTTACCAATCCCGGGTGGACCCCAAATCCCTATCATCCTCACTTCATTCAAATCCAAGCGTAACAAAGGTTCCATCTTCTCCAAATGAGTTCTCATCCCAACTAATTCTTCAAAATCATTTGATGCCATAGACTTATTCAACTCGTTTGAAATATCCATGGCAATTTTCTCGATCATCTCTGCTTCATAATCCCTGAGAGATATCAATTAAATTTTAAAAATCATTAACTATTTTTTTCAAAATATGAGTTTCTTCACGATATATGAGTACAAAAGAAGGTACATATATTTTTTAGTTAATTTCTAATCAAAACTAGAAGTAAGTCGTCGTTAAGCTTAACACATCACATATATCATCTATTACTTTGATGTGGTAGAAATATTAAGAGCAAGTGGTTATAAGAAAAAAGACGAACCAGTTGCTTGAATGGTAACCGGCGATTGTGGCTTCTCCCGCCAAAGCCTGTTTCCACCTTTTAATGTCTTCTTTTCTTTGACCTTTGCAAGTTTTCTTGAAAACCTTCCCAAAATATCCTGTTTGCTTCTTTACATCAGTTGGATCTACTTCATAGAAAATGGTCATCACTATTTGACCCACCGCTTCTCTAAACTTCATGATCTCGACCAACTCGTTCATGCACCATGTCGAAGATGTGTAGCTCTTTGAGAGAATGACAATACCGATCCTAGATCCTCTAATAGCTTCTATGAGCTTTGGACCGATGGACTTGCTTCTTTCTATATCGTTATCAATGAATGGGTCAATTCCCTTGCTTCTGAACTCTTTCAAGATATGACTGAGAAAGGTTTTGCGAACATCTTCCCCGTGGAAGCTTGGGAAGACATGATGTATCCAATTGGGAGGTAAAGAAGATGGAGGAGATGGAGATATAGAAGAAGAATGCAACAATATTCTGTTATTTTGACGGAATCTGAATTTGCTATAACTATAAACCTTGATAGATATGATACCCAAAAGCGTGAAGAAGACGACTAGAGCAACACAGGTCCAAAGGAATAAAGGAGAATCCATTGGTAAGATCGAGAGAGGATCAAACATCGCAATGGATTTCAGACACCAGTCTTTCATGAAGAAATGGAAATGGCTTGTTTTTCATTTGGTCAATAGATATGGAGAGGGATTTATTGAAATAGCCATGCATGAAGCTTCCAGGAATGTCCCTACGATGGCGTCGCTGACGTTTGACAAGGAAAAAGGAAGGTAAGACGTATAAAACATTCAGGCAGAATGGAAATGGAAATGGCTATTGAGGTTGAGACCTGTAGCTAGGACCTTCCTTCTCTGCAACATTGGATCGGGGCAAGCTGCTAGTTTTTGGTTTGACAATTGGACGGGTCATGGGGCCCTGTTGGATTTAGTTGGGGCAAATGGTCCTCGTGTAACTGGTATTACTCGCCTAGCCTCTGTGTCTGATGCTGTTAGGGATGGTGTTTGGACTCTCCCAAGGGGGCGTCATCCAATAGCCCGACTTCTCCGGACACTTCTCCCAAGCTCGCTAAACTTAGCACGGATGGTGTAGAGAAACCAGCACCGATAGTGCTTAGCACTAGCCCAAGACCGTAATACCCGAGAAACCCGAAAGAAACAATAAACCCTCTAAGTATGAAGAGAAATATGGAAGAACACAAGAGAATACTTGAAAGACTTTTAAGAAGAACAAGAGAGAACTTAGCTTTAGAACACTCTTTATTAACTTGTTCAATTTCTTGTGCATTTACAAATGAGGGGGTGAGGAGGTATTTATAGCCTCCCAAATCTACTTACAAAGTTTCTACACTCTTCTATAACCTCCTTAGGTCCTAGATATTTCTTCTTCTTCTTCTACAACTTTCTACAAATTATCTTACAAGTTTATCCTAATCTCTAGAACTCTCTAACATAATATCTAGATTTCTTGTCTTACAAGAACTAGAAAGTTCTACATAAATATCTAGAGAGTTATCTAGTAGAATTCTCTAGAAAATTTGAGGAAGTGATGACCTCTTATGATGTTTCTAGAGAGTTCTAGAACTTGGGCCTAATTTTGGGTTTAATAATAATTTGTTTATGGACCCAAAATTAAACCTTGATCAAAATCAAGTTTAATTTCAATACTCCCCCTTAAACTTGATTTTATCAACCATCCCGAGTTTCGAGCGAAGTAACTCGAACTGACCTTTTGGTAGTGACTTGGTGAAGATATCTGCAACATTATCCTCACTTCGAACCTCCAAAGCTTCAATTGTTCCATCAAGCACCTTCTCCCGTATGAAGTGATGTTCCAACTCAATATGCTTCGTCCTTGCATGGAACACCGGATTGTTAGCCAGCTTGATAGCACTTTGGTTATCTCCATATATGGCAACCGGCTTGTTGATTGGCTCAAACAAATCTTCAAGAAGCCTTCGAAGCCAAATACACTCTTGGGCTGCGAGCGTCGAAGCTTTATACTCCGCTTCAGTGGTAGACAGCGACACCGTTGCTTGTTTCTTGCTGCACCATGAAACGCTTGTGTCTCCACACAAGAACACAAAGCCCGAAGTTGATTTTCGACCATCTAGATCTCCACCAAAGTCAGCATCCGTGAAGCCATAGAGAGAGACCTTGGCATTGTACTTGTACATTAGACCCATGCCAAGAGTTGTCTTCACATACTTCAAGATCTTCTTTGCCGCTTCTAGATGTGGCTTCCTTGGTGACTGCATAAACCGACTTACAAGACCAACCGCGAAGGAAATGTCAGGTCTTGTAATGGTTAAGTATAGAAGACTTCCCACAAGAGAACGATAAGACCGAGGATCGGGTAGCAAGGATCCTTCATCGCGCTTCAGCTTGATGTTCGCATCCATCGGAGTAGTACGTGTCTTTCCTTCGTGTACCCCGAACTTCTCTACAATCCTTCTTGCGTAGCTATGTTGGCCGATGAATATTCCATCCTTCATCCTTTCAACCTCCAAACCAAGAAAGTTGTTCAGCTCACCCAACATCTTCATCTCAAACCTTATCGACATATCCTCTTGCAGACCAGCAATTTCCGCTTCATCATTCCCGGTAATTATCAAGTCATCCACATAAAGAAGGACTACCATGTGGACTCCTCCATTCTTCTTGAAGAACAGACTCGGATCAGAGTTCGACGGAGAGTAACCGCAAAACTGAAGAAACTGAGCAAGCTTTCCATACCAGGCCCTTGGAGCTTGTTTTAACCCATACAAAGCCTTCTTTAGCTTGCAAACATAATCGGGATGCTCTTGTGATATGTAACCAAGTGGTTGCTCCATATAGATTTCTTTATCAAGTTCTCCGTATAGAAAAGCGTTCTTCACATCTAACTACCATAACTTCCAGCCAAAGCTTGCAGCTAAAGATAAGAGTGTACGTACCGTAGTCATCTTCGCCACTGGACTGAAAGTCTCATCATAGTCTTCTCCATACTTCTGAGAAAATCCCCGAGCAACCAATCTTGCTTTGTGTCTATCAATGTTTCCATCCCTCTTACGCTTGATCCGGTACACCCATTTGCATGAGACGGGTTGGACATCCTTGGGTTTTGGAACCAAATCCCAAGTTTCATTTTTCTTTAGAGCATCCATCTCCTCCTTCATTGCGGTCTCCCACTCTTTAACTCCTTTTGCTTCATCATAAGATGATGGTTCTTCTTCATCAAAAGGAGATGCAAAATAGCATGAGTAAGTAGTAACAAACCTTTCATCTCTGTACCGAGCAGGTTTAACGATGTCCCGTTTTGGTCGTTGATTAGCCAAGGAACCATGATCTTCCTCCTCCTCTTCCTCTGTTCATCATAGCCGACAAAGATGCACTTTTTCGCCTTTGCCTCCAGCTTGGTTCTTTGAGAGTCGAACACATGGACATAGCAGATAGATCCAAATATCCTGAGATGTTTCACTGTTGGCTTCTTCCCATGAACCATCTCATAAGGAGACTTCATATTATTTGGACTAAGCGGCATCCGATTGATGTCATAGGCTGCACATCTCATCCCTTCTGCCCATAGAGCCTTAGGCAAATTCTTCGCATGTAGCCAGCTTCTACACGTCTCACTTAGATGCCTTATCTTCCTTTCTGCTACTCCATTTTGTTGAGGTGTGTATGGACATGAAAATTCTCTCTTGATACCATGCTTTCGGCAGAAAGAGAGAAACTCGTTTGACATAAACTCCCCTCCATTATCCGTCCTTAAGGTCTTGATTTTCCGACCCAACTCTCCTTCCACGGTAACCTTGAATTCTTGAAACTTGGAGAATACTTCTGACTTTTCCTTCACAAAGTATACCCAGGTGTACCGTGAGTAATCATCAACGAACAACAGCATGTAGCGGAACCCGGAATAGGAGGATGTTCTCGTCGGACCCATCAAATCACTATGGATCCTCTCCAACGGAGCATTGCATCGTGAAGTAGAATTGTCAAATGGAAGTCTATGTGATTTTCCATATTGACAACCTTCACAAAGCTTTCCTTCATCTTGAATCTTCAACTTTGGGAGCCCATTAACCAGATCTTTATTCACCATAGCCTTCAGCTTAGTCATATTTATATGGCCAAGCCTAGCATGCCAAATAAAAGCATTATCATTCGTACTCATCTTCTCAATGTACGAATTTGAGGCCGATAAGACATAAAGATCTTTAACCCGTGCTCCGGTGTGAACTACGTCCGCCTTTAACTCTTGAATATTCTTCAAGAATTTAACGTCTTTTGGTCCAAATAAAACGTAGTTACCTGAGTCCACCGCATTCACCACGGAAAGAAGATTCTTCTTAACTCCAGGGACATGGTATACGTTCTTGAGAGTGATTGGGCCTCCTTCTTCTCCTTCAATAACAATAGTCCCTTCCTTCTCAACCCGGTGGATTGAATTATCCGCAGTGATAATAGCTTCTTTCCCGTCATGACGTTGAAGACTAGAAAATAACTTCTCGTTTCCGGTAATATGATGGCTACAACCCGAATCCACAATCCAATCATTTCCAAGATTTTTAGTTGTGGATGTACCTGAAGATGCAGCCTCCACCGTGAAACATTTCCCCCAATCTTCGTCTTCAGTATGACTTTTTGATTCCGCCATATTGGTTTCCTTCAGCTTGACCCGACAGTCCTTTTTGAAATGCCCAAGCTTTCCACACCGGTAACACTTGAACTGCTTCTTGTCTCCCGTAGAAGATCTTTCCCGTCCATCATTATTCTTTACACCATCATTCTTGGTTTTTCCTTTGTAGCTCTGTTGCCTCCGAGCTACAAAAGCGCTCCCCGAGTCATCATGGATTTTGACTCCCGCCATTTGCGTGGCTAAGGATTCTTGCGAAGCTAGCAGATTTTCAAACTCCTCCAAGGAAGGTTGTGTAGCCCATCCTTGAACGGAAGTCACAAACGGTGTATATTCGGGTCGTAAACCACGAATAATAGACCGCTTTAACCGAGCTTCCGAAATAGACTCCTCCGGATTAAGAGTGTTAATCTCAGAGCAAAGGTTCTTTACCTTGATGAAGAACTCTGAGATTGAAGACTCCCCCTGCTTCGCATTCGCCAACTCGTTCTCTAACAGTTGTAGACGAGCCTCATTCTTCTTGTTGAACAGTTGGTCCAACGCTTGCCAAATGGAACTAGCGGATGTGCACCTTGAGACATGCTCAAATACTCCCGAGGATATTGACCTCTTCAATGCAAACTCCGCCTTGGCATTCTTCCGTGTCCATTCCTTTGTCGCTTCCGCTGTCGCAGCAGCTCCCATTGGTGGTGTGGTGCTACTGCCGCCGACGACATCCCATAAGTCCTCACTCACCAAGTATGACTCCATACATGACTTCCATAACCGGTAGTTAGATTGGTTTAAGATCTCCATTCCCAATCCAACAACACGACCCATTGATTCCATACTTAGAGTAAACCCGAGTTCTCCTAAATCCCGATCTTGATGAGCACAAGATTAGAATGGCTCTGATACCATGTAGAGAAACCAGCACCGATAGTGCTTAGCACTAGCCCAAGACCGTAATACCCGAGAAACCCGAAAGAAACAATAAACCCTCTAAGTATGAAGAGAAATATGGAAGAACACAAGAGAATACTTGAAAGACTTTTAAGAAGAACAAGAGAGAACTTAGCTTTAGAACACTCTTTATTAACTTGTTCAATTTCTTGTGCATTTACAAATGAGGGGGTGAGGAGGTATTTATAGCCTCCCAAATCTACTTACAAAGTTTCTACACTCTTCTATAACCTCCTTAGGTCCTAGATATTTCTTCTTCTTCTTCTACAACTTTCTACAAATTATCTTACAAGTTTATCCTAATCTCTAGAACTCTCTAACATAATATCTAGATTTCTTGTCTTACAAGAACTAGAAAGTTCTACATAAATATCTAGAGAGTTATCTAGTAGAATTCTCTAGAAAATTTGAGGAAGTGATGACCTCTTATGATGTTTCTAGAGAGTTCTAGAACTTGGGCCTAATTTTGGGTTTAATAATAATTTGTTTATGGACCCAAAATTAAACCTTGATCAAAATCAAGTTTAATTTCAATAATTGGATCGGGGCAAGCTGCTAGTTTTTGGTTTGACAATTGGACGGGTCATGGGGCCCTGTTGGATTTAGTTGGGGCAAATGGTCCTCGTGTAACTGGTATTACTCGCCTAGCCTCTGTGTCTGATGCTGTTAGGGATGGTGTTTGGACTCTCCCAAGGGGGCGTCATCCAATAGCCCGACTTCTCCGGACACTTCTCCCAAGCTCGCTAAACTTATCTCCTCTGGCTCAGGACACTTATACTTGGCTCAATCGGCTTACCGGAATCCAGGGGAACTTCTCCTCTTCTGAAACTTGGTATTCCCTCCACCCTGCAGGACCGGCAGTTGCTTGGGCAGAAGCGGTTTGGTTCTCGCAAAACATCCCTAAACACGCTTTCATTCATTGGGTCGTTGCTCGAAACAGACTCCCAACAAGAGATAGACTTAGGTCTTGGGGCCTCCTTTTCCCGGATAGTTGCCTACTTTGCGGAACAAACATCGAGACGCATGAGCACCTATTCTTTGAGTGCCCTTATGCATCCGAGGTGTGGTCTACTGTTTTTGATCATTCCCCCCTCCAACAATCTTTCTCCTTTGCGGACATTCAAGCTTGGATTCTCACAGCTGCACCCATTGATAGAGTTAAGGTTATTTGCAAACTACTTTTTCAGTCATCTATCTATGAAATTTGGAAGGAGAGAAATTCTAGATTACACAGAGCTGTTTCTAAGCCTCCGGCTCTGGTCATCAGGGAGATTCAATCCACTATTCGGCGCAAGCTTTACGTTCTGGATATGGCTATCTCAGACCGTAGCACTATTACCCAACCACCCCAGGAGACTTACCTTGCGACTTGGTTCGGGTTCTTTCAACGATGATCGGCTTCTGCTCTAGCTTGTTGTTTTTCTGCTGGTTTTTTACTTTTTTCTCTTAAGTAGTGTACGGGGTTGAAACACCTCTTTCTTTCCTTTTGATGGTTTGTACCCTTGTAAGCTCCAAACGTTGTTTCCATCGGGAAAGAAAAAAAAAAAAAAAAAAAAACATTCAGGCAGAAGTCAAACACATATTTTCTCTTCAAAAATAATATTATTTTTGCTAAGTCTTTCCTTCTGAATATAATATACTAATAGTACTTCCATTAACATTCAATAAGAGAACATTCTTTGAAGATGGCAATTGTACAAGTTTTCTTGAAAGTGTGTGTATACTTTGTTTACAATATGTTTTTTGTACAGTAAATAAGATTATATATTTTAATTCTAGACAAGAAAAGGTAAATTAACTTTTTGTTTTTTTTTTTTTTTTGAATTGAATGTAAAATTTTATTCAAACCAAAAAACGTCGTTTGTTACATCTAGGTGGAAGTTCAAAAAAAAAAAAGTTACATCTAGGTGCATCTGATTTTTTACATAAACTTTAGAGAGAGATCAAAATGTCTAGTTCCTTGCTTCAAACCATGCTTGGAGAGTAGTCTCGTGCTTTGCATCCCCTATCAATCTTATTGAGGAAATTAACTTTTTGTTGTTCATGCCCTTTTTTAACCCGTACAGTAAAAACGTTGAATATGAGATTAACTTTTAGGTTGAGGGCATTTTCTTTCTTTCTTTTTGGTAGTGTCCAAATGCTTACAAGAATGTGTAGATTTTGGATTTGAATGATAGAAGCAGCACAGTTGCGAGTTCTACGTTCTTTGAATAATACTGCTATATAATATTTGAATTAAAAAATAAATTCTCATCCAAATTAGGTCATCCAGTTGCACACTTCCACAACACCTTTCAACATTTCTGGCCCCAAAAAAACAAAAAAGGTAAATATTATTCGCATCAAAGTAATTAAGTTTTATCATGCCCATGGTGAAAAGTCTTAAGATAAGATAAGATCCATTATTATTGGTCCGAAATTAGGTCTTAGACTCTTTTACCCTTACTTTGACTAGAACGGCCGGTACTGACCGAAGAGTGCATCTCTCTTTTATAACAAAGACAACTTAACAGTCATCACAAATCACCTGAGAGAGATGGAGTATGAAATACCTCCCAAAGGGATTCTCAAGAACGAAGCTCTCAAACAGGTTTCCCTTTCTTATTATTTTTCAAAATTTTCCATGATCGAGTTATAAGTTTTGTTGATCTGCCAAGAAAAATTGGTTTTGTCTGGTTATAAAAGGATCTTTGGTTGATCTTGTTTTGTTGGTTGTGTTCGTCTCATGCAGTACATCATGGAAACGTCAGCGTATCCAAGAGAGCACGAGTTGCTTACGGAACTTCGGAAAAAAACAGTTGTGAAATATGGCAATTTGTAAGTTTTCTTAATCATTTGGATTCTTCTACATATAATCAGTTTCACAGTTTCTTAAATTAAGAAATTACTGTCTTTAAACATTTTAAGGATTATTTTAACAAAAAGAAACAAACAATTTGAGGATTAAAAAAAAGAGCAAAATATTTTATTCTTTGTATTTGTAGAAGTGTCAATACTTTGTGTATTTCTGTAGAGTTTTTCTCTATTTCATAAAAATCGCAGAAGCGAGATGGGGGTTCCGGTTGATGAGGGTCATTTTTTATCGATGCTTCTAAAGATCATGAACGCTAAGAACACTCTCGAGCTCGGTGTTTTCACCGGTTACTCTCTTCTCACCACGGCTCTTGCTTTGCCTGAAGATGGTCGTGTAATGATTCTTCTTCATCTTGCTATAATCATATTGTTGAGATTGTCTTTTAAGCATATTCAACGAACAAATCTTAAGAAAAAAATAAATATGGCTATAATTATGTAAATTAGAACATATAGTTTAAGTAAAATAAATTCTTTAAACACATCATCTATAACCTGAATATAAAATATGCACATGGTCTACAAATATTTGTGACCGGTGTAGTTGAGTTTACAAAAATATTGGTTTGGATTAATAAAATATAATGGATACTATTTTGGAAGTAGATAACTGCCATAGATATTGACAAAGAAACTTACGAAGTGGGACTAGAGTTTATCAAGAAGGCAGGTGTCGATCACAAGATCAATTTCATCCATTCCGATGGTATTAAAGCCCTAGACCAATTGGTGAACGACGTACGTGAAAAAGATCTATTTTTATTATTTTTTTAGTTACACTTAAATTAACTCTCTTTTTTGTACGTACTAATGGTCACACTCTCACATATACAACATGCATTGGATTTAAAAAAATCAGTACCAGGAGTTTGATTTCGCATTTGCGGATGCTGACAAGTCAAACTACGTCAACTTCCATGAGAGGCTTCTGAAACTGGTGAAGGTTGGAGGAATCATTGCCTTCGACAACACCTTGTGGTTTGGTTTTGTTGCTGAGGATGAAGAAGGAGTTCCTAGGCATATGAGGGAATACAGGCGAGCTCTTATAGAATTCAATAAGATGTTGGCTTTGGATCCTCGAGTCGAGATCTCTCAAATCTCCATTGGAGATGGGGTCACGCTCTGTAGACGCCTTGTATGATCAAAAGACTACTTTAAGAGTTAAGACCAAAGTTTGGGAGTTGAGTTTAGAATAAAACTGTTAACATCTTTCAGTAATCGAAAAAAAAAACAAAAAAATGTTTCAGTAATCGCTTTGTTGTTTGTTAATTGTTGTCTTTTTTTTGTCACATCTTTTATTTATAATGGTGTGTTGATTGATGATCACTCTTCATCTTGTTCCTATACTAATTTTTTTCATGAGTCTGATATGGAATCATTTGAAATATATCATTTTAAATAAATAGGAATAGTATTGAAAAACTGTATATATCTATTGGTGCAATAAAAAAGTTGTTTTTCAGCTTTTTGAGGTAACATGTAATATGTGTTTCAACTTTGTTTTTTATCCTGTAAACTAGCGCTTATCAATTCCATGTTTTCTGCCAAAATTACATATCCACCCAAATGATATGACACAAGTTTTTTCCTAGTGAATTCATCTGAATTTCAAGATTTTATATATTTAAAGCCAACAGATACACATGTACTAAAACTCAAAGGGATTATCAAGAGCGAGCGAGCGAGAGAGTGAGATGGATTCTGAAAATTTACCTAACAAAGGAATTCTCAGGAGCGATGCTTTGAAACAGGTTTTCATTTACGTAGAAAGGATCTGTAGTTTAATTATATAAACGTATAAATGCTTTGATGATATGACTGCATGATATATTATATATATGTTTCATGATGGTGACAGTATATCTTCGAAACGACAGCGTATCAAAGAGAGCCCCAAATTCTCAAGGAACTTCGAGAAGCTACTGTCGAGAGATATGGAAATTTGTAAGTCTAATTATAGTCCATATCAGATCACTAAGAAATACTCAATATCTTTCACTTTAATTTTATATGATGTTTTTGTTGAATGCAAGGAGATTAAAAAAAGATTTTTCAAAATAAATGAATTACTCATACTTTATAACTACTATCAGAAATGACAAGAAAATAAATCTAGGGCAAAACTTAGAAATGAGCTAAATTCTTAAAATGAAACAAACAAAATTCTCTAAAATATCTTTAAAACAAAACTGAAGGAGTTATAAATTTGTAAACGCAGAAGCGAGATGGGGACTCCGATTGATGAGGGTCTATTTCTATCGATGCTCGTAAAGATGATAAACGCTAAAAACACTCTAGAGATCGGTGTTTTTACCGGTTACTCACTTCTTACCACGGCTCTTGCTTTACCTGAAGATGGCCGTGTAATGATTCTTCTTCTTTTTATTCGTCTTATTTATGGATCATGTCGTGATTAGTTAGTTAGTATCAAAGTGGACGTTTGGATGCAGATTACTGCGATAGACTTCAACCAAGAAAGTTTTGATTTGGGGCTAGAGTTTATGAAGAAAGCAGGTGTTGATCACAAGATCAATTTCATCAAATCTGATTCTCTTAAAGCCTTAGACCAATTGGTGAACGGGGTACGTAAACATTGTTCTTACCCTACCTGTTTCAGTATTTAAAATATAAGATACTTTAAACGATTTTCCTTTGTTTTATAGTATATTTTTTTATTCCAATCATAATTACTTAGGTAATATTTTATTAGTATTGCTCAAACGGGTTTCATAATGTAACCCAAAACATGTTATAATATGGAACCCGAAGAAATATTTTAATTTGTAAAATTTGGTGTAAGCTAATCAACACCTTTTTTTGGGCTAATGGTTTAAGGAAAAACAAGAGTTTGATTTCGCATTTGTGGATGCTGACAAGACGAACTACGTTAACTTCCTTGAGAGGCTGCTTAAGTTAGTGAAGGTTGGAGGAACCATTGCGTTCGATAACACCTTGTGGTTCGGTACTGTGGTTGATGAAGAAGATGAAGTTATAACGCGTATGAGGCCTTATAGAACAGCTATTTTGGAGTTCAATAAGAAAATAGCTTTGGATCCTCGTGTCGAAATCGCTCTAGTCTCCATTGGAGATGGTATTACGCTTTGCAGACGCCTTGTGTAAAGAAAAGAGATGACCTACTCTCTTAATCAAACACTTAAAAAAACTGTTATATGCTTGAATAATGGCTTCGTCCTTTCTTTGTAATTGTGTATGTTTGACTCATCTTATTGCACAATAATAAAACTGTTTCTTGCTACACAAGACTTACTCAAAATTAATATTTTAACAGTAAGAAACTTATTTAGAATCAGTCAAATCTTTCCCCTGATTTTTTGGGCGTACAGTCAAATCTTTCCTTTATTATAATTAACCATATATACAATTATGATTAGTAATGATAATTATGTACAGAAGAAAGTACTATGAAAGTCACTCTCGAATTGAGTCTTAACTTTTTCAGTCAACTCTAATCGTTGCCAAATAAATAGAGAGGTTACTGCCACGAATCTCTCTCCATCATTATTATCCATTATAATACCCAAACATTACACCATTTTATAGATACAAACCCAAAGTTTACAAACAAGAAAAAGTAGAGAGATTCAGGTAGAGCTATATATGGCCTCCAAGTGCAAAGGTGAATGTCTAAACATCAAAAGCGACGCCGCTTGCGTCTGGCCAGGTACGACTTACGCCAACCTCCACAAGTGGCCGATGGCAGAGGCGGAGTTCTTACGGTCAATCAGTCAGGGAGGAAGCCAGCGTCGTACCACTGTGGTGGACAGCATCTCTTGTAGGCAAATGTACCTTAGAAGCTATACCTTCTCAAGCAACGAGGAGAACAAAGACAGTGGAGGTCAAGATAGCAATGACGAGAGCGGCCAGAGAAACGAACTGAGATGTTTTGGAGGAGGAGGAGGGAGGAAGAAGACGGCGAACATAGGTATGATGAGGAGGAGGAGTACGTCGTTTGTGGTCGGAGTCTTATGGAAATGTTTGACTTGTACTTCCTCTACAAGGGTTAATGTGGAAGAGTGAAGTGTTTTTTATTGATTGAGAGAAGAATACTTTATTTTTTTTTTATAAAGATTACTATTCTTCTCTCTATCTTTCTGTGAAATTTTTTATTGATAGAGCTCTCAATTATTTTTTTGAGAAGAATAATAATTATAGTTGTAAAACTTTGATTATTGGTGAATTTTCTTATAAACAAAAATCAATACTGTCATTCTTTATGATATAAATTGCATCATCAATATCGTTTGGGTACAATACTTTCTTTGTTTCTCTTCACTGTATTATATTTCCGCAGATTATTTCACTATACACAACTCACACGTATAACTGTATAAGAAACTAACAACTATCCAAAAGGAATGTATATTGATGCCATGCAGGTACTTCTTAATTAACATGAAAAATGGTACTGAATTGAAGTTATATAGAGCATCTATAAAAGTCTTTGGCTGTTTGATAACATTGTAAAACCGCATATTGTGAATGAAACATCAAACATATCATTTATACAATATGTTGTTTATTAAATCATAAAAATGTTTAGTGGATGTTGTTAGTAGCCTAGCTAGCTCTAATTTTGACAAACTAACCAAATGGCTGTAGAATATAGTGGTTTACATGAGTTAAAAACTGATAAATTAAGGTCCACGTTAACACCTACATAAACTAGAGAAATTCATTTTTCAAAGTTTACGAAACTATTTTGTAATGCTCTCTCTAAAACTTTAACTTTATCATGAATATAATTATCCACCAACTCTATGACATTCCATTAATTAAAATTAAATTTTACTTGATAATACACACTATACAGTATTGTTGTACTCTGTATATAATCATGTAACTCAACGAAAAAGAGTATTGCACTCCCTTAAACAATTTGGATCATTTTTAGCATCAATTTTAACTTATAAATCACGTAAGTATATGTTTATTTGATATAAGATAATCACATTGTTGTATATAGGAAATAAACTACGCTCCAAAAAAATAACTATGCTCTACATGTTTTTCTATCCTACAAAGAAATTATGTAAAACGAGTATGCTCTACATGTTTCCAATTTGGATGCGTATTGTTATCTTTTTCATTACTTGTGGTGAAATGTTGAGAATGTTGAAAGTTTGAGGGTTTATTTAACAATTGTAAATAAACATTGGACATTTCTAAATCAGAATCCCAACCTTTTTTTTTGAAATGTTGAAAAGCGGCCAGATTGAGAATACCTGGCAATGGCTGCGAATCTGATTCGATTTTGATTTGGATTGAAGAAGAACACGAGCCTCTTTTTGACTCCTTCTACAGATCTCTTCTTCCCAAATCTCCACAACTCTAATCCGTTTCCAAGTGAGGATTGTTCGAATTTCACTTCAATTTGGTAATTTTATTTCGCCCTTCCCATTTCTACTTTAATTCCGATTTCTTGGTTTCACCGGAGATGGGTTCGTCTCTCTGTGCATTTCCGGTGATGGGTTTTGAGAAAAGTATCTTCTTTTTTTTTCTCCTTTGGTCTCTGTAGGTGGATCGTTGAATTGGGTAAAGATTGTGTATTTTGGGAGAAATTGATTTTACAAGTCAAATGGCTAAGAAGGAGAGACCTAGACCGGAAAAGTTGTCTGTTTATCTTTACATACCTAATATCGTTGGTGGGTCTTTCTTCTTCCTTTTTTTGTTAACGTGAGAATGATTGATTGATTGATTGTTGTGATGATTATTGATTTGGTTTAGGGTATATGAGAGTTCTCTTGAACTGTGTTGCCTTTGCTGTGTGTTTCTCCAACAAGACTCTTTTCTCGCTGCTCTATTTCTTCAGGTGAGACTTAAATCTAGTTTCCTGCAACTTTATCTCTGATTTTTTTATCTTTTGTGTAATGGCTAAAAAGATGTTTTTGATCAATGTGGCTCTACAGCTTTTGTTGTGATGCTGTGGATGGCTGGTGTGCTCGTAGATTCAACCAAGGTTTAAGAACTTTTCTCTCTTGTTATAAACCGTTTTGTCTCATGGTTTAGAAATCACCTGTTCATTGCATACGAATGCTCAAAAGCTCTTAACAATGATGAAGATTTGGGACTTTATGCTGCTAGTGTTTAGTTTCAATGTGATAGTGCAATGAATTCAATGTGATTTTATCAGTCATGACATGCCATTACTATAATACTATGTAGGAAGCTAGATATTTGACTCAGTGCTATTTCTTTCTTCCCCAGTTTCAACATTTGGAGCTGTTCTTGACATGGTGACAGATAGGTGAGTCTTCTTTGATAATTATTCGAGGATCAAAATAATTATCTGTTGAATCAATTCTGACGTTTGTGTGGTGATGCTTTGTTATAGAGTTAGCACGGCTTGTCTACTCGTGATTCTCTCTCAAGTCTACAGGTGAGTTGATTTGTCTCTCTGTATCTTTCTCACTCGCATCTCTGGAGTTGGAGTTGACTAATTTCTACCTTATTGAACGCATTTGTTCGTCTTTGAATAGGCCTAGCTTGGTCTTCCTTTCTTTGCTGGCTTTAGATATTGCTAGTCACTGGCTGCAGATGTACAGGTACACTACTTCACTCTTTCTTGTCTATGTTACTATTCAAATCTCCTGTTTTTTGAACGGGAACTTAAATCTTCTCTACTTGCAGTACGTTTCTAGCAGGAAAAAGCAGCCATAAGGATGTGAAAGACAGCACGAGCTGGCTTTTTAGACTCTACTACGGAAACCGGATATTTATGTGTTACTGCTGTGTTTCTTGCGAGGTGATTGATTTTATCTCTAAACGAGAGACTCTTTATTTCCATGTTAAGTCTTCTTAGATGCAAGATCTTTCAAACGTGCAGGTTCTGTATATCATCCTTCTTCTCATTGCAAAGAACCAAACCGAGAATCTCCTCAACGTTAGCTTCTTCTCTTTTCCTTTCGTTTAGTCTACTTTCTTTCTCTTACTCTGCTCAATTACTTAAGCATAGGCTCTCTCATTGCAGGTCGTAGTTGCCACTTTAACGCAGATTTCACCACTCTCGTTTCTTCTAGCTTTGACATTGTTCGGTTGGTCGATGAAACAGACCATCAATATCATTCAGGTAAAGCTATGTTTGTAACCTAATCCATTCATTGAAAAAGCTGTTTTGGTTTCTAAATTGGAAATTTCGACTGTGGTTGTTTTTTTGTTTCAGATGAAAACAGCTGCAGATGTTTGTGTACTGTATGATATAGAGAAGCAGCAGAAGCCTTGATCTTTCTTTCTTTGTTATGAACATGCAACTATTTTTATTTTTTACTTTCTGTATACAATGATCGGTTCTCTCTTTCACTGTGGATGTAGATAAATCTTTGTCTAATGATTTTAACAAAAAAAAGATTGATTTGCTTGAAAGATTTCATGTTTCTTCTCCATAGTAACACCTAGAACAAGTTTAGGATAATGGACACGTCAGCATTATCTTGTTCCTGAAAATGTAAGGTCCCAAACTCAGATAATACACCATACAAAGCTCAGCTTCTTGTCACTCATAGCCACTGAAATCCTCAGGGTATGAACAAAACAAAAACGTTGATAACAATCATGCAAAACCGACCGTTGGATCATTCATTTCGATTTCAAACCACACAAAAAAAAATATACTGATTGAGCTAGATAAAAAAAAACTGAACCTTTTTTTAAAGCTAAGGTCCTCTGTTTCCAAATTCTTGCCACATAATCACTTTTTTCTCTCCTCTTGAAGCTCTTTCTTGCTTCGTCTGCAATGGCGAAACCGGTTGCTATTGAAGTGTATAATCCTAATGGGAAGTACAGAGTTGTCAGCACAAAACCGATGCCTGGAACTCGCTGGATCAATCTCTTGATCGACCAAGGCTGTCGCGTCGAGGTAAACTGAAACACAATTCATACTAAAAGTTTCTCTTTTTTCTGAAACTTTTAATGCTGAAACTTTAAACAGATTCTTGATTAATTCACATTAAAAGTTTCTCTTTTTCTTGAATTAATAGGTGTGCCATTTGAAGAAGACGATCTTGTCTGTTGAAGACATCATTGATCTGATCGGAGACAAGTGTGATGGAGTCATCGGTCAGGTAATGAAATGAAAGAGAGGAAACACTAATTGTCAATCTTTAGCATATGACTGTAAAATCGGTTTAAAGTTTTGTTTTTGTTGATAGTTGACGGAAGATTGGGGAGACACTCTGTTTTCAGCTCTGAGCAAAGCTGGAGGAAAAGCTTTCAGTAACATGGCCGTTGGTTACAACAACGTCGATGTTGAAGCCGCCAATAAGTACGGTATTGCCGTCGGTAACACTCCGGTAATCATTCATGTTTCTTCATTTATATAAGTATTTTCGGTTTATAACTGAATTAGTTGAAGATTTATGTTCATGTTGTTCTGTTTGAGTTTGGATAGGGAGTGTTGACTGAGACAACAGCAGAACTAGCTGCTTCTCTTTCTCTGGCTGCAGCAAGAAGGATTGTTGAAGCTGATGGTTTCATGAGAGCTGGCTTGTATGAAGGATGGCTTCCTAATCTGTAAGATTCACTAACCTTTTCATTCTCATCTGTAGTTCTTCTTCAATTCAAGAACTTGAGAGTTGAGAACAAGAACTTTTTTTTTGTTTCTCATTCTGTTTTTCTTAGCCTGTGAAGTAAATCAAGAAGCCGGTTAGTGAAATTTGAGAGACTAATAAGACTGTTTGGTTTTTGGTAGGTTTGTGGGGAACTTACTTAAAGGACAGACTGTGGGAGTTATTGGAGCTGGACGTATTGGATCTGCTTATGCTAGAATGATGGTAAAAGCCTCTTTTACAGTGACATATAATAACTTTGATCCACAATATGTACACTAAAGAGTTTTCCTTTTTTGAATTCTTGATTTCAAAAACAGGTTGAAGGTTTCAAGATGAATTTGATTTACTTTGATCTTTACCAATCCACTCGTCTTGAGAAATTTGTGACAGGTATACACATACAGTTTCTACACAATAATCTTTTTTGGTCTTTTCTTGTTTCTTGTTGGAAGTTCTTAGAATTGAGATACAAATGGTCATTATCAGCTTATGGACAATTCTTGAAAGCAAATGGGGAACAACCTGTGACATGGAAACGAGCTTCTTCCATGGAGGAAGTGCTGCGAGAAGCTGATCTGGTAACTAAACTTCTTTTTGGTGACATTTGTTGTGTATCTCTATAGAAACTGAAATATTTGTGTCTGAAACAACAGATAAGTCTTCACCCTGTGTTGGACAAAACCACTTACCATCTTGTCAACAAGGAGAGGCTTGCCATAATGAAAAAGGTGATTTATCTTTCTCTATTTCATTTTGATCTCTCTCTCATTATTGTTCTTGTTCTGATTGAATTTGGTTTGCTTTATCAGGAAGCAATCCTTGTGAACTGCAGTAGAGGTCCTGTGATTGATGAGGCAGCTCTTGTTAATCATCTAAGAGAGAATCCAATGTTCCGAGTTGGTCTTGATGTGTTTGAGGTACCGATCAAACCCCCAAACATAAAAGTTTAATCTTTTGCTTACATGTAATGTTAAAACACATTGTTTTCAGGAAGAGCCTTTCATGAAACCAGGGCTTGCTGATATGAAGAATGCAATTGTTGTTCCTCACATTGCTTCTGCTTCCAAGGTTTGCCCAACTGAAACGTTTCTTGTGTCTCACGTCTCAGTAAAATAAACAGAACTGACCTTAATGTTTCTTGTGATGTTGTTGATGATGACAGTGGACTCGTGAAGGAATGGCTACACTTGCAGCTCTCAACGTCGTCGTATGCATCCCATTCCAAAAACCTTTTTTTTACAAAAGATCCAAATGAGGAAAGTTTCTGATAATCTCTCTTCTGAAAATGTTTTTTTTTTAACAGGGAAGGATCAAAGGGTACCCGATTTGGAGTGACCCGAACCGGGTCGACCCGTTCTTGAATGAAAACGCTTCACCGCCTAATGCCAGCCCAAGCATCGTCAACTCAAAAGCCCTAGGTACTGTGCACTCACACTTAAAGCCTTGATTGTTCCAAACGCCAATTTCTGTGTTTGAGAAAATTAATTACTCTAAGATGTATTCATTTGGTGTTTTCAGGATTGCCAGTTTCGAAGCTATGAGTTAAGTATGAAGAAGCAGAGATTTGGCAGATCCTTACAAGTGAATATCTGATGGTGTCAAGTTGTGCTTATGTATGTGTATACAACAACAACCCTGTTGGATCATAAATCACTCTTTTAAGTCTTGTTTGGTGTTATATTGCTGATGAGTCTTGTTTGTTACCCACACTTCTCTCTATTTCACTTCCCTCGAGTCTTGATATAGCTCCGTTAATATCATCTAAAGATTGTGAGGACTTTCCATATTTCAAAGTTTCTTTAAGCTGATCATAGTCAGAAAAATGATAGGTCCTCATATGTTACTCATTGTCTACACTCTCATTGTCTTCCAAGCACAAAAGAGACAACTTGTGAAACAAAAATTCTCAGAAAAAGTAAAAGATGTTTTGATATGTGTTTGTTTAAGTATTATTCAGTCAATCATAAACTATAATGACAAAATAAAATTATTCCTATTATTCTCTCCGAACTCGACCCGATTAAAAACCAGAGCAAAAACAGAACAAGAAAAAGAGATTGTTGCTGCATTTTCTTCTTCTTCTTCTTTAGGAAACAAGAGATCTGTGAAGGTATTGGGTGATGCTTCTTTGAATTTTTGTGCCTCTATATAAATATAAGCAAATTCACAGCATTAAAGAAGCATTTCTAGTTTTCTTTAGAAATCGAGCTATTAATCTTGTGCTTGACTACATGTATGGCCGATCAAGAACAATCATCAAACGGCAAAGAGCGAAAATATGTTTTTTTTGTATGGAAAAATATTTTCTTATTAATAAATTCATAATTTTATTTTATAGAAAAACAAAAATGTAGACAAAGACCAAAAACTAATTAAGGCACCATTCAAGTTTCTAAAAAACTAATTCTACAGCAATAAAAACCCAATAATTTAAAACCAAAATCCAAAATCTAAAAACTTTGGAAACATTCATGGCCTTAATTACAGCAAACATAATAGTTGTAAGACAAAATAAATTTTTATGTCAAGTGGTGGCTTATGAACAATTGTACCTAGATTGTTGCATTTTTTGTTTTTTATATATCCTTTGTTATGTTTTGCTTGTATTTTGCTTGTATTTTTATTTTATTTTACTTGTATATTGTTTTTTTATCGAAATGCTTTGTTAATGGTGTTTTAGAAGAGTTATGATGAACGGAGAAGAAGACCAAAAGTTGTATTGAAATTACATTATTTTTTTAGACTTTTTTGTTAAAGTGAAATTTAAGTACTATGTGATGGTTTAAAGTTAATTGGTTGCCATTTTGATGGTTTTGGTGCAACCTCTAATGAGTCTTGTACAGCATTTGGTATTACAATAGGATATATAAAGATATTATTATTTTTTTCCTTCAAAATGATATTTTGTATATTTGTTTGTTTAAGTATTATTCAGTCAAACATAAACTTTAATGACAAAATAAAATTATTCCTACTATATATTAACCCTATGACTGAGAGTCAATTATAGTTACACTTACTGCTATGTAGTAAGTTGACCAATTTCATTACATAGTAAGTTGACCAAATTACTTATATAGTAAGCTGACCAATTTATTGGATAATATATAGTAAGTTGACCAATTCATAGATACTTAGAGCAATTTTTTATATAAAAAAAAAAGAATTCAAATTAACAGTTTTTGATATTAAATATTGATAGTGCTGTTATAAAAAACCTACAATATAACCTCTATAAAGTAATACTCATAAAATAATATTTTGATAAATTAATAGAATTTTCCAACCCCGAATTAAGTTTTGGTTCAATTATCTCTCGATAAATTAATATATCTCTAAAATAAGAAAATATCATGGTCATAGAGTTATTATTTTATAGAAGTTTTATTGTAATTAAATTATATTTTAATAGTAATAAAATCTTTTTTTTATCATAATATAGTATCAAGTAAGTAGAATTCTTTAATTTCATATATGTGTGTATATATACTTCATAATGAACATAACTTTTCATACACAAAAAAAAAACTTCAGAAAAATGAATACTAAGAAATGCATTGTTTTGATGATGGTGGTGGCAATAGTAATGGCCGGTATGATTGGAGAAACGGAAGGACTTTCATGCATGGAAAAGTGTGTGTTCAAGTGCGGGCTAATATTTGCACCTCAAAAACAATGCACTGATAAATGTGCCCGCAAATGCCACCAATTACATAATGTTCCACTTCATCCATCACCGTAATAATTTATTCACTTATGCTATTTCGTTTGATTACTTTTGTGGTTGTCTTTAAATGCTAAACTTTTGGGGCTGTCTTTAAGATATTTCTCGATCAAATATTTGATGAAATCTCAACATAATCACATAATGGCCATAATGTTTTTAGAATATCGATTTTCTTTATATGAATAAAATTGTTATGGTTTGAGAAAAAAAGTTAGAACTAGTAAATACAAATACAGAATATTTTCATTTGAAATAACCATACACAATATGGTTATTATGTTTTGTGTGCAGAGGAATTGACATGGTTTATTTGGGGAAATGCAGGAAGAAGACTATGGGAATGAGAAACATAAAAGAGTAGACAAACCCTCTTTCAAAAAAAACATAAAAGGATAGACAAATGACAAATCGGTATAAGAACAAAACTTATATATAAATGTAAGCTCGTTAAAATTCATATTTAAATAAAAATACAATTTCTGCCAAAAAAAACCTTCTAGTGACAAGTTTTTGTAATTATATATGTGACATCGTCTCTCTCTCTATACCGCGATTGTCAGAACATGATCCTTAAGAGACCCCAAAGCCGCTAAATGGCATATTTGTTTTCAAGTTGTCTTAATTGGGCCATTTTTCATCTATAATGCAACAAGCTTTCGGTTTCTTGTTCCCAAGCTTTTTATTTTTATCATACTCTCCGCTCATCCACTGCCCTCGAACCCTGAACAAGCCGATCGAGAGAATCCACCACTTAACTACTGCACCTCAAAAACTCGAGAGTTTCACTATCGCTTGTTTGTAATTAAATGACGTGTGACACAAAAATAAACAGTTGATATTTTAACGAGTGAAAAAAGCGAAACATAATTTGATACATAATGCTTACACGTGGCCCGTGGGCATTCGGAAAGTACGAGGTTTGTATCATATCAACACAATCATTATTGATCGCTAGTAAAAAAAAAAAAATTACTAGTTTTTTCCTCTTATAAACGTATTCAAACTCATGATTTTAAAAATCTTTCATTTTGGATGCCAGCTAGAACATCAGCTACCAAACGCATGATTCATCTTCTTTTCTCTCTTTTTTTTGTCATGCGTCTCACACCGACTCCACCAACAATAGGCTTTGCTTCACGATCTGACCTCAAAAATTAAATATTATGGGATGGTTTAAATTATAGAGTGTAAGTAGTTGTTATGTTGATAGTTTTTATGCGATTTTCTCTATTTATATTTATTAAGTATTATTTTCTAGTGATTATTAATTTATCAAGTATTATTTTATTGAATTTTTATTGATATTACAATAGGATGTACAGTAAAACCTCTATAAAGTAATAATGTTGGGACTTTGAAAATTTATTATCTTATAGAGATATTACTTTATGAATAAATTCAATATTCATGTATTCTCATAATCTTCGAAAATTATTCTCGATATGATAATATATTAAGGAATGAAAATAATTTATTCATTAATATGACATAGATAAACTTGAAATTATTATCAAATCTTTTGGATATCATAATAAAACATATATTATTAGTTTCTATAAATATTTATTTATATAAAATTTGATACATAATAAATGTTAAAATTTTATAAATAATTATAGCTACTAATGAAGTTGGAAATGATATGTTTAGAACATATTTAACAATTTTACATGCATATAAAAATTGCATTATGAGTTTTTTATATAAGAAAAAGTTAAAGATCAACTTCAATTCATAATTTAATAATTGGTTTAGGCATATACAATGTATAATTTTATATAATTATTACTTTAACTTATAACTGAGACCATATTTTTACATAGAAGTTTCAAAAATATTATTATCTTATCATCTTATCGCATTTTGCTTATTTTTACATTGGCCCGAATTGAGACTGGAGAAATTTATTACTCCCTCCGTTTCTTATTACTTGTCGTTCTAGGAGATTTCACGCAGATTAATAAAACAGATTAAAAACTCTATTATACCCTTAGAAAACAAATTGACTATTAGTATTCTTCATTAGATCAAGGTTAAACTAGGTATTTAATATTAAATTTTGCATTGGAAAGTGAGAACGACAACTATTTTGAATCAAAAAAATAAGGCTAGAATGACAAGTATTTTGAAACGGAGGGAGTACATTATAGTGATTATTACTTTATCGAGTATTACTTTATAGAGGTTCAACTGTATGTGCATATTAGTGTTTTCTTTTCAAAATGATATCTACTATATTTACATTGTTCAAGTATTATTCAGTCAAAATAAATTGGTCAACTTACTATATATTATTCCTATGACTACGAGTCAATTGTAGTTACTGCTACATATTAAGTTGACCAATTTCATTATATAGTAAGTGTACCAATTTTATTGGATATTATATAGTAAGTTGGCCAATTTTGGGAAAATTGAAAGAAATATTTTTGAATATATTTAAGTTGACCAATTCATAAATACTTGAAACAATTTATTTAAAAAATAATAATTCAAATAAACAGCTTTTGATAGTAATAAATCTTTTCTTTTTTTCATAGTATAGTATCAAGTTAGCAGAAGTCATGAGTTTCATATGTGTATATATACATATAAACTTCTTAATGAACATATATAATTTTTCATATACAAAAAAAAACCAAAGAAAATGAGTACGAAGAAATGCATTGTATTGATGATGGTGGTGGCAATAGTAATGGCAGCTATGATAGGAGAAACAAAAGGAATGTCATGCATAAACAAGTGCTTGTTTAAGTGCAGTCTAATATTTACACCTACAAGACCATGCATTGATAAATGTCACCGCAAATGCCCTCCTAGTGTTCTATCTCATCCATCGCCGTAATAATTTCTTCACTTATGTTATTTCGTTTGATTACTTTTGTGTTTGTCTTTAAATGTTAAACTATTAGGACTGTCTTTAAGATATTTTCGATTATATAAAACTCAACGGTCATATTGCTCTTAGAATATCGAATTTTTTATATAAATAAAATTGTTATGGTTTGGAAAAAATGTTCCAACTAGTAAATACAAATACAAACTTGAATATTTGCATTTGAAATAACCATACACATATGGATTTTATGTTTTGCGCATGAAGAATTGACATGGTTTATTTGGGGAAATTGCAGGAAGAAGACTATGGGAATGAGAAATATAAAAGAGTAGACAAACACTCTTTCAGAAAAAAATCATAAAGTTGTAGACACATCGGTATAAGAACACAACTTATATATAACTGTAAGCTTGTTAAAATTCATATTTAAATAAAAAAGGATTTCTACCAAAAAAATCTATTGATCTTGCTATATACAACTAACATTTAACTTCGGTTCGGTTTAGACCTATTGTTTCCTATACATGTAGTAGGGCTTTGCATTTCAACTTTCTATACATTTTGCATGGATGATATACAAACACATTTTATAACCAAAAAAAAAAAACAAGAAACATTCAAAATGTCATCCTTTCATAATACTATCCGCTCATCCAGTACTGCCCTCGAACCTTGAACAAGCCGATCGAGAATTTACCACTTAACTTCTGCACCTCATAAACTCAAGAGTTTCACTATCGCTTCTTTGTAAAATGACATGTGACACAAAATTAAACAGTTTTTAACGAGTAAAAAGAAAGCGAAACATAATTTGATACATAATTCTTACCCGTAGCCCATAGGCATTCGGAAAATATGAGGTTTGTAATTTTGTATCATACCAACAATCATCACTATTGATCGCTAGTAAAAAAAATTAATTTCTTTATTTTTCTCATCAACGTATTCAAACTGATGATTTTAAAAACTCTTTCATTTGGGATGCTAGCTAGAATATCTGCTACCAACGGAAGTAGGTGAAAAATCAGAGGCTATTGATATGGAAATAGATCACAAATTGGCACAAGGGATTTCTCTACAAAGAAATATATTACTAGAAATTCTTTAAGTGTAACTTACAAGTATTGCTTAAACGAATTGACAACCACAATCTATCCACGATTTGATTGCTCTAGTAACACTCTGTTCTCAGATCTATCCACGATCTTCGAACCTCTCAAGCCCTAACCCTTTGTCCTAGCTCTCTTACAAGATGATCTAAACCCAAAGTCTAAAGCTCTCAATATTTGTGATAGCCGCTTCCAAGCAGCCAAGGTCCTCTATTTATCCTCAATAGACGAACCGCCAAACCCTACAAGGTTGTGTCTTGGTGATTACTCCAAATCTCCAAGGAATATTTCCTTTCCTTATTTTTCTCTAAGAATAGGAAATATCCCTTTTGTCTTGATAATTCCAAATCTCCTCATCCAGCTCAGCTACCGCCTCTTCTGGATTCGTCCTTAACCGCTACAAGCTCGCATCCAGCTCAGCATCAATCCTTTAGCTCCGTTAAGCTCCGCTTAGCTCCGCTACATGTCCGTCCATACGTCCTGATGCACTTCCTGACTGATTCACGATCTGCGTCAAACCAGTTGCATCTTCAATCTCCCCCTTTTTAGCTTTGTGTCTTACAAGCACCTGTAAAACTCAAATCCACAATGCACATACCAGAGATAACCAGAAAACAGGATGTTCTGAATACTTCATCATTAGACATTCAAAATATTCAAATCATTCAGAACATGAGAGTTATGAGTTTAAACATCCAAAAACAAAAGAGTTAGAAACAAAGCAAAAACTCTCAACTCCCCCAGAATTCTAGAACCGAAAACTACTTAAAACAGAGCAAAAACAAACAAAAGCTTTGCTCCCCCACAATTCTAGCATAAGTCCTAGTTTTCGTCCCCTGGTTCATCCTGTTCTCCCCCTGCTTGTGAGACCACACAAGTTAAAAACACAAGATGTAAATCATATGGAACAAGATTGTGCAGAGTTTCAACTTACCTTGAGGTTGGCGAGAAGGCCCTGAACCTCCGTGAAGGTCTGGAGAGTGTAGACGATGTCGCCGAGTGCCTGAATCGCGCTGGCTGAATTGGTGGAGTGGGAAGCGGACAGAGCCAAGATCCACAGTGATGAAGGCCTCTGATGTAGTCTGATGGAGCTGCTGCTGGAGGTCTGACCTGAGATGAGAAGATTGCTCTTGCTTCATCTTCTTCTTCTTCTCATCTTCTCTTTGATGTACTCCTTCCCAGAGCGCTTATCCTTTTGATAGTGAAGAGGACGAATGAGGACATCATCATCAAGGAGAGGGAGAGGCGCTTGCATCTGAATGATCCATAGATGATCCTTGGAAAGATCAACCAACGAGAGTCTTTGTGTTGGATTTTGCTCATCCCCATCACTTGATCATACACCAACTGACCAAAATCAACTCGACTCCTGTGGATAGCTTGTAGATAAGCTTAGCTCGTGGCTCAGACACATGGTTGCTATGAGTCGAAGGCATCCAGTTGTGAGACGCAACAATGACCAAGGATGCATAACATGGAGTCATCCCAATCGAGTAGATCTCAGACCACTCAGCCTTCTCATTCGCAGTGAACAGTGAGCCAATGTCTGCAGACTGACAGAGTCTGCATCTGCTTCAAGCTTCTCTCTTCTTCACTAGAGGCTGCAAGTTGAGAAACTCGTTGACAATCGGGGAGAGAACTCATACTCCTGTCTCGAATCATCACCTCGAACACTATCATCTCCTGGTTGAGGCAACGCAGAAATCAACAATCTGAGACCTAACATAGCTTCCTAAACCCTCAACCGTAGACTAAACCTCCTTTGATGATAATATCAGGATATCCCCACTTAGCTTCAGCTTAAGATCACAATTCATCAATGATTCCACGAGAGCTAAAGATCACAAACCTGTCCAGAAGATGTCTTCTTGGTTTGGAAGCCTCGGTTTGCTTTCCCTTCCCTTTAGCTCGTGAACTAGCTCGAGCCGGAGCTTTCTTCACCGGAGTAGATCGTCTTTGGCGCTTGGCTTTGGAGATGGAGCGATGCAGAAGCTTCTCCTTCATCTTCTTGGATGGCGGTGGAAGTCCGGTGATCGAGAACTTTCCTCTTCCATGTAATGAGCGAGCTCATCATCGCTTTCTTCTTCATCGGAAACGGCATAGCGGTTTGAGCGAAAGCCGATTCCGGGATCTCGGCGCTGTAGTAGAAGGCGGTTCAGGCGACGGCTCCTTCTGCTCAGATCGAAACGGCTGGCCGGGTGAGTTCGTCGAGGACCTCGTCGTGAGATCGAGAACGACCGGAGTTGGATCTCTCGGTGGAATCGAAGCGTCGGGCTCCGTGACTCTGTTGCGGCGGCGTTGAGCTCGTCTGGGGTCACCACCGGAGGTGTAGTGACCGCTGCTTCAGTCACTCCATCAGTCGGTGGTGGAGCTAGGGTTTCGGCGGAGTTTGGAATCGGCTCCGTCGTTTGCGCATCTCGAGGAATCTCCGGCTCCTCGGGTTTCTCCGCCGTGGCTTCTTCATCCGCCATCGGTTCATCTTCCGCCGTAGCGAAAGACTCGGCCTCGACTACTCCTTCAAAGAGAACCATTCCATCATTGGATCAGCTACTCGTCGACGGCTTCGTCGATCATCGTGATATCGGCGGTGAGGATCTTGAATCGTCGTTTGAGCGGCGGGTTCGTCGATTTGGACCGGCGTAGAGGCGGATCCGTCGGTATGCGTCTCGGATCGGTCTTGACTTGGACGGATTCTCCTCGTCTAGTCGCGGTCACCATTGAATCAAGATTGACTCCTTCAATCGATTTGGGAAAAATCTAGGGTTTTCGATCGAAGACCTTTGACTTTCCTTTTTCGCCTTTTTCCCTTTTATACCTCACTGCATCGAGAAACCACTTAAACCAAACCGGAATTAGGAATTAAAAACATAAATCAGCCGGATTAATTGGTTTAGAAATCCAGAGCTCCTGCTTGACTTCCTGTAACATTCAGCACCAATATCAGCAGTACAGCACTTAGGATAAAATTGTGACATCCACATAAATTCGATTCAAATAGAATCCAAACAAGCAATACCATCCCATGTGTCACATCTTTTCAGCTTAAAAACATTTTTACTCAGTTTATCTCAAATTAAATACCTTTCATTTTAGCGAAGGAGACATTGACTGAGTCGGCACTTGCATCAGGATGTATTACAAATTCTCAACAGATTCATAGTGCTTGGCCATCCTGATTCCAACCTGCAGCTTTCACTTTGTCATACCCAGATCATATCACCACCTCTAATTCCAATGATGTGCAAAGTGAAACTCTTTATTTTGTTCAAGGCAGAACATGTGATCATTCTCTGTCGTTGGATGTTGTTCTTGTGAAACATTACCCTTCGAGAAAGCTCATGGACCAACTCAGCCTTGTGAGCTATTGTTGTCAGTCCATCCCCTTTCCAATTAAGCTCTTAGTTCTATCGTCAGACTTTGTTCTTGTGAAACATTGTCTTTCGAGAAATCACATGAACCAACTTAGCCTTGTGAGCTATTGTTGTCAGTTCATCACATTTCCTGTTATGCTCATTGAATCACTTTTTGGTTCTTGAAGCAGCAAGCCATCTCCATCATATTGCATTCATTTGGAGTTGGCTCAGCTGCTTTTTGACCTTGAACATGCTTTTAGAATCACTTACTTTTCACTTTTCTTATGTTGAGGTGACATGACGGCATGACAAAGTAGCTGATCCTCATTGGCACCTTTGACTCCAAACAAAATCTGAACTTGTTATACACCCCGAGCCAGTGCCTGTATCAGCCCCTGCATCATTCAAAACCACTTGTGCAAATTCCAATGGAATTTCTTAAGGTGACAAAACGGTTAAAGTCCAATGGTTTTGTGAATAAATCAGCGAGCTGTAAATCTGTGACAACATGTTCAAGTACTACCTGTTTTTCTTCCACCAATTCACGAACAAAGTGGTGTCTTATGTCAATGTGCTTAGTCCTTGAGTGCTGCACCGGATTCTTTGATATGTCAATGGCGCTTTTGTTGTCACAGTAGACCAAGAAGGGTCCAGACTCCATCCCATAATCGGCTGACATCTGTCTCATCCATATAAGCTGTGTGCAGCAGCTTCCCAATGCAATGTACTCAGCCTCTGCAGTAGATAGTGACACAGAATTCTGCTTCTTGCTAAGCCAAGCAATAAGATTGTTCCCAAGGAAGAAACAACCTCCACTTGTGCTTTTCCGATCATCTGCGCATCCTGCCCAATCGGCGTCACAATATCCAGCAAGATTTCTGTTGGATCCTTTGGAGTAAAAGATCCCCAGATTGACAGTTCCCTTGACATACCTCAAGATCTTCTTCACCGCTTGAAGATGGGACTGTTTTGGTTTGGCCTGATAGCGAGCACACACTCCAACGCTGAAGCTTAAGTCAGGCCGACTTGCTGTAAGGTAAAGCAAGCTTCCAATCATTCCTCTGTATAGCTTCACATCAACATCTTCTCCTTGTTCATCCTTTCCAATCTTTGTCGTGGTGCTCATTGGTGTTCTTGCCTCCTTGCATTTGTCAAGACCAAACTTCACCAGTAGATTCTTGGCATAGGTGCTTTGAGAAATAAAATTCCTTTCTCAGTCTGATTACTTGAAGTCCAAGAAAGTACTTCAATTCTCCCACCATGCTCATCTTGAACTCCTTAGTCATACTCTTCACAAAGTTTTCCACCAGCTTCTCTGAAGTTCCTCCAAAGATGATATCATCTACATAGATCTGCACCATCATCATCTCATTCTTCTTCTCAAGTGTGAACAAGTTTTGTCCACAGTTCCTCTGACGTAGCCTGTGTCAATCAGAAACTTCGTCAGGTGCTCATACCAAGCTCTTGGAGCCTGTTTCAGTCCGTAGAGAGCTTTCTTGAGCTTATACACATAGTCAGGATGTGTAGGATCTTCAAACCCTTCGGTTGGCTACATATACTTCCTCTTGTAGAATGCCATTCAAGAAAGCACTCTTCACATCCATCTGATACACCTTGAAGTTCAATATGCATGCCATCCCTAGAAACAGTCTGATAGACTCAAGACGAGCTACAGGGGCAAAGGTTTCATCAAAGTCGACTCCTTCAACTTGTGAGTAACCTTGCGCAACAAGTCTTGACTTGTTTCGTACAATGCTTCCAGCATCATCTGTCTTGTTCTTGAAGATCCACTTTGTACCAACTTCACACCATCAGGTAGTGGCACTAACTCCCATACATCGTTTCTCACGAACTCCTCTAGTTCCTCTTCCATGGAGATGATCCAATCTGCATCTTCCAGTGCTTCACGATGATTTCGTGGCTCTATGGCAGAGACAAAGCACTCAAATTGAATAATTGCCATGCTGACCATCTGCTTATAGTTCATCTTGATTCCTCTCGTCCTTCGTGGCTCAGTGATGTCTCCAATCAGATCGTTCGAGGAATGGTTTCTGTGAACTTGTGTCAGTGGGAGACCTACATCAGGAGCTGTGTCAGAGACTTCCTCATGAACCTTTTCTTCTTCTTCACGAACCTCCTCTGCTTCGTTTCTGCTTCGCTGACTTCTGGTTCATGAAATATTGGAGAGTCTCCCATGGCCGCAATTGATCGATCATCAAAACAACATTGACTGACTCCATAATCATCTTGGACCGAAGATTGAAGACTCTGTAAGCTGAACTATTGCCTGAATAACCCAGAAATATGCCTTCATCACTCCTTGAGTCGAACTTTCCAAGTTGATCCTTGTCATTCAGAATGAAACACCTGCATCCAAAGACACGAAAGTAACTTAAGTTAGGTGTCTTTCCTTTCCACAACTCATAAGGAGTTTTGAGTAAAGCCTTTCTCATGTAAACACGGTTGATGATGTAGCATGCGGTGTTGATTGCTTCAGCCCAAAACTTCACAGGAATGTTTCCTCCATGGATCATTGCACGCGCCATTCTCTTGAAGTGTTCTGTTCTTTCGCTCCACTACTCCATTCATCTGTGGTGTTCTAGGTGCCGAAAATTGGTGAGCTATGCCTTGTTCATTGCAGAACTTAGTCATGACCTCATTCTGAAATTCTCCCCCATGATCACTGCGTATGCGCTTGAGGCTTCCTTTCTCAGTGATAACTTGAAGAGCCCAAATCTTGAAACTCGCCATGGTGTCAGATTTGTCACGAATGAAGCGGACCCAAGTGTATCGCGAGTAATCATCCACTAGAACAAAGACATAGCGCTTTCCTCCAATGCTCTCCACTTGCATTGGTCCCATCATCCATGTGTACTAGTCCAAAACAGTCTTGGATTGTACATCTGCCACCTTCTTGTGCTGGACCTTGATTTGCTTTCCTTGATTGCAAGGACCACATACAAGTTTCTCAGTTCCCTTCAGCTTCGGAACACCACGAACAATCTCCTTATTCACCAAGTCGGTGAGATGTCGAACATTCATGTGACCCAATCGTTTGTGCCATAGTTCAACATCATCTCGGACACTTAAGCACTTAGCAGATTGATCCCACATGTAACAGTTGTTGCCTGAGCGAACTCCTCGTAGGACTGTCTTTCCGTCAGAGTCAATGGCTTTGCACTCTATCTTGTTAAACCAGACCGTTAAACCTTCATCACAAAGCTGGCTGACACTGATCAGTTTGACTTCAGACCTTGAACGAGATAGACGTTCATAAGCTGTGGTTGCTCATCAGAGGTGCGTCCCTTGCCTTGAATCATTCCTTTGGTTCCACATCCAAAAGTGACCTTCCCTCCTTTTAGCTTCTTCACTTCCTGAAGATTTTCTTTGACTCCTGTCATGTGTCTGGAGCATCCACTATCGAAGTACCATGGTCCAGTGTTGTCAGCTTCGTCGATTTCTTCAAGTAAGGCCATGTTGGAGTAGACACGCTGTCTTGAACCACCAGTTGATGTACGTCGGGCAGGATTCTGATATAGATCCGATTTTCTGATGAAGAACTGGTTTAGATGACGATTCCAATGATAGCGTCCTCGTTTCCATGCATAGTCGACTCTAGCCCAGTACTTGTTGCAGAAAGCCCTGATATGTCCTAAGGACCCACAGAAATAGCACTCCTTTCCTTGATGTTTTCCTCTTGGACTCTGAAATCCTTTCGGATTGCGAGTTGGAGAAGAATCATATCCCAGTCCCATGGTGCTCTTCCCTCGATTCCCAGTTTTGAGAATGGAATCAAGTTTCTGAGCTGGTGTCTTAGTATCTGCTTGATGGACATCCTGAGAACCCTCCAGAACAAACTTGACATTCTTTCCAGTTGTAACACTGCTGGTGTGTATCCTAGACCAAGATTTGACTTCCCTACACGGCCAATGCTCAGAATCTTGTCGAGTTCCTTAGTACCAGTCAGCATCTTGAGTTGCTTTCTGTGTTGATCCAATTCAGCTTGTAGATTTCTGGAATTCTCCTTTTCCAGAAAGTACTCCTTGGTAATGTCGTCTGCTCGTTTAACTGCATCCATCTTTTCAAGCACGATGTTAAGATTATCCATGTTGAGATCCTTTCGGCTTGAAGTGCTTTCTGAAGTTCGTCAACTCGTGCAGTAAGACGAGTATTCTCCTTCTTGAGCTCAATGTTTTCCTTCCCAACTTCTACCAAGGCATTACGAACTTCCTTATAGCTTTCATGGATATCAACTTCAGATTCATCATCTGTGAGTATCCTCTTGGTCAGATTCAGAGATCTTTGTATCTTCTATTTCAGCAATTCCAGCAAATGCGACAAAGTTACTGACTTCTTCCTCATCTTCAGACTCTCCTTCAGAATCTTCATCAGCAACGCCCATCATCGACTTCCCCATCTTCTCATCATACTCACATTCTTGTTGTGTATGACCTATTCCTTTGCACTTGTAGCAAGTAATGCTTCTCCTCTTGACAGTGGGGCAGTCGGTCTTGAAGTGTCCATATCCCTTGCATTCATGACACTGTGACTCGGTTTTACTCGTCCCCTCGTTCTTGTCATAGGCTTCCTTCCATTGTTGACACGAGGCTGAGTTTTTCCAGTTTCATACTTCTTCAGACTCTGTCAAAGCGACGTACCAAGAGACTGATACTGTCTTCTTCAGGCTCTTCTTCCAACTGTTTCTCCGTTGATATGAGTGCAATACCCTTAGCCTTTTTGACACCTCCTAGTTCCAGTTCGTGTAGCTGCAGTTTTCCCACCATCTCGTCGTAGGAGATCGTCCCAAAGATAGGATTTGCACTTAGTCCAGCCTTGTATGCTGTGAATTTGTCTGGAAGACACCGAAGAAGTTTCTTCACTAACTTAGCATCCTTGTATACCTTTCCCAGGGTACGAGACTCCTGAACGAGTGAGCTAAGTTTCGAGCTAAAGTCAGCAATTGACTCATGTTCCTCCATCCTCATATTCTCAAACTTAGTTGCCAATAGATCCTTCCTTGAGCTTTGAACTTGACTTGTCCCTTCAAAGTGGATCTGGAGGATATCCCACGCCTCCTTTGACGTAGTACAGCCCTGAATCAGCTCAAACTGTTTCTTTGAGCAACTACCATTGATCTGTGCCAGTGCTCTAGCATTGAACTTGTAATCATCACGTTGGGCTGTAGTCCAGCGTTCTCGAGGCACTGCTGTAGTTACTCCTTCAATCGTGACTGTAGGTGGTTTCCATCCATGCTCAGTCAAGTACCAGGCGGCCTCATCAATACATTGAATATTTGCTCTCGTCCTTGCCTTCCAGTACGTGTAGTTTCCATCATCAAGTATCACCTTCAGCTCTGGGTGATAGCCCTCCATTCCGCAAGATCTCACCTGCTATAGCAATACACGCAAGGTGACTGCTCTGATACCAATTGAAAAACCAGGGGCTATTGATATGGAAATAGATCACAAATTGGCACAAGGGATTTCTCTACAAAGAAATATATTACTAGAAATTCTTTAAGTGTAACTTACAAGTATTGCTTAAACGAATTGACAACCACAATCTATCCACGATTTGATTGCTCTAGTAACACTCTGTTCTCAGATCTATCCACGATCTTCGAACCTCTCAAGCCCTAACCCTTTGTCCTAGCTCTCTTACAAGATGATCTAAACCCAAAGTCTAAAGCTCTCAATATTTGTGATAGCCGCTTCCAAGCAGCCAAGGTCCTCTATTTATCCTCAATAGACGAACCGCCAAACCCTACAAGGTTGTGTCTTGGTGATTACTCCAAATCTCCAAGGGAATATTTCCTTTCCTTATTTTTCTCTAAGAATAGGAAATATTCCTTTTGTCTTGATAATCCAAATCTCCTCATCCAGCTCAGCTACCGCCTCTTCTGGATTCGTCCTTAACCGCTACAAGCTCGCATCCAGCTCAGCATCAATCCTTTAGCTCCGTTAAGCTCCGCTTAGCTCCGCTACATGTCCGTCCATACGTCCTGATGCACTTTTGACTGATTCACAATCTGCGTCAAACCAGTTGCATTTTTAGTGGGTGGTCAGACTATTTCCGAGCTTTTTCAGCTAGACTTTTATTATGACAATGACAATGAATGACAATGGTCAATGGCGGTAAAAGCTCATGGCTCAAGACCTTGGTTACGAGAGGTCATAGATAGATAAGACGACTTCTGTCTCGAAATCATCTCAATCAGCCGCCATTCAGAAGAGCATATAAGCTCTTTCACATGAACATCGAATCCTTGTTGGTGTTCACAGGTTACTCTAATTTTTAAAGTTTTGATTTTCAAAAATGATTTTACTTGTGATTTAAGTCGACCCTGCCTAATGAACAAAAAAAAAAGCATTGTGCCATAATCCCCTTAATACAACTGTTTGGAATCTCATATATTCTCAAAAATTGTATTTCGTATACTGAAAAAAATGTAGTTTAATGTCTTTAACAAAAACAAAGGATTTATAATGCTCTCTTTTTTAAATCTAAATTAATTTCATATTAACAAAACAATATTTCATCTAAATTTCATATAAAATTAATACAAATCCTTACACAAATTTTATCTGGATGAAGTTTTATCATTATTTTTATCTAGATAACTGATATATTTCATGTAGGAAATTATAAAATTCGTGTCAGATTTTTGTAATTTATTTTGACAACAATGAATTGCTCTCACTATTTTGCTTAGCTGGCAAAAACACTGAGATCTCGCCACGTAACCCGCTGAGGCGCTGAACAATCTATGGCGTAAATAGACATACACCACGTGGTGTTTTGCTGAAAGCCTGAGACCAAAACCCCATAATTCATTTTTTTAATCAATTTATTTCTTCGGACAGCTGCTTAACGGGTCCCACTTTGGTCTAAGCCACTAACGGATAAGATCAAATCTATTCTCGGTATGAGGATACATCCTACTTTACGTGCTCTCTCGCTTTTTCCACCGTTCGATTTTTCTACTTTACCGTTTACACAATCTTAATTTCAATCCGACGGTTCAAATCACTTTTTACATAAATCATATTTTCTGTTGATTATTATTATTATTTGAATTCCACATCATAAATCACTATTTACAGTACAACGTTCCTGAGAAACTAAAGAGTAAAGTGTCTGAGAAAAACCAGAGAAGCTTCTTCTTTCTTCATTCGTTAAGAAAATTTTCAATTCTAATTCCAAAATCTCTCACTCAACAACATTAAAAAAAAAAAGGGAAAAACAGAATCATTTGGCCATCAATCTCCATTTCAAGAAAAAGTTCTGGTAAACAAGAATCTCTCTTTTTGCTATTTGTTTTTTTAATTTCCCTTCACTCAAAACCGTATAAGCATTTTCATCCACAGTCAAAAAGAAACTCTCTTTTTCTCTCTATTTTTCTTTGGCTACTTTGGAGCTGTGAATGATATTCTTGATTCTTGAATCTATTCCTTTTTCCTTTAAACCTCTCCTTTTACAATCTCTGAAACAAAAATTTGATTTCTTTGAAGACACAAATCCAACAAATTTCTCTCTTTTTTTCCGCAGTTAAATCCCAAGAAAGAAAAGTTTTCTCTTTTACAAGAATGGTTTCCAGATCGTATTCGAATCTACTGGAGCTTGCTTCAGGAGACTCTCCAACGTTTGGCCGCATGAACAGACAGATCCCTCGAATCATGGCCGTCGCCGGAATCATGTCCAACATCGACAACGATTCCAAAGAAACTCTTTCCTCTGATCTCTCTCCCAAAGACCGTATCATCATTGTAGCCAATGAATTACCAATACGAGCTCAGAGAAACAACAATGGTGGTAGTACAAGTAGTAGCAGTAACTGTTGTAGCAAAAGTTGGAACTTTTCTTGGGATGAGAACTCTCTCCTCCTCCAGTTAAAAGATGGTTTAGGAGATGAAGCCACTGAAGTCATCTATGTAGGTTGCTTGAAAGAAGAGATTCATCCAAACGAGCAAGAAGAAGTGTACCAAATACTTCTTGAAAACTTCAAGTGTGTGCCAACGTTCTTGCCTCTTGATTTGTACACAAGATACTACCATGGATTCTGCAAGCAGCAGCTCTGGCCTCTGTTCCACTACATGCTCCCACTCTCACCTGACCTAGGAGGCAGATTCGACCGAACTCTATGGCAAGCTTACGTCTCAGTGAACAAGATCTTCGCTGATAGGATCATGGAAGTGATAAACCCTGAGGATGACTTCGTGTGGATACACGATTACCATCTGATGGTCTTGCCTACTTTCTTGCGCAAGAGGTTTAACCGAGTCAAGCTAGGGTTCTTCCTCCACAGCCCTTTTCCTTCCTCAGAGATTTACAAGACTTTACCTATCCGTGAAGAGCTTCTCCGAGCTCTCCTCAACTCTGATCTTATAGGGTTTCACACATTCGACTACGCGAGGCATTTCTTGTCTTGCTGTAGTCGAATGCTAGGGCTCACTTATGAGTCCAAGAGAGGTTACATTGGCCTTGAGTACTACGGCAGAACCGTGAGCATCAAGATACTCCCTGTAGGTATCCACATGGGACAGCTTCAGTCTGTTCTAAGCCTCCCGGAGACGGAGAGGAAAGTTGGGGAGCTTATAGAGGAGTACAAAGGCAGGACAATGCTGCTCGGTGTTGATGACATGGACATCTTCAAAGGCATAACCTTGAAGCTCTTGGCTATGGAGCAGCTGCTCATGCAACACCCTGAGTGGCAAGGGAAAGTTGTGCTTGTGCAGATAGCGAATCCTGCGAGAGGGAAAGGGAAAGATGTTAAGGAGATGCAAGCTGAGACTTATGCGACGGTTAAACGGATCAACGAGACGTTTGGGAGAGATGGTTATGATCCTATAGTGTTGATCGATGCGCCGTTGAAGTTTTATGAGAGAGTTGCTTATTATGTGGTTGCAGAGTGTTGCTTGGTGACTGCTGTGAGGGATGGTATGAATCTTATACCGTATGAGTACATTGTGTCACGTCAAGGGAATGAGAAGCTTGACAAGGTTTTAAACTTGGAGCTGAGTCATCGCAAGAAGAGCATGCTTGTGGTGTCTGAGTTTATTGGTTGCTCACCATCGTTAAGCGGAGCCATTCGTGTGAATCCATGGAACGTTGATGCAGTGGCTGATGCGATGGACAGTGCTCTTGAAGTGGCTGAGCCGGAGAAGCAGCTGAGGCATGAGAAGCATTACAAGTATGTGAGCACTCATGATGTTGGTTACTGGGCTCGTAGCTTTCTTCAAGACCTTGAGAGGAGTTGCTGTGAGCATGGACGGAGGAGGTGTTGGGGGATTGGGTTTGGTTTGAGTTTCAGAGTTGTGGCGTTGGACCAGAGCTTTAGGAAGCTGTCGATGGAGCATATAGTGTCAGCTTATAAGAGGACGAAGACGAGAGCTATTCTCTTGGACTATGATGATACGTTGATGCCACAGGGGTCTATAGATAAACGACCTTCATCGAAGTCTATAGAGATCTTGAACACATTGTGTAGAGACAAAGGAAATCTTGTGTTCATTGTTAGCGCCAAAAGCCGAGAGACGTTGTCTGATTGGTTTAGTCCTTGTGAGAAGCTTGGTATTGCTGCTGAGCATGGCTACTTTCTAAGGTAATGAATCAATCAACTGAAACTTGTTGTTTCCTTGCGTTACACTCAAATCTTGTGTAGCTTATGTGATGAGACTTACACAGGCTGAGGAAGGCAGTGGAGTGGGAGAATTGTGTGGGGGCAGCAGATTGTTCTTGGAAGCAAATAGCAGAGCCTGTGATGGAGCTTTACACGGAGACAACAGATGGATCAACGATAGAAGATAAAGAGACGGCTCTTGTTTGGAGCTATGAGGATGCTGATCCGGATTTTGGCTCATGTCAAGCTAAAGAGCTTCTTGATCATCTTGAAAGTGTTCTTGCTAATGAACCTGTAACTGTCAAGAGAGGACAGAACTATGTTGAGGTCAAGCCACAGGTCTGTTTTCACACACTCTAGTAGTCTCTGATACTTCTTGTTGTACAGTCTTGTTGAGTCTTGTTGTTGTTGTGAATGCAGGGAGTGAGCAAAGGGCTTATAGCGAGGAGGATGCTATCGATGATGCAAGAAAGAGGAACACTTCCTGAGTTTGTTCTGTGTATTGGAGATGACCGGTCTGATGAAGACATGTTTGAAGTGATATGTAGTTCCACTGAAGGCCATTGGATTGCGCCGAGAGCTGAGGTTTTCGCTTGTACTGTAGGTCAGAAGCCTAGCAAGGCCAAGTATTACTTGGATGACACTGCTGAGATTGTCAGGTTGATGCATGGTTTAGCTTCTGTTTCAAACCAGACCACTCCTGTTTAAGTAGTGGTCAGAGACTACTAGAGATCTTCTGTTTTGTATATCACCACGGAAAATTGTAATGAAGATAGAGAGCGACACTCTTAAGTGCAAATGTAATTTTTCCTTTTATCAAGAAAGCTTAATAGGAAGTGATGCTTGAAGCAAGGTTTTGATTAACTCATGATTATGATAATTATAGTTGTGTCAAAACGTGTTGATTTTTTCTCTCCTAAGATTCTATACTTTTTCTCTGAGAGACGGTTGCAATTAAAATTTCGAAAGGTAAAATTATTGGTTGTGATTTTATATGATCATAAATGTCCTTTTGTTGCCGATTCAAATACCTTGGAGAAAAAGTAAAAGAAAACGAAATAAAGTGAAACTGAAAGATTAGAAAGAGAGCAAAGAGTTAATTAGAAGACTTTTGGATTTGTGATCAGAGAGGATAAAGAAGAAATGGTAGGATACTACGATTTGCTCGGTGTTAGCCTAACTGCTACAGAAGTTGAGATCAAGAAAGGTTACTACATCAAGGTTAAAAAAAATTATCATCTTTTGACTTCAAAGTTTCTCTGTTTTGGTATGTTTGATTTTACTCTTTTGGATGTAAAAAAAAAAAAGATTATACTCTTTTGTAATTTCAGTTTGAAAATTTGAAATGAACAATGTTTTACGCTATAGTGATTGTTTGTTGACTCGTTTGTTCATTATGTTCAGGCACGCCATGTTCATCCAGATAAAAACCCTAATGATCCTCATGCGGCACACAATTTCCAGGCAAGAATCAAGATTTTAACAATTTTCATCATTTTCTGGAAAAAAACTTACTTGGTGATGATAAGCTTTGTGAATTTGTAACATTAGAGGATGCTTTGTGTGTTCTTGTTCAGGTGTTGGGAGAGGCATATCAAGTGCTAATTAATTCAGATAAACGCCATGCTTATGATGCATGTGGCAAGTCAGGGGTCTCCACGTTAGTTACTCTTTTTAGTTACTCTCTTTATGGATCTTCTTCTCGGTTTTTATTTTTTTATTTGTTGTTCATGTTTGTCAGTGATGCAATCATCACCGATCCTGCGGTGATATTTGCAATGCTTTTTGGTAGCCAAATTTTCGAAGAATACATAGGACAGCTTACTATGGCATCAGTGGCTATACTTGATATCTTCACTGAAGTGGATATGTCTGATATCAGAAAGAGATACAAAATATGGAAGGTGAGTCAGCTTTTGCCTTTTTTGGATATTAGTAGTTATTAAAGTCCTCTGCTCAAAATTTTGTCTATGTGGATTTGTGTTTTGGCTTCAGGGTGTCCAGAAAGAAAGACAAGACAAGCTTGCTCAGATTCTCAAAGACCGGCTTAACGTATATTTGGTAAACAAAGACCAATTTGTTAGTAACACTGAAGCTGAAATGCTAAGACTCTCAAACGCCGGTAATAACATATATTACTCATTCCCTTCTCAGCTTCTCTAATAAGTGGTGTTTTATGAAAAAAAAATTTGGTCCACAAATAAGTGATGTTACACATCTCAATGCAAAACTTAATTGTATTTTGTTGTTTTGACTGTTTGAATTTTGCAGATGGTAAAATATTTTCTTAATATGCGTGCAAACACCTAAAACACCACTTATTCAAGAACATAGTTAATAAAAATGAGTCTCATTGTCTTTCTACATTGTATATTAATGTCTTCAGGTCATGGTGTGGATATGTTGAACAAAATTGGGTATATATATGAGAGACAAGCAGCAAAAGAGCTTGGTAAAAAAGCTGTTTACCTAGGCGTACCATTTGTTTCTGAATGGTTTAGGGACAAACGTCACTACTTCAATTCCCAGCTTACTATGGTATCAGGTTAGTAGTGGCTTTGGAACAGATATCACTTGATCAAATTTACAGAAAATATGGTCCTCTCTTCTCTCTTCTTCCATGTTGTGGCTATATATTGATTTCTTTTCCCTTGCTGTTTTTTCACTGTCATCCTAGGCGCGCTCGATTTGCATAAGCTGGAAGAGGAAATGATAAGGAAGAAGCTAAGTGGTCAAGGAAAGTATAACGAGGAGGAACTTGAGTCCCATAGAAGAGTTATGATTAATTCTCTGTGGAAAATGAATGTTGCTGATATGGAAGAAACTCTTTCCACTGTTTGTCACCTGGTTTGTCATCTAAACTTACATCAATACTCTTCTTGTTTAACATTTGGTTTTGTAAACCTATTTACTTGTTTGTCTAGGTTCTTCAAGATCCCCAAGCCAAAGGAGAGGAACTTGGTGCTAGAGCAAAAGGGTTACAAACTCTTGGGATGATCTTTCAGGTAAAAATATCTATCTGGCTTCATTTTCCTTCTTATATAGTTACTCAAGATTAACTTTTTGATCATCATGCAGAGAGCCAAAACAGTTAGTGAGAGTGATCCTTTATCAAGAAGTGAACCTCAGAAAGAAAACCAAAATGAAAGGAACTACTATGATGATTATGCTTCTAATAAAGCATCTCAATCTACCTCTGGTTCTGAGGTATATTTTCACCTTTTTAGTATAAACACTCATGATTCCGTCAGTTTCTTCTTAATAGAAGAACAAAACTCAACTTCTCCATTGCATTTTATAAACTGTTTTCTTCCTTGGCCAGGAACTGAGAGGCCTACTTGAAGAAACAAACTTGGACTGGCTCTAATTGATTCAGATGAGATTGAAGGTATCTTGTTTCTTGCTTACACATGTGTGCCGTTATGTAAGATTATTCTTTTCTTGTTCTGTTCTTTGTTTTTTTTGGGGATTGAATGTGTACTTGAACAATGGTTCATGTTGAGAGCACATGAATAAGCTCTTTTGTGAGATAATAGTGTTTATGAGCAAATGCTTTAACACTACAAAGACTAGTTATCCTTCATTAGCTTTCTTCTTCTTGTTCTTGTTAACATCTGACATTACACTAAGAAACGAAACTAGTTTCTCCTTCGCCTTAGCAACTTCATCTTGTGACTGAAGATACTCAGCTGAACCACAAGCCAAAGCACAGAGAGAGCAGTAAAAGTTTCCATCATCGTCGTAAACCGGCGTCGAATCCACAACACACTTCTCATGAACCATGACTTCACATCCATCGCTTGAGCAAAACAACAGCTTACCACTTTCTCTGCACTCACTGCATCTGTATCTCTTCTCTGATGGACTTGACACATGAGCACCGCTTTCGTCTCTTCTTTCAAGAGACGCATGTGAGCTGCTACTAATCTCATCATCTCCATCTCCAGAGCCATGACCAAATGAATCAATCAATTGAAACTTGTTGTTTCCTTGCGTTACACTCAAATCTTGTGTAACTTATGTGATGAGACTTACACAGGCTGAGGAAGGCAGTGGAGTGGGAGAATTGTGTTGCGGCAGCAGATTGTTCTTGGAAGCAAATAGCAGAGTCTGTGATGGAGCTTTACACCGAGACAACGGATGGATCAACGATAGAAGATAAAGAGACGGCTCTGGTTTGGAGCTATGAGGATGCTGATCCGGATTTTGGATCATGTCAAGCTAAAGGGCTTCTTGATCATCTTGAAAGTGTTCTTGCTAATGAACCTGTAACAGTCAAGAGAGGACAGAACTATGTTGAGGTCAAGCCACAGGTTTGTTTTCACACACTCTTTAGTAGTCTCTGATACTTCTTGTTGTACAGTCTTGTTGAGTCTTGTTGTTGTTGTGAATGCAGGGAGTGAGCAAAGGACTTATAGCGAGGAGGATGCTATCGATGATGCAAGAAAGAGGAACACTTCCAGAGTTTGTTCTGTGTATTGGAGATGATCGGTCTGATGAAGACATGTTTGAAGTGATTTGTAGTTCCACTGAAGGCCCTTGGATTGCGCCGAGAGCTGAGGTTTTTGCTTGTACTGTCGGTCAAAAGCCGAGCAAGGCCAAGTATTACTTGGATGACACTGCTGAGATTGTCAGGTTGATGCATGGTTTAGCTTCTGTTTCAAACCAGACCACTCCTGCTTAAGAAGTGGTCAGAGAGTACTAGAGATCTTCTGTTTTGTATATTACCACGGAAAATTGTAATGAAGAGTGAGAGAGAGAGAGAGCAATAAATGCAAATGTTATTTTCCTTTTATCAAGAAAGCTTAATACAAACTTCTAAGTGACTCGGAAGTGATGCTTAAGCCTTAAAGCAAGATTTTGATTAATTCATGATTACTATAATTATAGTTGTAACAAAACGTGTTGATTTGTTCTCTCCTAAGATTCTATACTTTTTCTCTCAGATATTGTTGCATTTGAATTTCGAAATGTATTATTGATAGTGATTTTATATGATCATCGATCGTGGAGAATATTTATAAAATGTCCTTCTGTTGCCGATTCAAATACCTTGGAGAAAAAGTAAAAGAAAGCGAAATATAAAAAGAAAGTAAAACTGAAACATTAGAAAGAGCAAATAGTAGTTAGAAGAAAATTTTAATTTGTGATCAGAGAGGATAAAGAAGAAATGGTGATGGAAACGGAGTACTATGATTTGCTCGGTGTTAGCCTAACTGCTACAGAAGTTGAGATCAAGAAAGGTTACTACATCAAGGTTAAAAAAAAATTATCATCTTTTCACTTCAAAGTCTCTCTGTTTTGGTATGTTTGATTTTACTCTTTTGGATGTAAAAAAAAAAAAGATTATACTCTTTTGTAATTTCAGTTTGAAATTTGAAATGAACAATATTTTACGCTATACTGATTGTTTGTTGACTCGTTTGTTTATTATATGTTTAGGCACGCCAAGTTCATCCAGATAGAAACCCGAATGATCCTCATGCGGCACACAATTTCCAGGCAAGAATCAAGATTTTAACAATTTTCATCAATCATCATATATTGTGGAAGAAAAAAAACTTACTTGGTGATGATAAGCTTTGTGAATTTGTAACATTAGAGGATGCTTTGTGTGTTCTTGTTCAGGTGTTGGGAGAGGCATATCAAGTGCTAACTAATTCAGATAAACGCCATGCTTATGATGCATGTGGCAAGTCAGGGGTCTCAACGTTAGTTACTCTCTCTTTATGGATCTTCTTCTCGGTGCTTAGCTTTTATTTATATATTTGTTGTTCATGTTTGTCAGTGATGCAATCATCACCGATCCTGCGGTGATATTTGCAATGCTTTTTGGTAGCCAAATTTTCGAAGAATACATAGGACAGCTTACTATGGCATCAGTGGCTATACTTGATATCTTCACTGAAGTGGATGATCAGACTGATATCAAAAAGAGATACAAAATATGGAAGGTGAGAGTTAGTTTTTGGATATTAGTAGTTATTAAAGTCCTCTGCTCAAATTTTAGTCTAAGAATGTGGATTTGTGTTTTGGCTTCAGGGTGTCCATAAAGAAAGACAAGACAAGCTTGCTCAGATTCTCAAAGACCGACTTAACGTGTATTTGGTAAACAAAGACCAATTTGTTAGTAACGCTGAAGCTGAAATGCTAAGACTCTCAAACGCTGGTAATAACATATACTCTTTCCGTTTCATATTAAGTGTCATTTTGACACTTTTCACACAAATCAGGAAAGTAATTTAAAGTTCATTTTCCACCCTTATTTGACTATTAGAATTCTACATAATTTAATGTTTTTTCTTATTTAATTAAGGGTAAAACAGATGAATTAATATGAAAAAGTGCATTAAAATGAGAAAATGATATTGTTACAAAACTTCTAAAATGACACTTATTATTACTCGTTCCGTTCTCTTCTAATAAGTAAGTATAATACTTTTATAATATTTTTTGTTGTCCACAAATAAGTGGTGTTTACACATCTCAATGTGAAACTCAATTGTATTTTGTTATTTTCACTGTCTGAACAGACGGTAAATGATTTCTTGATATGTGTGCAAACATCTACAACACCACTTATTCAAGAACAGACAGATTACTACTTATGGATTTATCTTTGAGTTGATAAAATGAGTCTCATTGTCTTTCTACATTGTATATTAATGTCATCAGGTCATGGTGTGGATATGTTGAAGAAAATTGGGTATATATATGAAAGACAAGCAGCAAAAGAGCTTGGGAAAAAAGCTGTTTACCTAGGCGTACCATTTGTTTCTGAATGGTTTAGGGACAAACGTCACTACTTCAATTCCCAGCTTACTATGGTATCAGGTTAGTAGTGGATTAGGAACAAATATAAAATTATAGAAAATCTTGTCCTCTCTTCTCTCTTAGGAAGCAAAACATTTTAGTACTGCTTATTGTTTTCTTTTCCCTTGCTGTTTTTTCACTGTCATCCTAGGCGCGCTCGATATGAACAAGCTGGAAGAGAACATGATAAGGAAGAAGCGAAGTGGTCAAGGAAAGTATAACGAGGAGGAACTTGAGTCCCATAGAAGAGTGATGATCAATTCTCTGTGGAAAGTCAATGTTGCTGATATGGAAGAAACTCTTTCCACTGTTTGTCACCTGGTTTGTCATCTGAACTAATATAACTACTCGTCTTGTTCAGCATCTTGGTTTTGTAAACCTATTTACTTGTTGGTCTAGGTTCTTCAAGATCCCCAAGCCAAAGGAGAGGAACTTGGTGCTAGAGCAAAAGGGTTACAAACTCTTGGGATGATCTTTCAGGTAAAAAAATCTGGCTTCATTTTCCTTCTTATATAGTTACTCAAAATTAACTTTTTGCTCATCATGGAGAGAGCCAAAACAGTTAGTGAGAAAGATCCTTTATCAAGAAGTGAACCTCAGAAAGAAAACCAAAATGAAAGGAACTACTATGATGATTATGCTTCTAATAAAGCATCTCAATCTACCTCTGGTTCTAAGGTATATTTTCACCTGATTAGTATAAACACTCATGATTCCGTCAGTTTCTTGAACAAAAACTCTTCTTCTCCAATGCACTTTATAAACTGTTTTCTTCCTTGGCCAGGAACTGAAAAGCCCCTACTTGGAGAAACAAACCTGGACTAGCTTTGATTGATTCATATAAGATTGAAGGTATCTTGTTTCTTGCTTACACATGTGTGCCGTTATGTAAGATTATTCTTTTCTTGTTCTGTTCTTTGTTTTTTTTGGGGATTGAATGTGTACTTGAACAATGGTTCATGTTGAGAGCACATGAATAAGCTCTTTTGTGAGATAATAGTGTTTATGAGCAAATGCTTTAACACTACAAGGACTAGTTATCCTTCATTAGATTTCTTCTTCTTGTTCTTGTTAACATCTGACATTACACTAAGAAACGAAACTAGTTTCATCTTTGCCTTGGCAACTTCATGTTGTGACTGAAGATACTCAGCTGAACCACAATCCAAAGCACAGAGAGAGCAGTAAAAGTTTCCATCATCGTCGTAAACCGGCGGCGAATCCACAACACATTTCTCATGAACCATGACTTCACATCCATCGCCTGAGCAGAACAACAGCTTCCCACTCTCTCTGCATTCACTGCATCTGTATCTCTTCTCTGATGGACTCGACGCATAACCATCGCTTTCCTCTCTTCTTTCAAGAGACGCATGCGAGCTGCTACTAATCTCATCATCTCCATCTCCAGAGCCATGACCAAATGATTGTCCCTCTTCCATTTGAGATGTCTCTATCAACTGATTCAAACAAAAGGAATGTACAAGCATAAGCCTTTATAGTACTTCTCTAAAGAGAACTTCTAAGCAAATCAAGAAAGCTTAGTACCAGCTCCAATGCGCATTGTGGTAGGCGAAGAAGCTTGCTTTCAATAAACGGTACAAGATTCCATTTCGATAGTCCCGGTGCACCTGGTTTAAGCTCTGATAATGGTATCTGCGTAAAGAAGATTCAAGAATGAATCAAGAAACTACATTTAGACTAAGCAATCCAAGTAGAGACACAAGAGTGATATCAAGAAACCAAATGCAGATTAAGCAATCTTAAGTAGAGACTCAAAAGTGATATCAAGAAACAACATTTAGCTTAAGCAAACTAAGTAGGGACACAAGAGTGATATCAAGAAACTATCTAAGTAGAGACGCAAGAACAAATCAAGAAACTATCTAAGTAGAGACGCAAGAACAAATCAAGAAACTACATTTAGATTAAGCAATCTAAGTAGAGACACAAGAGTGATATCAAGAACCTCATGCATATTAAGCAATCTATGTAGAGACACAAGAATGATATCAAGAAACTACATTCAGATTAAGAACTCTTAAGTAGAGACACAAGAGTGATACTAAGAAACTACATGAAGGTTTAAACTTTTGTTTACCTCATCCAAGATACATTGAAGAACATGTTCACAGCTCTCTGAAGAATCAAACTCGATTTTTGAAATACCATCTTTACTCTGTGAAGAAGTGGAAGAATCAAACAATGAAGCTAAGCATCTGAAAGCTACCATCTCATTAGCATGTTCACCGAGATAATCCGGAAGCTTAGGGTTCATTTCAAAGACATCTTGCAGGAAACAAGAAACAGAGAATCTTAGAAAAAAGTTGAAATCTTTCAAATCAAAGAAAGTTTAAAACTTTCTTATTACCATGAATCATCCAAAGCTGAGGTTTGAATTTGGCAAAGTACTCGATAATCCAAATCCAGTTATCGATGTCTGGATTCTTGGTCACAAAGCGATCATATAAAATTTCTGATTTCGATGGATCTTTATCTACTGTAGAGCTTCTCTGCGCTGGAGGAGGAGACTCCATGTCGACAGAGACGAGTAAGCTTTCTCGACGGAGAAACGAGACCGCCCAATCTGCAGGCGTTAAAGCAACTGGAGAGTTTTCACCATTAATTGTGCAAAGAGAAAGATGGAGAATTATCCCGTAAAATCTAGGCCCAAGCCCAAACTCAAGCCCAGAACATTGGTCAAACGATTTTTAAAAAGTCAAACTTCAAGGTTTCTGAAAGGAAAACAACAAAAACAAACTTAAAAAATGTATGAGTTTTAGCTACTTTAATCAAGATTTTTCGTTACAACATTATTGATATAACATGGGATTAACTTACGATTCAGCCAAAGGAAAATGATATGCTAGAGTTAATTTATGGACTGTTAATAATTAAAATTCATCCAAGACTACTTAATTATTTTTGGCTATTTACAATGAAGCTGTTAATTTTTTCTCCTATACAGATGGATTGAGAGCCATAGAAACGATTCAACATGTTGAGTTGAACAAGATGTCAGTGGGACTAGCGCAGCCAGTACTAGTTATGAGTGACTTCGACGCGTAAGATATGCATAGACGATTATCTCTCTATTTTCTTATACAGATGCGTGTTATGTTGTGATTATATTTTTTAGTTTTTTTATCCATCCTATTTGACCTTAAGTATTTATGATCAACGTAACTATTTTTTTTTTAAAGACTGATATCTAAAGTCAACATTTTTATGGTCTAGACTATTCTCATTTAATTTGGATATTGAAAAAAAAAAGTTATTTTGAATATATTATTTTTTATAAGACTTAGTAGAATTTGTGTTTTATTTTTTAGCAAAGACTTAGTAGAATTTGAGTTGATTGCTTTGTTTCTTTAGTTAATTGCTTCTCACATTTAAAATCTATCCTCTGCCAAAATCATATTTTTCAAAACATTGTGATATAACAATATCCCACACATAAAACGAAATGCAATCGCTATGAAGCAAACCATAGTGTGAGTTTGTAATGCATATTACGATACATTAGTCTGGGATGGTACTTCTGAATGCTTTTAAAAATTAACAAGAATACTAATTTAAAAAGAATAGATTAGTATTCATATTAATTATAAACGCATTCAGAAATATCAAACCCATACTAATCTAATATTTAGTATTATACAATTACTTTAGAAAAATATCTATTCAAAGATGTTTCATTATTCAATCATTCGACTATTATGCTGTTCCATTATTTATCTGACCTATAAGTGAAGTTCCTCCTCTGCTACGTATAATGGGGGACACTCATGTTCAGAGAAACTCAGACACATTGATAGAGATATAAAAAAAAAATGAGTTAATTAGGAGCCAATAGAGATACACATAGATTGAAAATATAATAAATTGATTCTTGGCACCATCTTTTGATTTATTCTTGGATACTAGTTCAGAGCATCTCCTTTGGAGATCAATGGGCATCTATCGTAGTTTAACCTATGATTTATTTATTTGATTGGCCTACGATTACGTAGTTTTCTCGCGCTATACTTATAATTAGTTCAAGTTTAAAGAAATAATTGACTTTTTATAGCAAAATACATTTAGATATTGTAGTCTGGTACGTAGTAGCCTACTAGCTAGGACCACTGTAATAATAAGCTCTAATAATTCATTAGTAGCCTAGTATAGAGTCCATTGAATATGTACGTAGTTCGGTATATGAGCTCTGTGAATGAAAGAAAAACAGAAAAACAAAGAAACAAAGACAAAAACAAACTAGTGTAGTAGAAATGTTAGTTTGTTATTTTTGTTAGTTTGGGAAATATTCAATGAAAAAAGTAGAATAAGATTGAAAATAAATACTGATGTAAAAACTATCAAAGAAGCGTAGTAGTTATTTATTTATATTTGGTTTTTCTATGCTTTCTAGTAATGTAGTAATTAGTTCTCCCTTCACTGTCGGTATGGAAGAGTGATTTTGACACTAAGCTAATTATAAATAAATGTAAGTGTAAGTATTCCAATTATTGTTAAAATGGAGTATAATATAAGCACTACGTGTTATGTGCATGGCCTATACTCTATAAATGATAGGCAACAGAGTCTACGCCTCAAAGTATAGAAGAAAAGGGCAAAATTATAATGGGAAAAGTAGAGATTGTTCTTAATTCACTTCCTATGAGTGGAGGAGATGGCCCCAACAGCTACTCTAAGAATTCCCATTTCCAGGTTTCGTTTTCAGTTTTAATTAACTTTTCCATTTCCTTAAACATTTTTTTCTCTTCTCTTATGTAATTCGTACTCCCTTGTTACATCAATCCTCAAAGAACAAATTCGAGAATTTGAATTGGTTTGTAACTTTATAATAACAAACTGGTCTTAAAATACTGGGTTTGATTGGTAGAACAACGACGTATTTGAATGACTGAATAATGTTCTTCTAACTAAGACAAGTTACAATTCGAGAAAATTTGAGAAAATGGTCAGGTCGATTTTTGTATAGACATGCATATTACTTGGCTGGCTATTTAGATTAATTCAACCCATTACTTCAAAGTTCAAAGAAAGAATATAATGTGGCTTAATTTTCATCCTCTCGCACATGACCTTTTAATTAAAAACAAAATTAACTTGGTACTTCCTTGTTATGTTTAAAACAAAAATTCAGTAACGATATTATATAGTCAAGAACTCATCGAGCTACACAAACAATACCGAATATTACTAGGCGGCTTTAGTGTCTTACGAAAAGCTAACCATTAAAGAAGAAACTATTTCAGTTTTAACTAAAATCTAGCTAGGCTCTGGAAGTCTGGAACATTATGTATTAAATAAAATATTATTTCTATTTTGTACCTACGGTTTTACTGCATCTAATATAGCTTAGCAAAATTCCTTTTATTGCAAAGATTTGGTCCACTTTTAATGAAGACAAAAAAAAATTAACTGAGTTTGTTTAAAATGAAATTCGATTTTTAGACCAAAAATAGTATTGAGAATTGAAGGAAAAGGTTAGGTTATTCGATACTTTGTTTTCCGGTGATGTAATGTAAATGTATTGTTTGTTCGGCCATCAAATATAAACTCTACAAAAACATTATGGTTAAGTTTGGTCCTTTAATCGTTTTCAATTATGATAATCTTTGACTGCTTCTGGTATGGACAGAGAAGAACAGCAAGTTTGTTGAAAGAGACAATAGACAAATTGATAATGGAGAAACTCGATGCAAAAACCCTAATCTCTAACTCCAACACATTCCGCATAGCCGATCTTGGTTGTGCAACTGGACCAAACACATTCTTTCTCATCGACGACATCATCAAATCCGTTGAAACCACCTTAGGATCGAACTCCCTAAAGACCACAAAACCAGAGTTTCTTGTCTTCTTCAACGACCTCCCCAAAAACGACTTCAACACTCTCTTTATCTCTCTCCCTCAAGACCGGAGTTACTTTGCCGTTGGAGTCCCTGGCTCGTTCCACGGCCGTGTTCTTCCAGAATCATCCGTTCATATGGTAGTGACTATGGGTGCCACACACTGGCTATCGAATGTTCCGAAGGAGGTGATGGACATAAGCTCCAAGGCGTGGAATAAAGGAAAGGTTCACTACTCGGATGCGCCGGAGGAAGTGGTGAAGGCTTATGAAGAGCAGTTTGGTCGGGACATGGAGAAGTTTCTAGAAGCTAGGGCTATAGAAATAGTGAGTGGAGGTCTTTTGGTTGTTGGGATGTGTGGGATTCCTAAAGAGATGCCTTTCTCCAATCTTGCCGACAGTATCATGTATTCTTCCATGGCTGATGTTCTTCTTCAAATGCAATTCGAGGTAATAGTTCATACATATAATAATCTCAAACATGTAAAAAATCTCCATAAATTAGATAACATTTCATATTGTAAACATAGTGGTACATAAATAGAATATTACTAATATAAACCATATCAATAAAGACTTGATTAGTTTGCATACCAACAATGCTGGCCCTATTTTGAATATGATTTCTATTACATTGTGGTTCAGGATTTGGAGTAACTAATTATGCTCTTCGGCCAAAAACCTCCTAGAAAAAAAAATGATACTTATTCAAAGACAACATTTTCTTTACATTTTTTTTTCCTTTTGAATTGGGATTCTTGTTTTCTTTTTCAAAAGTATAACACATCAAATATACTTCTAATATTTTTTTGCACATAGCTTTCATCAATTAGTTGAAGTCGGTCCTCATGACAATTTATACATTTCTTGAAACAAAAAAGCAAAATTTGGTTTTTACATTTTCTTGAAATTTTCTTAATATGATTGATATAATCCTACATATGAATAAAAAAAAACAATGGCAATTTAACGCATGTCTCTCTAGTTTTATCAATTTTCATTTGTGTTTCTTGAGTTTAGTGAGATTGGCATAATGTAGGGTTTGATCAGCGAAGAGCAAGTCGAAACCTTCAACATACCGATCTACTCGGCATCACCTGAGGAGGTAACGGTCTTGGTAGAGAAAAATGGCTGCTTCACTGTCGAGTCTATGGAGCTGATGGACCCGACAGCCTGGCTTAAAAGGCCAATGAACGTGGAGGACGTGCAGCAATGGATGGTTTGCATAAAGGCCACAATGGGATCTCTCTTCATCAATCATTTCGGTGACCATCTCCTAAATGACATTTTCGACCGTCTCACCGCCAAACTCGCTGGACTCACCGAGAAAATTGAATCTAGTTACCGTAAGAAGGTCATGCTGTTCTTTGCTTTAAAACGGAAATGATTTTTTTTTTTTTTTTTTTTTTTTTTGGCAAGCATTGTGGTTGTAATATGGTTTTGTGTGGTTATTTGTCTGTTTTGTAATTTTTTATTGTTCATGTTCATTTACACACGAAAATTTCCTTTGAATGTAATCAATAGTTTGGGTAAAATTTAACTTACAAAAATAAAATTAAAAATAAAATAAACCAAAACAAAATTAAAAACAAAAGGTACGCAACTATTTCCCCGACAAATTGATTGACGTGCTTGTTAGGTAGTTGATAGGAACTTATAATCTCTATAGAGTTGTACTAGACTATAAATATTTGTTTTTGACTACCATAAATATTTGTTTTTGACTACCATATTTTGGATTCAAACTCGATATTGTGTTTGTATGAGACTAGATATGAGTTGTGAATGGTAACAAAATGTAAATATATATATATGCGGTCCCCTGGTAAAAGTAAAGTAGGTGGTTCCAAAAATAGTATAGCGGACGATCATAATTAATATTCTAATAAACACCTATAAACTTGTTAATATAAACAAATAAGAGGAGAAGTAAGGAATCATGCATCATAGTTGTTTAAGCAATTTGTCAAAGTAATAACGTTGGTGAAGAGGAGAAGTAAGGAATCATGCATCATAGTTATTTAAACATTGAATAGGCGATCATAAAATATGTGTTGGTTATAATTTTGATATAACAACACCTTCGCCAATGTTATGTCAAACCATATGTATGTATACTAATAGCACCATGTCATTAGACTTACAATTCAGATTCAGTTTGGGGAGTGTTTCGTATTGAATTCGTTAACAGCAACAAAAAAGTAAAAACATATATACTTCCATTTGAATACTATCGTATTATATAAACATGTGAATGCCAGGTTAGACTAAAGAGCTTAATTATGAGCTTATGAGCCTATGAGGACTATACTTCCTAGCCTCGTAAGCATCCTACTACACTTATTTTTTCGGACAACTTTGTGTTCAATCAGTTAACATATTTGGCATCTTTCTTACATATAAATTATACACTCACTTATCTTCTTAATGATTTGTCCCTTTTAAGGAATCTTGTCCCCACAAACCAAGTCCGACAAATAACAAAAAATAAAAAATAAAACTAAGCACATTTCAACCAAAATTATGATATATAAACGTTTTAGGCGAAAAAGAAACAAACATGAAACGAAACGGAGATTAATATATATATATATCCAACTTTGGTGTTGAGCTAGATTTTAGGGCTGTGTTACGTAAATGTAACTTCTCTCTAGCTTCCGTCTTCATTAAGTCATATTTTGTAGGTTTTTTTCTTTTTCTATTTTTGGTCATATTTTGTAGTTGTATTTATAAAGAGTATCTACTTGTTGCCGTCATGAATCGTAATATTACTCTTTACACAGATCATGAATCGTAATATACAAAGTTACACATCAAGAAGTGAGTCTGGTTCAAAGGATGCATTTGAAGTTGCACATTAATTCGTGAAGAAATTCGGAGTAGAGTTTTCAGTGGTGGCATATCTCAAATTTCATAGACTTGTCTCAACAGGATTCAGGAAGTTTTTTTTGGATCACTGAGTAATGATATTAACGTTGCTATAAGCAAACACCGATTGGAGGAGAGAAATCTACTTGATCCGGTGATGGTTTTCGTAAGTCTAGTTTGCAATTAAACAAGAATCAGTGTGGTAAGTAAATTCTCTTACTCTTTTAAAAATCCGAGGCTTAAACTGTTCTGATATGATATTTCTGCTATTTCAGTATTTCACTCAGGATTGTTGTGATAATAAAATCTAGTATAACCAGATTAGATCAGTTACGATCTTCCTGTAGGTTAATGCAATAGGTGGTGGAACACAAAGTTCAATAACAATTTAATCAACCATCTAGTATCTCCAATTATCAGGTAACAACATTATATAAAACTATACTTATAAATAAGTTTTCAACTTTGTAGTTTATATACAAGTTCAGGAAAATAGCACTTCAGAGACTGCAATTTGAACTGAACTAGGAAGGATTTCACTTGAATTTGTTCTTCCGATTACTTAGAATTGATTTTTGTAGGAGAAGTATAAGATCTAAGGTATAATTATAATTTATTTCCTGGTGATATCATTAAAAGTGTTGATTTTGTATTTTATATATTGATTGCATATTTGGAATTGGCATAAAACTTCAGGTAAAAGGAGCAGTTTGAAATCTTTGAAAGGAGTATACAAAGAGAAATTATGAAAAGCAGTATATATAATAGATAGGTACAAAGTATAATGCAATTTTATTTTTCATATAGTGATGTGACATTTGTATGGGATTTTCTGGTTTTATTAATTTATTTTATTTTCTGGATTATCGATCATTTTATTTTTGTTGCAAGTGCTGTTTCATTTCGGAGTTGTATTGCTCCAAAGGAATGAATTTGATACGTTATATGAAAATGAACAGTTAATAAGGATAAATTAGTGTTAGTCTGAGTAATTTCTCTTGTATTATTCTTGTGTCATGAGATCTCTAAATAAACAAATGACTATTTTCAACGCAATAATATTGATCTTTCCTCAGATTGTTCCTTGAGGATTGAGTTATATTGGTTGACGAATTCAAGCAGTGTAAAGCTTGAATCTTGAGGTTAATGAATTTTTAATACGTTAGATGATACTGAATTTTGAGCCTAATATGGCTAAAAAATCGATTTTTCCTTGTGTTTGCTCAAAAGGAATGAACTTTGAAGACATTAGATGGTTGTTTCCATATGTTGTTAACAAATCTTCTAGGTAAGAAAACCAGATGAGAAAATTCACACAAACACTAATCAAAACCAGTCATTAATTCATAGAGACAAAGAACAAATTCAGCACACTGATTTCAGAGATATAGAGAACAACATTAAAAGAGTAATATGTAAGGATTTGATTAGCATATTCAAGAAATATTGTAGCTGCATATCATAATCTTAGTTCTGTTTCTACTCACTCTTTGTGCAGACAAGTATGCAACCATAATCATTTTTTTCTTGGTAGCTTCTTTCCTCTGTGCTAATTGTCTTGCATCTTCCTCCTTCTGACGAGTTTTTTTTCTGTTGTTTTCCTATCATTTCGTCCTGCAAACAAAAACCAATTTTCTAATTAAGCGCTTATATTTGAATTTAGAAGAGTTTGTATGACAATAATGTGCTTACCACTCCGAGAACTGCTAGACACTGCTTGAGAATCTCAAGATTCTTACGGCAAAATGCTAGAGCATAATTTCTTTCCGGTTCCTTGAGACTGAAAATCTGACAGAGACCAGCAATCGACATGATGTCGGTTCATATGTATTTAGAATACATTTAGCCTCTGGAGCTTTTTCCCCAGTGTTCTGGAAGACCTTTGTCAAAACTTCTGGAACCGAGTAACTTTCTTGGTGGCTAATCCAAATTTGATATGGAGTATGATTATACAAAGTAATTAAATCATGAGAAAATGATAGTGAAAATAAAATTAGAAAGAGAGAGAGGCCAAACTAACCATTGAGTGCCATAAAGATCTCCACTTGAATATCCTTGAATCCAGGTGCAGATTGCAGATTCCTGATTTTGATAGACCCTCTATTAGTGATTTGGTTTGTAGCATTTACATTCGATTTCAAAATTGTCACACATGGGCTTTTCTATTTGTGTGTACTGAAAACACAGATGACTTTGTTGTCCAACTTAGTTTTTTTTTATAAAACACTTGAGCGAAAACATTTCATCCATTTCGAGTTAAATGTTATCATAGAATAAATCTTTCTGTTTTAATATTGTGATCAATATAACTTTGTCACAAAATTTTCCTTAACCCTAATCAAAATTGGTTAAGAAACTAAGCACCATGTGTGGGATTACAACATTCCACGTAAAACTAAAACCAATTAATTTACTAGTCAACTCTTTTCACAAAAAAAGCAGACTCGGTATTTTGATTACAGTAATACTCAGTATAAAAATGCATTATCAGTTTCTATTTAAAACTAATTCAATTCGCCACTGTTAACTGGTACTATATAAATGTTTTTGACAATAATTGATATAAACCTATCAAGTAAGATAATCAAAATTGGAGTTATGTTGATTAATTTTCCTTATTTTTTTTTTATATATTGCTTATTTTTTCCTTTATGTTTTTCTTGTTTAAAAAAAAGTTAAGGTGTGGACCTTATGGTATGAAGATTTTTTTTAAAGTAAAGTTTTAGTTTGTTTATAAATAAAATTAGAATTATTGTAGTTACGAAAGTAACAATAAAGTATTAGTTTGATTCGAAAAACAGCCTGCCAACCGGCTCGATCGTGTTGATATCATTGTTCTTGTAAGATCCCGATGTCAGCCAGATTTGACCGACATTTTGAACTCCTCCAAATGTAAGATGTGGGTATTTAGTCGGATAGAATCTAATAAAGAAACGTTTATGAGGTTTATGTTCAGTTTTGGATTTAATATATCTATATATATATATATATATAGTAAAACTGAAAACAATTTATAAAATCTTGTCTAATTCTATTAAGGTCCAATACAAGACTCGAACTTGAATATAACACCCCTAAATATTATAAACATTATGATGTAAACCACATAAAATTATGTATTTTTGTATTTCATCAATGAAATTATATTATTATATTTTAAATATGAAATTGTTGTTGAGTAGTTTTTTTGAGATGTTACTCTTGAGTAGTCTCCCATCATACACCAACAAAAAAAAAGCAAATAAATATAGAGTAATACCACAAAATCCACATCAATACTTTGGAAATTAACTGACAAGATTGGCAACTGTTTGACCTCACATGTCCCTTATTGAAATTCCATATACACCCATCGAACCATGTCCAAAGACAAAAGTTGTTTATTGGAACACAACCTTCTTCGTCAGTTCCCGGTTACCAAAATAGCTGAGAAGATTTTTGTTTCATTCTATTAGTCTTTTTTTTTTAAGTAACGAGGAGGAGATCTTGCACCAAAAAAAAAAAAAAAATGAGGAGAAGATCAATTTCCTCAAGGAATCATCGCTTGGTAAGCCTCTTGAATCTCCATACAGAACAGAGTTGAGTACCCAACATGAGTTTAACATGAATAACTTAAAAGATATCGGTTCTTTGATTAATGGCAAATTTAAGTTGAAATTGTTTAAAAGAATAAGATTTATATAAAAAAAAAATAAATGTTTGAAAGAATAAAAGAAAACAAAGATGTTGAATTTTCTATCAAAAATAAGAGTTGAGTACACATTTAATCCAAAAGTATCCAATGTGGTTACATGTGTAAAGCAGAGTAAGGAACATATGTGAATTATGTTTACACGTGTAAACGCAGAATTATCCAATATGAATGTAGCATGAATAACAATACATTATAATTACATGTGTGAATTCAAGATTATCCAATGTGGATGTAACATGAATAACAAACAAGATAAAGCAGTTAACTGTGTAAACTTTGAATTAACTGTGAAAATTTATTTGTATTTAAACTTAAAAATGTATAAACGTAGAATTACCCAATATGAATGTAACCTGAATAACAATATATTATGGTTACATATGTAAATTTAGAGTTACATAATATGAGTATAACATGAATAACAAATAAAATAAAATAGTTAACCATGTAAACTTTGATTTAACGGTTAAAATCTTTTTGTATATAAACTTAAGGGAAATATATTATGGTTATATGTGTAAATGCAGAGTTACTCAATGTAAGTATAACATGAATAACATAAAAAAATAAAGCAGTTAAGCGTGTAAACTTCAATTTAATTGTTAGAATTTCTATTTGTATTTAAATTTAAGGGTAGTATATTATAGTTTCATGTATAAAAGCAGAGTTACTCTGAATAACAGACAAAATAAAATTGTTAACCGTGTAAACTTTAACTAACTATTAAAACTTTTATTTGTATCTAAACTTAAGGATAGATGCACTTAGTGCATAATTGTTTGTCCTTAATTCTGTTTTTGTAGATTTAAACACTATAAATTTGATACTATCTTATGTTTTTGCATGTCATTGATAAAATCTTTACCATATTAAGCAATTACGTTCATTGGATATAGGCAAATTTAGATGGATAAAATGTGTCATTCATCATTGATTTGTTAATACTTATCTCTCCAATTCTATTTTCAAAATATACTAGACCAATGTCGCATACGTGCGGGTTTTTATGTTGTTATAGTTTAAAAAGAATATTATAAAACAATTCTAGATTTGTGACTCATATTTGATATGTAATATAGAATAATAATAGTAATTCCCGTCATCGCTCTTCGCTGGATCGGTTTCTCAATATATTAGGATAATTTATAGATTTAATAATAACTTAAAGTGAAAGAGGAAGAGTAACAGTGTTGGAGTAATTAAGTAGTTTCCGTTACAACAAAAGGAATTTGTAAAAGTGACTTATTAGCTTCACATGTAATGATTTTGTAATTTGTAACTTATTACCTATTGGGTTTGGAGAAGAAAATGAAAGTTATATGTTTTTTTAAACTAAAAATTATTATTACCACATGTCATATTTTCCTCTATCCACATGTCCAAAATATGGAAAGTGATCCCTAATCGTATATATGATATCAGTTCGTTTAGTTTATCTCCTCTTCGAGATATTCCCTTTGCAGCTATGCAATTAATTAATGTATTGTCCCCTGCAGTATACAACTTGCACAATAAAAAATTTAATTATTATTTACTCTTCCGGTTACCACAATTCCAAGCGGTGACACCTCTCTCTTGGTCACATGGGTAGTTTAGACTTTTGACAGTGAACAGAGAAGGCCGAAAACTAATTTAGAAACAGTCGTTGGCAAATCCTTAATTTTTCAAACTTCCATTGGCATTCACCCATATCTGGAATCAATGTGTATGTCGAACAAAGTATAACAACAAATCACATTTTACAAAATATCTTCGATCTTGAAAAGAAAAAAAAATAGAAAAACTTTGATCTGACCATAGTCAACAGTTACGTGAATCTGATTCGAATTGCGTTCCAAACACTTTCACACAAATATCTTCTCTCAGCCAACCCATTTTTAAAAATAAAACATTTTTCCCTTTAAAAAAAAATACAATGACGTGGAAGAACGGGAGTGGCGAAGTAGGTTAGATATTTTCTCGGGATATCTTACAATAACGTGTCGTCATCGAACAGGCGTAGACTTTACGTGGCTCTAATTAACCTCGCGGCTCCCTTTTAATTACAAGACTGCCACTCCCCCCCCGCGCTTACCAAAACACTTCCACAGAAGATTTAAAAGGGTATTTTAGTCAATTAGTCACCATTTGATCGAAGATATTTTAAAAGTTTAAACAGAGAGACCAAAAGTAAATAAAATAAGATACAGAGAGAAGATATTTTTGTGACCGGAAAAATGGCGAGAGAACATGCGAATGAAGAAGCGATCGGAAAACGGAAGAAACGCTGCAGAGTCGAAGAAGAAGAAGTAGAAGAATACTTCGACGACGGAATCGGGAAGGAAGATGTAGGAGACGAGAAGCTTCCATTAGAGGTCGGGATGTTCTATTACCCAATGACGCCGCCGTCGTTTATCGTATCCGATGCTCTGGAGCCAGATTTTCCTCTGATCTACGTTAATAGAGTCTTCGAGGTCTTCACTGGTTATCGCGCCGATGAAGTCCTTGGTCGAAACTGGTAATTTCTCCGATTCTCTTGTTTTCGCCCAATTTTGAATTTTCTGTGTGAATTTTCTGTTCTATGTCATCGCTTCTCTTGAAAAATGCTGCATTTGGGGTTAAATTAGTCAAATTCTGTTGAATCTACTTGATAATTTCAGTTTGAATTTGTGTATGAAATGTTTACTTAATCTCTGATTGATGCAAAATTTAGCATTTATTTAGCTGAAAATTGAAAAATGTTTGTGAGGCCATTGCTCCATTGATGTATAACTTGCTTACTTAATAAGAATCTCTCTTTGTTTTTTTCTTGATTGCAGCCGATTTTTACAGTACATGGATCCTCTAGCTCAAAGGCGTCACCCATTAGTAGATCCTGTGGTAGTCTCTGAGATGAGAAGATGTCTCGAAGAAGGTATCGAATTCCAAGGAGAGCTTCTCAATTTCAGAAAAGACGGCACTCCTCTGGTTAACAGACTACGTCTAGCTCCAATACGTGACGACGATGGAACCATCACTCACGTAATTGGGATACAAGTCTTCACTGAAACGACGATAGACCTTGACCGAGTCTCATACCCTGTCTTCAAGCAACAGACCGATGAAAAAAAATCCGAGTGCTTGGCTCCAAGTGGAAGCCCGAGGCTTAGAGAGGATCATCAAGACGTGTGTGGGATATTGCAGCTCTCTGATGAAGTCTTGGCGCATAACATCTTGTTCCGGTTAACTCCAAGAGACGTCGCTTCCATTGGCTCTGCTTGCAGGAGGATGCGTGAGTTAACGAAAAACGAGAACGTGAGGAAGATGGTTTGTCAGAACGCGTGGGGGAAAGAGATAACCGGAACGTTGGAGACCATGACTAAGAAGCTAGGATGGGGCCGGTTAGCTAGAGAGCTCACTACGTTAGAAGCTGTGTGTTGGCGTAAGTTCACCGTTGGAGGGGTTGTGCAGCCTTCTCGCTGCAATTTCAGTGCCTGTGCTGTTGGAAACCGGCTTGTGTTGTTTGGTGGGGAAGGTGTGAACATGCAGCCGTTGGATGATACTTTTGTGCTCAATCTTGACGCAGAGTTTCCAGAGTGGCAACGTGTGAGAGTGAAAGCTTCTCCTCCAGGACGTTGGGGACATACACTCTCTTGCCTACACGGGTCGTGGCTGGTTGTGTTTGGAGGGTGTGGAAGAGAAGGATTGCTTAATGACGTGTTTGTGCTTGATCTTGACGCTAAGAGTCCTACATGGAAGGAAGTAGCCGGAGATAGAGATAGTACACCTCCATTGCCGAGATCTTGGCATAGCTCTTGCACCATTGAAGGCTCTAAGCTAGTTGTCTCAGGTGGGTGTACAGACGCTGGAGTGCTGCTCAGTGACACGTTTTTGTTGGATTTGACTACTGATAAACCGAAATGGAGAGAGATCCGAACAACATGGGCTCCTCCGTCTAGGCTTGGTCATTCTCTATCGGTATTTGGTCGGACTAAGATCTTGATGTTTGGTGGGCTTGCGAATAGCGGTCATTTGAAGCTGAGGTCAGGAGAGGCTTATACTATAGACTTGGAGGATGAGAAACCGATATGGAGAGAGATTGAGTGTAGCGCGTTCACAGGTGCGGTGCAACCGCCTCCAAGACTTGACCATGTAGCTGTGAGCATGCCGTGTGGTCGGGTTATTATCTTTGGAGGGTCTATTGGAGGGCTTCACTCACCTTCGCAGCTGTTCCTTATCGATCCCGCGGAAGAGAAACCGTCGTGGAGGATCTTGAATGTTCCCGGGAAGCCGCCGAAGTTTGCTTGGGGACATAGCACGTGCGTTGTTGGAGGGACTAGAGTGTTGGTTCTTGGTGGTCACACTGGTGAGGAATGGGTACTTAATGAGTTGCATGAACTCTGCTTGGCTAGCAACCAGGAGTCGGATCTGTAAAGGTTTTTCTGTTTGCTTCTTCATTTTTACGGTTTTGTATATGTTAACATTCGGAACTCGTTAAGCCATGTAGAAGGCATCTAAAGGAAGAGTGTAGATTAGATATGTATTAGTGATCGTTGTAAGGTTTTAGATATTCATGTAATGTTATAATTTACTGAGCTTAGAGATGTGAATAAAGACAAAAGTAGAAATAATCACACAACACTTTAAGTAGAATGAAGAAACCGAAGTAGACAAACTCCAATACAAAAACTAAAAAAAACCTATACAGCACAAGACAAATTACTTCCGTAGGATAGAAAATGTTATGCCAAAATATCAAACATCTCTCCTCCCTCCACTTTTGTTTTATCCGGTCATCATCGCTAAGCAGTGTAAGATGATCTAAGTCAGAAAGCAAACTCATCTCTCTCTTTTTTTTGTGGTTGGTACCATAGCATGCTCATGAGTTTCTATGGTAATACAATAAATCACAAGAGGATGTAATAAAAGAAAGCAAAGGTGAAATAAGGTTAAAAAAGAGCTTAAATAACCACACCACAAAGATCCAAACTCCTCTTCTCATCTCATTGTGTGCTCCTCGTTAACCCACTTCGTCCAGAAGCTCTGTAGAAATTCAGAGGGATCTAATTTAGTCTATTGTTTATACAATGTCGATAGTTCATAGACTGTCGAAATGGACAAAGTGATATTTAACATTACTAGATACCTTCCAGCAAGAATCTGGGCGGTGTTGGACGAGTTCTTGGTGTTGGACGACCTTTTAGCTCTGTTATCTTGATCTTTATCCACACGCATCGCAGCAACCTCTTTCTCCATCGCAGCTACTTCCCTTCTCATCTTCTTCGCTTCAACCTCCATTGCCTTTGTTAAAGTCTCAACTTTTTTTGCTAACATCTACAAAAAATATATCAAAAAACTTCCATTACAAAGCAAGTCTTGTTTAGCTACTTTATCTTTGGGATATTCAGAGATTTTTTTACCTCTATGGCATCATCCTTGTCTTTAAGGCTTTGATCCTTTTCATGAGAAGATTTTCTCAAAGCAACTACTTCCTTCTGTAGCAAATCGTACAAAACCCCGGGAACGTTATCTTCGGTAGCCGGTGAAGGAAGTTCACTTGGTGGCTTCTCCTCTGAATTGTCTTTCCAAGTATCAGGAGACTCTGATTCTTTCGTTTCGTCACAAGACTTGTTGAATGAATAATTCCCAGGTCCGTTTAAGAGTGCTTTGCCTCTGTCCAATGATCTTGTGCCTCCATCAAACGACTTCGATGTTCCTTTAGCGTTCTTCAACACCGAGGTTGAATTAGAATTGAAGGAGTTTCTCAGAGAAGCCGGAGATTTCTTTGACAAGAAGCCGTTTGATCCAAACTTTTGTAAATTATCAGCTCCACCAATGGACTGCCTGCGAGAAGGTCCATTACTCATGCTTCTTCCTCCCTCGGGTGTGTTCCTTATACTGATGCTTGATGTGCCTCTCAGTGTCTCTTCAAGCACTCTAAGCCGTAGCTGAAACTTGTCCTGAATAATTGTACAACGAAATAAGTAACAAGATCAAAGGTTGGAAGATGAGTAACGTATGGATAAGATGAGTACTTTTAGTTGAGCTTCAGATTTAGCAGCTCGGTCTGATATGGCAAGCTTATCACGGAGTTGCTGCATTTCTCCCTGCAAGAAGAGAGAGTTAAGAGCTGAGAATGTAAGGTTCTGCTTTTTTTCTAATGCAAAGAATTTGCATTCCAAGAATTTTGGAGAAAGGATAAATCATATCAAGGTGAACCTGTAGAAACCTTCTTTCTTCAAGCCATTGCTTCACAGGCATCACTTTATCATTACCATCTTTCCACTCATTTGCAACCACCGTCGCAACTCTGTTTGCTGTAACCTTTGCACGCGCAAGTTCCCGGTCAAGAGTTTTTCGCTCTTCCTGAAATGCAAAATCAAGAAATATTTCATCAACACTTGGAAATCTCAAATTTTCAAGTACCAAGTGTGATTAATTTACATTCATCTCTTGAAACTTCCGCTGGTAATCCCTCACGGCATTTGCGGCGGCGCCACCGGCAAGAACAGCCTCTTCCAGCTCCCGTACAGTCTGAGTAAGCTTCTCCACCTCAGCAACCTTTTGCCTGTGCATTTTGTCTAGAATCTTGTTTTCTTCCTAAAGCATCAAACAGAGATTCGACAGTTGAGAAACAATGGATATCTAAAGCCTGATTAAAATAGTTACAACGAAGAGGATGATGATGATAACAGCTACCTGACAGATTTCTATTTGTTTCATCAACTCTTGGTTCTTATTTTGAAGATCATCAACTAAAGCAGCTTTTGCCAGAGCAGTTTGAACAGTCCTCTCAGCATCAAGTAAAGCCGCTTCTTTCGATTTAGTGAGACGGTCTAAAGCTCTGTTATCTTCTTGAAGCTTCCCAATCTATGCAGAAACAATCGTAAATGAATCAATGTCTGAGTACACAGCGCGAAACAGGACTAAATAGAATGAGCGGAAAATACCTCAGAGCGAGCAAGCTTAAGTTCAGCTTCTAATGGAGCTAGAATAGCTTCAATCGGAGGCATGTCATCATCTTTTTGAGCAGCATGGACCCTTCTCAAAGTGGCTTCAGCAGCAAACTGAGCAGCCATGGATGCCTTCTTTTCCTCATTGATCTTCTTGATTTCTAGATTCTGCATAATTACATGTCCAGCAATGTTAAAATCAGGAAGAGATCCATAACTGATCTTAAGAAGAGAGACTTCGGATAAAGTACTTTGCTCTCGAGAAGCGATTCGGTTAACTTGAGCTTCCCATCCAACTTAGTAAGCTCATCAGTAATCTACAATTCCAAAGATCCAAAGAACATGAGGCAAAGTCATTGTTAAGTAGAGTCAAGAACAGAGACACATGAAGATACTAACAAAACTCTGAATATTCTCAAACAACATTTCCATAAAATTTATCTGCTGAATCTATCTAGAGATTGTATATAAATTTATACGAGTTAGTAATAGTGAATCTTTCCAAAATCACAAATAATCCAAATCCGGATAAAAGTAGAAAAAGATGAGAAAAATCAACACACCTCTTCAACAGCTTTCTCTCTTTGCCTCTCAGATAACCTCAACGCTCTGATCTCGGCGTGTGCTTCGCTCAATTCACGATCCTTATCTGCATTCCCAATAGCAACCATTGAAGAACAATAAAGTGAACAAAAGGAAATCCAAAATTAGATCTGAATCGACGCAAAAAGCACTAGATCGAGCAGCATTTTTCGCACCTCTAACTTCATTCTCAAGCCGATTAAGCTCCACCTTCACCGGATCCGAGCCGTGAAGCAGCGTCATGAACTCATTGTCGGCGGCAGCATCGAAGCTAGGCCTAACCGGCCTCCTCCTCGACGAGCTTTTCCCTAATCCTCCTCCTCCTCCGCCGCCGCTACCGCTGATGCTCTCCTTGTAAGACGCCGACACCGTCAGTGACGGATACGGCGTCGGAATCCCAGGCGTCTCAGCTGAAGACGCCGATAAACCCCCGTCGGCCGAAACATCCGACATCTCCGATCTAACGATCCCTCGATTTTCCTCCCCCTCACCAACAACACATCCGAAATCGGAAAATCCTCAGGATCCAAGTGCAATGTATTTCAAACACCAGATGCGGACGAAATTATAGAGAGAGAGTAGCCACCAAGTGAGCTAGATAATGCAGATTTCTAGAGAGAGTGTTCTTCGGATCCAAATGCTCTCTGGTTTTTCAAATCAGATTCCCACGGAGATAGAGAGAGAGAGAGAGTGATGCTAAAAAGATCTTTCGTCTCTTTTTCTTCTTTAGTGATAGAAACTAGAGAGAGAGAGTGTGAGATTTAAATGCAGTCACAGATGTTTCTCTCTCTAATAGTGTGACAAGACAAGGAGAGGAAAGAAGACTGGATTAAGTAACTAATCAACGTTTCACTTGATCAGGCACTTAGTATGAAATGAATTAATATAGATTAATCAATAATCTAAAGTAACTAATATAGGACACTATTAATTTAGTCTATTTTGGTCTGTTTCCATGGTTTTATTTATTGGTGATATATACATATCGGTGGATAGCTAAGTTGTCTTTTTGGTTAAGAATTAACATGTTTAGTGATGTGATTAGTGAGGAAAAATATGTGATTAGTCAAAGTGATGCTTTTACGCGTGAAAGTAGGGAACGTGTAATGTCTTTTTATTTATTCTTTTGGGTCAACTACGTGTACAATGTCTATTGTCTCATCACTCATGTGTTGATGATCTCTTTGTTTTTTTTTTCTTTTCAAGGCGTAATCAATAATGTATGTTTTCTCTTTTTACAGGTCCACAAAAATTAAAATGGACGAATATGAATACTTGATAAAATTAAGGGAATGAAAACAGTCATAATTTATCTTAACATCATACAAATGACACAATTATTCTCTGTTTCTACACTCTATACAGCATAAAATGAAAAAGTTTCCTCTCTTCTACTACTTTCATTCTTGTTCATTACCTTTGAGTATATTGAACTTGCACAATGGACACGTCGCATTCATTTTCAGCCATTTCACAATACACGTCGAATGAAAATGGTGGTTGCAAGGAAGCGAGACCAGCTCAGCTCCATCTTCATACGAACACAGGCAGATACAACAGTCCTACACAAACCCCATATCAAATCAAACCTCTCTCAAACTTCATTTTCAAAATATTCAAGATAACTTTCCAAAAACAACAACTTACAGCATCTTCAGGCAGAAGGAGACGTTCGTTTCCTGCCTCAACAGGTACCATTTTCCCGCCACCGTCACTTTGCTTTTCACCATCATTGTTCATCATCTGGAACTTGTACTTGGGAAGTATGCTGAGATCTGCTTCCGATGCTCCCTCCTAAAAACACACAACATAAAACAAATTTAATCTATTTTCCAAAGAAGAGAAGTGAAAATTTGTGCTGTTTTTAGCTCCTTACCTGCCCGGCAACGGCGTAAAGAAGAGCAATGATACAAGGCAAGCAGCAACACAGCGCGATTCCGATGAGACACGCAAGAACAACGCAGAAGACGGCGAAGAACACATCAAATGCCAAGAAAACAAAACTCAACCTGCAAAGCATTCAAAAATCATCATCATGTTAATCGCCCATTAAAGAGTTTTTTTTCTCTTTTTCCAGAGAGCAATTGATCAAACAAACCATACCAATACAAATTCGAAGCGTTCTCCAGAAGAACATCACCACCAGATACAAGCCAGTAGAATCCAACGATCCACCATATAAACGATATTATCGTGTTCATTGATTCACATGTCTTGGTGCTGAGAAAATTCATATATTGTAATCATTAGTAAGTCAATTTTCACTGAAGAACAAAAGCAACACAAACAAGAAACTCAATCACAAAGTAAAGCTAAACCAACTTCAAGAAATTGAATTGAGTCTTCTAACTCTTAACCAGCACATCTAATTCCAATTTTGAAATCCGGTTAACACTAAACCTGAGGAATCGAAATCGAGAAACAGAGAGAGAGAGAGAGCTAAACCTGAGGATTCTCTCATCACCATCTTCATCGTCACTATCACGACTACGTCCACCAGAACCAGCTTCTTCTCCGGTTTCCAAATCCCCACCACCACGCCGATTCGTCGCGTTCCTCTTCCTAAACTCAACCCAAACGAGCACCACGTGAACAAGGCACTGAAGCGCGTATCCACAGATCCAAACCCTAATCGGCACATTCGGATTCTCATCCTTGGAAATCAAGAGCATCACTATCGCAACAACCACAAAAGCAGTGTTCCAAAGCATATCGAGAGCCACGATCGGTTTCGAGTAACCCCAATCGGCTCTCCGATCCTCGAGCTCCTGCGCAGCCGTCTCTCTCACCAGCATCGAAGCGCCTCGCCGACCTGTAGCTCGGCCTAACAGGACGGCGATTACAGGCTGGCGGCGCCGCGGAGATTGCCGGAGAAGCGGTGTGGTTGGTGAGCCGGAAGGAGATTCAGGTGAAGAAGAAGACATCGTTGATTCCGTCTCTGAAGATGATGGAGAAGAAGATGATAAATCTAGGGTTTGTTTGTTGTTTTCTTCGTACCCACCACTCAAAAAAGTGTGGAAAACTGAAGGTCAGAATAGCGAGAGAGGTCTCTGTATTTGGTGAATCGGTGATGATGATATAAATGTGATTAATTACTTAACTTGTTAATTACTCTTTCAAGCAAATGTGTTGGACTATAGGATTCGAGACATTTCGATAGTCAACAATCTTTACATATAATAGGAGAGTTGCTCTCTTATCCTATCTATCCACATCAGCAAAAAAATCATTAATTGTATTTAAGATATTTAATATATGTGTATTAATATTTATTTATATATATTCTATTTTACACATAAACAAAACTAAGAAAAATACACAAACAATTTAATTGATTAATATAAAGTATGTGATATCTTGATGTTAAAAGTTAAAAGAAAGTTGTAATATAAAATGGAGATGAAATAAAGAAATATTTAACTTGAAATAGTATATAGTTAAGTTTTAATTCAAAGGATTTATCTATTTAAAAATGTTATAATGTCTTACAAGTAAAAAAGGTACATTATAAATTATTTAACATAGTAAAAAGCTAATAAAAATTAGAGTTAGAGTTTGTTTTATTAAAAAATAGAAGTCGAGTTATTATTTAAATTTCATTGCAACGAAAAGCATGAAAATTTTAAGAATGGTGATATGTTTGTTTCAAAAATACAATTTATATCTACAAAACTAACATAATAGAAAATAATCAATTCTCACATGCTACCACAATAAAGCATATATGTAAGAAGTTATACATGTTTTCTTTTTCATCATATTTTGAGTGCAATTGCGATTCTACATCATATTTACAAATTTTAACGTTGAGTCAAATGCATATTAAATTTTAGAAATAGAAAACTCGAGATGAAGAAAGGTGTTAATATCTTAATAAAAAAAATTGATCATATTGTTAGTGTTAATTGTTGGTTAACTCAAAATATAACCAAAACATGAAAGTTAACATATAACCATCATAATTCAAAATTTCAAATCAATGAATATAAATAAAATCAAACAGAAAAATTATCTTGAACAACTCCGCGCTTACGCAGGGTTTTAATCCCTAGTTGGACTAGTCGGTAGAGAAATTAATTAATTATCTCATCAAATGTATCGAAACGCACCGTATTGGGTTATGAGAACCTTCCATCTGCATTAGAGTCTTTCGTCATCATCACCTCTAGATTTGTTTCAGACTTCACCGCCGATGTATTTCTCTGACGAAAGCTTGAATCCCTAGACAAAGATTCCTTTCTCGGATTCCGATTACGATTCACACTCGAAAACGGAGAGAAATGACGGAAGCAAACGGAGAGCACCCAAGGCTGATTCTGCACAATTTCCTCTCGCCGGAAGAGTGCAAGGTTTTGTTGTCTCCTTCTGCTTCATCGTTCTCTCAATCTCTCTATTCATTAAATGTCAAAATTTGCTGCGAAATCTCAGGAGCTGGAGTTCATACACAAGAGTTGCAGTACGATTGGATACAGACCCAACGTCTTCTCCACCACTCTCTCTCACCTCATCGCCACCAATTCTCCTCACTTAATCATCCCTTTCGTCTCCATTCGAGGTCAAATCAAAACCCTCCACTTCTCCTCTTTACACATTCATTGACATTCCTAGTGAATTCAATTTTCATTCCTTTGGTTTCGTTTTGAGTATACAGAGAGGTTGAAAGAGAAAATGGAGGAAGCATTTGGGTGTGAGTATGAGCTCTTTATTGAATTCACAGGTTTAATTAGGTAAAGTAGTTTTGTCTTCTCCTCTTAGTTAACAGAAACAGAGTTGAAAGTTGATTTTTTTATCTTTTGAAATCAGCTGGTGCAGAGGAGCTAGCATTGGATGGCACAGTGATGACAACAGATCATATCTGAAACAAAGAAATTTCGCGGTTAGTGTTCGTTTCGATTCTGTAGTCTACGATCATTCTTGATTGTGTAAATGAATCTTGTTTTGAGTTGGTTTGAAGGCAGTGTGTTACTTGAATAGCTACGAGAAAGACTTCAAAGGAGGGCTTTTTCGGTTTCAGAGTGGAGAGCCAGCAACCATTGTTCCCTCAGTTGGAGTAAGTATGTACATTTTGTGTTTGTTAAACAGTTACTACTTGGTTTAACAATGAGTTTGGTGTGTTGTTGATCAGGATGTTATCATGTACACAGCTGATGACCGGAATATACATTCGGTTGATGAGGTTCGTCTCTTTGTATTTATGTTCTTTTTGATGTAAAGAGTAATGAATGGGAAGCTCGCTAACAGGTAACAGATGGAGAAAGATTGACTCTTGCGATGTGGTTTAGCCGGGACTCGTCACACGACGAAGATTCCAAACTTGTTTCTCGTCTCTCTCAATGCGAGCTACATGGAGAGAGATTGACTCTTCTTCCTTTGCCTGCATCCACTAACATGTACTGGTTCCCTCATCAAAACATTGGTTTTGATATCTGCGTTGCGAGGTTGCATCTTCTTGGTTTCGGCGTGTGTAGCTTAAAAGACAAAGATGCTTCTTTTGATGCCTCTGAACAGCTCATGGGGCCATTACAATTAGCTAAAGGAGGAGAGCTTCTCACTATGAGATTCACCAACATTCTTCATGCTCTTCAGGTACTTTCTCATGAGTTTCTTCAAGAACTTGAGTGCATTGAGTAATATACTCCGTTTGCTGGATAACAGGTTGTTCAGTTCTACCATTGGAAAGCTTCGGAACTCGTCGAAGAAGAGGACACTGTAAAAGAGGTGGAAGCTATGTCCCAACATCAGTTGGAAACTATCAATGCCCTGAAATCAGTTTTCCTGCCAGATGAGAGCCTAGTTACCACAATCTTTGGATATTCATGCTCCAACGAGGATCAGAAAGATTCACTCGACTCGACTGATATATCTACTTGGGAAGAATATACTTGTAAGTTACTCAATGAGCTATTATCATCATTGCCTCAATGGAAAACTTATCAGACTCTACACAAAGTCGAATCTGATCCTTGAGGTGATTACTATTGTTAGTTTCTTTGTTTGATCTGATAATGGATCTCTCGAGTCTCTGCTCTGCTGTTTTATTCCTCCCTTTTTGATAGAAAATTTATGTATAAACATGTTATAACATTCCTTTCAAGATTGTTTCAAGAAATATTGAATGATACAAAAATATACCCTCAAGAATCAAAGTGGATGTTAGTGTATATATAGAGATAAGAAGATCAAACGTTGGGGCCTAGAAGAGAGAGGAGAAAAGTTCTGTAATGACCATGTGTATCAGAATGAACAGCATTGTACAAAGTCTTCTTGTATCTCTTGCGGTACTCTGATATGATATGGTGCATATCCACCTCTGCTCTTGTCACCACCATTCTTATCAATGCCGTGTCGTCTGTTCCTAACCCTTTCATTGATTTCCTTAGCGCCTGTTCATGTTTCAAAACCCTAAACCCTTGAAAAAAACCTATGCCTTGTGGTTTAAGAAACATGAGATTAGGTTTTTTTTTTTTTTTTTTTACCTTTGCGAAATAGAAAGATGAGTTTTCAGCACATTGTAGAATCGTCAAAAGAACGTGCTCGAAGTTCCCGCGAGTCTCATCCCGAATGGCCTAGCAAGATCGGAGAAGAAATGAGTATGAAACTCTATGTAGGGTTTGTTTCTTGAGTAAGAAGTTTTCTTATTTCTTACCTTTCCAAGTTCTTTGCCGAACATCGAACGGTAAGTGGATCTAACAGCGACCAAATGAGTCTTACTCCGGTCTGTGAAAATCTGAATCAGCGTCTGGTCATCGGATTTATGCTTCCTCGCAACCGCGATCTTGAGAGACTTAGCATCATTCTCTACGCTCTTGTTATCGATCTCTGGTCCTTCATATCTCGTAGTGTTCAAATACGCGAGCAAAACCTGTTGTATGTTAGTATATACATGTCATTTTCTAGTATTGTCTCAGTCAAAAGGATCGATGTCATTAGGAAGAGACATGCATACTCTTTTGTGATTGCCGGAAGCTTCGGATTCGACGTCTTGTTCAAGTTTGACACCGAAAGTGTTGAAGTAAACCTGTTTGATCTGACGAAGCTGAGAGCCAGATCTTGTGCATATAATCTCTGCCACTGCTTTGTGTTCAGTCACGGCTCCTCTCAATGCGTGTTTGAGTATTGAAGCGTCTCGCTCCACTGATTCAGGCATCCACAGAAGAACAGCTTTCTAAAACAAAATAAAAAAACGTTTTCAACATTTTGTGCGTAAAACTCATGTAAGTCTTGTATATATATACCTTGAGATGACCGTGAAGCTCGGATTGGAGACGTTTACGAAAGTCGTCTGAGAATTTGGTTTCGTATTCTTGTTCGATGAGAGCTCGTTGCGTTGCATTGCGGTGAGCTAAGATGTTGATGATCACCGAAGTATCGCAACCTCTTCCTGAAGAAACATTACACAAGATTGATAATTATGTTAATGTGACATACCTTTGTTGTAACCATAATATATAAAATACCTTTGAAGGCCTTAAAGAGCTGATCAGCATCGACTCGCGGAGAAGGTACCGTCATTGGTATTTTCATTGTTGCCATTTTTTCTTCTTTCGTTGGTAAGAACTATAGATCTCCCTTCTTCTTAATCTCTTGTCTTTTTCTTGATCTTGTTTTGTGTTTTCTTTTTGGTTTTTTGGTTGGTGGTGGTGATTTGTGGTTGTGTTTACGTGTTGATTGTGTTTTCCCTAGAAATTTGTGAAGGAAGTGGACATTAGACCTTGGTTTTAGGAGGTGAACCCTCCGTTTCGTTCAATTAAATGTTTGATGCATAAAAATTAATTCGAAACTTTTTCTTGGGTCCATTATATTTGTGTTTCACATTCGAAAATAAATATATATATATATATAACCAGCTATGTTGGAGATAATACATCACAGCTGGTGATACCACACCAATGGTAGTATTATCGTAGTAGATGTCAGCCCACACCAATGATTTAATGAATGTCTCTAATACCACCACTCCTCTCGCTTAGTTAAATATATAATTTGTGATAAATTTTCTAAAAGAAAAAGACTTAATAACATCAGACTCTCGGTAAGACTTTTATTATGTAAGAACAAGATCAAGATCAAGATCAAATCACTTCTCCATAAAAAGATCAGATAAATGTTTTGCTAAATAAGTGTTGTCGTTTTTCCTTATCTTATGGTGCGGGTTTATACTGATGGATGTGTTGTAGATGTCGACCGCACTCTCTTGCATAGACTTGTCCCAAATGTGGTTTGAACAACGTGTTAATCTAATTTCTCTCTTATTCTAACATGTTATTTCTTTTTTTAAACATATACTTCTAATTTTTTGCGGGTTCGCATGTGTTTTGTCACACTCTACAGTCTCATTGATAAAGTGCCCACGCAGCATTTACCGTCTTCGATGTCAGAGATCTCTCAGATCATCTCCTAAAGAAGAATGATATTGTTGGCATATATGTTGCAACTTGTAATTGCCATAATGGTTGCGAGAGAATTTGAAGATCTATGTGGAGCTCCTATCCGAGTAAATATTTGAGGATATTTGTCTTTAAAATCATTGACGTTTGTGAGGCAAGTTGGTTTGGTGTAGAGTTTTCGTAATTGCAGCGGCTTTGTGAACTGAATAGTAACATAATGGTTTTTCAATTGAGAAAAAGAACTAAAGATGTGTTATTTTTGTACGATTTTTTAATCGGTTTTATTCACCAACACTAGTAAAGTTACTGTTAGATTTTATGTTAAGATCACAAGCTTATTATTGGTATTAGAGCACGTAAAGTTTGATTTGTTTGTTGAACTTTGTTTGATTTGTTGAATGGGAGGGCAAAAATCTACAAATTAAAACCAGTGGTCAAAATAAGGTTGGTTTGTTCAATTTTAAAACCAGTGGTCAAAATAAGAATGGTTTAATCAATTTAAAACCGTGGTCAAAATAAGGTTGGTTTAGTCAATTTTAAAACCAGAGGGCCAAAATCTACAAATTAGAGAAAGAAAAAGGATTTTAGAGGTTTATTACAAAATGGATGTGGTCACTTTCGGGATCATAGTCGGAATTATCATTCTCTTCCTCTGCATCATCTGCTTCATCACCGTTGAAGGCGCTTGCTGCAGCAACCGCCGCTCTCCTTAGCTCCTTCTTCTTCTCCTGCATTTCACTGGAAAAAAACTATTTCTCCGGCCTCACAACATGATGTCGCTCTCCCTCAGAAGCGTCGTGATTCCGTTACTCGTTTTAGGACTGTTTCTGGATCTGTGCGTAGAAACCGGATTCTCCCAGTCAACGCCGGCGCGTGACGACCACGCGCATCACCACGGAGGTGGGTGTAGTCATTCGCATGACCACGACCACGACCACGATCACGGTAATCATCATGTGAAGCCGGTGAAGATGAAGTTGCCTGAGGAGCTTGCCGAGGAAGAGGATATGAGGCTGTGTGGGTTTGGGCCTTGTCTTCATCATGATCACGATCACGATCACGAATCCAGTTCTAGTCTCACCGGATTTGGTATTTGATTCATTTCGATTATTCAATTTCGTTAGAGGATCAAAATTGTTTTCCTTTTGAATTAGAAATCTCTTCTTCTTGTATTTTTGTTGCAGCGTTGTGGCTCAATGCATTGGGATGCTCTCTTTTGGTTAGCTTGGCCTCACTCATCTGTTTGATTTTGCTGCCAGTGATGTTTGGTAAGCAAAATCTCTGCAGATTACATGTAAATGTATAATCTTTTGTATCCCTGTGAGCCAAAAGAGCTTTGGTGTTGATTATCTCTTTCGTTGTAACCAATTATGTTTAAATTTTTCAGTTAAAGGGAAGCCATCAAAATGGTTTGTTGATGCATTGGCTCTGTTTGGGGTAAGTCGTTAGCTTTTCTTGTGTATATTATGCTCTGTTGCTACTTGAAATAGTTTTGATTGATTCAGTTTTATTTGGTTAACAAGGCAGGAGCAATGTTGGGGGATGCTTTCCTTCACCAATTGCCACATGCTTTTGGTGGTGGTCACTCTCACTCTCCTGATCACACTGAGAGCCATGGACATCATGATCATGAACATTCTCATTCGGAGTTACCTTCGCACTCACATTCTTTACAAGATTTGTCTGTTGGATTGTCTGTTCTCGGTGAGTCTCATAACATAACACTTTGATCTTTTGTTTATTCAACAAAGTTTGACATGGTTCTTGATTGTTCCAGCTGGGATTGTGGTCTTCCTTCTCGTGGAGAAGTTGGTGCGGTATGTCGAAGAAAACTCGTCTTGGGGACACCATCACCACCACCATGGAGGCAGCAAGAAACTGAAGGATGAAGACGATAATAACAATGTAGACCAACAGTGTTCCGCTGATGCAGTTGTAAATTCATCAGAGAAGGTCTCTAACGGCTCTAAGGATAAATCTCTCCGTAAGGTCAGAATCAGCACTTTCAATGTATATGTATATTCTATCTGCAGCAGATGAGTTTGAGTTGAATCCTGCTCCTTGCAGAGAAAGACTTCTGGTGGTGACGCTGCTGATAAATCAGATTCAGGAGCAGAAGCTACTTCCGACGGAAAACTGGACAAGCCTGAAGAGGTGGAGAAGAATTCAAGCCTAGTCTTTGGTTACCTCAACTTGTTCTCCGATGGTGTTGTAAGTATGTGACTCCTTTAGCATTATACAAAAGAAATAGCTTCGATCTGAGAAGAGAGAGATGCTTTGTCTGAGAAGATGAGAGCTTGTTCCCATTTTTTGTTGTGCAGCACAATTTTACTGATGGAATGGCGTTAGGAAGTGCATTTTTAATCTACGGATCAGTTGGTGGATGGTCAAGAACCATGTTCTTGCTCGCGCACGAGCTTCCCCAAGAGGTATCAAACTCTATTTTTCCCTAAAAACAAACTTTGAAACTTGTGCATGGCAACAAACAAATAACAGTTGTAAGATACACTTGCAGATTGGTGATTTTGGGATTCTAGTGAGGTCAGGCTTCACTGTAACAAAAGCACTCTTCTTCAACTTCCTCTCTGCACTCGCTGCACTTGCAGGAACTGCATTGGTAAGTCTTTTATATCTATCTTCAAAACCTGGTGAAATCTTTAGAACATTGAAACTGAACTAACTCTGGTGATGTTTCTTTTGGCACAGGTTTTGGTTTGGGGAAATGAACCGGGACAGTCCTCGTTGATTGAGGTAGTAAAATTGTAAAAATGACATATTTTGCAAATGTTTCAATCCTAGTGACATCTAAATGTTTGTTTGGTGATTGAAATCTTGTAGGGATTCACAGCGGGAGGATTCATATACATAGCTGTTGCTGGTGTTCTTGCAGAGATGAACAATTCTGGAAAAACGACAGTTAAAAACAGTGTGTGCCATTTGATTTCTTTGATTCTTGGCATGAGTGTTGCTCTTGTTATCTCTCTTATAGAATAATCAATGATCTCTCATAACAAAATGTTTTGTAACCGATATAGAGGTAACAGTTCTTAACTTTGGAATTGAAATTAGACACTTTTATAAAATACACACATTTAAGTTTACTCATTTGAACTTATATAACGGGAGAGTCGAAGTAAGGGCCAATCCGGTTTGAGTTTGATTTTTGGTTTATTATTTCTTTTCGAATTATAATACCGAATGAACATCAGATACTATTAGGTCCGGTTTGGTACGGCTTTGATTTTGGTTTAAAGTTTATGTTTGGAAGAAAATTAATTTATTAGTGTGGTGAAAATTTAGTTTAGTTTAGCAATCAAAACAAAATCTTTGTCAAAATAATGTTTAGTTTCTTTAATGATCTAAAAAAAAAAATGAAAAATTCAGCCAGATGGTCCAAATCGGTTTATATTCTCTTCGATTTATACGATTATGGTTCGGTTTAAGAAGGGACGCACACGAATACAACGTAAGCGAAAGAGGTCACACGTGCCAGTTTTTATTTTTATTCTTTCCTTTTTAATCAAATTTCTTTTTTTTGAAAAGGAGCGGTTACAACGGTGTAACGGATGGTGAAGGAAAAGAGAACTCAAAATAGTAGAGACTAAAACATTTACAGAAGATGACTTCTCCTTCTTCTTGACGAAGAAGAAAAGCAAATACAGAGATAGAGAGAGAGAGAGAGGCAAAGAGAGAGATAGGAGGGAGGAGGCTTTGACGATGAAGCTGTGGAAGCGAGCTGCCGCCGCAATCAAAGACCGGAAAAGCTTATTAGCCGTCGGATTCTCCCGGCGAACCTCATACCGGAACGCGGATCTCGAAGCAGCTATCATCAAAGCCACCTCCCACGACGACTCCACCGTCGACTATTCGAATGCCCACCGCGTCTACAAATGGGTCCGAGCTTCTCCTCGCAACCTCAAAACTCTCATCCACGCGCTCTCCTCCCGCGTCAACCACACGCGCAGCTGGATCGTCGCACTAAAATCCCTAATGCTCTTCCACGGCGTCCTCTGCTGCAAAGTCCCCTCCGTCGTCGGCGAAATCCGCCGCCTCCCTTTCGACCTCTCCGATTTCTCCGACGGACACTCCTGCCTCAGCAAAACCTGGGGATTCAACATCTTCGTCCGCGCCTACTCCGCCTTCCTCCACAGCTACTCCTCCTTCTCCTCCGACCAGATCCACCGACACCGCGCCAACAAACGATCGCAGAGAACCGATTCCGTCAATCAAGAGCTCGAGAGAGTCCAGAAACTCCAATCTCTCCTCGATTTACTTCTCCAGATCCGTCCAATCGCTGATAACATGAAGAAGACGCTCATCTTAGAAGCCATGGATTGCGTCATCGTCGAGAGCATCAGCATCTACGGCAGAATCTGCGCCGGAATCGTCAAAATCGTTAAAATCGCCGGCAAAACAGAGGCCGCCGCAACTCTAAAGATCATCAACAAGGGTAAGTCTCAGGGAGAAGATCTCTCTTTCTTCTTCGACTTCTGCAAAGGCTTCGGCGTCTCAAACGCGCGAGACGTTCCTCAATTCGTCGGTATACCGGACGAAGAAATCGAAGCGATCGAGAAAATGATCGACGAGAAACCGACGAAAGACGAAGTCGAAGAAGACGAAGTAGAGGAAGAGAAAGGTATGGTAGTTTACGAGAGTCCGAGATTGCAGACGATCGTCACAGAGAAATGGGAGGTTTTCGAAGAAGAAGACTATTATTTCAACCGATGCAGAACCAACGAATTTACAAATCCGTTTCTCGTACCGAACCAGCAACCGGTTTACATGATTCACACAATGCCAGATTTGATTACTTTCTAGGTATTGTGTGACACATCAAAGTAAACAAACAAACAATCTTGGTGATGAAAGATTGAGAATTTGTTTTTGTCCCTTATGGTTCTGGTTCTGTACATAAACAGAGTTTTTTCCACCAGTAATCTGAATAATAATAAAAAAAAAAAAAAGAGGTACATTTTGAGATTACATACCAAAGTTTTGATTACATAAACTTATTTGATGGTGACAAACTTATTGGTACCATGTTTAGCCCAATGAGACTTCAAATCAATAGGGTTTGAGAAATCAAAACCATCAGAAGAGAGTTTCTCAAGAACTTTCCTAAAAGCTCCTAGGCTCATTTTCCTGCCGGCGATTCGAGTGCCTCGCCGTTTGGTACTCATCGGCAAAGGATACATGGAGACGTTCGTGGTGCAGCACGAGGACTGCCACCCTCCGCAGCCCCATCTGTAGCACGGCTGACCCGGACCGGTGCAGGAGCAAACCGGAACCGGTAAGCATCCGATGTCCATTGAGACACCGTTGATCACCATTGATATGGTCTTCTTCCTCAAAGGACTTCTCTCTCTCTGCATTCCAAGAACATTATTGTTGTCCTTCAGCTTCCTCTTGGAACCAGCTTCACTGCATTGCCTTCTCTTGATCTCGGGTTTGGGAATCTGAAGAAGCTGCATTGGTTGAGTTCTTGATTGGTCTGGAGGAGCAAGGAAGTTGTTGAAGAACTTGCTGTCTCTGTGCTGGTTTAGCCAGCTATAGCTCATGAATGGTGCTTCAGGGACTGTGTTGTAATCTCTCGGGAATGGCATTACATTGCTGCTGCTACCGCCATTGTCGGGGTTTATGAAGTTTGGATTCTGTGGGGAAAGGAATGGCTTTTCGTTTCGGTCTGTGACTGTGCTTGGTATTAGTTGAAACCCTAAATTGGATCTGAACTGAGACGGCTCGTAGTAACCCCAATTCCGATTACTCAATCCATCTTCATCCATCATAATAGAAAGCTGCAGACAAACAAAATAGCACACTACTGTCTTTAAGGTCAAAAATTCAAAAAGATCATTCCTTTTTTAACTGGGTTCTCAATGTAGGATCTGAAACATGAAACCCTAAGATAGTTTCAATCAGCAATACTTGAAATTTCCGAAAAAGAACATAACTTTATTTGGAAATGGCTTTGGGGTCATTTGCAAAAATTGAAACCGAAAGTTCTAAAATTGGAATTCCAAATGAGTCTTGAATTGGAATTCCAACCAAATTAAAGGGTTTGAGCAACAAAAGAGTATAAATTTGGGCAGATTCGTGAATAGGATTTATTAGGGTTTCGCAATCTAGAACATTTTCAAGGAACAGAACAAAGTGAAAAGAACTGAGAGGGACCTATATGTATAAGGATAGACCGATAGAGGATAAAGATATACGTCGTCAATGGAGAAAGAGAGGAATGGGAAGAGTAGAAATACGAAATGATTTATGAAATGGAGAGAGGAAACTTACCGAGGATGGTGAATTGGATCCTTTTTTTTTCCCTTTCAGAGAGAGAGAAGGGAAGGGACGCTGAGAGATGGTTGAAAGAAGATGAGAATGATTACTATTTTAGTATTTTTTTTAAGATAGGGTCATATTTTTATTACAGAACAAAAGTATTTACTCCCAAACCGGGCGTGTTAATTTTAAAACAAAATGCATAACTAATCCTATAATTGTACAATGTAACGACAAATTTTGGTCATAATAGAGTAAAGTCAATTACATAACTCACGACATATTTCAAAAACATTTAAACATTTATATGTTATGATTTAAGGTGAAACAACTACTTTTTCAAAAAATTATTCAGTTTATTTTCGTGGTAAAAAACTTATCCATTTTAGTTATGGGTTAATTTGCTCAATAATCATAAATCATATTTGAGAACACAAATTAAGAATATAGCCATATCAATTTTATAATTTAGATACTAACTATGGCCTACCTCCATTTGACACTTTACCCTTTGTATTTAATGCAAAATAACCATAATGCCATAACACATCATTCTCTCTTTAATTTATTTCATTTTATATTTTGTCTTGCACTAATCTCATATTAGCTATTGATTAAAATTGAAAGTCATATAAATAAAACCAGATTAAATTCAGTCTTATAGAACAAAACCATAATTTTTTTCTGCATGTAACATGTTTTGTTTTTCTTAAACGATCTAAAATTTTGTAACTTAATGCTTAATTAATGCTAATGAACAAATGTTGGATACTATACTATATCATTCAAAATGTTATATTATACTATTTACTAAACAAAATACAAAAGAAAAGGAGAAAACACCCTAAACTAAAAATCTAAACCCTAAAACTAAACATCTAAACCCAAGACTTAAACCTAAAATATAAACCCAAAACACAAAATCCAAAATTTAAACCCTAAATCCAAAAATCTAAACCCTAAATCCAAAAAACTAAACCCTAATCCCAAGATATAAACCCTAAACCTAAAAAACTAAACCCAAATATATAAATCTAATCCTAAAATTTAAACTATAAACCCAAAAAACTAAATCCTAATTTAGAAAAAAGAATCATAATCCTAAAATTTATACCCTCAATCCTTACCCCAAAATTAAAAAGAAAATAATTTAGACCACAACATATTTTTTTCTTGATTTATTTAAAGGCTAATTTTGGTAATATTGTAGAAAATATTGATTGTATTCTAACTATGAAGTTGATATGGCTATCCACTTAATTATGATACTCAATATGATTATTGAGTGCAATATCCCTTTAGTTATTCCAAAAAATTAATTTAGTCCATAGAGTATTTCTCTTTAATCTAACTATTCCACAATTAAATAATCTACTTAAATCCACTTTTCTCTTAATTGGAGTGTTTCTTTGTCTCTTTCTTAAGACTTTTTTTTTTGTAAAATGTTTTCGTAATTGTGTTTTACAATGCACATTCTGCATCTTACCAATCATGAGTGACTAGAAGAACCAAAACAATACTCATTTTGTGTTAATTGCGTAAATGACAAAAGTTTGTATTGAAAAAATTAGCCAAAAAAAAAATTATTTAGAAATGTAATACTCTCATTCCTTTTAAATCGGATTTTTTTTTAAAAAAAAGACATCTTTCATCTTTTTAAGTTTTTGGATTCTGTTATCCGATCTCTTGTTTGTTCTCATCAATTCGAATTATGGAATCCAAAAACTTAAGGAAACTTTTGCAAAGCTCAGCTTAGACATCCATTATACATTCACATCGAATCCAAATGTTGCAGATTCTAGTAATTGCTCTGTATCCACGATGCTAGTACACTATTCTTCCAATTCTTTCTGACATTTCTTGGGCTTTACATGGTCAATAGTTCTGAGATTTCGTTGAAAACATCTGATCACGTTGGACCAATTCCACCATGTGAGAAATTTGGATGTCCTCCTCCTTAATTGATCAACTCAGTATTGCTTTATCAAAAATAATATCACACACTCATAAGTGTGCATATACATGTCAGTTGTACGTAACACAAGTACATCTATTTTTAAGCGTCAAAGACTATTGTAACAAAAATGCTACGGTCGTGTGTTTTAAAAAGCTTCAAATTATTGAAAGCAAATAACTTTTTTTTTTGAAATTTGAAAACGATGTCCATGCAATGATATATCGTGATTAAGTGTATATACATATCATTCTAATCAATCACGTCAATTGCAGTATAAATTTTCCACAAGTCATGTTTGCATAGGTATTGCCGTAAAATGACTTTAATTGCATATTTAAAATATTAACAATTATTTCATTCGTTGGGTCGAAACAAAAAGCTGAATCCAGTGGTAAGTATTGTACTATAGTACTATTTATCTGGTTTTACTGTTTTAGATATTTTTAATTTTTAATACTTATATGGCAAGCATTGTAGTATACTAAAGATTGAATATTTATGTTATATGAATTTAGAAAGAAAAATCTTAGAAGATGTACATAAATATATTTACATTAACTGAGAAAGGCTAAAATTTATTCAGTAAATCATAAAAGTCTTATATTTTTGAAATTTTAAAAGAAACTAAAAGAAGTTTTGTATCTCTTTGCCTTCCGAGGAGGCTAAAGAAAAAAAGGACAAAGCTTTTGGACTTCCAACACTCAACCTTTTATCTCCCTTCTCTCTTCTCCCTCCTCACTCAACTTCTTCTTCTTCTTCTTCTTCTTCTTCTTTGTGATGAAAGCGTCTCTCTCTCTCTCTCTCTCTGAAGTAATCTAAAATTGGATACAACATCGTCAAACTGAGAGGTCTTGAGATTGCAGGAACAAAGTTTAAAAGATGCAGCAACAGTGGGAAGTAAAGGAAAACAAGAAGAAGGAGAGACTCGTCAAAGGAAGAGATCTAGTTGATGTCGTCTTCTCATGGTCTGTTCTTGATATCCTAAACTCAATTCTCTACAAAGGAAAGGTTCTGTTTTCATCCGAAAAGATTTAAACTTTCCCTTAGAAACTTAAGAGTTAAGACATATACACAATACTTTTTACTTACATGCTTTGTGTGATTTGGTGTCCTCTGGTTTCAATAGGTGGACAAAATCCCAACCACATTCTCTTCAAGCACAGAGTATTTCAACTCATTTGTGAATCCGATTATAGAAGAAACACATTCTGCTTTGTTGTCAAGCATGGAGACTCTAAGACGAGCACCGACTTTCAAGTTTTGGGAAATCAAGCCAGCCAAAGACTTTGAATCTTCCAAGAGTCTCTTCTATGATGTTACTTTGCAAAGGACCTCTGATAATATGACCAATGGAGATCGGAAAATGCTAGAGGTCAATGATCTTATTGCGGTTACTAACAAGAAGCCTACTCGAATTGATGACTTGAGATGTTCCAATGAGCCTTACTTGTTGGCTCTTGTGTTCCACGTGGATGAAGATTATCCAAATTTGATAACTATTTTGGCTTCAAAACCAATTCTTTTGGAGGATGAGAGCTCACAGAGGACGAAGAAGGGAAAGGGTGTGATGAGTGTGAAGCAAAGCTTAAACCTTTTTGGGGTTTATCTGATCAACATGATGACCAACATCCGTATTTGGACCGCTTTGCATCCAGATCCAGAGAGAGGAAACTTGAAGCTTATTTCAAGAGTACTTCAAATCGACAATGAGGTAAATATGATGAATTCAATATTGGAACAGAATCAAAATGTTATCTTTAAAACTCTGTTTCTTGTATTCAAAGTAATGAAATCTTGGAACAGAGTCAAAATGATATCTTTAATGCTCTGTTTCTTGTATTCAACCTAATGAAAAATCTTGGAACAGAGTCAAAATGATATCTTTAAAACTCTGTTTCTTGTATTTAACCTAATGAAATCTTGGAACAGAGTAAAAATGATATCTTTAGGACTCTGTTTCTTGTATTTAACCTTATGAAATCTTGTAACAGAGTCAAAATCATATTTTTTAAACTTTGTTTCTTGTGTAGGTTGGTGATGAGAGTTGTGTTTCTTGCCAAGAAAACGGTGAGAACGTTGTGTCACGTGACTTGGAGCGCACGGTACGTTCATTCAAACTGAATTTATCTCAGGAGGATGCGATCTTGCGCTGCTTAGAAGCTAAAGATTGCCACCACCGCAACACTTTCAAGCTTATATGGGGACCGCCAGGAACAGGGAAGACGAAAACGACAAGCGTTTTGCTTCTGAACCTTCTGAGAATGAGATGTAGGACGTTGACTTGCGCTCCAACTAACATAGCTGTGTTGGAAGTTGCTTCTAGGGTTGTGGGATTAGTCTCTGAGTCATTATTGAGGTTTGATGGGTATGGTCTTGGAGACATTGTCTTGTTCGGAAACAAAGAAAGGATGAAGATTGATGAACGTGAAGATCTTTTCGATGTGTTTCTTGATTACCGAGTTGATGAGCTTTATAGATGCTTTCAGGCCACAACCGGATGGAGAGCAAATGCAAACCGTATGATCAGTTTGCTCAGTGATCCGAAGACAGTGTATCGCGAGTTCCTCATTGCGCTCGACGAGAAGAAGCGGCGTCCCTCGTTTGTGGAGTTTGTAGAGGAGAGGCTTAGCATAATCAGAACGGACCTGCGTTATCAGTTCTCAGCTCTGTGCCTGCACTTACCAACCACTGTGCTCTCCTTTAGAGTGGCTGAGAAAATGAATAGGACTAGTGATCTCCTTAGATGTATGACAGTTTCAGATGTGGTGGCAAACCCTAAGTCTTTCCATGGAAGAGTGAGATATGTTGAAGAAACTGATACAAGAAAGCAAGATTGTGTCAAGATGTTGGAATCGATTTGCGAAAGCATTGATCTTCCGGATTTTATAGGAAAGTTTGGACTGAAAAAGCTTTGTTTAGCGTTTTCTTGTTTGTTGTTCTGCACAGCGTCAAGCTCTGCAAAGTTACACTTGAGCAGTTCCATACAGCTTCTTGTGATTGATGAAGCTGCTCAGTTAAAAGAATGCGAGTCAGCGATTCCTTTGCAGCTTCCTGGACTTCAACATGCGATTCTGATCGGTGATGAGAAGCAGTTGCCTGCAATGATTCAAAGCAAGTTTGCTTCAGAGGCTGATCTTGGGAGGAGTTTGTTCGAAAGATTGGTTTTCTTGGGACACAAGAAACAGTTGTTGAACATGCAATACAGAATGCATCCTTCGATTAGTGTTTTCCCTAACAGTGAGTTTTACGGTATGAAGATCTTGGATGCTCCTTCTGTGAGAGTGAGAAGCCATGAGAGGAAGTTTCTTCCTGAGAAAATGTATGGACCTTACTCTTTCATCAACGTCGCTCATGGTAGAGAACAGTTTGGACAAGGTTACAGTTTGAAAAACGTTGTGGAAGTCTCTGTTGTGGCTGAGATCGTCTCAAAGCTTTACTCAGGTAAACAATTCTTGATTCTTGATGTTCTTGGTTCTTGGTTCTTGGTTCTTGATTCTTGTTTTTGTTTTTGCAGTATCAAGAAAGACGCAAAAACGGATCAGTGTTGGTGTGATTTCACCATACAAGGCTCAAGTGTTTGCGATTCAAGAAAAGATTGGTGAAAAATATAATACCGGAGAGCTGTTCTCAGTGAGTGTTCGATCGGTTGATGGGTTTCAAGGAGGAGAAGAAGATATCATTATAATCTCGACTGTTAGGTCGAACGGTAAAGGAACAATTGGTTTTCTATCTAACAAACAAAGAACCAATGTAGCTCTCACACGTGCAAGGTTATCTAACATATTTTTTTTTTTTCACTTCCTTGACTTAGCTACTGTATTTGTGAAACTGTTCTGCTTTGTTCTTAGTGTATTGCTATGTGAACCAATGTAGATATTGCTTGTGGATTCTTGGAAATGAGGCGACTTTAACCAACAATAAATCGGTTTGGAGGCAGTTAGTAGACGATGCCAAAGCAAGAAACTGTTTCCATGATGCAGAAGATGATGAAGCATTGGCTCAGTGTGTTGAAAGATCAACAACGGCACTTGATGATCTTAAGAAGCTTCAAAACAAGAAGCTTATTTCCTTTGAAAATTCAATATGGAAGGTATTATATATCTTCTCTATGTTCTCTTTATAAGATGTTTTAGTAGATTTTTGTTTTATATATATTTCAAGTTTAGTGCAAATTACCATTTGTATTTTTTTCTATTATCATTATGCTTATCCTTTTTTTTTCTTGATTCTTTGATATTTTCTTTCCACAGGTTTGGCTTACCGATGAGTTCTTGAAGTCTCTGGAGACGATAGTAGACTCTGAAATTAACAAAAGAGCTATGAGCATTTTGGAGAAGTTATCAAATGGAGAGCTTCACCAAGAATCGGAGACTGAGAGTGACAATCTGTTTAGACAACAAGAGATTGATGATGGCCTAAGTCTCATTTGGTCAGTAGACATAATCAATAAAGAGAATCACCATGTCCAAGTTTTGAAGATATGGCACGTTTTGCCATCTTCTGATGTTACTCGTGCGGAAGAATGTCTAGAGAAACATTACAAGAGATACACGAAAGTGAAGATAGAACGTTGCAGATACATTTGCTCCCAAGGGTAAGTAAAAGTTGAAATTTTGGTGGCTTTCAATTAGGCAGAAAAATGTTAAATGCATATGTTTTTGTTCGTTGATGCAGAGATTTAGTTGTACCAATGAAATGGCCGGTCAACTTTTGCTCAAAGAATGACATTGTAAACGATGTTTCAAGATCGTTTGCATTGTTGAGTGTTGTGGAGGAAACTGAGGCTCCTAAACCAATCAAGTAATTTTTTTTATTTTTTTTGTATGAATTATTGAATATTCAGGGGTTTTGTATGAAAGTAGTTCTAATCATATTCTTTGTTTTTCTTTGTTTTGTTTTGTAGGAAAGAATCGACGGTGAAGAAAGTGTGGAAGATTAGAAGAAAGGTTCATCTCCAAAGATCTTGAGGGAGATTTGAGCGTTTCTTTCTTATAAGTATTTGCGCAGAGTTTGAGATTTATCAAATCTTGGATTTGTTCAATGAGCATCATGTTCCAAATATTAGAAAATTATCGTGATGCTTTTTGTATATTGTATTTTGTGTATACTGATTATCTTTTTTGTTTGTCTGCGTATACAATGTTTAAGCAATTGATAAGCGTTAATCGGTTTTATTGTTTTAAGATGTAATGAGGCGGGAGGCTTATCAAATTAAATTTCAAAAGATCTGTTTCTGTTTGTGTAACTAACATTTGTATGGAATAATATGACATGTTAGACTGCTTAGTGGTGGGTGCTATTTGTCACAATGCATGTTGTAGAAACAAACAAAACTACAGTTGTTTTTTTTCTTAGTTAGACTTTCAAATTCTTAACCAAAAAAGTTAGGTTATAAAAATAATTTAAATCTATCCACTTGAAAGACATTCTTAAACTTTTGTTTTTGTTTTGATTAAGGAAAGCTAATGATGTTTCTATATATATTATGAGTGTTTGTTGACTTCTTTGGATATGAAATGTTTGTAACGAAAGCAATAAGGCCGATAGGAAATCGCTATCAATCATAAAATTGGTATGGCCAAAGCAAAGACTTTAAGGATGTACCATTAGTTTTGAACTTTTTAGAGACTAGTACTTTCTCATAAATCATAATACTACTCCCTCGACCAAATATATAATATTAAGCAAAACAAAAATATTAAGATTTTATAATATGTTGACGAAAAAAGTGTTTTAAAACATAGGAGTATTCCACAATGTTGAATAAGAATCGATTCCATATTACCATTAACACCGTTATTTACAAGCAGAGCCGTCCCTGAGATTTTATAGGTCGCAAGCGCAAAAAAATTTTGGGCCGATTTTTTTTTAAAAAAAAAAACAATTAAAACATAGCAAAAACAGCTAAGGGGAATCGAATTCAGACTAGTGAAATCAATTACGAAGGAAGTTACCACTCGGCAACTAAAAGTTTTTAGTAAATTAAGGGTCAATAAAATATATATCCATAAGCGGAGCCGCAAGTTGTTATTTGCTTTGCTTGCTCTCAAGGTCGACTCTGTTTACAAGCTAATTCTTTCAACAGTAATGAAAAAAAATACCACTATTAATAAATTACAGTAGTCAACAACAACAAAATTGTGTATTTTTCAATAAACGAAATTAATCAAGTTTTGATATGTAACATTTTACATTTTCACTACCAGTCAAGTTTTGATGTAACATTTTTCATTTTCACTACCAAACTGAATCTTTTTTATTTGGTTTGCTCATGTTTTTCTCTAAACTGAATCTTTTTGAAAAAAAAAAGCTTAGAGACCGAGTTTTTTTCCACATAAATTATTTACAACTATAGGAGATTGGACCATTAGCCATACTAATAGTATGTCGAAAAAATAAAACATGTTAATATTAAAATATTATTTTATATTCCACACACAAATAGAATACTGGACTTCTAGTCACCTATTTAAACCATTTTTACAAGTAATTGACACTTTCCTGAAACATGCCAACAAATGTATTGTTAGTGTAAAACTACTGTCCGGTCTCCATCAAATATTATCAGTGGAGCTTTCTCAAATATATATATTTCTATGTTTTCTTTAAATACTAAAATACGACATCATTTAGTAAACATTTGAAAAGAGAAATATACCGGTTTCGGCATAGAACACCATAATCATAAAAGAAAGATTTTTGAAATCAGTTGAACGAAAAATTAAAAACTTTTCTTAAAACTTATGAATCGATATTTTTAGTGTTATAAGAAAACGTTTTTCTCTCTATAGAAATTATTTTATCAAAAAGAGTATTAGGAATTTTTCTCTATACTAATTTGTATTAAATTTTGATCATATTCAGTCGATTGCAAAAGAATTTTATCTCACAAGCACCAAATTTAAATGTCCATGGCCCGCTGACCGAGCCACTTAACTAGAGAATCGTCCTTTTGGCACCAATTGATTGTCGTAACTCGTAACCAGTTGCAACTTAACATCACAAAGCAAGCATTCTAATTTCTAGACAGGAAAGGAAAAGAAAAGTAGGGTTCATGTTCATATATGTATAGATCCGTGAGCATTAATAGGCTCAGCCTATCTCATGAACTATCCATAATGATGACAATTTATAACAAAAGCTACACATAAGAGATGTAATAATGAAGAAAATGTAAAGGCAATAGAGGGAGTAGTGAGTAGGGTAAAGGCTTACACCGTCCATGTGGCCATAAGATTTGGCAATGCTTTCTATGAAGATTATGACATAGAGACAAAGTCACTTTTTTCTCTCTATAAATTATTATACAAAAAAAATAATGTATAACTCTTTATATTAATTAATCTTTATGCGTTGTCAATCGAAGTTTTTCACCTCTTCATCATTACTGCTTGGAAAGCAAAAAGCCAAAGGGTCCAACTCCCATGTTGTCATCACTATTCTCTCCTCCTTAATTAAACCTAATTAACTAATCACTCTTTTCTTTGTTTGTTTTCTTGTACTCCTCTCCTTTATTCGTACTTCTCTTTTTCTAAAACGAATCTCGCATCTAATCTTACCCCCTAAATCTTGCTTTTCTATTATCACATCAATATCACTCAATTCTCGTGGAATACCTCAGCTACGATCTTATTAAATGATCTAATATAGTGACAACTTTCTTTTGCATTAGTGTTGATTGATAGGATCCAACTGGTGACATCTATTTTAGCGGTAATAAAGAAAGAAAATATAACTAGATTCGGCAAGAGAGGTAAGAAAGAGTACGTAGATTTTTTTCATTTAACTTTTTGCTTTGTTTTCTTTTACTTAATTTTATAGTTTGTTAGAAGTTTAACACAAATGGTAATAAGGATCAACAACCGCTGAAGTGACGCACCTTTTATCATTGCGATAAGAAAATTACTAGCTAAATCATCATATAAATAAATTTATGGGTGATGTAAATATACATAATACATGTGTATGTTTAAATTTTGCTATAAATATGTTATAGTTTTGCAGTAATCACAAATTTATTAGGAACCGGAAAGAAAAACGTTGGACAAGTAACATTTTCTTACCATTAACTTGTTGATTAAATATTGTGGATATTTCACTTTGCAGACTATTCAATCTTTTGGGTGGATTAAAGAATAATCAGTGAAACTAGTTAAGTTCGTAGCGTTAGGGAAATTTTAAGCACTCGTTAAGCTACACGTACGTACTACATTAATTACTTTTTATTTTTGTTAAATACGTACTTCATTGGTTACACGTATGTATTTTTCCGTAAAAGGCGAGATAAAGACGTTACTCTTCGTTTTGGGTTTCAGTGAATCAACTTTTCAAGTTGCAACTTTCAGATGGCAACAAGAGCGAACGAGACAAATGCCTCAGGTTTCAGTGCACAGCTCCACTAAAGGGTCTCCGGGTGTTAATTTGTTAATATATATAAAACGTTGTTTTGTGTAATTTAGTAGTATTACTCGTTTACTTTAACAAGAAAAGTGTTATAGATGATGTTTAATCTAAAGATCACTGTTAATTTAAGGTGTTAAAAAAGGTACAAGTCAACAACTAAAAACAACTAATTAAGGGATTGGCCTGAGTTAATGAAGTGAAGTAAATTAGTAACTTAAAAAAGAAATATGCGGTATAATACTGTATATAAAATGTAATTTTTGTATTTCAGTATAAGATCATATAAAACAGTGTGTTGTTTATTTAAAAAAACATGTGTACAAACCTGTACTATTTAAATTTATTTGTCATAATAATAAACATACTATTCTTTATATACTATAATACTAATATATTAAGCAAGAATGTGATTGCGAAGGATTGATATATATCCAACTTACAAAACATAAAAAAAGCATTGCATGTGATGAGAATCCATCTCCCCCATCCTCCCACCCATTCTTTCCAACTCAACCCTCTCCTTTCTCTTCCTATTAAAGTATCATCCTCTTTTTGTTTCTTTTTTTTATAACGAAAAAGATAAACTTTTAAAATTTTGTATTTACTTCTATTTTCTTACAGTTCCACTAGGTTAGACAAATGCCCTTTAATGAGATGGTGGACTTTTAATATATACTGTTAAAGTGGACATTAATATACTATATGTTATACCTACACAACACACACACACACTTGAACTTTATAGTCATGTTTTTTTATAAAGAAATTCATCTTACGAACATATTCCAGATCTATAACTTTTATTTTATTTGTAATGTTGTAAAGAATTGGTCTCAGCTGACCTTCGAACCCCAGATCTGACTCCAGGGTTCGTGTTTGTGTAACCACAAGAGTTTCTTGTAAGAAAAACTTTACTGTAATGCTTCTGATTCGAGTCTCACTTGTAGACACATTATTCATATACGATTAAATATATTATATTTAAAAAGCATATAAAATATGTGAGATGATGGCACCTCATAATATATTTGTATATATACGGAGACATGAATTGGGTATATGCATGTGTCTCATTTTTCGAACAAATATTCTCATGTCCCTCTTTTATATATAAATCAGCCCTAAAGGCTACACATACATTTGTCACCATTAAAAAACATGTACTCCAACATCAAATTTCCAAGATTCTGTTTGAATTTTACCCATTCCTTCTTGATTTATCTTGAAAGGAAAAAAAAACTTAACTCCATCCGATCGAATATTGTATGATATGAAATAATAATGACTTGTAATTGTTTTGTTGTGAAAGGGGATGTTTTTTTGTTTCTTGTCCAGATGCTAATGTGGGCTCCAACCTCCTTGTCCCACTCTCTTTATATGTATACACATCTCTCTGCATAATATATGTTTTGTGTTTGACTGTTTGTAAATAAACAGTGTACAGATAGAGAAGAGAGAGGAAAGAGAGAGAAAGAGAGAGAGGTTCATAACTACTCTGAAGAAGATTGAAGCACCAAAGACCATACAATGCATTTCTCCATCTAAGGTGAGAGGTCAATGAACACAATTAACAAAAAGTTGAAAGTTTTCAATCTTTTTTTGTTTTTTTTTCAGAAAATTATAAAAAGATGGATAGTATAAAGGGAATAGAAAAGCTTTTCCCTTTATGTGAGAAAAAAGAGATGATTTCAGAAAACAAAGCCCTTTGTTTCTCTCTCTTAACTCATCTTACTTTCTTCTTCTATTAGTAAAGATGTAAAACACAATACTCTCTCCCACCAAATAAATAAGGAAACAAAAAACAAACAATCTCTCCTTCTTTCTTCCACATGAAAAACAAAAGATTCCTCAATTTTGTTCTTATTTTTCGTTAGTCACAGTAGCCTCTCTATTCTACACACTTCCACTATAAACCAACACTCTATTCAGATAAAAGAAAAAGAAAAACCTCATCCGATGATAGACTACGAGAGAAGCAATAACAACAAGAACATCAACCATCATCGGAATCCATCTTCATCTTCCTCCGATCTCCTTCCCGACGTTAATGGAGCCACCGTGATCCAGAAGAGGAAACGGAGACCCGCCGGTACACCAGGTACTTTTTTAGCAATTCACTTCAAGTTCCTTAAGATTTAGCACAAGATATCCGAGTTTTTAGGATTTCAAGAAATTTATGAAAGTAATATTTTTTTATTAACTTTGGTTATAATTCGACTAAAGTTTTTATTTTTCCAAATGGGTATTTTTAGCAATATCCGAAAGTAATCATATTTTTTTCCGGCGGCAGATCCAGAGGCGGAAGTGGTATCTTTATCTCCAAGAACGCTTCTAGAATCGGACCGGTACGTGTGTGAGATCTGTAACCAAGGGTTTCAGAGAGACCAGAATCTACAGATGCACAGGAGAAGACATAAGGTCCCATGGAAGCTTCTTAAGAGAGAGAACAACGAGGAAGTGAAGAAGAGAGTCTATGTCTGTCCGGAGCCGACGTGTCTCCACCACAACCCTTGTCACGCACTCGGAGATCTTGTGGGAATCAAGAAACACTTCCGAAGGAAACACAGTAACCACAAGCAATGGATCTGCGAGAGATGCTCTAAAGGCTACGCTGTTCAATCTGATTACAAAGCTCATCTCAAAACGTGTGGCACTCGCGGCCATTCCTGCGACTGCGGCCGCGTTTTCTCCAGGTTCCATTTCTAAGAAAAACCCTAGCTTGTGGCAATACTGATGATGAATTATATTTTATTAAAATATTTAGGATAGAGATATTTATATATCGGAATCCTTAAAGTAAATCAAAGAATGTTTTTTCTAGTATGGCGTGTACATGTTGATGATATATAGATAATGCACACAGATCTTGAAACAAGCTTACTAATGGAAGCTGAGTTATGTTTGGAGTTTGGACTGTTGTCTGAAATATTTTAGTAACTAATTTAATAATTAGGAAACTAATGTACGTAATTTGAACTCACGTTGACCCCATTATAGATTTCATTAACCCACTTTGTTAAGTATATACCATACCAAAACTCGAAGTCTTGCATCTCATACTCATATATATAATCCAAAAGATACCTAACTCCACTAACTTAATTGATTTTTATATTTTATTCATGTTTGATGCTATAACAAAGATTCCTTTGTGCTTTCTATTTTTGTTTAACTATATATAATAAACTCTTCCTGTCTTGATTCAGAGTGGAGAGTTTCATAGAGCACCAAGACAATTGCACCATGCGCCGATCCCAACCCTCAAACCACCGTTTACAGCAGCAACAAACCGCAAACGCTACACAAACCGCGTCCACAGTTGAGAACGCTGATCTTTCCATTGGTCCTATATTGTCTGGACATCCTTTGCTACGACAATCTCCACGGTCTGATCATCAACAACCATCAGATTTGCTATATCCTTTCGTTGGAGGCTCCTGCGCTACTACTGGTAGCAGCATTGAGCTTCAACTACTTCCCTCGAGGAATAATGCGGATGAGACCAGCCTTAGTCTATCGATTGGGATGGACACGACGACGACAATGTCAAGCTACGAGAAGGGAGAGACGAGTTTACTCTTGGGAGAAAGAGCGGAAGCGAAGAGGCAAATAGAGATTGCGGAATTAGAGTTTGCTGAAGCCAAGAGAATAAGGCAACATGCGAAAGCTGAGCTACATAAAGCTCAGCTTTATAGAGAAGAAGCAAGTAGGAGGATTAGTGCAACGATGATGCAAATCACTTGCCACAATTGTAAGCAACACTTTCAAGCCGTTGCTGCTTCGGCTCCTCCTCCTCCTCCTCCTCTTCATCAGCCACCTTGTACCGATGAGAGTACGTCTCTTGCAGTGAGCTATGTTTCTTCGGCAACTACCGAAGGGGAAAAGGCGAGTGATAGAGCATCGTCATAGATCTTGAAAAAGAGACGCAAAAGAAAAGAAAAATATTCTTCTTTGATTGAAAATGAAGATATCATCTTTGATATTCGTTGGTTTTTTCTTTTGTTTTTTAAATTGGTTTTTGGATAACTATGGTTAAGTACTCACTGGGATTTGTTTTATTTTTCTCAAACAAAAACCAAAGAAAAGAAGAGTTTTGTTATATGAACTATGTGGTTGGGTCTGTTGGTGATTGCTGGATATTGTATTTTTGGTTACTGTAATAAACGCATTTGATGTATTTTTTCTTCATTTAAATGAGCATTAGTTTTTTTTTTCGCCATATTAAATGAACATAAGTTAAAGAAAAAGGAACACAAATAATATTTGCATTATTTTAGTTTTCACACACAAGTATTTGCATTAAATGCTAAGGAAAGTCAAATCGTGCGTAAGATTCTCAGGTAGACTATCTCTCCATATCTCACGTTTGTGTAGACTATAGACTGTGTAGTTTGTAGACGTGTATCGAATGGTAAATTTTAGTTTGATTGATTTTAGATTTTCTCTTGATTTTGTGGGTTTTTGGTCTCAATGTGACCAAACAAGGAATCATATCTTTTCACGTAGAGACAAGATCTAATAATATATCTTTTGACAAATGTATTTTGATGTGCACTATCTATACAAGTAAAATATTTGTCGATTAAACGTTTAGGGTCATAATTAACTTCTTTGTAGGAGAAAAAGCTAGGAGTTTCAACCTGTAGACTCTATGAGAAGGTAACAAAAATGGAACCACTGGTCCATAGCTTCACTCAAGTTCTTGGTTTTTTTAACCGGCACCTTAATTTTGTTGTAGTTTAAAAAATGAGATCAAGATAATAATTTTTTTTTTATGATAAGTACATTTCATAAAATAAAGCCGTTTGAAATAAACTCTTTTTTAAGTTGTTTCGCGTAAAGATACGAAATCGTATCTAATAATCAATCATTATTAGAATCACCTATCGATAATTTATGAATATAACAAAAATTAGAAGAATCATGGCCAAGGACGAGATATTATTTGGTGCGAGTCATAATTACGAATTTAACGCTTGCATGGTTGCCATGTGGGTATCTTGAATATTTTAAAATTAATTTCATCTAAGGTTATAATTATGTCTCACTCTCTATGGTATTTAAATGTACAATATGATAATAATACATTATAAGTGTCGTTTTCTCACAAAAGATTCATAATCACCGATTTTATTAGTGATTTGTGGAACGATGATCATGTTTTTAATCAGTTAAAACAATGTTACGGAATGCAAAACAAACACACACAAAACTCAGCGTTTGCGTTTTAACTGTAACAAAATATAAGGAAACAATTATTCAGCAAACAAGTGAGAATTAGTAATAGCTTATATCATGATAAGTTGTCGAACGTAATTGAATGTTTTTATAATTTTATACTCTAGCGTTTGTAGACGAATTTAATTTTACTACTATATAATGAATTTTAAAATTTACAGTATAAATTAAGAAAATTTACAATGAAAAGCAAAGTTTTGCTTTTCTAATATAAGAATTAGCTATTTGTGAATGTTGTAATCACTATTGACTGAGAAAACCTAGAAAACAAGGGTTGGTGAAAGAATATTCAGAGTTGAATAGTGGATTGTTGATAATAAAATAAAAAAACAACAGTTAGCTTTTTATTACTATAAAATTGTGAAGAAAAAAAACGAGTTGTTTAATAAGAAGAAAGAAGCGTCTTCAACTTCAAGTGGCATATTAGTGTGTGATACAGAAGGCAATGGACTGCTTCTGGTGAAGCGTTACTGCTTGACACATGTATATAGTTCAGAATCAACTAAAACTATGGCTTTTATTTCTACAATATTTTAACTAGTGTTTTATAGCTTCATACTATAATAGTGTATTAATTACTACCCAAACTTTCGGATAAAGATGACTAAATTATTTATTAGATTTAATATATTTTAGTGAGTAAGTGTGTGTTGAGTAATTATTTGGGTACCGAAATTACTCATATGGATATAAGAATTACCCACCAGCCCCATTTTTCCGAGAATACATACCTCAAACAATAATTTTAGGTATCTAACAATAATCTTTGAACATTTGTCGAAAACGGATAGCCCCAACTATATATACGATGGAACTCGTGAAATTGTGGAATGAAAATCATCGAAAACTAAAATCAAACATTATTTAATCTTCTTGGGCAGAGTAAAAAAAATGACAGTACCGTATGCTACGAAATGGGAGGAACAAACTATAAGAAAATGCTCACCAAACCCATTCATGTAAAAGCGAAATGAATGTGAGAAAACACAAAGATGTAAATGTATAGAGGGAGAGAAGAGAAGAAAAGTCGTTTTCAGAGCAGAAGAAGTGGGTGTCGTTTCCTTTGCACGAAAATGAAACTAATTGATGATAAAAAAAGGTAAAATAAAAAGGAAAAAAATCGCCATGATTTTCAGTGCCAAAGTTTGAAATGGTTAGGGTCAGGCATCAGTCTCTCTCAGCAGACCCTCTTCACTCACTTCCATGATTTCCTTCTCTTCTCCTTCTTTAAAATCATCTTTATATGTCATGTCACATCGTGACGACACAATTCTTAAATATATCACTGTTTATATACTTTCATTTTCATTTAATCTTCTTGTTACAGAAAGATCTATCGCATTGTCATTGGCCTATAGTTTTTTTTTTCCATAGATAATTTCATTTTTTTCTGCTCAGCCTTTTATAGTCGATAATTTTTTCGTGTGTATGAGAATATCATTCTGTATGTCGTGTTATTATATAGATATTTTTATACTTGTATATTTTTTTTAATCGCTATATAAAAGAAAACTTTTGCAAAATGAAACTTGTATACTATAATCACTCATCAGACGAATTACATTCGAATTGAACTAAAGTTAATCACACCCTTGTTATATACACCGATTAAACAAACCTTTTCGTTTAGGTTAATTAATAAACAACCAGTTTCTTTTATCCATTTTCAAAGTAAAGTGTGGTCTATCAAACTTACTTTTCGGTGTCAAACTATAGTTGAATATTGTATATTTTTGGTGGTGTCAATCACATGGATTGGTTCGTTTAGATGGTTATGTCACATGATGCGACATAATAAAAGTACAAAAACTGTTATCATCATTTTCTCATGCGTATATCTGCATTGCAAGTATTCCTATAAATATATGTTTACCAATAAGAACGTACGTACGTGAAAAAAAGGGAAAAAAAATTCACATTTTTAATACGATTAAACAAGAAAGCTAAATTATGGCGTTAAAAAAAAGAAGACAATAATGTTCAAATTTTCACAAAGATTCCGACATCCATAAAAGCATAACTTTATTCGACGTCTAACTTTTAAAAAGCCAAAAACATTTTTTTCCTCCTTTTTCGGGTAATAATCAATAGAACGACCTTCTTTTGTCTCTCTCTTCTTGATAACGCTTTCGGCTTGAGATATCTTTAGATTCGAAACGTATTAATGAATTGATTGTTAAATGAAACATACCAAATTTTGTTTTGAAGAACATGGAGGCAAGCTTTATATATAAATCCAAATGATAAGTGGTCTCCTTCAAATCTTTTTTCATTTCCAATTTCTTCTTTTTGGTGGATGCTACATTTTGTTCAATTCCAAACCCCAAATTTCTTTTAAACTTTTGTTGCTGTCAATATGTTCACAATTACAGTCAATATGTTCACAGTTACAGTTACCACCTTCCTCCATTTATTGATTCTGTAATTTGCCCAAAATATGGGGACAAGAACAAAACTCGATAGCGAGATAGAAGGAAATGATAGTAAAGCATAAGGCCCACACCATTTTTGTTTATTTGACATATAACATCTTCCCCTTTGCTTGCTTCTCTCCCACCAAAATTTTCACAATTTCATGCCCAAAATAAATTATACACAAAAAAAAAAGCAAAAAGACAAAACTAAGGAATTTATAAAAAATAAACAGTAAAACAAAAGTAACACCATTCATGATTCGTGGAAAGACTTCACAGTGGTCATCATGCTTATTCACAACGATGTTAAGTTACATCAGAATACAGTAAAAAAACAAGCTGAGCCCATGACAACAAACTCCAGTCAAATCCCCATATTCTTTAAATGGTTGCAAGAAGTTCATTTTTGTTTGAAACTTTGAAGGAAACTACATTTGTACCTATAACCATTATCATAAAACTTACCTCAAACCCCGAATCAGACTTGGGTTTTGTTCAGGGAGGACCTGAGCTCTGGTTAGCTTCTCTGTTTCTCCGTCTCCGACCTGACCGTCCAAGCAGAGTCCGTCCTTGCCTTCTCATCCGACTCGCCAAAGAGTTACCGTCGTCGGAGAAATCCATCTCTACTGTTCCTCCATGGCTGTTGCTCGTTGCCGCCAAGTCACTCGACTCCGAGTCTTCAATAGCAGCATGCAACAGAAGGAAAACATTCACAAGGCTCCTACCGAGTACAGCATCGATCACACCGCCACCACCACCACCACCATGGCCTCCTTCGTCTGAATCCGAGCCGTGTTCTATAACGTAATCACCAAACACCATTGAGCCAGGCATCGTTGACCTGATCGTCGTGACAACATCGTCCCGATCATGCTCAATCTCGAGCCGTCTCCAGTTCTGCTCCACGTCAGGATCAACCTCACGAGGCTTCGCACTAGGGTGGTCCACTTTCATGTGTTTCCTCAGCTCTTTGAAACTTCCTGAGAAACAACAATCCTCCTGCATACAGATCCTCTTCTTAAGATTCAGATAGTTCCTCGCAGGCTTCACGATCGTCCAGCCTTTCACCTGGCCTCTACAGAGAGGGCACGTGAGGTTTCCAAGCTCAGACTTGTCACGGCTCGATGGCTTTAGCTTAGTCGAGGCTTTTTTGTACTGGTCTAAGCAGTTGGAGTATCGGAAGCTTGTTCCGCACATGTACGGACGACATCCCTTGTCGTGAGATGAGCAGAGGAGGAGGACGGCGTTGTGAGGACACTCCATGCATACGGAGCATATCACATTCTCCCAGTCTCTCTTCTCTAGACACTTTGGACAGTCTTCTTCTGCGAACATGTTTCTTGCTATGAGTCGTCTGGCGTATGGGAATTTGTATGGTGCTGCTCTGATGCGTCGTGAATGAATCCTCCTGCGTCTTGCCATTCTAGCTTTGGCCATAGTCTCAAAATCCAACCTGTATAAGCACACATACGATTAGCTAAAGAACAAATCACATAGATACAAGAAAATGTCTCATCATGGAAACTGCAGATACTAACTTGCATAATAACAGTGTAGAATCAATGCTTCTCAGATAAAGCTATCTACAAATGCAACTATTTCAGATATTTCACAATCTTGCATCAATAGCAGAGGAAAAAACAAAACTTTTACGGTATCACAGCATGTGAACAGCAGTAACAGTACAGAACCTATTCATACATCATTGAAATTGCATGATGAACAGATCATTCATGGTAATACAAACGTAATCTAATGAAACTGAGGTCAAAGCAAGGAATGTTCACTAAGGAGCTGATCAACAAAACGAAAAAAAAAGATATCAAACAAAGGAAACAACATACCTCACAAATTTGAAAGCTTAGAAGGTGATTCAAAATCAAAATATAACACAATGACTAGACTCTAAAGCAACCAAATCCAAAACTCATGGGAAAACAGAGATGGAGAATCAATGTATAGACCAAGAATAACTACAGAGACAAACACAGGTTAATAAATTCACATAAAGTGTGAAATATAAAAAACAGAAGATGTGCCAAACATGATACATGACAACGAAAAGCAACGTGCTTCACAGAAGAATTAAACGGCATGACAGTGAATCAATTATTAACTCATGCCAAGAATCTAACCCACATGGATCTCAGATCCAGAGACTTTAATATAAAATGCAAGCTAGAAATGTTCTCGATTACCAGATTATTAATTCCTCAGAAATTTTTCAAAAAAAAAAAAAGATATGGATCCTGACAAGTTCGCTAATCACTGATTACTAAACAATTCAATAAAAATTTCAACGATTCCTGAACCAAAGCCGAATCGGAAAGTCCAGAGTTTTCGAAATTACAACGAAACAAAATTCAAATTCACTGCGAAGTTCGAATCCAAAATCCATAAATTTTAATCGAATAATCTAACAGGAACCTGAAAAATCCTCTCTAAGAACATCCAGATCGCGAATTACACGAAGAGAGAGAGAGAGAGAGTATCAACGAACAAACACGCCACAGATACTTTACCTTTCAGGAATTGATAATTAGATTTTCGAAAACAGCGTACGAAGAAGAGAAGGCTTGATCGAGCGAGAGAGAGAGAAAGAGAGATAACGAAGGTCGAGAGACGAGCGAGGGACGAGGAAGGCGAGTGGAGTTGCGAGAATCGCGTGGAAGCACCACCACGGCTCCACCAAGCAAGCTCTGGATTCGGAGTGTTTCTCTCTCCTCTCACGTCAACGTGTGATGGAGCTAGACCCTCCACGCGTCCGTTGCTGTGCGTAAGCGTGACGCGCCCGTGGCTTCAAGGCTTTTTAAGGCCCATCATGATTCACTATTGGGCCGGATCACGAATTCTTCACAAGTTTTTGTTTTGTGCCATTTTCTAAGCATTCGAAAATTAACATTTCTTTTCTTTTGTTTTTCCATTTTCCGGTTATTAGCATTTCCACCATATCTTTTTTCACCAAGTAATCTTGCAAAATAGAACTGTCAAATTGGTGGGTTTGTCTCCATATGTAATATTTAAAAATGGACGATATATAAGATATCTCGTACGTCCACATTGAAGGTATATATATATATATAGCTCTCATAAGATTGAACTAGATTCTAACACATATGCATGTACGTTGACCCTTGATGGCTAGATTCTAAGTAATTTACAAAAATTATAATTAATAAATTGTATGAGTTGTTCAAAACAAGAAGATAATATGTGAGTTGTTGAACAGTATTGGAAGGCAGAAGGAAGAAAGCGGGAAAGCAACATAATATAAAGAAGAAGATGAAGATTTAAAGGTTGACTTATGGACACAAAGACAGATGTAAAATGAGAGAAGGAAGTTATCTCATAATATATCCATACACAGGGACAAGGGAAATGCATTTGACCTTTTTCTTGCTTGTGATTATAAAATTTAGTTCCAACGGAAGATATGGCTGCGGCGCCGCTTACTCTCTTATCCCACGCTTCCTCTGCCAATTTTTGATTTTCTTTTTACTATTACTAGTCTATATGTTATCAACAATTTTTTTCTTATGGTAAAGATAGCTAAACACATGCATAGCGTACTGACTTCCCGGCTCCCGCTTATGGATATATGTTGAAAATTAATACTTGAAATGTTCCTCCGAACTTAATGTTGATAAGCTTTATTATTAACATGTTATAATTCTTTTTGGTGCTCTGATATATTATGGCATATGTAAGAGATGTAGACATTTTTTTGTCATTTTATTCAAACTGCAACAGTGTGTCTTTGCCTTATATTCTCTTTAAAAGAATCCGTGAAAAGTTACATTCTGATTATGAAAACCGCACGTTGACTATGAAGTTTAAATACTTTTGTCATGTGGACACTATCCTATAAAAACGAAATGGCATGTAAAGAACCATGTATACACAGTTGTTCACATGCTTGATTCATGTTGAATTTATAAATTCACGAGTTTGATTCGGCGTTAGAGAGATAACTGTTTAACTTGTTCTAAATTGTTGAGCAAAAAATGATGTACCAAAGCTAAACCTTTTTGGTAAGTAAAACCAAAAGTTTATAAGATGAACGTGAGATAATACGAAAAATGGAGTTTTCTAGCTAGTTGACTATTTTAAGATCCGATCCCAAAGCTTTTTGATATCCACTTGTTTATCAATAAATTAATATTTCTACATAATTTTTCAAGTTCAACTCTTTTATAACTGGGGCCATTAATTCGAAATTGAAATTGGTGATTATGGATTATATGAAGCTAGGAGGAAATTATTCTAACAAGTTTCACAAAGCTCGTAATTAATATCCTCACCTTCCCTAGTGCGTATATATAATATAGCATGAGGGCTGCGCGCGCTTTCGGTAGTAACTTTTTCCATGTTTTCAATTTCATAACAGCAACATTTGACTTTAACAAATTCCTGTTGAAAATTTCATAAAACGTCAATAGGAAAATTCAAGAATATAGTACTGCACTATAATAAAAGCCCTCTTATTTATTGTAGGGAAATTTGGCAAAAAGGGATCAAAAAGTTCTCCTCTTGTCCACATAATATTTTTTACCATATTTTGTCCTAATATACTTTATAATAATAAATTTTCTAAATTTAACCTTCAAAATAGAGATTAATATATTTTTAACATATACAGAAATCATATTAATTTTTTTTAAAATAAAATAACTAAGAAAAAAGGGAGAGTTAGATCTTGCCGATTTGATGGTATACGTTTTGATCTTGCCGATTTTTTAATCGTATTCATCTTTATTACACTTAATTATGCATGTGGTTATAAACACATAAATGACAACATGAAAAAAATATACACGTCGATGGTCTTCTGTATTTCACATGTGACGGGAGATTTATCAGACCCTAATGCTCAAATATTGATGTTACAGAAGATAATGAAGAATAATGCTATAAAATAGTTAAAGAAACCATATAGTTTAGCTGTTAACCATGATTCCAGTGTGACTCTGGTTTAATTATTTCAAAGGTAAAAGATTAAGCGCTTTATTAATCAACATGGATTGATTTTATTATCTTAAAGATATAAACTATTTGTTTAAAGAAAGTCAAATCTAACTTTAGATGCGTACTAGAGTGAATAATACAAATAGTAAACGAAATTCTGATCAGAAAATGGGATTTGACTTTAGCATTTCAAATTCCAAAGCTAACATTCATGGGAATCGATCTTTCTCTCAGGCTCGAGAAAGAGAAAGATGAAGAAAGTTCAAAACACAGCTGTGAGAACAAAGATGAAGAAGAAGATATTGATGATGCTAGTGATGATGGAGATGAACAAATGGTGAAAGAAGTCGATGTCGACAATTCTTGTTTAGGTTCAAGAACCCGAAAAGAAGAAAACGAACGTGAAGAGGTACACCTACGATACGTACATAAATATATTATATATAAATCCATATATTTGTGTGTGAAAATATGTTAACATCCATGGGTATGGAGATCAGCTCTTGCAGATGCAGATCGAGATGGAACATGTGAGAGAAGAGAATACGAGGTTAAGGAAGCTTGTAGAGAAAACTCTTCAAGATTATCGTCATCTCGAGATGAAACTCCCAGTTATTAATCAAACCAATAAGATGGTGAGTGAATCTTGTTTCTTCATATACACGTTACTTACATACATAAATAGTGGTGATAATTTAACATGAATCTTAATTTCTTTGACCTAGGGTCATGAAACGTTCCTTGGAGAACAAGGCAGATGGTGTATGGATGTAACAAGTAAGGCTCGGAAAAGAGGAATTGAGAGATCTGACCCATACGTGGAAAGAGAACTAGGGCTTTCTCTTTCTCTACAGAAAAAGCAGAAACAAGAAGAGAGCAAGGAAGCTGATCAGTCTCATAATAAGCAAAGATACGATAATAGTAGCATCATTCAGGGACAAGATACCAACACTCCACGTGTCATATCGTCTTCTCCGGGGAATAGAAAGGCAAGGGTATCTGTGAGAGCGAGATGTGAGACTGCAACGGTGAGTTTCTTCTATAATGCAATCTTGGACTCAGCTTGGAGATTGGTAACATGAGTTTCTATAATTAAAAAGATGTGTATGAATGTATGTAGATGAATGATGGATGTCAATGGAGAAAGTACGGCCAGAAAACAGCTAAAGGGAATCCATGTCCACGAGCTTATTACCGATGCACCGTTGCTCCAGCATGTCCTGTTAGGAAACAGGTAAGCTTTGCAAGAAGTACAAATGCACATGCATACACTTCAGGGTATTGTAATTTAGAGAATATGCATTAGATAACTAAATCCTACTCAATTATTTGCAAAAACAACGAATGGTAAAATCATAAAGAAGTTGGTTCATTTACCGCATGTATATATTTCAATTTTTATAAATAATTTTCCTAGATAAAAATAAACCCTATAAAATTTATGTTCAAAGAAAAATTTCTATATATAGTTTGATGTTAGGGACCATATAAGATAAACAAAGAAACAACAATATGCATTTTAACAAATATTATTATAAATCACTAAGCTACATTTCTTGATGTTATTTTAATCAATTTATGATGACTTGTAACATTTTGAAGGTGCAAAGGTGTTTAGAAGACATGTCGATACTAATAACAACCTACGAAGGAACACATAACCATCCACTTCCGGTCGGAGCAACAGCCATGGCTTCCACTGCCTCCACTTCTCCATTCTTGTTACTCGATTCAAGTGACAACCTCTCTCATACTAATTCCTATTTTCAACAAAATGGCAGCAACAATCGAGCCTTAAGAAGCTTTAACTTTGATGATCCATCGTCTAGAGGAGGAGGAGATCATGTTTCATCTTCCCAAACCCGATTGAATTGGATGATGTAGAGAGTTTCACGTCTCTCTTCATTTCTTTTGGTCCCATTATTTTTACATTGATTGAAATCTCCATGGTCGTCTTTCTTTTTTTCTTGTTCTTGTTTCTAAATATTTGTGTTTCGTATATACAAAATTCAAAGGTTCCATATTGTTACATATCGGTTCACTTATTTATAAAATGTAACGGTGAATTAGCTAAATGACTAGGAATATCTAATTTTAAAGGTAAATGACCAAGTGACAAAACTCGTAATGAAAAGTATTAAGATTTTTTTCATCCTTTAACCAAACATAATCATGCTATTTTACCAAATAGTGGAATAAAATTACACTACCAATTTGTGCCTTTTTCTAAAATTGTTACATAAATAAAATAATATATCGTTTAAGCTAATAACTTGTTAATAAACTCTGCAACTTTGATCTTAATATATTACAAGAAGAAATGAGTACACTAAAATAACACACTAAAAGATCAAAAGACTACAAATGCAAATCTCAATACGCTCTACTATCTCCCATAGACATCATTCTTATACACAAGGCTTAGAATTCTCCAAGAACATAAAACTAAGTTGATCTAATAGAGACCTTTGTCAAGAACCTTTTGAGTTTTGGAGCTAGGAACCAAGACCCCTCAAATCATTTATACTATGCCAAGAATCACATTTCCACAAACTTCTCAGTGTGTGATGTGATTATGAATAATACTTTTTCTTCCTCCAGCTTCTTTAAAGACATTTACAGGTAATTAAAAGGAAACCAGAGATGGTTTCCTAAGTCATCCCAAAGGCTCTTGCTTCATATGGAAGCCATCACTTTGCATTGTGTTGAATTGCATCGCCTGTTATACATCAATGAAAACAACAAGGTTACAAGATCTTAACCAATATTCACTAAAAAATGATTCAAGACATCATTAAACATCCACTTATTATTATGATCTTGAAAGAATTACCAAAGAATTACTCAATAAGGCAGCTGAGAGATCATCATTGAGTGTAACCGGCAATGGTGGCATCTGACTCATCAAGCCAGGCATATTATTCATGCTGCCAAAAACACATCATTTGATCAAGATCCATCCAATTTATAGCAACTGTTAAAAAAAAGTATCAATCTTACTCATTTTGGATGGTGATGAGGTTGTTCCTTGTCTGACAAAAGAGATCAATGTTGTCCTGTACCTGTTCGTCAATTATCAGAACGCAGCGGTGTTAGCAAGAACGCACTAGCATTCCTTTGAACTAGATAATAATCTATAACATACCTTATATGAGGAGAGATTAGCTCTAATTTGACTAAAAGCTCTTACATTCTGTTCTAAGAGATTGATTCCATGCCCACTTACATCTGAGACAGAAAAAACAAAAAGAATCAGGTTAAAAAGAAGGCAAGACTAAAGATAACTACTGTTACTTCACCTAAACTCCATATGAAAGAGAGCTTAAAGGGATCATCTTTACAAGTTTACAACTTCCAATGTAGAATTTCATCATAAAACATAAAGAGAGATGCTAACCTTCACTTGAAATATGGTTACTGGAGCTCGTAAAGGGCATCAAGAAAGGGTACGACGAAGCCATGTTATCAGGCAAGACAGAAGGTGTGCTTGAGTGAGAAGACAATCCAGCTTGCCTTTCCTGGAGAAAAAGATATATAGTTTGTTTTAGAAGATATCATAAGATATATAAGACAATCTTCCATCTCATAGCTATAAGCATTTTTCAATCTAACTTAATCTCAAATATCAAAACAAACAAAGAAGAGTAGCTTTTCATTGTTATTCAAGAGTGTCACACTCATCAAACTGAACAAAATGGCAAGAATTCGTCAACATACCTTGCTAGAACTTCTTCTCCTCCCACCATTGAATTCTTCTGATTTTCTTCTCTTTCTCTGTGCCAAACAAAGTCAGAATTTTAATTGGATAAAGACTAATTGTAAAAGTAAAAAAAAAAACATTTTTTTAGATAAGAGAAGGTTTTGCTCAAAACTCCAACCCCAAAGGACTGTAATGTTCTCAATTGATACAACATCAAAAGCCACAATAAGACCAAATTTTCCATCCTAAGGTAAAGTCTGACCCAAAAATTACCATTTCACTCTGTTTGGTTTAGAAATCTCTGTAAGCTCTATTATATGAACTAAATCGACTGTATGCACATATCATTTTCCCTAAAGTGTATAGTCTACATCGAAGTAACTTTCAACGTAACATGAGTAGAGACTATAATGCAGTCCAAAACCGGTTTAGAAGTGTTCCTTTGATACACTTAGAATGGCAAAATCATAGAACTATATCACTTAAAAATGGCTAACAAAGCTATAACAAACCACAGAACAGAAACTAAGCAAAACAGAGAGCTTTACCGTCATCCATCTACACCGCAAAGCAACATCTCGAACGGTTTTGTCAGGTAAAGTAGCTGCAACTTTAATATACTTCATGATACTTGGCTTATCCTTATACCTGCAAAGAAAAAAACAGAACCAAAATCCTTCAGTTACATCAACTTCAACACAAACAAACAAAACAAAATAATAAGAAAGAGAACTCACTTCTCCAGACCATCTTCCAATTTGAATTGTTCTTCAGTTGACCACTCACAAGGATCAAGCTTTACCCCAGGAACCGAACCAAAAGAAGAATTTGAAGAGTTCCCATTTTGAATTAATCCAGGACTAACGACATTATTGATCATATTCATACCCAGCAGAGAGCCACTTCGTCCTAAGTAAGGACCCATCGGAATCATCTCTGAAGAAGTGTTTGACTGGAAATTTATGGCGTGACGACTCATCATAGAACTCAAAGACTCTCCGTGACAAAACCCAGAATCAGATCGAGTAGCCATCCACATAATCGAATGAGAAAAAAAACCCTAATACACCTCTGAAAGGAACAGACTTTAACACTTGAGAATCGAAATGAAAATTAGCCCAGAAATTTCAAACCCTTCAGCTAATTTAAACCCATCTTAAGAAGATCCAAAGCAAAACCCGAAACCCTTTGATCGGAATTGAAAAAGACAAACTTGAAGAAGGTGAATCATCTTACGCCATGGAAGAGAAAGGAAGGAAGAGTAAAAACTTCACCTTTGTTTAGCTGTTTAGCCGCAGCCTTTTTTTTATTCTTTGTGGAGTCTTTTTTGTTGTTGTGAATTCTCTCACAAAACCCAAAACCAAAGTTGATTTTGTTTACCAGTCACCACCAATTATATATTCCTCTGTTTTTTTTTTAAAAAAAAGTTTGTGGATTTGCTTTTCTCTCGTCTCTATTATCAGAGCAAGAGTTTGTTTAAGAGTAATAAAGATGGATTAATGGGAAAAAAGTATGTCTCTGTTGTAGACTTTGTAGTGTAGTCTAATTTTATGAAAACATATTCAACTTTCCAATGGAAACAAAGTACAAAGATAAGGGATAAACTCGAATTGAATCCATAAATTATTGGTCTCCAAAACATAAAAGGAAGATTATGTAAAATGGGCAAAAAAAGTTTTTTTGACCATGAATTAGATTCCCTCCCTAATTGAAGGAAGGAAGACCAAGAACAATATTCATTTGGTCTCTATCTGTTTACACTGTATTATTGTTGTTTGGAATTTACATATTGGAAAGAAAAATAAAAAAAAAGAGAATGTGAAATTAATGCTACAGTACTACTAGATGGTTGGCAGATCGTGGAACTCAGCAACAGTGCGAATCCCAATAACAAAAGCATTTGATGCTTTTCTTCTAAAACCACACTTTTTTATTCCGAAAGTTTTAGCAAGTAGACAAGAATATTTTTTTTTTTTTTTTTTTGTTAATAATAAAATTGAATCTATTGTCATCGTTGTCAAAACTTGGAAGCATTAAAAAAATTAGATTCATGGTTTTTTAGTTGATACGCTAATTTATCTTAGCATCCCCCACTAATTAATTATGTGGGGTTAACTGATAAACATATCCACTCGTTACGGACAAAAGTCTCAGACTAATTATCTATTCGATAATTACGAACGAATTCACTTCGGTAGAAATTGTTTGCAAGTTGCAACCAACCGTATGTGGACATATTATTAGTGACATAATTTAAACTTGCGGGCTGCGGAAAGATAAAAGTAAAGAAAAAGGGGGCGTGAGAAGAGAAAAAATAGTGCTAAAATATGTCAAAATATTCAAAGTCTATATACAAACCGTTTTATGTTCTACTCTGAAAGTTTTTAAACAAAAATAAATCATGAAAATATGTCTTTTAGTTCCCATTATTTGGATATGGAAACAATAGATGTATAATATGATTAACATTAAAACCAAGACAAGAGAGAAAAAGATATTTAATATGATCGGCCAACAAAAGAATGATGTTCTTGAAGTGGATATCAAAAACGATTTTTGTAGGCAAATGTCAAATGCATTATACCATTTTTTTAATAAGAAAACAGGTGTTTTAATATATATATATATATATAAACGAAATGATATAACTGTTTTTTTTTTAAATATTTTTTTGTTCTTTTTTTTTTTAATATTTGTAAGAGTCAACATTGACATCTTATATATACATATTTCTTTTTGTAAAGAAGTTACGTTTTTATTTGTACTAGGAGAGAACCCGCTCTACGCACGGGTTTTAATTTTCGATAGTATTTTGTTTACTTGTTTTTGTTTTTTCACATTTTGGATATTGTATAGATAAAGTATAGGAAGTCTGGAAAATGTTGTTTTGCAAAAAACATGACAATAACCACATTTTAGTATACGATATATATCCTAGGACCAATTGTGCATGAAAATGGCTAATCTTTAACTTTCCCTTTAACCGAGAAGATGAGTACAGAGAAGAGAGCCAACGAAGATGTATATGCAGAAATTGAGCAAGTAAATTTCCCCACAAGCATCAAAACTTAAGAAAAATAAAAATTCAACATCAGTTATTCAGATAAAACCAGAAAGGCGTTTCAAGCAAGCAATCTGTAAAGCAAAGGAAGTCTCAGCCACGTAATTTGGAAAACCCAACCAATACATAAAGCATACGAAGTCCGGGACATGTATTTTTTAGCAAAAAAACATCACAATAACCAAAAGTGTAAGACTTTATAACTTTCCAATCAAACTATTAAACTTATCACAGACAAACCCCAGCGCTTGTTTCCATACACACCAAAACAAATCATTCAAGAGAGCAATCATATACGTAAGATAGAAGCATTCAAGAGCACCCTCTTATGTGAACCAGATATTTCTTCCGGGAAACACCATAAGACTTGTTAATCCAGCAAAAAAGCAAATGTTACGCATATTATCATAGCTAATATAATTATACAACATAAAGAAAACAATCTAATCTTATATATCTTCACTGACTTTGAGCAAAACCTTCTCCATTTAAGCGCTGGCTTTGATGTTCCATCGAAGGAAGCCATTCCAGGAAACGATGATTGGCCGTTTAAGCCACTGAAATTCACAGATTGTGGCAGCAGAAATTAACAAAAGCATAAAAATTGGATTTTGCAATATGTTATAACCAAATCCTAAACCGTATAGAGAACAGTGTCTTCATTGCCGAATTTTAACAAACACCTAGTGGGCGTAATCGTAGCAAACGAACCTACAGTTACCAGGATTTCCATCAAAATATGATATACTCCAGTGGTTTCTGTATCTAACGAACAAACAAACCATATTCTACAATAAATAATACTCTATAATCCGATATGATCAAACCAATTCAGAATCTGGAAACAAAATTGAAAGCCCTTACTATAAACTGGAACTTTTCGAATAAGCCATCCGACTCTTGATTTCACCAGCGGCCTTTCGGTCGCTCCAAGTTCGTTGTCAACGAGCCGTCGATTCCGACCCGTCGCAGCCTGATCCCAACAACCGGAGGAAGTACCTTGGACTGGATCTCCGAACCACGCCGTCGCCGAAAAGCTTGGCCGCATAGATCTGAAACGACCGGAGCAGCTATTTCCGCCACGGGACACAGCTTCTAATCCGCCGCTGAGACTGCTCTCCTTGCCGCCGCCCTCTAAAAGCTCCGGAGCTCTGTGAAATGAGGAAGACCAAGGGTGCTAGCCTTTGAAAGAATTAATTCAGAGGGTACGACGTCGGGCAGGCACGAAACATTTTGCCATTTGTTAAATTAATTTTCAATATAACAATTTTTTTTAAATGGCAGGCAGAAACGACGTCGTTTTGACTGGCACTCAGAGGAGAATATTACACGTGGACTTTTCCACTTTCACATTACAATAAGAGTGACTTATTGAAAGTGGTGGACTTTCGATAAGTGGTATTACTCTATTGTCCTTGTTTTCTCTCCAACTTCATTCGATAACTTTTATTTTTTTACCAGCCTTCATCTTTTTACATATCACATCAATTTATTCACATTATAATTCTGTTTTTTTTTACCTCTTCTCTTTCTCAACAAAAACTTTAATTATGCAACAATGGAGGTATTTCACAGCCACTCCCTCACAGATCTCCAGTCTTTCTTCTCTGAATCTTCTGAGTTTCAGTTAAATACTGGGTTTCTAGGTTTCAATTACATTAGACTGGGTTTCAATTACATTATATTTACATTTGGACTGGGTTTTTGGGTTTTAATTTGTTTCGGTTTCTGGGTATACAAATGCAGCTTATAGTGTTCTTCAATCCCTGAAATCCACCATTATAAAGGATCTATCTAGTGTTCTATTTTTAAGACATGGATTGGTGAAGATGTCTGTTCTGGTTTTTCTGTATTCGCCATAGATCTAAACAAAGCAGACAAGGAGTTCAAATGATCGTAAGAAGCATCCACAATTACATTATTATAAGCATTTCATCCAAGTCAAAATTCGTCCAAACGCATTTCATCCAAGCATTTCTTCTATTTGTTACTCCATTAAACACTTGATATGGAAAAAATCCTTAACTGTTTTCTCTACTCACTCAGACTTGTGAATGTACATGTTTATTTGGATGCTTTAGTGACGAATTTGGATGATTTGACTTCATAGACATGTTTATGTGAAGCATGTTTGATAAGAAGCATCCATAGTTACAGCATCCAAAGTTATACCATCCATAGTTATAGCATCCACAATTACTCTCGACAACCATCCAACAAAAGTATACATTAAAATATTTCCAGAGAATTATTAAGCTCAATTATGTTCAGAAATTTTCTAATACAGTATCCAATTTAGGCTGTATCACGTAGATCCTCCATCAATAATAGGTGATTAGACATATATTCAGACATATCTAAACAAACTTTGTACACTGCAAATGAAATTGTACACAAAAAAAACATAAGCGGATGGTGTAAATCACTCGCAATCATGACCTCTTGATCCATTCTTTTGTTTGGTAGTTTCTAACGAATGGTGTAATTTGGATGATTTTAATAATTGAAATCATCCACACAAAAAGTATCCAATTCTGTATTCGTACAAATAGGAAAAAATTCAGGTTCCCAGTTGAGTGAGTGACTCGGGAAGTATCAAACTTTGTATTCTACACTAAAAACAAACCTAAGCGTACATGGTCATCAATCGTCCAAGAACACGTTTAGCTATAATAAAAATCAGAAACAAAGATTCAATTACCATTCTACAAGAGAAAAAAAAATCTAAAAAAATATTTTTGAAAAACTCTAGCTAAGTTCGAATCAGATGCGAAAACGCATGCCATATAAAACAAAATCTGTAGATGTCCGAAAATAGTGTCCGATCTGTATCTGATTTGTGTGCGATCTTACCAGATCTGAAGTCGTAGAACTGAGAAAATAAACTTTACCTGTTTTTTACCTTATTTTCACTAAGGGTATAAATGAAATATCACAAACACTACACTCCAAAAAAAGTGCACCTCTGAACAAAAGTCCTTCTTTTTGTAAAGAGAACTCAAAAGGTCACCCAGAGTGTAAATTTCTCCACTCAGAGGGTATAAAAACGACGTCGTTTTGGTGTAAGACGAAATTTTTTTAAAAAAAGTTACAACGCAAAACAACATCGTTTTGGCGTTGGAAAGGAAAAAAAAAAGAAGATGCCACGTGTCCCCCGCTGGAAAGTGTCCAAGCCTTATTAGTTATGTAAATTCTTGAATTTTTCTTATTAAATAATTCTTATGAGCTATTACATGTTAAGTTTGTTAGCTGACTTTTCTTTTCCAGATTTCTTAAATTCATGCACCATACAATGGAGATACTTTCACAAAATAAAATAAAAATGGAGGTACTATATTTCACAGTGGAGAAATACAGATTGTTACAGTCAATAGATCCATTTCTCAAACTAGTGAATACTTTCAATTAATTAACAACATCCTCTTCGTTCTTAACAACATTGGCGGCGAGAGATTAAGGTCTACAACACAACAATGAAACTAAGGACTTGATTGGTTGTAGCTGTAGTTTTTAATTTTTGACTGTAAAATTTAGGCTGTAGGTTTGAGTGCTGTGACTTAAGTTTTTAGTGCTGTAAGATTTTTTCTTGGTAGATTTTGTATTAAATGAAATATTTAAACAAAAAAAAACGATACAAAAATAATAGATTAAAAAAGGAATATGAACAAAATAATAAGGAAAGAGAAGAGAGAGAATTTAGAGAGCATTAAATTTGGTACTCTAGATAAATAGTTTTCCAGATCTACGAAACTTCCATAAATTAATAAAATTGCTCTATGTTTCAAAAAAGGAAAGAGATGGAAGGAGAGCATAATTGGTAATTTTGGAGTGCTGTAGAGAGATTTAGAGCTGTGGAGAGCAACCACAGTCCCTACCAATCATCCCCCCCCAAAGTTTTGTGAATTATTTCTTATGGACATATTTCATTTTTTGTTTGAAAGACATTGGTATAGAAAAGTTCTCTAATGATAATGGGTCTTGTTAATGTATAGAAAAGGGCCCTAATGGCAATTGCAAATAATACTAATTTAGAAAAACTGAAGTGTTGGGCTCTAAAATATGACAATTTGCTAAAATAATATGGGCCAAAAACAAGCCATGCACATTATACATTCTCCACTAATTTTATTTCTGAGCAATGTCTCGGAATAAAATAAAATAAAAAAACACCACACAATAAAGAAGGAAATTACAGCAAAGCTAAAGAACGTTATTGTTGGACTTTAATATGTTTTTACCAAATTTCGAGTTTAGACTGGCAGAAAACTCATTTGAAATGTTATGTTTTTAACTATTTTAAAAAAATTGTTATCATCCCTCAGCCAAAGAAAAAGAAAAAAATTTAAAAATTCATTCTCTGCTTTCCTCTTCTTCCCTCCTATACTCCAAGGCCTTAAAATATTCCTTTTTTTTGTTGTTAACTCCAAAATTCCAAAAATATTTTGTCCATAATCTCTCTAGTTTTGCTGAATAATATTTTAGAAATATTTTTGGCATATCTACAAATCATTGAATCATAGTTGTAATCTCTTTCTCTGTCACTCATGCAACCAAGCCTTGGCTAATTTTCTGAAACCACTCATATTTTTTAATGGATTTAAAAATTCCTTAAAAAAAAAAAATAATAAAGTTTATTCCACTAAACAAAACCTCAAAGTGTAAAATTGTCAGAGAATTCATCTGTAACTTTAAAGTAACGGTTAATACTGATGGTATAGCACAAAATAGACGTACACTATTAGAATTGTGTTCCTGAATAGAAATAAAGATGAGATTCCTTAAAAGGTGGATTAAAAATCAACGGCCAAGGTGAAGCATATTTTCACAAGCCATACTCATCTCATGCATGCCTGCATGAACTCATTGACACTCAACAATTCGAAACTCTTTGTATTAAGGAAAATGTCAAAATGATACAATTTGATGGAGAATCACAAAGTTGAAAGCATGCGTCGTACGTGTCAACAGCATTTGAACACGTTGCTGGATTATATATGATTTTATTTCAAAATATTTTTATACAAAGTAACAAAATCACTCGCTTACACCTACACGTCTGGTGTCTGAACAAGGTGGAGTGCAAGAATTCATACGTCTACTAATTTGTTTCAACTTTCTAAAAATGTTAAAATATCCAACCACAATTTTTCTTTTAATGGAAAATTTCAGGAGAAAAAACCGGTGTTTTGCGTGTTTACCAAATAAAAATTGCGTCTAATTCACAAGACCATGAGCCACTAAACTTGTTTTTACCATCATATGATTAATATACATTGCATTGTAGATTTTTAATCTATTTTCTACGTTTTTTTCTTATCTATCTACCTCTATCTCGAGTAGTCCGAAAATGTTTGTGCGTTCCATATTCAATTCTTCATTGTTCGAAACTTTTGTGCCTCTATTTTATGAATATCGCTGCTCGTTTGTAACCAGACGAGAGATCTCATGTTTTAGTTTTTAAGAAAGACTATGTATATAGAGTACACAGCTTTGGAAGCACTTTACACTAGGCTATATTCTATGGTGGGGTATGATAAATCTAAAAAATTATTCCGGAAACACAGATTACCTGAATTTGGCATCTACTTATACCACAACTCATTTACGGTACTATAACTTAGTGGATCACAGCGAAAAAACAAATTTTGGGGGGTGAAGGAAAAAGAAAGAAAGAGATTTGTGGGCGTGATAAATAAAGCTCAGGTGGTCAGGAGTCAGGAATACATAACTCACTTAGCTCTTCTCTATCTATCTCTCTTGTATTTGATAAGTAATATAGTGTGGGATAAAAAAGCTACAAAATGATCGAGCAAATATGTGAAATATGGAGAGAAATGAAGGGTATAACGGCAATGGTGGTGGTTCAGATAGCTTCGGCAGGATTGAACATTTTGTTCAAGCTTTCCGTGGAAGATGGTATGAATCCAAGAGTTCTCGTGGCTTATCGTCTCTTCTTCGCTACACTTTTCATGTTTCCCATGTCCTTCATCTTTCAAAGGTTTCTTTTTGTATTTATGTATGGAATTTATTGATATTAATAACTTTGATTAAATTTTCTCGTTTATTTCTTGAACTCCATGTGATCGATTAGGAAGAAGAGGCCAGAGTTCACATGGAGACTACTCTTACTAGCTCTTCTCTCGGGAATACTCGGGTACGTAAATTGTCACAAAAAAAAGAGCTGCTTCTCAAACTCTCTATATGTATTTTCAGACTGAAACTCTTTTCCTTTTTGTTTCTTTTGTTTCCCAATGCTATATTTATTCATGTCTTGCCAAACTACAACCATTTATTTTGTTTTTTCTTTCTATTGAAATTGAACAAGAAAGATATATGGTTGGAGTGTTACACAAGTTCAATGAACACTTAAAAATCCGAATATTCCTATGTTCAATGATCTATAGATATGCAAACCTCTTTTTCAAAAATATATAGCCTCTAGGTTGATGCAAACCTCTTTTTCAAAAATATATAGCCTATGTTCAATGCTCTATAGATGCAATCAATCATTTAGCAAAAAAATAAACCTCTTTAATCAATAATATCAACCAGAGGCTTTACATTTTTAAAACTACATGTTCCAAAAACATAGTAGACTAAGTTTAGGCTGAAACTATTTGTTAATAAAAAAAAAATATATTAACTAAAATGAAAAGAACAATCAGATAAATATACACTGGATATGTAAATAACTTTCTGATAAATTGAACCAGTGCGGTGCTACCAACTCTCTTAACGGTTACGGGTCTGGCTCTAACGTCAGCAACATTCACCTCCGCCGCCGGAGTTCTCACTCCCTTGATCACTTTCATCTTAGCTGCACTTCTTAGGCAAGTTTCATTACTTAAAATGACAGTTTTTAAAATGTTTTAAGCTATTTATAATCAATTTTTAATATGGTGGGTCACATATATAGGATGGAGAGTGTACGGCTTGGATCGAGCGAAGGGAAGGCTAAGGTTGTTGGGACAATGCTTGGTGTTGGTGGAGCTCTTGTCTTTATATTCTACAGAGGAAAAGCCATTCATCTATGGTCAACTCACGTTGACCTTGTGAATCAAACAAGTGATTCTACCACCCACCACATTTCCTTCTTCGGCGCTCTTCTAGTTTTTGGCGGTAACCTTTCCTACTCACTTTGGCTACTTTTGCAAGTAAGTGCTAATTTTTCAGTTTTCCTCTCCATATGTGTGTATATTGAAGCATATAGTTTGGTTTTGGATTAAACGGATTCTAGATGTACTTCGCAGCCCTTATATGCATATCATACAAAAACTACTTTATGATATGACTAGACAATATCAAAGGCCACATGGCTTGCTTATGTGTTATTCTTTTTTCTTTGGTCAAACGGTTTTTATTTATGTGTCATCTAAAGAATAATTTTACATATAGATAATATCAGATGGTTCACTTTCATTATGTTGTAAGAATTTTGGTTTACAATTACAGGTTAAGATAGGCAAAAAATTTGGAGGGCCTTATTGGAATGCAACACTAATGAACATGATGGGAAGCATAGTTGCTGTGATTCTCGCTCTTAGCTGGAATGTAGATTGTAAGGAATGGAGATTAGGATGGAACATCAGACTCTTAACTATAGCTTATGCGGTAATTATCAATCCATCCATTATCCATATATATTTTACAAGGATCTTGTTGGTGTAACACATTCATGTGGTTCTTGAAGTATATATGACTTTTGTTTGATCCGGTCCATTACATTACAGGCAATTGTGATTTCCGGGATGGTTGTAGCGGTTAACGCATGGTGCATTGAGTCTAGAGGGGCATTATTTGTATCGGTATTTAGTCCTATAGGACTTGTGATCGTAGCACTTGTTGGATCATTTGTTCTAAATGAAATACTTCATTTGGGGAGGTACAAATCAATAAAGCTCATGTATATTGTATTGTTTTGTGTAAATGGATATGATGATGTATATAATGGTTTATTTTCTACTTTGGCGAAATTACAGCATAGTTGGTACCGTGATTATCGTGGGAGGATTATACCTTGTGCTATGGGGTAAAAACAAGGAAATGAAGAGTATCAATCCAACAACTGATCATAATGAAACAAATAAGACTAGCAAAGACATCACCCTCAACAACCTCCCCACATTAAGTACAAATGTTCCTTGAGAATCCACATACAACTAATCAACTAATAATTATAACTATCATTTATACATATGTTATTGGTGTGTACTAGTGTTACGTTAGACGACGATTTCTTGTATGTAAGTTATGATGTGTCTTTGTTACTACCACATTAAATTAAAAACTCGATGTTTCTAATTCTCCGATTATATTTGTATCAAACAATACAAAATTGTAAGCTTTTCATTTAAAAAAAAAAAACATTAAATATCCGAGACATTTAACATCAATCATATGGCATATTTTGAACACAATCTGTAATGACAAGCATTATTTTAGTCTCCAACGCTTCAAATCCTTCTTTGATCGTCTTCCCAAGATCTGACGCTACTATATTGCAATTTTCTTTACTCGCACTCAAGATATTCTGCTTCGCTATCATGATTTCCTGTTTCATGGTCTCTTCACATTGTTTGCTCGCATCATGGATCGTCTTCTTATACTCTTCCTCTGCTTCACCACAATCTTTTTGAATCTTCATATCCGTGATCTCCTTCTTCATATCTATGTTCTCCTTCTTCAAATCTGTGATCACCTTCTTCATATCCTTCATCTCCATCTTCATATCTGCCATCTCCTTCTTCACAATCATCATCTCCTTTTTAATTTCCTGCAAAAAATCGGTTGCATCCATTGTAAGGGTTTTTACTTTGCTGACTCTCTAATTCTCTCTTCCCTCTTCTCTTTGTTATTCTTTTCTCTCTATTGTTCTCTTTGCTCTCTGATGTTTAGGACGATATTTGAATGAGAAAGTATGCCTCCTTATATAGCCAAGAAGCCTCTGTAATTTCCATTTTGCTTATGGAAACTTTCTCTTTTTCCTTGTTTCCTATTTTGTTAGGCAACGGTCAAAACAGAACAAAAAGGAAATAGTACATTATTGGGCCGATAATGGGCCGTTGAAAACAACTTATTTGCTAAACCTACACCTTTGGTCGTAATTTGATTCTCCAAGCATCATCATCCATTTGATTCTTTGATTCGTACAAGACAAATTTACTAAAGATTCGCAAGTTAACATAAGCAGAGACCATAAGACACCGTCCTAGACACATAAAAGGAATAACTCATTCGTATAGGCTTCGTCTGACTCTTACCTCTTCTTGAAATCATGTACACGTATTTTTATATATAAATTAAAGTGCATATATTTAGACCCTAAACCTCCCCAAAAAAGAGAAAAATTTCCACGTAAAGAAATGACATCTGAGTATCGTCCAAGAGTTATTGTGAATGGAACAAGAAGAACAAGAACGTTCCATTACTTCTATTGCCGTCATTGTAGCCGTACCATTAGGCTCCAAAACTATGGTCTATATGGTCCTTTATGTCCTTTCTGTTCTAGAGAGATCAATCTTCACGACGAGCTTGACATTATAAGGCTAAACCGACCTTATTGGGATACCGATACCGATTGGATCACTCTCCATCTTATCAACCCACCGAGAGGTACCCGGTTCAACCATGAACAAGTTAATCATACCGATGATGAATTCGCTGATGTCATGCCTAACGAACCGGTCGGTCCAGCACCGGCCTCAATATCCGCCATCGAGGCTGTAAAGACGGTGACGATCTCGGTAGATGATTTGGCGAAGGAGAAGGTTTGTGCGATTTGCAAAGAAGAGTTTGAAGTTGGAGAAGAAGGGAAAGAGTTGAAATGTTTGCATTTGTACCATGCAAGCTGCATTGTGTCTTGGTTGAATATTCATAATACTTGTCCCATTTGTCGTTTTGAGGTTAACTTAGGCGTTTCCGATAACAACATAGACGAAGAAGGCTCTCACCGCGTCCACAATGATCGAACAGATCGGGTTCGGACTAGGGTTTGTTCTTTGTGGCCTCTCCGAATGTTGTTTGGTTGGGTACATAGTCTCCTCGGTAAGATCCCTCCTCCTGATCCAACTTTCATGGCTTTTCTACTATGCTTTTATGTTTTCTAATTATAACTCTTTAAGAAAAAATATTGCAGATATATGAAAATTAAGGAATTGCGAACAAGAATATAATGTATGAAAGTAGTTATGAGCTTAAAGAAAAACATGTCAAAAAGAAAAACAGAATGGTTAGGATATGAAAAAAAATTATAAAGAGGCTGACTAGGGTTAAAGACTAAAGGAGGCGATTATGGAACATTTCGTGAAAAACATATCAGGATTATGTTTTTAAATGTAATCATTGACGAATAATTATCTTTATTCGTTTGTAAGTTGTAACACATGTAAATTAAAATCTTGGTGAGAAATTTTTTAGTTGGACGATCAATATAGTTGATGAAATAAGACAATGCGAGAATGATTACGAAAAGGACAACACACTCAAGCGTAACACAATGCCCAATAACGAAATCGTCAAAATCGTATCTTTTAAACAATCGTCCATCATCCAACTTGTACTAAGAGATAACAATTTCCATACTCATATAAAATTATAAATACCCCCATGCACCGTTTATGTTCTTGCAACACTACAAACTAACAAAATCAATAAAGCTTTGCAAAAAGAGATAAGAGAAGAAAAAAAAATGGTGAATACGAAAAATGTATTTTTGCTTTCCATGGTCTTAATGGCTTCATTATCATCTTTTTCCCACGCCCTTACACTTAACGGCCTCCTAATAAACGTCGTCCAAGTAACGGGTGTCCTACGTTGTTCCCTTAACGGAAACCTAAACGCTCCTCCACTCTCGCGTGTCACCGTTCACTTAGCATGCGACGGCACTGACATAGCCCAAACCGTCACAGACCAAGCCGGAGCAGTCGCCATCACGAACACACTCCCCTCCGGGAATAACTTCGATCTACAAAGATGTCTCGTTAGGGTTTATCTTCCGGTAGCCTCCTGCTCAGTCTTCCCGCTCAATGGTGTCCTCACAGCTCCCCTAAGCCTGGTTCACGTCATCCCGTCAACTCTAGGAAATGTAGCCTGTCTGACCATTGGATTCGTACGTCTTGGATGATCCACTTACACCTACACACCCTTGTTTACCTGCATAAACACTTTTATTAAAAAGCTTATTTCATTTCTCGAACTTGCATGGATGTTGTTTCTTTTTACATTTATCTGTTGTTGGTGAAAAAAAAAAGTGATGCATATATATATGCACCAATTACCACAACAATTGTAAGCCCTCTTCTGTGTATTTTTTGTTTTTCAATCAAAATAAAAAACATTGGCTTAGTAATAAAGCTAATTTTAATCCTTCTAGGTTGATCCCGAGGTTAATTTTTAAAACCTCTTTTAATTTGTTAAGTGTTTTTCTCTTAAGTGATATATATATATATATCCAAGTCAAAATCAAACATGGACAAAAAGTCACAAAACCAAATTTTCTTAGAATTTTTCTGAATAAAACCAAAGACCAGTATGAAACCAAAATGGTATATCAAGTTGATCCATACCATAGTGACCATTAAATTTCGAACTTGGATTTATATTGATGTTTTCTTTCTAAAAAAACAACTACAGTGTGATTTCATATACAGTGTGACTTTAAGATTATTGTTTATTTCTCTCAAATATTTAATGTTTTACTAAGTTGAAAATTTTAAAATTATTTTCACATTTGATTTTCTCAAATCCTGCTAACAGATATGATTTGATTTGTGTAACAACAAAGGATAAAAATCAAACTGGGCCAGAATTACAGGCCCAAAACTAAAATAAACCCAAACATTACCTAACCCCACACGCGCGGACATCGAAACGACGGTGCCTCTTCATCATCTCAAAATCACTTCCATCTCAAAATTCAAAATCACTCGACTTTCGTCTCAACATCGATCTCTTCACAACAGAATCAGAATATCTCTCCAACGTATCTAGGGTTTCTGCTATTCACACGACGATCACAGAATCAGCTACTATGGTGAGAATTTCTGTGTTTCCGATATCGTAATTTCAAAAACCCTAATTCACTTTTGTTTGTTCCCTCTGCGATTGCGTTGTCTCTGGTTTCTGAATGTGTTACTGATTCGATTCGATCAGGGAGGTGAAGGAGAAGATCTAGAGCCACTTTTCGATTATCACCGTGTTCAGCCAGCGAATTTCGTTTGCATTGACGACGGTGAGTTTCCAGTTAATTGAATTTGGCGACGTAGCTCGATTATACAAAAGTGTGAATTCTTCTAATTCCTCCTTCTCGCTTGATGTAGACGACGATTCCGATGTCTCGGAGGTGCCTATTCCGAAGAAAGCCAAAACTTCCCAAAAAGTAAGTATTCAATCTTCATGATCGTCTGTGAATTTCAAGTTTTGATAGAGGAGAGGACTTAGGGATTTGGAAGAGTTTGAAAAAGTGTTCTTTGATTTACTTTTGGGTTTGTTTATGGTTCTTAGTAGTTAATTGTGATCAACGAATCCACAATTTAGACTATTTTCTTCACAATTCACAGGTTGCAAAGGAAGATGAAGAAGTGAAAGTCATTGAAGTGGCGGCAGATGATGATTGGCTTCTTCCTCCTCCTAAAGTCATCTTCAATAAAGAGTCTGGTGAAGATTCCACCATTAAAGCATTGAGGTAGTTTCTTATTTCGAGTAATTCTTGCTATTAGAAGCTATAATCATCTATGCAAGAATGTTGTTTTTGCTAATCCACAAAGAGTCTTCATTGTTACACTTTTGAATACAAAAATTCTTTAACTGTAATGTGCAATGTAGGTCGAAGAAGATGGAGCTCTTGTCATTCACAAAAAACGTAGCAAACGTGATGCAGGAAGTCGAGGAGTCTGCTAAAAGAGAAGTTGAAGTATCACTAAGACCACAACTTTCAGAGGCTGATGATACTCAGGCACAACCAGAACCAGTGCCTAATGACCGAGCCAAGATTGTCATTACTATACAGGATAAGAAAGAACAGAACAAATTTCGGGTGTATGCGGTAAGTTTTTTTTCCACTACTTATGATTACAATCACACTCGCTAACATCCATATAGCTGCTTTCTTGGAAAAGGATAAGTATTTGAGAAGTGTCTAAGGGTCTTAAGAGGTTTAGTTGATGAATCTTTAGCGAAACCTCTCTATTTGTGGTTGGTTTCAGAATTCAGACTTTGATTAGGAAATATACACATATAATGGATATTGCTGGCTCTTGGTCATGTACATTGAGCTGCAGATTATGCTTTCTTTTGTTATCTCTGATTAGTGAAGCTTCTAATCCCTGAGGTTTCATAGAGATGCTGTCACAAGTCTAGTAGAATATGCGTTTTTGTTGTTTGTCTCCTGTTAAAAGCTTGTGATGCCTTTTGTATATGCTGATGTTGTGATTTTGGTATCTTGTAGGATGAGAAGTTTGAGCGGCTATTCAAAATGTATTCGGATAAAGCTAACCTTGAGCCGCAGAATCTTGTATTTATATTTGACGGTGACAAGATTGATCCATCGACAACTCCTTCTAGTCTTGAGATGGAGGATGGTGATATGATTGAAGTGCACCCCAAGAAGAGATGACAAAACAGGTTTGAAAACTGATGAAAAAGTCCTCATCTTTCTTTTCTTTTTTGTTGTTGGTCTTGTTATTGAATATTATGAATGCTCATTATCTTGGATTCGATTTGATTCAAGTCAGGATCTAGCTAGACTCGGTGTTGAAGCTTCTAATGGATACTTCACTGTCAAGTTTTGCATAAACCAGAGTTTGTACATGAACATGGGGCATGGAAGAAGGGTTCTCTGCTAAAGACTCTGGTGTTGTATCCTTCTCAATTTTTTGGATTATTTTTTCTTGTTTTCGTTTATTTCTTTCTTTCTTTCATCGGTTAGATAACAGATTTAGTCTTTTGGTTTACTAGTCTTTTTGTTTAGGAGTGTTCAATATATAGATAAACCGAACCATTTTGATCTAAACCAAACCGGAAGAATCCAATCTGAAAACCAAGCTGAACTTCAGATTGGTGCTTTTTGTATCTCATGAAAAATTTCAATCGAAGCTTAGTTTGTTACGAAAATGAAAAAAACAGTATTTAGACATAAATTTCAATTTCTAAAACAAAATCAAAGCTAATCTTTTACTGCTCTATTGTGTATCCACTTGGTTACTTTAAAACTCCATAACAACTTACAAAAACTTGGCCAAATCAACACCTGATCCGGTAATGAAGTGTATTTTTTAACCAAATATAGCCATACACTTCGGTTTAAGTCGGTTAAGTGTATCTATTAATTACAAGTTACGATTCTGTTTGGTCCGGGTTCGCTACAACACGTGTCGTACACTAATTGGTTAGGAGAAGGTAAGCTTAAGGATGATGGGTCGAGAAAGAAGCTGTCACAGTGGAACATACGTCCGTGGCTTCTCCATATCTCACGTGCATTAGGATAACGTAATCACCAATTTGTAGGTCCCATATAAATCTACGTGGCTTAGCCACGTCAGCGTAACAAACAAGAAAGAAAATAAACCAAAACCGATGGATTTTATCAGATAGGAAGTTCCTAAAAACAGAGAAAGCTGTGTCACGAAATCTCTCTTGCTTTTTTAGTAACAAGAACATAACTCTCTCTCTCCCTGGTAATTTTTCTTCTCTGATTCGTTCGATCTGTGATCTCTGATTTATAGACTTAACTTTTGATAATTTTTTATATGTAACAGGGACGAATCTTTTCATATGTTATGGATTTTGGATAAAAGAAAATAATTGAGAGAAAATGGAAAGATTTTGCGAGTTTTGTAAAGCGTATAGAGCAGTGGTTTATTGTATAGCAGATGCAGCAAATCTTTGTTTGACATGCGATGCAAAAGTCCACTCAGCTAATGCACTCTCAGGACGACATTTACGCATGCTTTTATGCGATTCTTGTAAAACTCAGCCTTGTGTTGTTCGATGTTTGGAGCACAAAACGTTTCTATGTAATGGTTGCGATGAAAAGGTCCATAATATTGCTTCCTCTAAGCATCATAGACGAGACGTGAGCTGTTACACGGCTTGTCCTTCTGCTAAAGATTTCGCTGTTATGTGGGGTTTTCGAGTTATGGATGATGATGATGATGATGATGTTTCATTAGAGAAGTCTTTTGCAATGGTTAAACCTAAGGTTTGAATGTTTTTTTTTGTATATGTTTTTGAGGTTTTGTAGATGAATAGATGTTGATTTTGGTGAGGTTTTTAGGTGCAAAGAGAAGCTGGTTTTATCTTGGAGCAGATTCTTGAATTGGAGAAGATTCAGCTCAGAGAAGAGAATAGTAATCTGTCTATGAAAGAACAAGCTGATGATCTCTCTCCATTGGAGCTTCCGAAGCAAACCGAAGATCGGTTAATCGATCTTCCACAAACCGGGAAAGAGCTGATTGTTGATTTCTCACACTTGTCTTCATCTTCTACACTTGGTGATTCCTTTTTGGAATGCAACAATCAGGTTTGGTTAGTTATAACAACATCATACATTAAAGTCTTTTGTGGAACCAACGATAAGCTCTGTTTTCTTCAGCTGTTGTGGCATCAAAATCTACAAGACATTGGAGTTTGTGAAGATACAGTTTGTGATGATGATGAATTCAATATACCTGACATTGATCTCACTTTCAAAAACTTTGAAGAGCTTTTTGGAGCTGATCAAGATCCAATTAAAGATAGTAACAACAACATCTTATTCGTTGGAACATCAGCTCTCAAATCACATGAGGTTGTGAAAAACTAAAGAATCATTCTAGCTTTTTACTAATTGTTTTGATATTTCCTTGTTATAACCTAAGGTCTCTCTATCTTTTAATGTGTATTCAGGTGAATATATATTCTTCACCATTCAGTAATTCCATATATTCACCTAAACAAGCTTCATCATCTATTCCATTCTCAAGATCCAATGGAGGAGGAAGCAGCGAAACACATTACCCTCACAATCACTCAGAGAAAGTTATCTCTTTTTGCTCCCCTCTCACTAACAAAGCCAGACAAAACGCAATCTCAAGGCTCAAGGAGAAGAAGAGAGCAAGAATGTAAGTATTAACATTTACTCTTCCCATTAAAGCTATACAAAAAGAGTATTTTTTTTAACTTTATCATAGTGTCATTTTGCATTTTCTTGATTCAGAGAGGAGAAACAGGCTTAGTATGGTCCCAAGAAAGCAGAAGAACATATCTTTCTTCATCACAATGGCTTTGTATATAAGACACTAATCTAGCATTTTGCAACTCTTTTTACATGATTAAATTTCTTGCATGTAATTGTGAATGAAGCCTAGACCTTGTTGATTATTTGTTTCACCATCCAAATTTGTAATCACTGCTTTGCACCTAATTCACCAGAATTTAACTTTATCCTTAATGTTAAAATCAAAAAGGTTACTTAACAAACAATGACATTGACGACAATGATAAGATAGGAACAGTGGAGAAATTGGAAGACTTGTGTTTACCAAAAACCATAATTGTTGTTATAGTTGTGATGAATAAGCTAAAACGTCTTTTTAAGTTATTTGATTATTAGAGAATTTAAATTGACCAATCTTATCATTTCAGAATAATCTTCAAAATCAAGCAATTAGTTGAAACAAATGATTCTCTAACCATAAACTGGGCCTTGTTATTACTACTTCCAGCTACTAAAGACTTCTTCCTACTTATCATTGTCAAATAAAGAACATTTTGCTCTTACTATCTACATCAAAATACTTTAATATTTATATGATTATATCAAATAAGTTACATAAAAACTATAACCGTAATTATAGCTTAAGACTTTAACACTGGTTTGGTTGATCTTGAAAGTGAGCATCTTTTTTTTACCAGAGGTGGTTTTTTCTGTTACTTTTTCTAACAACCAACCACATTTTTTCTTTAATTAAATCTTTTTTTTAAATGCATAATTTCCCTCCAAAGAGACGGCGAGCAAAACCCAGGCATGTATAAATAGCCACTATCTCTCTCTCTCAAAGCTACTCTCTCTTTCTAACTTGGAATCTCTCTCTCTAGAAAGAAAATTTTCCTCTCGAATTTTCTCGGCAGTTTCTCTCCATTTTCTCGGTAGTCGAACGAAGTTCTTCTCAACTTCAGGTAACTTTCTATTGCTTTAGACCTCAATTTTCTCCCGATCTTCTGGTTTTGTTCATACGAATTTGATTATCCCTCTCTCGAAATCTAGATCTGATTTCGGTTATTTTCCGTGATTCCATGAATTTTCTTCGTTATTTTCCGCGATTTGTTGTGTAAACGAAAACGATGAATATGTACGGCGGATTTCGAATTCCGATTCTCATTTGCTTGAAGTAATTTCATATACGGTTGTTTAATTCCTTCGCGAGATGTTTACTTGTTCGATTAGATGCAGAAACTTCCGATCTCTCTGTGATTTCTTTCGAATCGATAAACTCAAATCCTTTTTTCCGCGATTTTGAAACAGAACCGCCGAAATTTCACCGGGAAAGTAGAAATGGAAAACGAAATCGCGCCGTTTACTTACAGTGGCAGCTCCGCCGGCGTCTTTGGAATGAGGAATTCACACGGAGAGCAATCCGGTGGTGGCAGCGTCGGCTCGCCTACTCTCTTATGCGACCGATTCATCAACTCCAGTCGCAGCGTTATGCAGCAGCAGCGCCAGGATATGGTGAATCGCGAGGCGTTGTGCTACACGCGCCTCCAGGAAGCCGCGCTGGAAGCGAAAGTCCTCCGTCTAGAGAACACCGAGCTCCGATCGATGAATCTCCACCTCAAGAAAGAGCTCAATCAGCTGATCCGATCCTCGATTCAGAGCCGCTTGGACTACGACAGGGTTCCGCTTCGGATGCTCAGCAACCTCTCGATCGGAGGGAATCGCGACGCCGCCGCCGACGACGTGGAGAATCAGAACAATCAGAACCGCGCGGTTAATCAGAACCGTAACGCCGATGAGGTTAGCGATGAGAGTCCGACGAGCGTTATTGAGAACGAGGATCAGATTCAGAACCGTTCGTCGCTTCCGAAGAGCATCTCCGTCAGATCCAGCGGTTACTCGAAGGCGAGCCAGGGAGGTGTTGCGGCTGCTCAATCTGGAAAATCTCGCGGAGCTATGCCTAAGCCTGGGTCTTGCGGTCAACAACACAACTCGACGGTAACCATTTCTTCTTTGCTTTCTTGATTACTATGGGATCTTGAGGAGAATCATTGCTGGAGTTAGAGTCGATTATAGGAATAATTTTGGTTTTACTGTTTCGGAAAGTTGCTAATCACTGAGAATATAGATTGATACTGCTGAATTTGACCTGCGTATGTGATTTCAATCTGCCTTCTTTGAATGTCAATGATTCCACAGTGTTGGTAACAAGTGACTTGTTCTGAATTTATCTCTGCTTGTGATGTTTATGCATTTGTTGGTGTTGGTTAAAGATCATTCAAGTTTAGATTCTTGAGCAGGAGAAAGAAACAAAAGAAGAACTTTATTGATGATGCTTGCTTTAACTGAAGTCTGAATTATAGATGTAAAGAGTTAATGCTGATGAATGAAGCGTCATGAATGTATGAAATGCAGGAAAAAAAGTAATATCTGAGGAGTCTTTAGTTAGTGGTTTGTATAGGAACAATTTGGTTTAGTCTTTTGAGAAATCTTTGGTTAACTGTTGAATCTGAGCTGCAGATATGATTCTTGATGATACCAAATCCTCTGTATTCCTCTGCTTTCTTTGAATTAATGGTGTACGGACTAATGATGGTGATGAATGAATGGAATGAAAATGCAGCAGAAGGTGTTTGTTCGAGGAGGGAAGAAAGAAGAGGAGGAGGAGATAGAAGTGGAGGTGTACAATCAAGGGATGACGAAGACGGAGCTGTGCAACAAGTGGCAAGAGACGGGGACGTGCCCATATGGTGACCATTGCCAATTCGCTCACGGCATTAAAGAACTCCGCCCAGTGATCCGCCATCCTCGCTACAAGACTGAGGTTTGCAGGATGGTTCTTGCCGGTGACAACTGTCCTTATGGTCACCGTTGCCACTTTCGTCACTCGCTAACTGAGCAAGAGAAGCTCGTTGCTTCTGGTTACAAGCCCAAGTCCTCCTCCTCCTTCAAGCTTCTCAAATGACCACAAAAAGGTTTGAAGTTCTTACACCTATAATTGAACAGTACTATACTCTATACTCTATACGTACAGAGAGAGATATTGATAGCTATTCGAAGGATATTGGCATATATAGCATTTGGTAAAAAACAGAGGTGAATAATGTGCACTCGTAAGAGAGTGTTAGAGAAAACTCTTTGAGACAAAGTGGTTGTTTGACATTTTTTTGTTGATTGTTCTGAGACTTGAAATACAAGGAACATTTGCCGGTTATTCAGATGATTGTTTTGTTAATACATCGAAGATTTCTAAGCCTTTTTGGCTACATGCATTTATTGTTGAAATAGATTCTTCACCAATGTGCGCAAAACAGAGGAAGGTTAAATTTTTTTTGAAGGAGGGCTTATATAGAGGTCTAATTCATGTCGACCTTAGAAGATTTAATCACAAAGGAAAAATGTACATGTCTAATATCAATGTGCGCTAGGAATCAGTGTCATGTATAAACGCATTTTATTTGAGTTTTTCTTTTTTCTTTTTATATTTGTAAATTTCTTAAGTTTTCTATATGCTTCATGTATACTTTCACTTGGAGCATATAGTACTAGACATGTCCTGCCGATAAAAAAATTGCAGTTAAAATTGATAGGAACTAATGATCATTAAAGGATCTACAATAGATAATCAAATGAAAACAAGATTTCTTAGTTTTAGCGATGAGTTTTTTTTTTTTTTTTTTTTTTTACCGATCAATATAGAGATGGATATTTTTGTTAAATGAGATGGTTGGAAGCCCTAAATCTAATATTATTTCTTGCGATTTTGGGATAGCTTAGTTTCAAACTTCCTTTTGTGGCCGGAATCTTGTTGCTACTACTATAGTACGTGGTACAAACTTTTGGCGACGAAGTTTTTCTGTTGTCACTCCGATATTATTTTCTGCATGTGGTTATGATCATTTTACCCGTAATTCGTTATGTGTTCGAAATTTTATGACAGTAAGTGATACTCATCACCAAATTTAGCTCGGTGTATATTTATTTGTAGTGAACCAAAGAGAGAGTAAGATGACATGCTTCCGCCGCAAACAACTCATAAGTATTACCAAGCTGATCCCAGCCTATAAAGACTATACCAAAAGTCCGAAACATTCTTATTTTTTTTGTAAAAGAAGTCCGAAACATTCTTGTAAACAAAAAAAGTACGATGTTTTATTCATTAAGCAAATTCGTATGAAACATTGACAAAACAACGAGGAAACCAGCTTTTATATTTTCCAAGCATAACCAAATAGGCAAATACCAAAAGCACGAGAAAACAAACTTTTTTTTTCCTTACTTGATCAGAAGCAACAAAAAGCAAAATCACATGCACGTGCCACTTTTATTTGATCTTTCTTCCATTTTATTCAAAGGATAGAGTGGACGAAATTGCCGGTGGTGAAATTAGCGATGTTGCCGAGAGCGGTCTGAATGATACTGACAAGGTTTAAGGACGCGGTGAGGGCTCCGTCGGGCGGGAAAACTGAACACGTGGCAACAGGGAGATTAACCCTGATGAAGCACGTGGCGGGATCAAAGAAGAAGGTATCAAGAATCTTCACGACGACGACGAAGACTCCTGCTGGATTAGTCAAGGCTTGACCAATATCTGTGTTTTGTCCGGCGCATGATAGCTGGACAATGGCGCCGGATAAGGGAGGGCTGTTTCCGATGAGGTTTCCGTCAAGGGAACAGAACAAGACGCCGTTAATTCTGATTGACCCGATACGGAGCCCATTAAGTATGAGTCCGTGTGTGGAGGATGAAAATGAAGCTATGAGAAGGATTGTGATAAGGAAAGTAGACTGGGATGTCTTCATGTTTAAGTGTGCTTCAAAGGATGTAGCTATGGAGAGTTTATATATAATGCTTCGTGAGTGGTTTTTTTACAATTTCATAGTAGATGAGGGTCTATTTTGTAATGAATGAATGAATGATTTAATGTACCTCACATCACTTGCCTATTGATGACATGCATTCACATGACGTCCAATACAAATAATTCAGCTTTTGTTATGACACACATTTGTAAACTGTAATAAGCAATATTTTTCGTAGCTAATTTTGTCGATGTTAATATTAGTTCTTCTCTTGTTTGACTTTTTAAGTCTTTCTTTTCGATCTTTAATCCATCACTATTCTCAATTACAATAGTTTTAACAGATGTTTCTTACGTAATTATGGCAGATTGGACGATAGATTTAATGTTTAAATGTATCACTAATTTTTCTTTTAGTTGGCAGTTAGCTTTTTGACAAAAACTCATGTCACAAAATTTATTGATTTTCAATATTTTCAAGATTAATTGATTTACAAGATTTTAGATTTTCAAGATTGGAAGACTTATACAGTAATAAACTTATCGGGAAACCTAAATAATTTTCTTATATAAATACTCCAAGATAGTAACTCGCATCACTTAACCTTGAAATTTTGTAATGTAACTCAAGATTTCTTATTTTTAATGAACAGTATAACTAAACTATTAATGTTTCGAGGTTTTCAAGGTATGTTCCGTAGCGACTCACATTAACTTAATTAACAAAAAGAGATTGATGAATGATGATGTAATACGTAGTTTTCTCTTCGAGTATAAACAATTGTTTCACTAAGAAGAGAGTAGATAACTATGTTCTTGCTGACCTTAGAATCTGAAAGATAATGAAAAAAAATTGGTGAAACAAACAAAAAAAACTTGAAAACCACGAATTTTTAAAATGTTGTTGTTTTGGTGGGGAATATAACCGTTTTACGTAAGAAAGAGGCAACCGATCAGACACATATGCCTTATGATCGCGTAATGATCTCCGGGTTTCCTGGCAAATAGCCAAACTATTCATATCTTCTCAAAAATGCAACTAGGATGTAACAAAAAGGCAACAATTTTACTGTACTTTGTATCTATTATATATACTGCTTTCGTAATTCCCTTTGTATGCTCCTTTTCCAAAGATTTCAAACTCCTCCTCTTACCTGAAATTAGATCCCTATATCCAAATATGCAATCAATATATAAATTACAAAAATAAACACTTATGATATCAACATGAAAGAATTATAATCATACCTTAGATCTTGGTGTGGTCTGAAAACAGACTTTGGTTGTTTTCTTGGTGTTTTCTCTGTTTTTAAGAGAAAATACTTTCATTATACGGATAACCACTTCATTTTTTTACTCCAAAGCATTGTGATAGATACCTTAGATGTTGGTTGTAACAGAATGCTAAGGATTGTATTTTCATCACTTCCACTTGTTTCATTCACCTCTATAAAAGTAAACTTTATAATGAGATGTGAAACTCAAGATTAACAGCAACCTAAAACTATCCATAACCATAAAAAACCATGCTATGAAACTCAAGACTAACAACAGCCTATAACTATCCATAACCAACCATTAGAATCCAGAAGAGCATTCCATTACCTGGAATTGGTTGCATGTTGATCCAGTCAAAACTTTATGAAGAGCAGCTAGTAATAATATCAAATTTGAGATATTTTGATTCTCCCTATCCATCATCGTTTTTATGGAATATATATTAATTGTCTCTTTTTTTAGTAATTTTGATGAATCTGTTAAATTTATGAATGATAACATATGTTTGCTCCCATTTGAATTTTGCAATTTAAGGGTTATATGTAAAACATAATGACAATTTAATAAACAATACGTACATTAAACAGCTTTTACTTTTAACAAAATTCTTTTCAACATGAAAGGAAAATTGAAACAAAAGTTCTATTGATTGAAACTGCCGCATATCATAGGACAGCCTAGTTTTAGGTATTCTATCAATGGTTGGTAGAATAGAGATCAAATCTACATTTCGAGTGATAAAGAGGTAAAGAGGTCTCTGACATGTTGATGATTATTTGATGTTTGTTGCTTCGTGGGATCGAAAAGCTTCCTTAGCTATTCTTGAAATCAAAACTATTCCAGTTTGGGTCACCTTAAAAAAGATACCCAATATTATGTATTCAATTTCAGGAATCAACAATATTGCTTCTGATTTAGGTGCTCCTATGGCAACTTATAAACCCCTTTTAGATCCAATATTAACGGACCAAGCTAAAATATTAGTGGAGGTTGAGTTGAGCAAAGCTTTCCTGCAAAGAGTTGCTGCAAGTGATGAAGCTGGTTTTATTTCTATGGTGGATGTAGAATATACTTGGATTCCTACTAAATGTAGTAGATGTAATCAGCTGGGACATAAGGTCAAATACTGTTTAAAATCTGCCTGGGAGGAAGACAAAGTGCCTAGCTCTGTTTCTCATATATCTATACCAATCTTTGCAAGTCAAGCAACCACTCATGACCAGGCCAAAAGCAATGAGGTAACTCTCTATGAAATACTTGTTTCTCCAACTATTGATACAAACTCGGGAGATTTAATAATCTCAGCAACTAAGCCCGTATTAGAGGAGGCTTCTATTGATAGGACCTCTAACTGTGCATACGTCTAACAACAATTTGGATTCTAGTGATTCTCTTTCTTTGGAGACCACGCAATTTGTCTTAAACTCTGATTCTCCTACTTCTTTTGTTACTGTCCAATCCGAGAGTAAGCAGCCTAAACTTTATTTTGGTAACAATAAGTTTGCCTCTTTGGTCTCTGGTGGAGGGGAAGAAGATTCCTCCGATGTGATGGATCTTATGAGTTATGACGCCTCCAGGGAAGAGAATCATTCAAGATAGACCCGTTAAACCTTCAATAAAAGCTCAAGAGAGTATTTGGCAAGTCAAAGAAGGCGGATGAGGAAACCAAGGCCGTGGAAGAGGAGGGAGTGGCTAGCTCACACAATTTTCCGAGGCTATAATTTCAATTGAAGTGGAAGATTCGATTGTATTTGATGCTTCAATGCATCCTAGCTAATTAATGTTGGTGTATCAATTCTTCCGTATGGCAGAGTGGCAAGATTAATGTGCAGATTAATTAGTGGATCCTATATGGAGTAGCTAGGTGCCTAGGTCCATATACATTCTAATAAAGAAGAGAAACATAATTCTTGCAAATTAAACAAATTTCATGTAAATGTGCACTGTGAATCTATGACTAAACTATTGTGCCCACAAGTTGTTTCTTCCAAATCAGTACATAAATTTAATTCCAAGACTTGGTTAGTTGGTTAGATCGACATACGTACAATACAATTCAAAGAAAAATGTAATTTATAATGTTGTCTGTAAAAACGACATGTGATTTATTTTACTGATTCGAATAAAAAAACTCATTGAAATAAATGGCGTTAAATTGGAGGCCCTTTTTTTATTGGAAATATTTTTTGAAAATTTGGAGGAAGGGAAAAAAAAACGTTACAGAGCAGAGGAGGAGGAAATGAAATCTCTGATGGAAACAAACAGAGTTTTACGCTTAGAAGGATCGAAGATCTCAGCACCGTGAGCATCGCCGTCGGTAAATTGCTCCACCACTTCCACTCCCTTCTTCTTCATCAACTTCGCAACATCTCTCTGCCGATCTATCATCGGATCTCCATTTCCTCCACTCACCAGCACCTTCCATCTCAACCGTCCAAATTTCTCCGATCCATCCGCCACCGTCGGATTCGAATACTCATGATCCCGATCAACGCCGACGGGGAGACAGAGATCCCAGAAAACGTCCGTGACTACAGGCGGGCAAACCTGATCGTTCACAAGTTCAATCTCAGATCCGCATCGCTCTTCACCGCCGAAGAAGGGATGGTGCAGAATCAATCCACGGATCTGTAACGGAATCAGATCGCCGGATCTTAACCCGACGTTGTAAACCAAGTTCCCGCCGGCGCTCGTTCCCATGAGGAACACATTGGAGAGATCGGCGTGAGATTTGATCCACTCGTCGTCGGAGTTTCTGATCCATTCCAGCGCCTCCACTCCGTCGTCGTACGCCGCCGGTAATCTGTGCTCGGGAGCTTAGCCGGTACGAAGGAGATGCGACGATGACGTTGAGGTCACGCGCCATCTCGGAGCAGAAGTCGTCGCAGACTTGGAGGTCGACGCTGCAGAGGACGAAGCCTCCGCCGTGGTAATAGACCACGAGAGGGAGTTTTGCAGACGAAACGACGTCGGGGAGGTAGAGACGCATCCACGTTGACTTTGACTCGTTCACGGAGACGTCTTTGGAGACGACCGGGTTTAGTGGGGAAGGATCCGGTGTGGCTGGGACGCACGGGAAGTTGGTGAGGTCGCGAGTGATGGAGCCATCCGGATTTTTTACGATGTTGAGATAAGCGTATGGATCGGAGATTGGAGATTGATTGGACATTTTTTTGTGGTCTTTGGAATGTGTGTATACAGATAAACTGATTCCTCCATCACTCTCGTCTTTATATTGCCTAACTAGTTGCAATAGAATATTGGGATTCCAGATTTTCAATCTTCTAGTTAACTAAATAAAAATAACGTCGATGAAATACATAGTTGTCTTGCTGACCTTAGAATCTGAAAGATAATGAAAAAAAAATTGGTGAAACAAACAAAAAAAACTTGAAAACCACGAATTTTTTAAATGTGGCTGTTTTGGAGGGGAATATAACCGTTTTACGTAAGAAAGAGGCATCCGATCTGACACATATGCCTTACGATCGCGTAATGATCTCCGGTTTTCCTGGCAAATAGCCAAACTATTCATATCTTCTCAAAAATGCAACTAGGATGTAACAAAAAGGCAACAAGAATATAAGTAATCATAGAAATTGTTAGGTTGTTCTAAGAATTAACGAGTTAGAAGTGTCCAACCTAACTAGTATGAGGCTTTTTGAAGAAGTTCAATGATAAATCCATGAGAGGTAAGATGGTTTGATGGGTTGGATGGTTGGACACTTAAAACCCTAGAGCAATTAGTTGACACTTGATAGGTTGCATGGAAATTAATTTTGTAAGATATATGTTTATGGTTTCAGAAAAGAAAACTCTTGGAATCTTGTTGACAACTCTTAAAATTTTAGTTTGAAAATACGTTTGTTTCCGTTTTAGAAACGCGATAAAAAAATACTTTTTATTTTTGAAAACGTAATAAATAAATAACTGAAAAATGCTGTGTAAAATAAGATTATGTGATTAATTTGATTCATTATATAAGCTTAATATTGATATTGTTGAGTTTGATAATATTTCTATTGAAGAACCATAATTCAAGACAGTTTTGATTATAAAACTAATGAAAATCATAGTGATAATGAACAGGAGTTTCCAAATCTTTTTCTTAACTTTATGATCTTTAGCTTTAGTAAATGTTTTAATATATATGTAGTAAAATGGTGTTGATTAAAATATTAAAATATGTTTAATGTTTCATTATATGTATATACATGGTTCCAAAACATATACATTATTTTGACGTTTTGAGATATTTTAATTCCCCCTATCCATCTTCGTTTATATAGAATATATATTAGTTGTCTCTTTTTTTTTTAGTAATTTTTGATAAATTTGTAAAATTTATTAATGATAACATATGTTAACTCCCATTTGAATTTTGCAATTTAAGGGTTATGTGTAAAATATAATGACAATTTAATAAACAATACTTACATTAAACAACTTTTACTTTTAACGAAATTCTTTTGAAATAAATTCATTTCAACATGAAAGGAAAATTGAAACAAAAGTTCTATTGATTGAAACTGCAGCATATCATCGGACAACCTAGTTTTAGGTTTTCTATCAATGGTTGGTAGAATAGAGATCAAATCTACATTTCGAGTGACTGCCGTCACTGCCCCCAATCTTTAATATTTAGAAACATCTTATGCCTGTGCATAGATTCGATGGCTATAATAAAGAGTCAACGTATTACATATATAGAGACATGTATGTGTGTGTGTGTGTGTGTGTGTGTGTATACAATAACATATGTTTACTCCCATTTTATTTTATTTACTTTGTTCATCTCATGCACATGGAATCAAAAATATATACCATTCCTATTTTTTTAGTTGCAAGGAAAATATCAAAATATGCAAGTAAATTAATTAATTAAATTAAGTTGACCAGTCAAAATTTTCTTTCCTCGCATTAAATAAAATTGTATATATGAAAATATGGTAAGGATGGAACTGAAGACATATCACTATCTTTTGACATCCAAACTACTATATACCTTAATAATTATTAGTGTTAAATTATTTACCTTTTTAGAATAATTTATGCTTTCCAAAATAAAATATATATTTATCATTTTAAACAACAAACACTAATAAAAATAAACAAAAAATATGATGTTCAAGATTTCAACGTCAACATTTATTTATATATATATATATATATATATATATAAACTGAATGTAATTAAGTTTTAAATACAATAGAAAAAGCACATAACGAATTAACACAATATTGCTAGGTCAACATTTCTAAATGAAATAACGACTAACTATACATGGTTTTTTCAAAATCGAAGAATATCATAAATTTTTCATACGACCGATATTACTCCTAACATCTTGTCATTATTATTAGATAACATTTTGACCATCAATATTTCCAAGCTATATAAACAATAACCATGTTTATATTTTAGACATCATATATCCATTAGAAAAATATCACATGGTCAAATGTGGTGAATTAAAATAAACTGAGAAGATAATTAAGGTGTATATTTTTTTTTAGTTTTTATTTATCAGAAATAAGATTTATTTTCTTCCACCATTTATTAGCTTGCAATGTATTACTTAGCTGACTCCACATATTATAGTCTTCCTTCTATATAATTCCATGCATTAGTTTATCTTTCCCTTGCAATTTGATATTTCTCTCAAACAAACAATCATATAGTTTCTGTGCAAATTTTCTTTGAACAATGGATGCAAATTTGGCTGGAAACATAGTTTCCGAAAGCTTGGGTGATATCTCTATCCTACTAATTGATCATGACATTGCATCAGTCGCTTCTCTCACTTCAATGCTTCAACAATTTTCATATAAGGGTAAAGATGACTAACTCTGTAGCTTTTATTTTGATATATGTAGATTATTTTCATTTACATATTAATATTATAATATTTTCTCTAAATTATTGCATGTACAATGTTAAGTTATATTATTCGTTGAAATATCCATAATGATTATTTATCAAAATCTCTAGATCCTGTGGTTTTTGTATTGTATTGATCAAGATCTTTGAATTTTTATATTTTTAAAAATCATATCTAAATTGTATATTCTTATCTTATTTAATTTATAGAAAATCATGTTTAAGGCTATGCGTAGTAGATCACATTGATTCATTTGAAGATGAAATCTTATAATTTTTTTTTTATCAAAAATTCTATTCACCTAGGTTTATTTGTCTGACATGAAAAATAATAAAGTTTTAAAATAGCTGGGTTTTTTTACCGGATCGTACGATTTTGATATCTAATGCTACCAAAAAAATAATTTCAAAATTGAATTTTACAATTCTATTATGTATTAGATTAGTGGATCATCAAATTTAATCAATATTATGTTAATTACTCTTTTTCCCTTTTGACCTTTTTAATAACTAAAAATCAAATAAAAATTGGATTATTTTCTTCAATTATTTTTTGAACTTGTTTAAACATCTAATTTATATTTTGATGTACTAGTGACGAACGTGAATGTGGCAAGTGAGGCTTTACCGATGATCGAAAAAAAGAAGGACATTGGACTTATCATAGTCAACACTGAAATCCCTCACATAGACTCACACTCCTTCGTCACTGCTTTGCTTCACAAAGACATTCCTTTCATACGTACGTCCATTTACACATTTTTCTTTCTTTTATTATCTCCACCATTTGCTTCCGTAATAAGTTAATTTGTGTTTTTTGGTTTTCTATATGTGTTAAAAGTGATCAGTCCAGAAAAAAGGACCAACGAAGTATCAGATCTTCTAACAAAAGGAGCATGTTTTTGTCTAAAGAAGCCAATTTCTGAAGATGACATCAAAAATCTCTCGCAACATGTGGTTTCTAAGAAGAATCCAGAGCCAGAAGAAATCAAGATAGCTGAACAACAAGATAACGCTAAGGACAGATTTACAAAGCAGATGGAATCTTTTAGGGAAACCATCAAGAGGCAGAGAACGAGTCAATCATCTTTGCTAGCAAGACGACCAATCATCAAAAATTCTGAATCATACCAAAAGAGAAGAAATATCACAAATGGTGAATGGAAAACTAATCCAATTTATCGCATTGAGACTCATAAGAAGAGAGGAGAAGAAAAGAAATTGGAGAGCAATGTTGGCAGAAGCTGCACTTTATGGACTAGCGAGCGTCACATGAAGTTTTTAGCTGCCTTATCTATATTAGGTGAAAAAGGTACAATTTCTAAGTCATTTTTAACATTTTCTTCTTTCTTGTTTTTGTTTTCTTCTTTTCTTAACATCTTTAATTTATGCTCTAGATTCTCGTCCCAAATCCATATTGAAGATAATGAATGATCCAAACTTGAATCATCGCCAAGTTGCTAGCCATCTTCAGGTTTCAATATATTTGTATTTTTCTCGAGATATAATATCGTTCACTATAGCCTTGGTATATAACATGTTGATTTTATAATTGTTTCAGAAATACAAATCTCAAGTAGATCGACTTAATGAGGCATTGTCGAGGAATGAATGGAAATCAACAGATAAAACATTCATATACCCTTCAGGCTATGAATATCCATTCACGGCATCCAACTTAACCAACAATCTCATTGAAATGAACTCTTTGTGGAATTCTCTGAGGAAGAAAAAATCTTCTTCATCATCCATCCCTCGATGTAAGTCTTCTTTACTATACAATCTTCTCAAGATTCTATCATTTTATATCGTCTTTGTATCAATACTGTGTGTGTTTTCATAATACAGATTCGTTTAAGAAACCTGATGTCGAGAAGGGAAAAATGCCAAAGTTTCATCTAAACGGGAAATTGGATCTAAGTAATCACCCACTTTCCGGTAACGTATCAAACAAGTCATGCATGGAAGTCAATTGTATTCCTTCTTCCTCAAGTAACAACCCTACTTGCAATATGCCTTTTACCAATGATGTTAATCACACTGGTCTGGTTTCAAATATCTTAAGTAGTAACAACCTTCCTGTTATTCCTAGTTTACCATCGAGTGTTGGTGCACCTATCTCAAGTTCATTTCTCATAGGTTCCTCTAGGGTTTGCACTCCTTGGTCTAATCTTAATCCTAATCCTAGCACTGGTTTGGAAACCGTTAGAAACCAACTAGATTTAGACCCTACATCTACTTTAGAATCTTATGTTCCTCAAGCCAATGTATACACCATGGGAGAAAGTTATAGTTTTCTTCCAGAATGTACCATGAACCCTTTTGAAACCATAGACCATATGGGTAGAATTCCATTATTAGAGAACTATAGTCATCATGAAACCAATATGAATCGGATGGATTGGAATCATTCAACAGAAAATTATGGTATTCATGAAACTGATATGACCATAACTGTTTCTGATTACAATACAAACCATATAGGTTGTGTTTCTTTAGGAGAAGGTTATGTTCCTTCTGAACATGTTATACCTTTTGGGAGCAATACAAACCAGTTAGGTAGGGTTTCATTAGGAGAAAATCATGTTCTTTCTGAAGATATGAGTTTCTATAATACTAATACAAACCAGTTAGGTCAAATCCCTTCTGAAACCAATATGATCACTCCTGTAACCGATACAAACCAGATGGATTGGTTTTTATCCGAAGAATGTCGTCTTCTTCTTGAAACTTTGATTTCTCTTGAAACCAATACAACCCAAGTGGGTTTAGTTCCTTGTGAAGGAACCTCTACTGCTTTGGATAACTTGATTCCTCAAGAAACCAATATGGAAGAGGTGGGGTTCGTTCCTTGTGAGGGAAATAACAATGTTCCTAGTGAAGATCTTATTTCTTTTGATACTGGCGTTGCTGAGATGATGGATGTGGACTCTTGGTTGGACAGTTTTGATTATTCTGGAAGCAATGTTCCTTGGTGGTGAAGGTGAGGAAAACAATGGAAGTGAGACAATTTATAGACTTTTCGTACTTTTTGTTTTTGTTTTTTTGTAATGCAAATGTATGTTGATCATATACAATAATGTTTGAGATTTCATTTCTGTTTTGTTTTTTTCAGTCATTAACTTTAGTATTGTGAATTGGTCAAAATGCTTTTATTTTTAGGATTAGTCCTTTCATGAAAATCAATTCTAGTAAAAGGTATGACCAAGTAATAAATACTTTAATATATATACTAAATTCATTGTAACAATTAAAAATCAATAATTTTAATATTATTTTATTTCCAAATGCACTAACAAATATAAAATATTATCTTATATAGATTAGATAGTCCTTTAGCATTTCCTCTAATATGTAAAACTATGATAGACCCCTGATTGGTATATAAATAAAATAAAAAACTCTAGATAGTAATATTAAATATCGATTATGTTTTTTAATTTTAATTAAAAATTCTACAAAAGTGCTTAAGTAAGTAATTAAATAGATTAGGGAAACATTATGCAAATGTATATCATACACATAAATATGTTTGACTAGGTGGATAATAAAGTATGTTAACATATTTGTAATGCAAATGTATATCATACATATAAATATGTTTGACTAGGTGGATAATAAAGTATGTTAACATATTTGTAATGCAAATGTATATCATACATATAAATATGTTTGACTAGGTGGATAATAAAGTATGTTAACATATTTGTAATGCAAATGTATATCATACATATAAATATGTTTGACTAGGGGAATAATAAAGTTTATAAATAAACACAATTTATTTTAAAATAACTATATTATTGTTTTAAAATAATCATGTATATTTAAATAACTATATTATTGTTTTAAAATAATCATGTATATTTGTCTCATTTAAAAATAAATAATTTAAAAGAATATCACTCAGTTTTGTGATACAGTTCATCTTTTTTTTGTAGTGTATATATTGAAGAAGGTTTAGAAATTCAGTTGCACGATGGAAACATTTCATCAAGACAAAGACAGTGAAGGATTTTTTTTTTTTTTTAATATAACAAAAACCCCTTTAAATGGGTTTATGGACAATGGGCCTCATCAGAGGAAACAATTATGATTGTGCCAATAAACGGGCTAGATTTGGCAGGTCTAGAGCTATCTAAAGATTCTAAACCCTAATTTCAAACGCTAAAACACTAGAAAAGAGTGGTTAAGCAAAACTGCGTCGGGAAAAAGAAACAAGTGAAGGAATTGTTATCTAAGGCTTCTATTAAGGATGACAAATGCGTACAACTACAAATGCTGTGATGGGCATTTAATTACGTAACTAAATTCTGCAATCAAAATCCATGCATTTTAATTTCTACCCTGGTTACAGTTCAAGGAAGTGGATGAAGCTAATGAAGGGAATAGTCACCAATAAAAGGACAAGAGGTGGAGCTGGAGCCCGACAAAGCTAACCGTGATCCAGTTATTCCGGCGTATTGAGCTTCGTCGAAAGTGAGGGCCTACCTAAAATGTATTGAAGAATCTTTACTTATTGTTATTCCCTTATCATTTCCTAATTAAATACTTTATTATATTTCAAATCCAAGGACAAAGATCAATAAACCATCAGATAGTCTCTGGATAGATTACAAATATTTTATATTGCTAAATTAACAAAGTTTAGTTGATAAAATTTTATCACCAAAAATATCATACACTATTAATTTGATAAAATGTATATGCTCAGTAGTTGCAAATCACATATAATAATACTTAAAATAATACCACAGTGATTTTATATTGCTATCTTTTATTTCAATTTTTGTACCATTCTAATGATTTTACTTTTATTTATTATCCTCACAAATAAATAATACAAACTCGTTATTTTGGTATTTGGTAGGTTTGTGAAAAAAGAGAAGGTATGAAATGATGGAGACACTTTGACATATTCTCCTAAATATTATTAATGTTTGAAAATTTTATAATAAAAAAAAAATGAAAACAAATATCTTCGTATACAATAAGACACTTTGATGTCTTTACAGTTTACACACTTGACCAATTAAATCTCAAAAGAAAAAGACAAAAGAGTAAAGAGAGTAGAGCAAGAAAAACAAAGAAGAAGCTGAGAACGAAATCAATGGCGGTTTCCGTTTCCATCCTCACCATCATCACTTCCCTTCACCTCCTCGCTTTCGTCTTCGCCTTCGGCGCCGAACGCCGCCGCAGCACCGTACCATTCTCTCTCTCTCTCTCTCACTCATCTCCCTCTCTCTCTCTCTATTTTTGTTTCCTTTTTCACTAACTTAGATTTGTTTTGGGAAGGCTGTGGCGAAGCCGGACCAGTACGATGAGAAGACCTTCTGCATGTACGGAACAGAGGCGTCGACGGTGTACGGTATGTCGGCGTTCGGGCTGCTTCTCGTTAGCCAGATTGTGGTTAACGGCGTCACCAAATGTCTCTGCTTTGGAAAGGGTCTCGTCACCGGCACTTCTTACACTGTCTGGGCTATCGTCTTCTTCGTCGTCTCTTGGTAAAATTTAAACCCTCTCCTCTCTAATTTGATGAATTTTAGTGATTCTAGTTGAATTCAAATGGATTCAAGATTTGATTTTGGTAATCAAGATTTGAAATTGGGGGAAAATCGAAAGGAGGGTTTGTGTTAATTTATCAAGATTTAAAAATAGATTCTTGGTTATGTCTTCTTGAATCTTGATTTCCATTTCAAGAAATGATTTTGCCTTCTTCTTTATTCAATACCTTGTTTTGATTAACTCTTCCAGATCTGTATGTATAAGTTTTGTAATGTGATTTGTTCATCTCTAAGTTTGATTTATGTTTGTCTTTAATTTCGTTTGCATTGTGTATGAAAAAAACATACTTTTTCAGGGTAAGTTTTCTTGGTGCTGAGGCATGTTTGTTGGCTGGATCAGCTAAGAACGCGTACCACACAAAAGCTCAAGGAGTCTACCAAGGGAAAGAGCTTTCTTGTGCGGTCTTACCCGTTGGGGTCTTTGCTGCTGGAGCTGCTCTGACTCTGTTGTCTTTGATTGCAACCATTCTTTACTACTTGGCTCATTCTAAGGCTGACACTGGTGGATGGGAGAAGCATCAGAACGATGGCATCAACATGACTACTGCTCCTTCAGATGCTCCAAAGCCACAGAACACCGACTTCGACAAGGCATAAACCAGTTTGTGATGTTTGGTCTTATGATAGCTAAGCTTTTAAGACGAGAGTATCAACTATAAACTATAAACTATAAACTATAAACTATAAACTATAACCATAAAAATGTTGTTTGTTAATTGTTCATATAGACTTGTCTTCTTAGATGTAATGTTGGCTTATGAATGTCTGTCTAATGTCAGAAATATATCAGAAATTTGGTTTAGCTTCTTCCCATTTGACCAATGAGGGCTTAACAGGCCGGGCCTAATCTGTAAGGCCAGGCCTAATCTGTAAGGCCCATTAGGCCCAATGCTAGCATTCCTAGCTAGGTAGCTTCAAGTTGTGGAAGAATATACTCTTGCATGAGAAAGGGTTTTACAAAGAAAGATGATCACAAAAATGTGTTTAACTTTTTGGAATACATTTTCGATCTTTAGTACAAGTAATGAATGATTCTCCAAAACATAGAAAACTGATTTTTATTCATATAATAAGTTACTAACAAAGAGATGAGTGTTGCAACATGCAAAAGCCATACCTTTCCCTTTTTATGAAATCGCTTTCTTCTTTATGAATCCAAGAACAATGCCTTTTTTTGTGGAACTATATAAACTTTGAATCATAGAGCTTAGGTAAACAAAAAGGCTACAGTTGTTTCAAAACCATAAAAACCAAAGTAATCATGGCGATTTTTGGATCCGAATATGATGAACATAGAGCTTCTTCATCAAGAAGACGAAGATCTTTGTACCACAATCTAGGAGGAGGACGATGTAACATATATCTTTCTTTCTCTACTTAATTTGTTCTTTATTTAATCTGAAGGATTTTGCTTTTAAAAATCTTGTAGTTGCTGATGTAATGTTCTGGAAGAACAAGAAAGAATCAGGAACAATCTTGGCGGTCTTCACATTGATATGGTTCTTGTTTGAAGTGTTTGAATATCCTTTTATTACTTTCCTCTGCCAGATTCTTTTGCTCTCCATCTTCATCTTCTTCATTTGGTCTTACATTGGCACTTCAAAACTAATCCAACGGTAAAAAAAACATTCACTCTTAGTTTCTTGCTTATGAAGACAAGCTCTCAAAGAACATGCCATTTTGCGTAGGAGACCTCCGAGTATTAACGATCTAAAGATTTCGGAATCGACTTGGAGATTCTTGTTCAACAAGATCAATTGGTTCATCATAAAGTTGTATGATATCTCTAGTGGAAATGACTTCAGACTCCTAGTTTTGGTAAAAATCAATATCTATTACACTTTCATTTTAATTATATTAGTTTAGCCCAAGATTGTTTGGATTTGAAAACTTGTGTCTCATTCTGTTTCAGGCCGTTGTTTCTCTATGGATATTATCAGTGGTTGGAAACTATTTCAGCTCTCTAACTTTGTTATACATCGGTGAGTCTTTATGATTTTATCTAACACTCTACATGTTAGGACTGGATTGATAATATTTAGTGGTTAAGACATTGGACATTTTATTATACTTTAGTTACTGTTTAGAGTATATCTTTAATTACTGTTTAGAGTATATATCTTTAATTGCTGTTTTTTATTTTTGGTGTGACTCTGTGGTTGAAGTATTTGTGGGTCTAGAGACGATACCGATGTTGTATGAGCTATATGAAGAAGAGCTGAATTATGCAGCAAGTAAAAGTGGGAGGGACATGAAGAAGCTCTTTAACAAATTCAACTCTAAAGTCATTAACAAGATCCCTAAAGCTAATGCTAAAACTAGGAGGCATTAGCTCTAGGATTTGTAACTCTATGTATATCAAATCTTCTAATCTGTAAATGTTACATATGAAAACTTTCTAATAAGTCTTTGTTCATGTAATGTAATCATGAATGTTCAACAGAAATTCAGGATTCAATGGGTATGCTTAATTATACATAGGCTAGCTATTTTAGCTTTATTTATATCAAATCTTAATTCTAGATACTACTTTCTTATTCTAGAAACTAGATAACTATTTATCCGTAATCGTAATTTTCTGGACTCTTTTTTTTCTTTGTTCTTTCAGTTTCGTATACTCAGTTATGATTTCTTTTTCTGTTGGGAATGTTCAAAACTTAACTCCACAGAAAAACCAATAAAAAATTTACAAAAATTATGGAACAGAAACAGTAATAATACTGTTTGCTTTTATTTATGGGATATTCGGTGATGTTGATATATTAATAATTATCTGTTTTGCCGCCAAAAATAAAAAAAACTCAAATTATCTCTTTGGCTTTTCCTCATGGTCACAAGGGATGTTGCTTCTGCTTCACATGCAATAGGGTCTTGATTTTTTTATTGTAATGACGTGCAGTCGTCGAAACTTATCTATTTGCCTTGTCTCGATTCAAAAAACGTTGTAGCTTCTTCCAATGGGTCTTTTTACTTTCTATATTAGTAACAGCAAAACCAATGTCTAAATGGGAACTCTACAGTTTATCCATGCACTATTCTTTGTAAACCAAGCTTTTTGATTAAGAATATTATCATCTTTCGAGAATTTTCAATTGACAGACAACCGCACGGTCCGCCGCACTAGCTTGAACACATCGTACATATTTGCTTGTGTGAGATCAACAGACTTCATGTTTTTGTTATTATTCTTTTATATTATTTTAATCACCAAGGTTTAATAATTTTGGTTTGAGTGTTGAATGAAACAAAACAAAAAAAAGTTGTGAAAAATTATGCTGAAAACGTGATCACTCAAAAACACAATCTTTTTTTATCACATACTTGACCGATTTATAAATATCAAAAATTCATTTAAAACTTATAGTTTCTTAATTTTGTTGCTTCACTTTAAGAATCATTGTGTGTGTTTTTTTTCTTTTGCTGAAGAAAAATATTTCCTTTTGATAATAAGAGTTCTGTTTAGATAATTTGATGGTGAGAAATGACGAATGGCCACACATGCACTTGGTGAACTAGTTTTTTGACCTTAGAGTTAAACCAAAGGGCAGAGTAATAAAAGAGTCGTCGCAACTCGCATACTTTGGTGACTTCTGACTCGAAAAAGCAAAACCACACATTCCAAACATGACACTTACTCTCTCTTTATCAACCAGTCAACATTTGTCAGAGCGATGCACAAAGGACAAAAACTCTCTTCGATGATGAGAGGAGGACTCGTGGTTGCGGCGGCTAACGGCGGAGGATCGCAAGACACCGTTATCTTACTCTACATTTGGGCAGCATTTATAGCTCTCTCCGTCATAGCCACCGTGATTTTTTCTTGTAGCGACGGAGCTTCTAAATCTCAAACTAACGACGTCAACGGCTCCGCTTGCGCCGCCGGATGCGGTGGAGGTTGTGGAGGTTAAATGGGAGGCCCGTTTAGAGTTCAAAGGCTTCTTGCTTTATTAGAAATCAAAGTGTGCTGATAGATGTGGAGCTTGTTAATGTAATTTTACTTCTTGAAATTTACTAATTTATTGATCTTATAATTCAATTCCCTCTTGATTAAGGTTTGAAAATATTTGTTTCTTTTCTTTATTTAATTTGCATACAGTTTAGAGAAATGTTGGACCAAAACAGAACATAACAGAGGAACAAGTGTTGTTTACATATAGTGTTCAAAATTACATATGTATATATCAAAGTTTACAAAAGGTTCATGGAAAAAAGAAACAAGTCCAATTAAGGTTGAGTCTGATTAGGCGGCGCAGTGTCATGTACCTGTGATGCTACATAAGTTAGAAATCTGTTGAATAAAGAAGATAAGTTAAATTTGAAGTAGGAATTGGATCCAAACCTGATGAAATTGGGGGATAATGGGCACCATTGGGGTTGTTGGTGCATAATAGCCCCAAGGAGTGGTATATGGAGATATGCATGGTGCTTGACCTCCATAAAATGGTGGCATGTAACCCACAGTCTCTGTGTATGCCTTAGACATAACCTAAACCATATTAAAACATAAGACTCCATTAATTCATATTGTAAGCGGATATATATTGTTGTCATTACCTTAATCTAAAGGCAAAAATGAGCATGTGAATTGTAGACGAAAAAACAAACTTACGTCTCTTTGATGTTTTAAGCTTTTGATGTATTCGACAATGCTTTCAAGCTTCGCTGCAAGGTCCGACTGTAGATAAACACAGAAAGAAGAAACGTTAGAAACTCGATTTTCTTATTCGACTCTACTATATGTGTGAAACAAAAGTAATTAAAGTAATTATAACCTTTGCGCAATTAGGAGTCATTTCCTGCAAAATATCTACTTTGTCTCTAATAATCTGTCGCCTTTTCTGAGGAATTTAGAAAAAAAATCAAGAAAATATAAACATGTTAGCTTGTGAATCACGGAAGAGAAGAGGTAAAAAAATATTTTTGTAACCTTAGATGAATCCTCCTAACCTTCTCCATCATTACACGATATTCCATGGAACGTTGTCGTTTCTTGTTGTTACGATCCCTTGTGTCGCTCTCCTCTTCTAGGTTCTGATTAGTACTGTTCCTGGTAATAACATCCGTAGGCTCAGAATAGTCAAGCCCTGAACCCGATTGAGCACCGAAGATCTCTCGCAAAGGGTTTAATTCAGTATGATCTTCTGAACAAATCGAAGAAATTATCTCAGACAATGAACATAACTCTTCTTCATCATGAGAACCCTCGTTGCGGTTGTTTATCTCCATTGATTATGATTGATTAAATTGAGTTTTTGAGTTTTTAAGAGACTTTATAGGAAAGTAGTGAAGCCAAAAATGCTATAAATAGGGGAATTCTATAAAAAAAAGCTACTTTTGAAAGTTGTGATCAATTGAGCGGGACGAAAACAGATGATTTTGCTTCGTCCCTTGGTTTCCTAACACAGATTGTCCACGTGAAATTACAAATTATCTTTTACTATATTATAGTGTTATATGTTTTTGTATTAGTATATATATTTACATAGACAAAAGAAAACAGTTTTTGTTGTTGTTTTTTTCTTACATATGTTTTCTCACTCTTTCTTGGTATTCTAAGCTCCAATTTGAACACGAAATGGAAAAAAATAATCATTTTATGAACGGCAGTCCTTACATTTTAGTGTTCTTTTCTATTGTGTAATCTATGGTTGCAATAAAATTGCATTAAATACATTAAATAATGACAGCTTTTATTAAATTTTTATTTTTTTTCTTTTGGTGTGCAAGAACCTTTGATTCTCTATAAATATACAATTACTGTATATAGCTATTATTACTAGCCAACTAGATAAACCATATGTCATATAACTTAGTATAATTAAGATACATAGTTAAACACGATGAATGAGTCTCGTGGACACAATTTGTTTTACTGACCGATTGATGGTTTTCTTGAATAGTATTTCACTATTTGAAAACCGTGACCATTTCTGTTTGGTTAACTACAATTTACAACTTATACAAGTTTGTATGCAACTTTGATCACATTTTTTTTTTACTTATTGCTATAACCGATGAAGTTGCACATATTATACATGTTTCAAGTTCCGACATTTCTTCAGTTTTGTCCTTTTACAATCTGGTAAAACGCCAAATCATGATCACGTACGATACTACGTTGCGGGTTAGCCTTCTTTCAATTTTGAATATTTTTTCCCCAGATTGTAATCCAAAGTACAAATAGATTTGAGAGTGACGTCAACGCACTGTTCAAATTATTGTCTCTGTGTGAATCAAGAATCCTATGATATATATATGTCTTTACATTTTACGATAACTAAAACGAGTTTGGTGTAGTTAAGAAAAGGATATTCCCATTTTTACACTCCCTAGAAGCATTTTCCAAGTCTTTTCTTGATAAATCTGAACTTTCACATGCATCTTTAAGATTTATTATTAGATAGCTGCTAACAAACAAAAAAGGATCTTTTTGAATATTATAAATACGGTAGTCATTTGAAACCATACATATAGAAACAAAGCTTGTGTTGTGTATTGTTATGTTACGAGTGAGTTTCACATTGCAGCAGCTCTTGTGTTTGTACCTTCTGCAACTCGGATTTGTCGTTTCCACCGCTTACTGGATCAATCTAATGGTCCAAATTCAATGCAATGACTGCTATAAGATGTGGCCGCATAACCGTGGTCTACGTAGGTAAGATGTGGCCGCATTACCGTGGTCTACGTAGGTTAGGCTCATTATTTTGAATATAAATGATGATTAATCGGTTTGAAATAATCTTATAAAAATCTGCAAAGTAACCCTTTTGTCAGAATCCAAGTTCTAACCTAATGCCTAGACTCTCACGTATCGTAAAGTAAACTAACCAAAAACATTGTAAATATGCGATATAAGGAAACCTTTTTACAGTCTTCTATGAGATAATAATATGAGTATATCTTAATACCTTTTTCTTGCTATAAAATACGTCCAACTTAAACCCCTTCCGACTTTTTTTGGTGAAAGTATCTGCAACAAAAATGGATATCGACCTTGATTTATTTCAGGCATTCGTAGAATACCATATTATACAGTATACACTGATCTGAATAGCAGCTTGGTTCAGGGCTGTTCTGAAAGATTCAATACCAGGTTCTTAGAAAATAAAGTTGGCCTATAAATGTACAAACTGTTAAAAAATAAAATACCTAGAAAATTTTAATTAAAATAGTGAATTGTCAATAAATTTAAATCTAAAAGTATAATATGTACGTAGGTACTATTTGGGTGGCTTAATATCTCTTGAGTATATGATTAGCATGTAACGAACGATGTACACTTATATACACCAACTTTTACTCTTTGCTTTGACCATCATATGCAGTAATGGGCCTGTAACTCTGCAACGTAGTAAGCTAAACAATATTTGGGCGTCCACTTCAGTTGGACTTCACTTCACCAACACTAGTCTGGTGATAACATGTCGTTTTTGGACCGGACACAGATGTGAGATGCGACACCGAAGTATACCCAAAATGATTAGACTCTCTTTCAGATTTTTATTACTTTAGTGTGAAAGGGATTATTACTATTAATTTTTCTCAAGTACAAGTTGAGAAAAATTAATTAATCATAGAAATAATCCGAAATTTAAAATTACATTTACGTAAATCCATGGCAGCCGAGAGAGCCTAGTTAAAATGAGCAAAAGAGAAACTTTGCATGAAATAAAATCAACGTAGTTTTATCTATCTTTATCAATTTTATCTATATAGATTCTTTATCATTTTATATATATTTATTTATATATATTTACAACGAACAATATATAGAAACTATAACCGCAGTACACATCAATAAAAGACCATAAAAAACAAGTCACAGTGTAAAATAAAATTCTGACAGCGACTCAAAAATACTAAACTCAGTACAGTATATAACTGTATAAGTTTGAGAGAACGTATCGTTTTAACATAGTAAACACATACAATATAAACAACTTAAGAGCACTGACTGCTATTAAATACTGAAACACCACTAGCTTTCAATTAAAAAAACTTTGACGACTGGGGCTGATTGTTGAACTTGAATCCCTGCATAGTATTCATTTTTTAAAATAAATAAATAAAGCGCCAGAAATTTCAAAATAAAAAGACAAAAAAAGTGCGGAAAAAAAAAAACAAATCAAACCTGAGTGGTAGCTGGTACAATTTGCTGGTCTCGACCGCTAGCTTCTCCTTGACCATTGAAAGGCATGAAGAAGTTGGGAGGAACAAAAGGGAACGTCCATGGTGCTGGAAAATCCATCCTCATGCCCAGTGGCAACATAGGACCCATACTCTGACTCTGCATCGTTAAATATGTTGGAGTTTTGTTCCCATGTAAATTATGTAATTCACGTACGTAAACATATGAAAAATTTAACCCTCAAAAAATAAAGTAAGCATATCAGAGAAAAAAAAAACTGATCCAATACTAACTAAATATAATATTTTATGTGAGAACAGATTTTAAAACCTAATCCGAGCTAAAACGTAAATTTTCTCTTTGTAAACAAATTTTAACTGAAAATATGATAATAAACTATTCCCTATAAAATAAAATTCGATTTTATTTTGATTAACTTCTTCCTAAAACCAGAAAACTTAAATTAAACCCTAAAGTATACTGTTTCATGTCTCTTTGGTGATTGAATCACTTACTTCAACATACTGTTTCATCTCCCGTATGTGGTCGATGATACAATCGAGGGTCGAGGCTATGTCTCTCTGCAGATGCATTTGGATAATAAAGTTAAAAACAAAATAACTAGGATTAGTAACATGAGAACTCGATTGTCTTTTTGTACTAGAGTGTATACTTTTACATTTACATCATAATTTGTTGTGTTTCAAAATGTGAAAAAAAACAAGAAAGAGGTAAGCAAATGATGTGCACCTGTTTGCAATGAGGTATCAACTCTTTCAGATTCAGAATTTTGTTTTTGATATCCGTGCGTCTTCTCTGCGTTTAAAAAAAAAAAATCGAACAACTTGATTTCTTGCATAACAAGCATCAAACAAACAAAACGAGTGTCTTTACCTTCTCGGCCAAATTACGAGCTTCATTAGGTCTCTTGAGATTCTTCGTTTCCTCTTCCTTGGCCTTAGACTTAATAAGACAAAATAAGAATATTTTTGTAATAAATATTAAGATTGAACTCATCATATACATGTATCCAAGAAAACGAATTAGTTACCTCCTCTATCTCTATCGCCATAGATTTCCCTCTATCCACATTCATTTTCTTGTCTCCATCTTCGGATGCAACTTTCTCCTGTCGAGCCTCCTTATATCCAACTCCATGAGGGTTCGAAGGCTCAGGCGGAACATTTACAGCCATCGATGTAGACATCACCAATATCGGGCTATTGATCTCAGGATTGAGATCATATTTAGGGCTTGAATCAGTTAGGGTTTGTAGAATTGTGGACCAAAACTGAAGGCTTTCTTGATCGTTGTCCATACTCATGATAGGGAAATAGCAAAAGAGTGATGAAGAAATTTGTGTGTAGGAAAAAAGGTATTTATAGTAGGAAATGTTGGAGAGGTGCTTTAAAAGGGGAACAAGAGCGGGAAAGAGATTGCTTGACTCAAACTTCTGTCGGAACTTGATCAAATACCATTTGATTTACAACTCTGTACATTCTGTTTTGCCGCTTAAAAATATATATTTTTTATCCATCTTCTTGTTCTTTTTTGTGAATTCCTTATCCATATAATTTTGCAATTCATTTACTTATCGTTATAAGAAGCGTACGTTCCCATAGTTATTTACTCTGTAAATTAAATCAATGAAATCCGATCCAAAATTTTCTCACCAAATTATAATTAGGATCATATGTTCTATTTAGGACTATTCATCAACCAATAAACAATAGTTTTTACTCCATATTACGATAGACATCAACCATTAGGATCATATGTTTTATCCATACAATAGTTTTTACTCCATAAACAATAAAAAAAAAAAGATACGATATACGGATATACAACAGAGTAAATAGATTCGGATTTCATGTGATAGTACATAGTAAAAAGTACTACGTAGTACTCCAGAGTAAATAGAATCAGAGTCCGACAAAACAAAAACGATAGTACTACTACTTGAGATTATTTTAGGTATAGCAATATTTTCCACTGAAGTAATTAACATAACTTACATTGATTTCTTGAAGACGAGCCATACAAAATTCTGCCATATTCAATATTTTGAAATATAAACCCTGATTATATGTTAAATAGAAATTATTTGTGTTACGATATATACGAAGTTTTGTTAGTTTATAGTGGAATTTATGCTAAATATTCTTAATTATTCGTAACTTTGTTCATCGATCCACTTCCAAAGCGGTCTGTTCATTAACGCATCGCTTTGATTTCGCTTAAGATAGGTTATAAAAATGTATACTTGAGATAGGTTAAGGTTTTGATTTCGCTTATTCTCTATTACAGAGATTTTAGCGACTTTGATTGCTCGAGCAAAATCGAACATGTTATTAAGAAAGGACGTTTTCCATTCTCATATCGCAGCTGAAAGACCGACTTGGTTCTACAGTCAAATGATTGTCGACGAACCAATATTTTGATTTTTTTCCGTTGTGTTTCTTGTTTCTCATTTTTTTGGGGGTTAAACACTTACTTTGATTAGCAGTTATAAATTTTCATTAACAAAAGAAACCAATACATAATTATCTTTTAGTATGAAAGATAAAATAACTATCGTAATCTTAATTATGCGGTGAAATAACAGAACTCTGATAATTATTTTAATGACAGAACTCTAACTATAATTTAAGAATCAAACAGTTAAAAACAGATTCTTAAATTTAAAAATAAGAGTCTATTTTTATAAATAAAAATAACTAGAATTCCTTATTTTAAAGAATATAACAAAAACAAATTGGCAAAAAAACAAAAACAAAAACATAATCCAATATATATGGAGAGTCTTATTAGTTGATTTGATCCAATATATGAGAAAATTTGTTTTCTTTGTCTTTATTTCACCTTTACAATATAAATAGAAAATTATCAGATAAAACTATCCAACTTATTTTACTATATTTCTTATAATTTATTTTAATCAATAAATAATAATAAGAACAAATGAAATGGGAAACAACATTTATATGTTTTTCAGTTTTTTTTTAAAAAATAATTTTTTTAGATTTTACATTATTTTTACTAAAAGAAAAATTGTGATAATAGTGTTTCAATAAAAACAAAACAAAGTATAATCTAAAATAATTTCATGATGTACTTTTAAAAGAGTAAGAAAAAAATAAACGGTGTAAATATTTTTAGTTTAGAAAAGAAAATAAATATATATGGTTTTCCCATTGAATTAGTTTTTAGCATTAGTTATTGATTAAAATAATTTTTTTTGTTAAAGAGTTTTTTAAAAATAAATTATAAGAAACATAGTAAGGATTTTTGGATAGTTTTATACTTTTATCTGATAATTTTATATTTATATTTTAAAGATGAAATAAAGACAAATAAAACCAATCTCTTCATATATTGGACCAAATCAGCTAATAAGATTATCCATATATATTGGATTAAGTATTTGTTTTGATTTTTTTTTTGCCAATAAACTTTTTAGTTATTTATATGTTCCTTGAAATAAGGATATGTTGTTTTTTCTTTGTAAAAAAAACAAAAATCTGTTTTTCATTGTTTGATTTGTCTTTTACAGTTTCTAAATGATATTCTTACTCAAGGGAAAAATATCACGTTTAGTAGATTATTTTTTTTTTCAATTAAATCTTTCAAATAAAATGATTTCTTTTGCCAAATAAAAAATAAGTAAGTGTGGATGCTGATAAATATTACAGGATGATAACTGGTAACTCCATGGAAAACAGTTATAGACCTTGTTTTTCTTTTACTAACACGATACTAATTACTATCGTTTCTTGTAACACTTACGTAATTTATATCCGTATTGCACAGTAAAAAAATCTTACGAAACTTGTTGACAGAAAATAAACAAAACTTGGGAAACGTTATTTTAACCACATGTTTTCAACAAGAAAAGAAACGCATGTTATCTTATGACAAAATATTCCAGAAAAAAAAATTGCAGAGAGAGTTTATATTTATGAAATAAATATTTCTTAGATAGAGGATAAATATTAGGAAAAAATAACAGAGAAGGGGATAATTATTAAAACTTGACTTTTTTTTCTTCAACGGTTTAGACATTTACGCTAAAATGACATGACAAGAATATCATTTCAGATAATACTATATTCTTATCTTTTAAAAATAGTTTTTTTGGGGAAAAGGAAAAATATTTCATAAGTAAGCTAGTAATTGAGCATTTAGATATGTATACTTGCGATATGATATTAATTCATCGCAACTGAAACAAAGCAGATGTGTTCAAGTGGTACAAACAATAATATTTTATAAATCAAGATGCAGTGACTAAAACAGAAAAAAAAAATGCAAAAAAAGAGTAGAAGATATAATTTAAATCTTTTAAAAACAGAAATATAGAAAATGAACAGTAAAGGCTAAAGTTTCGTAGTTTCATTGTTAAAAATTTATTATAAAATAATACTAATTTTTTTAATTATTAAAGATATATCCATATAATAAATTTATATAAAGATAAATAGCAGCTATTTAAAGTCTAACTGTCAAATCTAAATAACAAATCTAAATAACAGGCTCATAAGCCTAAAGTACTATTTATGTATGTTTGGGTTTCAAGAAGATTAATATATATGTGGTACATATGTGAATAAGTGATGGACCTTTAAGAGTTGCCAATGGTCCATCACTTATTCACATATCAACTACATGTATACTAATCTTCTTAAAACTCAAACACATATAAATAGTACTTTGGACTTATGAACTTGTTATTTAGATTTGACTCTTAGACTTTAATAGCTGCTATTTATATAGATCACATATGATATAACCAACATGTATATTAATCTTTTTGAAATCCAAACACACATGAATATTACTTAGGGTTTATGAATTTGTTCTTTAGACTTGAGTTGTTAGGCTCTAATAATAGCATTTGCAACTGAGTTTCAAGTTTTTAATATTTATTATTCAGTCTATATCTTATGATCATCCAAAACACCTAAAGACGGCAAATAGTTACGCATTTTCATCCATATGTTTTTTTGTTTAAGACCATAGAATCTACTATTTTGGTTTCGAAATAAAAGACAAAGATTATGTTCTATGAAGGTGTCAGTGTTCGACATCTAAGGTTCTTGGGTTAACCATGCAACATTACGTGTCTTTTCTTCTCTTAAATTTGTTTGTTTTAAATTTATCTCCTTTAACATTTTTTTTTTGTTTGGACTTTATCTCCTTTGAAACTAACTTTTTTTCGTTTTGGACATAACGTTCTATATTCTTTTGACCTATGTATTGTTATTTTTGTTTTGAAAGGCTGTATTATATTTTTACGAGTCTCAAATTAATATTGAAATACAAAAATTTACGACTTTCATGATTCACAGTTTACTATAATAGGGCAATTGATATATATATATATATATATATGTATGAATAATATAAGAATAGAAATCAAAATTATGATACCAAGTTAGAAAGACGAACATGAAAATGCAGATGGTAGGTTTGAATCTCTTTCTTTAGATATTATAAACGCTTGTAGTATGACGATTTGCGGTAAGATTCCAACAGTGAAGAATAAAACCTGACGAACTTAGTTTCTATGTGTATTCTAAAAAAAAAAACAGAAGAAAAAAGATTGTAACGAAATATTGTGTGATTGTATGTTGTGTGTGTATGGACTGAGAGGAAAATGGCTTTGTTTTAAAGCCAAAAATCCAACGCTCAAAGAAGAGCAATTAAGTGAAGATTTGAGATTTAATTCTATATCTCTACCCTTTAACTATCTCATTGTTTGTAACGACAAATAAATTGTAACATAAGCAATTCAATCAAAACAATTAAGTAGAGAATTAATTTTACTAAGTACGATTATCACTTTGAACGATGAAAAACACACCGTCCATATGTAAATTTGTAAGACAGTTTCACTAACCACATAAATTTAATTTAAAAATATAAATGAAAATCTTCAAGAAAACATTAACAGTGTGTGATATATATTTGATGAACCGATGGTTTTAATGTTTTTTTTTTGTGGTTCCTCGAAGAAGGTGTTTCTATACAGCATAAAAACAAAAAACAAAAACTGATGGCATTTACATGGAGTTCTTCTGTCTGTCTGTTTCTTCCTGACACCAATTTCAAATTTTAACACATTGTGTCGTGTATTTTGGATGTTCATTGATTTTAATTTTCATGTGCCGCTTCATCAGTTGCTTACGCGCAGTTCGTTGGCTTGTAACGGCGGGAGACATCCAATGTCTGCTTGCATTATCCATTTAGTAATTTTCTATATATATTATATGGGCTTATAACAGGCCCATTTAGTAACACTAATTGGGCTGATGAAACTTAAATCAAACGGTGTCGTCTTGGCGTTGGAACAGAACAAATTTAGAGCGTATGTGAGATGGGATACGAACAGGACGATACTTCTTGTCTAGCCACACAGCTGTTCCTTTTGCCTCCAAAATAGGCTGCTTACATCAAAAACACTCCAAAATCAAAACCAGATGAACCAAACACAAAAGCGTGTTAATGAGACTTTAAATTAACCTCTTGATTTGGGAGTTTAAAGATGAAATGATCGAAGTAAATACGAGCTGCTGATGTTCCTGATATCCTCGCTTTCACCACAAACTTGTCTCCACTCTGTTTCAATCAACGAAAATACATTTAACATAATACATATATAATGTGAAGCAATGTTCTAGGAGAAGAAGTGACATGACAATGACATGACATTACACGTAAAGGTGCGAGGAACTTCATAGTTAACTCTGAAAGAGCTAAGGCTTCACCGGAACGGGCTACTTCGTCGCAGTTGATACCAATACTCTCCAGAAACTCGTGTCGACCTTTTTAAGTAAAGAAGAATGTACAAAAAAACAAAAACAAAACAACATTTGTTAGTCATTGGCTCATTGCTTCCGTTTGGAGAAATGTGAAAAAAGCTTATGAGCTCAGATAAATGCAAGAGCAATACTCTAAACTTACTAGCAAAATCTTGCCACATTTTATACTTCCAATACTCTAAAACTATATACTCAACCACATTCACATTCACAAATGTTCTCTAAACAATCTGAAGTAACAACATTGCAATCGAATTTAGCAAGATTCTAAACTTACTAGCAAGATCTTGGCACATTTATTCTTTCAATACTCCCAATTTATACCATGTTTGAGAAATGTCTTAAGTACACTCGGAATTGGAGTAACTTTGATTATGCAATTCAAGATTCTGTCAAAGCATAAACGAATCTGAAACTCTTCTTTTGGCAATAGAAACGTTCAAACCGAATTAAACGAACCGTGTTGACAGTAGTTTGCGTAAACAGCATTGTTCACAACACCGAACTGATCCAATTCATAGTCACGAACTTTGAGCTCAACCTCATGGAACTCACTCATTCTGCAAATTTCAAAAAATTTCACTTCAGATTTTGAGATCAGAGAAAAATTAGATCATCTAAACTCTATCTCGCTTAACGATAACAACAATGTCGCACTAAATCGTCGATACACACAATTCGATCGCAATTCTCACAGTTACGCAGCCGATTTACACAGCAGAAGCAAAATCGAAGCGAGAAAAACGAAATTCGAAGAGATGCATGTTCGTATCGTACCCTTTGCCGCCTTTGAGATCGAGAAATGCGAGAGGCTTGAAGGTTTTTGCGCTCTCCCTCCGGAGAGGTAAGATAAGCGGTTGCCTCCACGCATAGGGGAACATTGCCGGCAGACGGAGTAGATTCGGCGATGGCGCCATCATAGGCATCGCCGGAACCGCCGTGCTGGTAACCTGAAACATTCGAGTTTTTTAGTTGGGGAAATTCAGAGTTTTGTGAAAATTTTGGTTTCGGTTTTGGTTAGTTTGAAAGGAAGAAAGCGAATTAAATGATTAATCTATTACATAAAATAATCGAGTTGGTTAGCTGTGTAGTTGGTTAGGTATACCGTATACGGAATCAAATCTTTTAAATTTTAATGACGATTGCCTACGTGGCAATCAAACCGAAAATATAATTTGCTTACCAAATAACTCTGTTTTAAAAACCGGTCAGCCGAACCGGTTAGAATTGGAGTCAATATTTGGCTAACCTTTTTTTGCCGCACAGACGACATAATTGAAAAACATGGCGAGTCCCTTATCGCGGCTGTGCGATCCCTACAGTCTTGTCCCTAGTCTCACTTTAGTGGTGGATATTGTGAAGACCTTTTTACCAGATTTATGCCAATTTGGTATGAATTTTCTGGATATGATCAATCCATTTGTGATCCTTGATGGAGTTTATCTCTTTCCCAAAATTTATGTGTGCTTTGAATGGTGTTATTGCAGGAAGTTGGAGTTTGAAAGTTTCAAACACTTCGCTCCATGTAGGCTAGTAACTTGGTGTTTTGTCGCTAGAGAGTTCAATGCCGTTTCTTTAGTTGCTAAACTTGCACTAGTTATATTTTCAACCCCGGATTTAGTATCAATGAAGGTATTTCCAAGACACAATTTTACTTCTTCTTATTATGTTCGAGTTTAGAGGACATCTCTTCGTCTTTGGTGGTTTAAGTGTTGTTTTTTGCCCTTATCCATGTTGTCTTTGTTTTCATTCCCGCTTGCAATGTGGTGTATTTAGCCGGTTTGGCTTTGTTATCATGTTTTTGGAACAATTCTTCCTCTAATAGAGAGTAATTATCAATGAAAATTACTAGTTCATCCAAAAAAAAAAAAAAAACATGGCGAGTAATCAAAAATCGATTGGGCAGTAACATCAAAAATTCGGTCCAATAAAATCACAAATTCGGCTCATATCATCACATTTACTTTTTCTCTTTCCCAAAGAATCAGATTAGAGAACTTTTGTTTATAAAATCTAACTCTAACTACGATTTTCGTGAAATCAGCCTCAAATCAACCAAAAACCAAACTCAAATCACAATGTTTTGATGTATTATCTTGTATATAAAATGTACTAAAAGTTCCTCCCCAAGTACTCGCTGATTTTTGAAACTCGTACTTCCTTTTTAGTAGCGACAAAAAAAATATACAAAACTCTCGCGTCTTATAAATCGTGTGTTGTTTTTATTTCTTGCTTACTCGTCTTACTTTGAGGGTCAAATTATAAAATGTTTCTAAATCTTCTCCGAATATCCACACTTTCTAATCTTTATAGACAATTCTTCCTTCTTGCTTCTTCCTCCTCCTTTCACCACTTCACAACACTGTCTTTGCGGTGCCTGTCAACAAATAAAAAATTTAAAAGATATATCCAAACTAGCTACAAACTCATCCAAAATATCAAATGATGAAAAAGAAAAATAAAAACACTAACCCTTTTCCAATACTCTGGATCAATCTTCATTGAAGTCACCAATATTCTCTTCACCTCGGTTACCTTCGAATGCTCACTCTTTTCGCAATGACCATACTTCTTATCCCCTAAGCTATACCAAGTTTTCGTCATACCCTCCCTCAAAGCCTCTGCACCATCCATGAAATAAACGACGGGCCTTTCACACGGGTCAGGACTCAAAGGACGTGTGTTAAACGTGAAAGATCCATTGCTCCAAGACCGCCAAGTTTTGAACGTCTGTAACGGCGTAGCCAGCTCTGTAGCCGACAAGAAGTAAGTGTAAATCTGAATGGAGTAACCCCAAGATATGGATATGGACCATTGACGCTTGCGGTCATGGCAATTAATCTGTTGAAGTATCCGATTTGGGTCTAAAGTGTAAGGTTTCATTAGGGTTTGTAACGACTCGATCGTGTTTTGGTTAGGAAACATTGGATCCAAATAATCCAGGTGATGTAACGATACAAGTGGTGCTAGTGGATGTGCTGCTAGAAACCCGTATGGATCTTCTCTTATGTCAAGCTGCAATTGTTTATTTTTTTGTTTATCGTCACAATACAACAAAGAATGTTGTGAGCTTCAAAAATATAACATAAATACACGATTTAATATATACTTTTAGCTTCTATTAACGGTTAAATCTAACCAAGAAATGATCCTAAATATCCAATTGGACAAATCCAAAACTAAATGTAGATATGAAAACGGTCACTTGATCATCAATCAATGAACTAGCAAGTGCTAAACATATTAAAACCAAAAAAGTGCTAAAACTTTCATATCGATTTGACTAATTGATTAACGTATATAAGTCGTTTTTAACTTTTTTTAGGAAAAAAATACTAATGTCTATAAGGTTTTGATTTTATTTCGAGGAATACTCTGAAATAACTTAGCACACCAAATTTAAATTTTCAGAATGGTACAAACAATTATGTGAAAACACTTCTTTATCCTAAAAACCAAATTTGAACATTATGTTTAATTTTTTCTTTTCTTTTTTCAAATTAGGTTTTAAACTCCCTCCATTAAAAACGAATTTTGAGTCATTTTGATATTTAATTTTTGCTATTGCTGAAAGATTAAACTAATGTTACTGCATTTGAAACAAAAATTTCAAAAATGTGCTATTTTGGACAATTGTCTAATTTTTAAAGAAAAAAAATACTAATCCCTATAGTTTTTATTTTTCTTCTTTTCATGGCACAAAGGAAATGCTTGCACGTTCGTAACTTCGTATAATACCTGGTGAAAGCCACGTTCTTGGGTTAACGGAACGCCGAGCTCACTAATGCAAGCCGCGATTCTCTGATCCGACCCGTAAAAATAAAAATACCGGTCGAGACAACCGTCAATCGCCGCGGCTAAACGCGTCATCAGCGGACGGCTAATGGCGAAACCGCCGCCGCCAAAGGCCATGTCGTAAGTATGCACCTCATCCTGCTCCACACTCTCAGAGTTTCCACCAATGTACCACATCTGCTCGTGGTCGTACTTGGAGAGAATCTTGACAAGATTATCGGTGAAGAAGACTGTATCATCATCTCCCATCACGAACCATCTCACATTCGGTAGGTTTGCTTGATAACTGTCCCATATGATACGAGCGATGCGAACTCCGTCTCTCGAGCTGGAGAAATTGAATCTTGTCCAGCTTGGATCAGAGACTCGAGTTGGGATCAAGAACCGGTTATCGGGGATTTTAACCGGTTTGTCGAGCCAGACGAAGCCGCGAGTGGAGTTTCGCCACCATAAGGAGGTGTACTGGCTCCGGTCGAGCCAGGTTTCGTTTGCTCCGGCGATACAGAACTGGATGTGGGATATGTTGGTCTGCACGACGGCTGATGCGGTCACCGGAAAGTCTAGAGAATTCTCGGGCACGTCGTAGGAGGGTGGAGAAGAGGTGCGAAGAACGAGAGAGATGGAGACGATGAGGCACGTGAGGATGGAGATGTAGATGAAAAGCACGAGGTAGTCACGTGGCCGCTCTGGTCTGAAAAAGCAACTGGACAACTTCAGGTGGTGGATCTTACTCATTACCGATTTACCGGAGATAACTTAATACTTAAAACCGAATTTTTGTTTTTTTCTGTTTATTGGAGTCACAATTTTGTATCTGAAACAAACACTTAAATGGAAAACACGAATGTCAACAGTGAGAGAACTTTCTTAAAAATATGTTAGTAATAGATTTATATCAAGTTTTCGAATTATAATGTTTGAATCTAACGAAGAAGACGGGTTCATGAAACACAAAACGAGGGAGATGTCGTTAGTCAACGGTGACAGAACTTTTGAAATAATTGTTGTTGCCAATAAAATTAGAACACATGTAAATTTAAAATTCATAAAAAATCAAAATATTTTAAATAAAAATAACATCACTGTAGCCTGTAGGCAAAGTTAGTTGAATAATTAAAATAGACACATTTAATCAACATTTGAAACTTCTCTACATAGTTTGTTATTTACGTTAATACAGTTAATTCCCGTTAATTTACCATTTTAATGTAGATGAATAGAATTATTAATTCTATTAAGAGATGGATAAAACAAGAGAGTTATAAATGTTATAGTATATAGAATTGTAGATAGAGTGGGCAGACATGGAAGCACGCATTTGCAATACAATAACAACAACAACAACAACAACAACAACAACTCTACTCACAGTTTATTTTCCCCTTTCGGATTATATTTGAAACAAAGATACTAAGTACGAAATGCTAAGATGTGCTTTGATGAATAAAGATGCACATGTCGATACCACGTTGCGAGTTGTCGAAATAATTAAGATGCAAATGTTCAACATCACTTTGGGACTTGGGAGTTGTCCATTTGCTTAATTAATTTGGTCTCACTTAAGAATGCAAATGTCCATACCACGTTGCGAGCTGTCCCAATTACTTAATTATTCACAGATAAGTTAATTTGTGATGTTAAAAGACTATATTATTGGATCGATGTAAATTTCATACAAACATTAATTTTCATTTTTTTGTTTGCATACACAACCACTTGTAAGAAAAATTAAAATATATATAGAGTTGGATAGGGGTTAATATAGTTTGGCAACACTTAAAGACTTAAAGACTAGTTTGGCAACACCTAAAGACTAAAGACTTCGAGAGAATGTTAGGGTTAATCTAGTTTGGCAACACTTAAAGACTTGAATTTGAAGGCTTAGATGATTAATGATAACGCTGACAACTCCTCCGAATGCTTAGAATGGTGGCAACTCAAGCATCAAGATACTAACATCTGGAAACAGAGAAACTACTTGCTTCACAAATCACAACAATCGATATGTTGCTCTAGAAACAATCTTTAGAAAGATTGAAAAACAAATAAAAAACACAATCACGGCAAGAAGTCACAAACGGCGATTCCGAAACTTAAATGCCCCATATTAATTGTTGTTATAAATGAAAACTCAACCATCTCCAAAAGTACATTTCAAAGAACACTATCAAAGAACTTTCATTGTTGTTAGTCTATTAATATTTGTTAGTCTATTAACAGTTATAAATACTATATAATTGGATTTAAAACAATTGATTTTTTTTTTATTCATAATAGTTTGGTCATTTTGGATACAAAAGTTAGTTTTTAAAATACTTTAAACTTTTGCAATATTCTTACAAATTTCCCCTAAAAGTAAACTAAAATAGAAATTAAAAACAAGTTGTGTTAGATTATTATAGTCATTATACTAAATTAAATTTGAAAGATTCTTGTATATTTATTCATATTAATGTTTATTTTTATAATTTTGTAGATTTTTGCTCGATTACTATTTACTACTATTCAATTTATGAGCTTTAATGTTATTATATTACAAAAATTATTAACGAATATGTACGTAAATTATCTTACCTTTTTTTTTTGGTTAAAGTGGGGCTTCATAAATTATTAGTCTCACTTAAAAAAAATTAATAAGTCGCAGTGACTGCAAAGCGATCGAAACAAACTTTTGACACAAGTAAACGAACTTTTATTTTGGCTTCAATCAACATATAACGGCTATAAGTTTAACAAAAACTGTTAATGTACAAATTGTGCGGCACAAAAGATCACAAATAAATGCTGAAGCATCTGCTTCCACGTGAACCCATTTGGTTTTCACACACGATTCACTTCCTAAACAGAAAATCAGAAAAATGATTCGGTATCTACAAAATCATAAAATATCCATTCCTCTCTTTTGACCTTAAAAAGCATTTTCACACCAATACACACCTCTTCTACGACAAGATCTCCGGATTCACTTCCTTATACGTCTCCATTCTTCATCACCATATATACATACAAGAACCACCAAATGAAAACTCAACCATCTCTTAAGTACATTTCAAAGAAGACTCTCAAATGGCAAACCAAAGAGGGTTACATGTAGTGATGATCATCACAGCTTGGTTTCTTTCTTCAGCAACTAGCATCCATGGCTGGGGAATAGAAGGTCACACCATCGTCTGTCAAATCGCTCAGGTTTTTTCATCTTCTTCATCTTTTACTTTATATAATCAAAATAATGTACCAAACAACTAACAAGTAATGAGAACAAAACAGGCTAGGCTTGATGAAACTGCAGCGAAGGCGGTGAAAGAGCTCTTACCTGCATCAGCAGAAGGAAACTTGTCAAGCTTATGCGTTTGGGCTGATCGTGTCAAATTCAGATACCATTGGTCTTCTCCTCTTCATTACATCAACACTCCTGATACATGCTCATACAATTACAACAGTGAGAGAGCTTTTTTTTTCATTATCATCAAAACATATAGTGAACAAGATTCCAACCACAGTTTGTTTTTGTTTTTTGGTGTCTCAAGGGGATTGTAAAGACGAAGATGGAGTGAAAGGAAGATGTGTTGCAGGAGCTATTTACAATTACACCACACAGCTTCTTACCTATAACACTGCAGAAGCTTCATCTCAGTCTCAATGTATAAACCAAAACTTCTCCACACCAATTCTCTCATCTTCTATCTCTCACTCACTCGCTCACATGTTCTCTTTTGTTGTCATCAGACAACTTAACAGAGGCACTGCTCTTCCTTTCTCATTTCATGGGTGATATCCATCAGGTAAGATTGCAATTTACAAATCCGAAAAAGATACATAAACTGTTTCTTATCTGGATATGTCTAAAATGGTTAAAAAAAATGCAGCCTTTACATGTGAGTTTTGCTTCGGATAAAGGAGGGAACACCATAGATGTGCATTGGTACAGGAGAAAAGCCAACCTTCACCATGTAAGAAAACCAAAATAAAAAACAGAGTTCTCACAAAACTCATTAGATATCATATTTTTACAGAGTTCTAAGGTTTAAGATTGATATAGGTTTGGGACTCCAGCATCATTGAGACCGCTGAAGCAGATCTCTACAACTCCGAGCTTGGAGGAATGGTGGATGCAATAACAAAGAATATCACGGTACTATATAAATATATAATGTTCTCTACCTTATATAATACAAGTTGTTTCTGACTTGACTGACATATTATTCAATAAAATTGCAGACAGAATGGGCAAGTCAAGTCAGTAGATGGGAGAGTTGCACAAAGAAAACTGCATGCCCAGACATGTAAGTCAGATACACAAGATTACAGTATACCTTTCAAACCAGCAAGAACCAGATTTTTAACTTTCACTTGCTTTCACCTGCAAACTTCATACACAGATACGCATCTGAAGGTATTCAAGCAGCTTGTGACTGGGCATACAAGGGAGTAACTGAAGGAGACACTCTAGAAGGTAAAGGATAAACGAATAAACAATATAGATTCACAAAAAAAACAGAGAAATAACAAAGAACATAATGTCGTCTTTGCAGATGAATACTTTTATTCTCGTCTACCGATAGTGTATCAACGCTTAGCACAAGGAGGTGTGAGACTAGCAGCTACTCTAAACAGGATTTTCGGTTGAAGCTGAGCTTATAGCATCTGATTGTTCTAAGTACCGATTCAGATTATTAAACTACATATCGGAACAATGAAAATGCAGAGAAGAGACTGCAAAGCTCATTCTTTTATCAAACAAAATATATTATTGTGTACTCACAAAGTTTTACTTCAAACAGTAGTAATAAACAAGGAGAGCATTATTATCAATATGTTTACAATACACACACATACAGCAAGCGAAGGTTACTCAAGCTCTGGCGAGGGAAGGATCTTTTCAAGCCTTTGTCCTCACCACAAGAACTGGGCACTTAGCTTTGTTAACACAGTAATTGCTAACACTTCCAAGGAACGTCCTGTCACACACAAACATACACAATATAAGACACATAATCATCTTCCATTGCTAAATAATCATCTTAATGTTAAAATTTGGTCACACACACCTTTCTAGTTTCCCTTTACCATTGCTTCCAACGATAAGCAAATCAACACCAAGCTGTTCAACAGCATCACATATCGCTTCTTTAGGAACTCCAAACTCCATCACCTTCTTTGGTGTAACCTGTTTACACAAACACAACCAAGCCATGAATTTTCTTAGACCATTTTCTGACTAATTTCATATTAACTGATTGAATAGATACAAACCCCACTCTCAGCACAGATTTTGACCCCAACATCAAGCCGATTCAATCCAGCGTTCTTATGATTCTCTTGCATTGAATTTATCAGCTCCATCGCTGAAAAAAAAAAAAAAAAAATTAGGCAACAACATTCAAGTCAATTTCAAAATCGAACCATGAACAACAAATGAAATTGATCCCGGCTATTTCAACAGATACTTACGAGCGGCGCCATAAGAGGAAGCGTAGACGCAGCTGAGATCAAGTGGAGGCTGGGCGGTGAAGAGGATGATATCTGAATCGGCGAGACTTTCCTTGAGGTACTCGAGCGTCCATTTCAGAGCGCGTTTACTGCAATCGCTTTCGTCCATCGCCACCATCACTTGCTTCTTCCCGCTTCTCTCTTCCGCCATGGTGTCTTCTCTCTTCTTCTTCGTGATCATAAATTCGTGATCGTCTTCTCAATGAAAAAAAAAAAAAACTGAGCAACGAACGAAGCAAATTTTGTATTTTGGACTTTGAAAGAAGTTTCTTCAGACTTCAACAGAGAAAGAAAGGAGACGAAGGACCGTGGAGGCACGTGCTGGTGACGTGTCGTTCACTAGAGAAGCCCACGAGACTCTTCTCGAGACTTCAGTTACATGGGCCTGGCCCAACTTCGATTATATCAGATAAATTTTTTTTTTTGAATAAAATCGGAGAACAAAAAAAAAGTGAAACCATCATCGTCGTCTTCCTTCTCGCTACTTTCTCTGTAATCGAATTCAAGTTTTTGCGCCAAAGTAAGTTTTATATAAACTTTTCTAATTGATTTCGAATCCGACAAGTTTGCTTAATTGGTTGTGATTCGCTGATTGCTTCTCTATTGGGAATTTAGGGTTCTTTCTTCTGTGTTGGCTCCTTAGGGCTTTCGAATCTCATTGTTTTAATGTTTGAGCAGGGGAAAAATGATTTCTGGGTTAATTAATGAGAACCCAACTGTTTACGAGAAAAGCGAGCGTCGTGTTCGAATCGAGTCGAGCAAAACCGATGAGCTCTCACGAGAAGCAATAGATCAGCTTGAAGTTTATGATATCCTTTTTTCTATTTGCTCTTGCTCTTACACTGTTTCAGTTTCTAGAATTATACTAAATTTCTCATAGGTTTGATTGACAATGCAATTAATGGACCATTTTGGTTTTGCTTAACATTTTTGAACACATCATATAAGAGATATCAAAGATCCAGAGCATCCTTTATCTTTGGAACAACTCAGAGTAGTCACAGAAGACTCTGTCGAAGTGGATGATGAGAAGAGCCATGTTAGGTAAACAAAAAGCTGGGAACTTTGGATTGAAACCTTTTTGTGATTTTGTTTTTGTATAGAGTTTTAGTTTTTTAAATTGGAGCCAAATTGTGTTGAGAGTCTTGCTATTTTCTTATTTCAGGGTTACATTCACTCCAACTATGGAACATTGTAGCATGGCCACTCTTATCGGTCTTTGTATCCGAGTGAAGCTTATGCGAAGCCTTCCTTCTCGATACAAGGTACAAGCTTTTTGATATCTTTATGTTTTCTTCGCTTATGTGAGCATTTTGAAGATGATATTTTGAGATTTATGCATTGCTGAGAATTGTTTGAACATAACCGAAGCTAGAACATTTGGTTAGAATCATATACATGGATTGTTGCAGTAAATAAAAGGTTACTAACACATATTCTCCTTGTGATATGTGAGGCAAAGAACCATTATTTGGCTTCATTGTTGTTCTGATGATTGGCTGATTGCTAAGACAATATAGCTTTAGACTTTACTATATGTTATTACGATTGCTTTTATGTGCCTCAATCCTCTGAAAAGACTCTTTTCTATTCTTTTTCAGATTGATATAAGGGTCGCACCTGGTACTCACGAAACAGAGGATGCATGTATGTCTTTTTCGATATTTGGTTTTTGATCCATCATTAAAATCTAGTAGAGTGATAGAGCAAGTTTCAGTTGATTCTTGAAATAGCAAATGACATTTTCTTGTTTCTTGCTTTGCAGTGAATAAACAGATAAATGACAAAGAACGTGTGGCGGCTGCACTAGAGAATCCAAACCTCGTGGAGGTGGTTGATGAATGCCTGCTTCCATCGTTTGAGTGATGCTTGATCCTCTCAGGGTACACACTATCATAATATGTATCTGATTTTGTCTGCAGAGATCTTAAATCGACTAGGACTTGTTTTGTAATTCACTTTCTTGGTTTGTTTCAAATACTCTGTTCTCTCATTTTGTTTCTATCTTAAAATCACGGTCTTTGTCACTACTAAACTTTAACAGGAGTTTTTGTATAGCAACTTGGTATCAAGATCAACCTAAAATGCATTATCTCTAATGATCCAATAGAATCTTGCAAGTTGCAATCATCTTTTCTCATATAAAATGTTTTTATTGATGGGTCTTGTGAATAATGTTTTCGTTGGAACGACACTAGTCCTCAGAAATCTCTATGGACTTGTAAATCGGCAATAGTGAAATTACCATTCACTTCATCTTCCAAGTGGCACCACTCTCTGCTAACTCTTATCCTTTAATCAAATCTTGTGCATGTGTAAGTTGTGAACGACAAATGGCAAACAAGAAACTCAAATTATTTATGTTAGTCTAATTCTATTGATACTGTGTTGAATGGGTGAATTTTCTTGGAAACACAAATGAGTGTGTTACTAAAACTATATACTAAAATATCATTGTTAATTGTTTACAAAAATGATAATGAGGACGACAAATGTCAAGTCGACTTTATTTTCTTTATTCCTGGTCTTTAGGCTTTGTTTAGTGAGTTATCTGTTATCATCAACTTCAAAAGATTGGTTTTAAACAGTAGCATGAGGGGTATTAGCAATACATAAGTTTATAATACATGCACATAGACATTCTTGACTTCTTGGTATAAAGCGACACGACACTTCCTTATTTTTCCAAAATTATTGTTTGTTTAGCAACAAAACAGGATAATATTATAATATCAAACTTGAAAGTTTATTGACTAATGAAAAACTGTTATAGAGTAGGGGCTCTTTGAATATTCAAAGTTTGAAGGATATATGCTTCTAGAAATTAGTGTTAAAAAACAATTAGCTGTCGTCAAGCTTTTATTCAAGAAGTTTATTAAATTGTTACTCCAAGGCAAAGTTGAGTTAAAGACAACTACAGGAGAGGTATGAAAAGAAAAGATAACTAACCACATAGATGGATAGCTGTTCTTAACTTTTCCAGTAAAGTTAATTTGTTTAAGAATCTAAACTGTACTTCCTCTTACAAAATTCTGTTCCATTTTCTTCTCTTTTTCTTCTATTATAATATGTTCGATATTCTATGTCACATGAACATCTAATCCATATAGTCAAGTCACCAAGTTCCATTCCGTTTCATCATCAGAAATAAAAGCTAGTGAAACTGTATCTATATATTCTGTACTTCTTATAAACCATATTCATATACCTGGTCCACTGCAAGATTCGAATAATGCAAATATAAATATATTTTCTATGAGGTGTGTTATGCAGTTACATGCAAATATTTATCGAGCTACAATAACATTGAGTGATTTACACTAGAACGCACTTATATGTCTTTGTAGGGTTCGGTGTCTAATCCATTGACATTTTCTTATAAAAGGTTTTCCACAAATTCACATTTGGATGAATTATTGAACTGAAACCAAAACCAAGTAACTTTCAATTGCATATTGTATGTAAATCTTAAGATTTGAGTTCTAAAAGTTTGGTAGGCCACGAGATATGAGATATTGTCAATCGCAAAAACACACTAATTATATATCATCTATATTTGATGTGTTTTCTTGTCTCAATATCTAACTGATAGAATGTAAATTCCCGATTATGTATTAAGATTTATTTATTTTTATCAATGCATTCTGCAAGTTTGAATCCAGGTAAATCACACAATAATGGCACTAATACAAACAACATACTATAGTTACATGTTCTAATCCGGTCTTGTATTATGATAACCATACTCAATTGATATAGACCTTTTTTCTTTCTTTAATTGCTTAATAATGTTAATACTATGAGTTACACCGACAAGCTAATTAAGTTAAATAAATTTTGAAAACGTGTGATAATTAGTGTTTCATTGGAAAAAAGCGAAGATGATGGCTAAAGTATGAACATTTTCCAATACCACGGTCCACGAGCCTATAAATTCCCAAGAACCTGTGGATTCACTTTCACTTCTCAAAGCACTAAAAATCAATCTCTCTATCTTCATCTCTCTCTATACACTAATGCATGCATAGAGCTTAGGAGACACCAAAACACACAAACTTTTTTTTTTTGTTAAACACCAAAACACACAAACATATTACCATAAATTGAAATTAATTAATTAGGATGGAAAATTCGAAGAAGAAGAAAAGCTTCAAAGAAAGTGAAGATGCAGAGCTGAGAAGAGGACCTTGGACTCTAGAGGAAGACACTCTTCTCACTAATTACATTCTCCATAACGGTGAAGGCCGTTGGAATCTCGTCGCCAAATGTGCTGGTATATATTTCTTAATCAAAATGTTATTTTGATTTACAAGATTCTCTAATCACTATCATAATCTTTTTTTATAAAAACAGGGCTAAAGAGAACCGGAAAAAGTTGTAGATTGAGATGGTTAAATTACTTGAAACCTGACATAAGACGAGGGAATCTAACTCCTCAAGAACAGCTTTTGATCCTCGAGCTCCATTCTAAATGGGGTAATAGGTACGTCACTCTCCATCTCCATCATCAGATTCTTGTTTGTTTTTCTTCTTATTTTCAAGAAGTTATGGACCTTTGACCATAATCAATCACTTTTGTGTTTTAAAGGTGGTCCAAGATTGCACAGTACTTGCCAGGAAGAACAGACAACGAGATCAAGAACTATTGGAGAACAAGAGTTCAGAAACAAGCTCGACAGCTCAACATCGAATCCAACAGCGACAAGTTCTTTGACGCTGTTCGTAGCTTCTGGGTCCCTAGATTGATCGAGAAGATGGAGCAAAACTCATCCACTACTAATTATTCTTGTCCCCAAAACAACAACAATAACAACTCTCTTCCTCTTCCTTCTCAGTCTCATGATGACTCCATGAGTATACTAAACCATACAGATTTTTCGGGTCAGAGCACCATGGATGGTTCTACTTCAAGTTCCACTTTCATGACTGATCTCACTACAGTTCCACACTTTATGGATCACAACAACACCATCGATGATAGTTTGATGTGTTTCCGTGACGGAGATGATCAAGAACTCGGAGGATATATCCCTGGCATGGAGGAATATTACATGGGAAATTCAGACGTGTTAATGGAATGCCACGTGGAGGAAGCGTACGAGGATGTAACACAAGATCCCATGTGGAACATGGATGACATTTGGCAGTTTAGGGAGTAATACTGTTAAGTCAGTCAAGAGATGAGAGTGTGGAGCCCACAACCATGGTTTTATTTATTTTATATACTACGACTACTATCCTTTTCATTTGAGTTTATTAATATCAAAAGTTGGTGGATAAATATTTATAATGGTACTTCGTTTATATAAGTCTTTGAATTCTTGTATAAATCTTTTGCATAAGTATATTTGCACAGATTGATATATAAATCGCTTGCTCAGTCATGTTAATTACATGTATAATCATGTCAAGTTTAAACATGACTAACTAATTAAGCATGAGGGTAAATAGTAAAGAGTAGTCTCTTGTCTTGAATTCTTTGTTACTTATGTGGATTATAGTGAGAAAATGAGAAACTTAAGAAGAGAACATATCTAATCTCGCCTCAACAGGTGGAAGAACCCAAAAGCTAGGAGGGGCTCTATCCAATGAAATTAATTTGATGGGGATAGGTTATAATTTGGAAGATATGCGTGCAAAGTTGACGATATTACAGGAGAGTTTGATTGACATATATCGTTTGTTTTGTGGAATCATTAAAAAAAAGTTAAACGAAGTACTGATTCTTACAGTTTGACAATATATATTTAGCCAAATATCCATATTGGGAAGTATTATACAACAGATCAATGATATGATGGGGTTTGGATAACACTCTTTAGTTGTTCAAAAAAAAAAGGATAACACTCTTTCATTTGCAGGGTTAATCAAAACTAAAAGAAACAAAGACTATATATTTTCTCAAAGCCTTATGCTTTTCAGCACCAATAGTAAGCAATGTATGTTCAGAGGGATAAATAGAAACAAAGGACTCATTGATATATTAATTATTATTCCAAAAGAGCTTCAACCAAAATGATAGAGAAAGGTGGCTTTGAAGAAGTCTTGTTAATGGGATCCGAATTATTGGAGGTCACTTCAAAAGCCTTTCATATGTACATGAAAACTCCACAATGATTTGAACCCAAAGGTACCACTAAAAGTTGGAACAAACATTGATGCACTTTTGAGAGGTCACACACATTGTGTATACAAATGTTTATCTATTTCATGTGAGGTTTGGAATAATTAACGAACTTTCCTGATATAATTGAGTATCTAAATAACTTTTTTTCTTCTTATAATCGAATCCTGCGACGAATATAAATCTCTAATATTAAGTCGGCAGTAATGGTTTATATAAAACTGGTGGACTAAACTCAAATAGAATAATTTAGTAGAAGTTAAACTTTAGAAAAGACATGAGTCAGGTGGACCCGAATTAAACAGAAACATTACTGATTTACTGTACTAGAGATTGAAGCCCCGCGTACACGCGGGGTTGTTTGTGATAATTATTTTGTATGATTTTATTTATCTTTGTTGATTTGAATAATAATAGTTTTGTGTTAGTCTCCATGTTTTGATTATATTTTGAGTTAACTCAATCACTCACACTAAGCATATGATCAATTTGTTTTGTTTTATTTTATTAAGATGTTAACTCTACACTTCATCTCGAGCTTTTCGTAGAATCGCATTTGCATTCGATGTATTACTGTTTACATATATGTTTTGTTGTGGTAGCATTTGAGCATAATGACCTATTGATTATTTCTATAATGTTAGTTTTGTAAATATAGATTGTATTTTTGAAACAAACATGTCACAATCCTTAAAATTTTCATGTTTTATTTGGGTTTTTAAAAAGAACTCTAAATATAATTTCTCATTAACTTCTACTATATAAACTAAATTATATTCTAATTTTTTTTAACTTGTAAACACATTATAACATTTAAAAAATAGGAGAAATCTTCTATAAAAAATTCTAACTCTAATTTTTTTCATGAGCTTTCTACTATATTAATCAAAAAATTATATTCAATATTTTTGAACTTGTAAACACATTATAAACTTTTTAAATAGGAAAAATACTATTTTATGTTGCATATTTCTTTATTTCATCTCCATTTTATATTACAAATGTTTCTTTAAATTTTAACACCAAGTTATCACATACTTTATTTTAATTAATTAATGTATTTGTGTATTTTTTTAGTTTTATTTATTTTAAAATAGAATATATGTAAAGAAATATGAAAAGACAAGTATTTAATAAATATTGTAAATATAATTTATTATTTTTGTGCTGATGTGGACACTCTAGATGGAGAGAGCAACTCCCTAATTATATACTCCCTCCGTTTCAAATTAGTTGTCGTTTTGGCAAAATGTATCTGCAAATATTTGGACGTATCTGGACAATTGCAGATACGTCCAAATATTTGCAGATACATTTTGCCAAAACGACAACTAATTTGAAACGGAGGGAGTATAAGATAGGTCAAATGTTCATTTATTAGGGATATATGTTAGTTGAAGTTAATTTTACAAATAAAATATCCAGGACACAAAAATCAACATTGATCTTACAATTTAATTTTATAATCATTTTTATTAACTGAAACTATCATGATCACCCCATAAAATCATATGTCCCAAGTGAACAATATGGTCTAGATAGGCCAAAACAACATTCCTAGCCCAGAAGACCAGAGTTTTAGTTTATAAATCGACAACATAAAATGATTAATATACCAAGTTAATATAGGTCTTTGATATGAAGAAATTATGGGTTCTTAAGGCTAATTCTTTTTGGTTAGTAGAAACAAATTATGGTGAAGTAGAGTGATGTTTTAGTAAGAAAGACTTAGAGAAGCCAAAAGTCAAGATGATTGTTTGAAGGAGAGACACCAACTTTAAAACACCAGCTGGTTTGGTTCATGAAACAAGACACATTTTACAACAAAAGCAATGATCATCTCTTAAAGCAAACAGTGTTATTTTGGCACCAAAATTTACAACCATACGTTAACATGTATAACGTTTTTTTATTTCAACATATAAGTACAACCTATATATTTCTCCTACTATGATATTCTCATTTTCTTCGTTACCATGTTCATTTCTTCACATTCTTCAAACAAATCCAATCCTCCTCACTTCCATAACTAATTTTATTCAAAATCAAATTTAGTCAAACCTAAGACATGACGAAACTCATGTTTCGCTGATTAATTAGTTAGGCAACCTCATACTCCAACAATTTAACTGTGTATTGGCACGTGCGCTTGTCAAGATTTAAGGATTCTTTTTAAAACTTCACTTGTTACTGATAAATATTATTTTTCCTAAAAGTTTTTCATGTTTTTTTAACACAATTTTTCCATAACATGTTTTTCTATGCAGACACTTATCTTTACCAATCAAATAAACGAATAATCTATTACCATGGAGTTTTCTATTAAGCTACTATGTTTATTTATATCTAAAAGTATGAGATACTAAATTTTCATCTCGAATTTTCGACAGTGTCGATTTGTTATTTGCTTAATTATAGCAACTTATGACTTTTCTAATCTGTTAGAATAAAATCTTTCCTATTGCCATTTATAAAAGTATCTATTTTATTTTATGCAACTTTGTAACATGTGATATCTAGCTAGAAAAGAAAAACAAATACTTATTCGTTCCAATCTACTGATATTTTTGGGGATAGTATATTCTTTTGGGTGTAAGTTGTTTTGATCGATCATGATCATGGAAAACTTTATACTGTCTCATCTCAAAATAAAATCAAAGAGAACAAAGATAAAAGATAAGTGACGTACTGATGCCATATGCAGTTGCAGAAATACACATGAAGAGCATAGAATCAAAGTTTAGTGAATGAGTACTGTGTCAGTAACATTATCCTTAAATCCCAAAGGGCCCCTTATACCTTCTAAAATCAGTAATATTTTACATGTGCTTCTTTGGATTCATATACCATAAATGATAAATTCCACATTCGTTGAACCAATTATTAAACTTTTGAGCAATGTAAAATGGAAGAAAAACAAAATTAAAGGTTGATGTGAGGGTTAAGGATATAAAAATAGAAGCTATATAGCACAAAATGTAACAGTCTCTTTCAATTTTTTGAGTCAATCAAAATCACATGCGTGAAAAGACTAAACTCTCTTTAGTCTCTCAACCACAGAGAGCTTTCGGCCACTTTGTAGGGCAGTAAGTATCAACATCACACTATAGCAGATAGAGAAAGATAGATCCAATGGTTATGGTTTGAATATTGTTGACGAGCTTACATTTTTGACTAAAGACTTTCACAAACTCTTTAACATACAGTACTTCAATTCAGGATGTTGCATTACGTGCATATCAAGCCAATATATTCTTTTAACTGTTTATCACTTCCTAGCTTTACCTTAGCTGTCTCTCAATGTGCTGTCCGGTTGAACACTAGATTTTCCTCCAGTGTCCCCCCGTTGAAAATTCCATGCAGAAGATTGGGCCAACAACACCAACAGAGAAGAGATCAGTTTCGATGTTTAAGGAATTGGACCAACAACACAAACAAGGCCCAGACGCTTCTACAAACTCAAGTCCACTCGTGAACACAATCGCCTAACAATAAGCGACAATAACCCGTTACAGCATCATTAACAACAAAACAAAAGGGCAAAAATACAGAAACGTGTACTAAAACAATTTTTTTAAAAAATTGAATCACAATAAGGTCTTGGAGTTGGATATAACTAAACAGCCAAATTAGACAAATCTTGGGAGTACTCACTAGAGCATGTAATCTACAAGAAAAAATAAAGTTTAATAAAGTTTTTTTGGTATGAAGTTTAATTAAGTTTGATCTGAACACAAATAACTAGCATGGTTACAATTCAAAACCAAAATTATTTTTTAAAAGAGAAAAAAAAAAGAAGCGAAAATGCATCTTTAGATCTTTAACAAAAAAAATCTCTAGATCTTGTACGATGTTCTTAACACTTTCGTTTAGAGATCCGATCAAACACAAATCACATGTTCCCTAGACGCAATTACATAATATAGTATAAAGCTCACAATTGGTATATATCGTCGTGTGATCGATGTTCCCTTCACATGATCAAGGCAAATGACTTCAATTATTTCACAGAAACATCTCCTGCCGCTTTATTAATTTAATAGCTCTTAATAATATGTCGCCAACAATCAGTATTAATTTGTACATAGATGCAATGTATTGCTGATCCATCTCTATACCTTTTTATCAAAATTTAGATCTTAAACTTATATATACAAACACATTTCAGATCACTGAGCGAATTTATAGCTGCAATGTTTCAAATCAGTAAACATGCATTGCTGATTAAACCATCTTTATAATACTAAGCAATTAATTTTTCTTAGTGGATATTATATTACTGCCCCTTTACAGATATCTATGTAATATGTGAAAAAAAGATGTGAGATAGAAACATGGCAACGATCAAGTACAATGAATGAAATGATACCCTCAGTTATTATTTATTAATAATTGTGGTACTATATGTAGATTCAAATACAGACACTATGATCAGATGTCATTTCCAACAAAAAGATGCAAGAATCACTTGGTAATATAGTACTATTACTTTTTTTGAAAATCTACTGCCGAAGAAGAAGTTAACACTTGTTTACAAAAACAAAAATTTTAAAAAGAAAAAACAATCCTTTTTTATTGTATAGTTTGCAATTTGATTGAGGACCTCAAAATGATCGTGGTTCAGTGTATTCGTGCGACTTGCAACATAAGTGTGGGACACATTCTCGATTCCGATAATGCAAGTATAATTTAACTCAAAACAAACAGTTTAAAAAATAATTAAAGTTGGTTAGATTCGACTCATCATTAACAGTTTGATTGCATATACCATTTGTTTTATATGGATTATGCTGAACACATCAACCATATTTTAATGTTGCATAAACTGCACTGCACAGCTACGTTTAAGCATCTTTTACGAACGATGACAAATATAAGGTAATGGGTATCTTTTTATATTAAGTTTTGGACAAACTATAGATTAAAATCTCGACATAATTACTTTTTTATTTGATTTTGTTCTTTACCTCCTCCTCCTTTAGCTTTTCTTTAGCTGTTCTTCTCCTTTTTCTTTTTTGTTTTATTGTGAAAACCAACAGCTGATCAAATCCCTCCATCTCCTATTGTCTCCTCATTATTCTTCCTTTCGTTAGACAATCTACAAAAGAAAAGCTGAAGCTGCCATTTTTGACTTGAGAATCTTCATTTTTCTTCCTCTACTTTGACTTTAAAATCTTCTTCATTCTCCATGCTTTAACACCATTTCAAATTCTTTTCCCGGGCATTGGCTCTTGACTGATATTAGACGAAGGCAGAGAGAGAGAGAGAGACTCTTGGCTCTTGATTATGGCTATTGACGTTTGCTGTTCGGAGGCTCCTGGTTCAAGAATCAGTCCAAGAAACTCATTCTCCTACGATCTTGACTCAACGGAGGATGAAGTGAGATTAGACTCGACACTTCTTGATTCAGGTTCGGAGTTTGATTTCTGCTTTGGCTCGAGTTGTTCTGTTCAAGAAGTGTCTCCAGCTGATGAACTCTTCTCCGATGGCAAGATACTTCCGGTACAGATCAAGAAGGTAACATTTAGGGTTCAAAGATCAGCTTCTCTCTCATCATCATCATCATCTTCCTCCTCTTCCTCTTCTTCCTCATCGTTTTGTAACCAGAGAGCACCAGAAAAGAAGATTATGAGACTCAAAGAGCTTCTGTTACATCCTGAGTCTGATCTCGAAGACAAGCCAAGAGGATTGTTCTTGCAGTTCAAGAGAAGCATAAGTCTCAACTATGACAAAAGCCGAAACAGTAAAGGGCTAATCAGATCGCTTCATTTCCTCTCAAGAAGCAACTCCACAGGCTCTGCTCCAAACCCTAAACATAACTTGCTTCCCAAGGAAACTCATCAATCTCAAAAGACACACAATCTTCCTAAACAAACATCTCATTTGAGAAGATCCTCTTCGCTCTCTGCTTCATTCCCTTATCACTCAACGAAGAAACCACTCGCCAGAAACAGTTTCGGAAACGGACACGGTGGAATTCGAGTTAGTCCGGTCCTGAATTTCCCACCGCCGGCGTTTATCTCCAACGTCGTCACCGGTGGATTTTTCAGCATTGGATCACTCTGTAATGGTAAGACCAACAGGAAGACAAGATTATGAAGACATCTTTTGTCTTTTGTGGCCGGAGATGAGGAAAAAAAATTTAAACAGAAAATGTCTTTATTTTTTTTATTTTTACTGTTTGTAATATAATGATGGAATATCGACAACACATGTGAAGATTAGACAGCATGTGAGTTTTGTCTGTAATTAATTTCAGAAACCAAAAAAAACAAGAAAAACTTTCACAAAAGTAGGCATATATAGCAGAAGAATAGGAACGCTTCCTTGATTGGATCTTTGGGGTAACATTAGAGTTAGTACTAGTGTATTATCACATGTAAATAAATGTATCAAGAAATAAGATATATCAAACGAACGACAAATTGACCGAAGACAGCAAAATCGAGTAATTTTTGTTTCATATTTCTTTAGTGTATACATTTCCTCTTCTTTCTTTTTGGTTTCATGACCAGCTTCTTCTAAAGCATCTGCTTCATCATCTATGACTCGTAATCTTTAGCCAAACCTGATCACAATAATCATATACAATCCTAAAGTGAGAGAACATGCATTTCCTTGTTCTCGAAGAACTGCACGCATGGTGTTCCCATGATTCCGGCTGCTTCAGCAATTTCTAGATCTTCTCAACAAAATGAAGAGATAACATTCTTAAAGCCCATCTCCAATATTTCCGGCCCATTACTGTTTATTGATACTAATCATTAACAACAACGATAAATGTCTGAAAAGACTTTTCAATTCCCATATAATACCAAAAAACAAAGATAAGAATAATAATTTCTTGATGAACAAGAATGTTTGACAATTTTCATTTTCTTGCGCCCCGAACACATTTGGTAGGCTCCTCCAACATATATGTCCCTATATATAACACAGACATCGGCAGTTTTATAACTCATCAAGTCTCTCAAGCCTATTTAAGCAAAAATGAAGAGTGGAGGTGGTCAACACGGCTTCGTTCGAACCGGGATGATTCATCCGTCGGGTTTTGGAGAATCTACTAAACCTCAATCAAAGCCTACCAACCAGTCAAAACTCACAGAAAAATGTGAGCGGTCGTCTAAATACAGTAATTGTCATGTGTCCCCGGCGATGAAGTCCACTGACAAATCAAAAGGACGCCGAAAGCTACAACCGACAGGTCGGTGGGCTGAGGACAAGCTAGGCCGGCTCACCGGCTCGGGTTCTTCCTCTGCTGGATCCATTTTGGATACATTATGTGGAGACAATTATGATGGTCATGATTATGATCATGATGATGATTGTTAATCATCTGGTTCAGCTATTTGTAACTTGTGTCTATTATTTTTATATATATGTTTGAACTGGATAACAAATGTAATGTTATAAAAAAAACCGTAATGTTCAAAAAAAAAATGTAATGTTCATGGAGAGAAAATGTATTTTTTTTTTGTCAAAGCAAATTTGGGTTGGCGTGATGGTCAATTGTTGTTGAAAATTAATTATTTGATAATTTAATAAACTATAAATTATGAGAACATAACATAACCATCAAGACCAACACATAACCATTTGGTTATGTTATGTTCTGATAATTTATTGTTGAAAGTTAATTATTTGATAATTTAATAAACTATAAATTATCAGAACATAACATAACCATCAAGACCAACACATAACCATTTGGTTATGTTATGTTCTGATAATTTATTGTTGAAAGTTAATTATTTGATAATTTAATAAACTATAAATTGTCAGAACATAACATAACCATCAAGACCAACACATATTATTTGGTTTATAAAACATATATAGAAATAAGGCTGACCAAAAAACTATACAAGTGACCCTGCTACTCGGCTTCGTAAAACAAAGCAGGAGTGTATTAGAATCAATTCCATGATTCCATCCATAGCAGAACTTATGTGATGTAAGAGCAAGATCTAAACATCTTTGCTTACAAGAAAAAATTATCCAACGATACAATAGTAAAACCTCTAAAAGCAAAAACCAAATTTTCATTGACTTTGCTGTAATTTGAAGCTTGACATTGAAATTGCAGAAGCTGCATCAAAAGAAACGAAGATAGTTCAAAAGTTGGGACTCTTACCAATCAATGCTTACGGTGAAGGACGAGTTGAATGTGCAGGTGAAATGAGAAATTGCAGGTCATTGCATGGAGCTTCATAAATCGAAGGCAAGACTTGAAGTTCTCGAATTTTCAGATTGGGAAGAGGCAATTATAACTGACGTGCTTGAGAGTCATGATGCATGGGTTATAGGAATCGGGAGAGCCCAGTTTTGGGTCTCAGGAAAAGCTGCAGGAAAATCAAAATTAGAGCTCAATATATGTGATAGGCTCGGCCTTCCCTTAGCCTATATGAGGAAGAAGAAGAGATAAGAAGGGAGAGAGCTCGCAAGTGGGAGAAGGCAAATGAAAGTGTGGCCAAGTATGAGAGAAGGAAGAAGTGAAAGACTCTATGGGAGGAAGAGGCTTTCATTGGAACTTATTTTATGTAATCAAAAACCCAAATTTTGATCACTTAATTTACCACTTTTTCTCTTATTATTGATTCAATACTTAACTAAAATCTTCAAAAATCACAAGTGTTATTATTATTTTAGTAGCACATATAAAAAATAAAACATTTCTTCCTACTGGTTAATAAAAAAAAAAAGAGTTTTTTAATTTAGACCGTTTCATTTTTTATTTTTCTTTGTAAAAGACCGTTTCATAAATCATAACCATCTGGCAAACTGAATTGAACCAAACCGGAAAAGGTAAACCAGTAGAGACAGAACGAGTCAGACTCACGTAAACAATCCAACGCGGGAAAAAAAGAAAAGCGCCAACGCGGAATTAATTATTTTACCAAAGTCCACTTTGCGACTTTGCGTATATCTCACACACACACACTGACACACACTACTTGATTTATCATTGACCATTACACGCTCTTAGCAAAGTCGCTTCAGCTTCTCAAATGTAGAAAGCACGCAAAATAAGAATCATGAGTCATGACAGTAGTAACTAAAACACAAACAATCTCTGAACGCAATACACTTCCGTGTCACGATCACACAAAAATGGAATTGCAGCGCAGACCGATTCCGAAAAAAGGTTAGTGGTTGCATCAGTAGTCAGACGATATAAGAATGGTCTGAAATCTATGAGATTGGATAGTCACATAAGGCAAGATTTTGGTGAAGAAATGTTAATCCTCTGATTGCTTATTAAAGACAATAATCCGCATAATCTTTTGTACAGGTTTATTCAGCCATTGTGGCAGAAGAAACCAAAATTAACAAAAAAAGACTACTTTTAAAGAAACAAAAATGAAGCAATAATTCAAAGCTTTCAACATTCTGATTTGATTGATCACAACTACAAGTTCAAGTCAGGAAAATAAGGTTGCAAGACTTCAAGTGGAACTAATCATCCATCCATCAGTCCATCATCATCATCATCTCTGCAGAATTGGTAAGCAAACAGTTTTTGATTAGTTACAAAATACGAAACAGAACCAAAACAATTAAATTTCAAGGATGGTGAAAGTTAAATAGTTAAAATTACCTTTCTGTTCTCTTCGGGGTCTGTGATCTTGTAGAGATCTTCAGTAATGTCATACATATAATAAGCCGGATGCAACATCTGTAGCCATGGAAGAAGAAAAGCAAATTCAGAATTGAGTTAAACCAAAATTGGATCAAGGAAGAAGAGAATTGGGGAATTTTTTTGACTCACATTGATCTGTTTCTGAATGGTTCTGGGACGTTTCTTGGGCCGTCGAGATGGTCGCTGACCAATCATCTTCATGAAATCATCTTCGATCTCTTTCTTCGACATCACCGACGTCAATCTCCGCCGCGGTTTCGACGAATCCTCTGGTTTCTCCTCGATAAACTGCATTCCCATGTAATTGCGCTGATTCGCGGCGTTACGGATTCCGGTTTCCGGAACCGGAGCTTTACAAGAAGCTTCTCTTCTCTTTCTTAGATTCCACGGTCTCGCCTCCGCCGCTGTTCCCGGCGCTTCCGGCGGAGAAACCTCCCTCTCCGTCTCCCGAGTTTCTAATTCTTCCTCTTCGTCGTCGAGGCCTGAAGCTTGCTTTCCTAGAATCGATTTCGTCATCTTATCAGCAACCGTTCTCAGATCCGACATGATCTTCTCCCTAAACTCTTCGATTCCTTCCTCCTCCTCGCCGTCCTCCGCCGCCTCCAATCGAATTCGATTCCGATTCCGATTTCTCTCAAATCCACCGCCGATTCGGAACGGAGCCGCGCCGTCGAATTGGGAAGGAGAAGATCGGCGGTGTCGTCGGAGTCGTTGATGATGATCATCGTCGGCGTCGGATTCGAGTTTGACGCACCTCATGTGCCGCTGTGTTCCCCAATTCAGGAGCCCGAAATTGTGGAGAGCCTTGGGTCTCTCGTGTCCCTTCGTCGTCGTCGTCGTCATGTAGTCTCCTCCTCCTTCACCAGGTAACACCATTAATCGCCGCATAAACACAAAATCTAGCCCTAGCCTCTTCGCCGCTTTACCTTTCCTCCGCCGAAATTCACAGAGGTTTTCTCAAACTTTTTGTGTTTTTGGATGCCGCAAGAGAGAAAGAAGACGAAGAGATTATATACGAAGCGTCTTTGGGGAGAAAAAAAAAAGGCTTCAAGGGCCGTTTTTGAGTTCAGAGTTTTTGGTGATACTAATGTGGATCGAAGGGTATTTTCGGGAAATCATTTTGCAAGGGCTTGCTAAAATGCACCGTGATTTTCCCGGGGTTTCAGATGTCGGTTTTGTTCAAGTGATTCAACCGTCTTTAAGGAGTGATTGTATTGAAGTTTCATCGTAGCCGTAGATCTTACTCATCATCGCACAATCTCATAAAATAAGTTGGGCCTTTAGGAGTTAGTGGGTTTTATATTGGGCCTCACTGTTTTCAGTTTAGACTAGAAATGTCAATTTCACCTGGTGTTAATTAAGGAATTAAAAGTACATAATTAATCTATATATTTTTCATTGGAAAAGCGCATTTAAAAAAATTTAATAACATGTAACTTTGACATTTTTCCCAAAATTTGTATAATCTCGTTGGGCCGGATACACGGATTTTGTATCCGGATTTTGACAAGATTGTTATATTTTGATATAATTCAAAATTAATGAAATAAATGTTTCTAAAGTGAAAATAATTTGATCCATGCATCCATGTTTCATTGTGAAGGAGGATCTAAGAAAGCTGAATTAGACAAGGAATGTCAAATTCAGTGTTACATTTTACTTGGGGGTTTTCTTTTTTTTTTATCAGCTTATACTATAGAAAATTTCTTGTAAGGTTATTTTTTTTTTAATTTTTTTTTGTATGGTTAATTAGACATAGATCATTGGATTCTTAACTTTCACTAGGTACATAGAGGTTAATAGTACTGGTAGAACAAGTCAACTATTACCAAATTGTACGAGTTCTAAATGTTTTGATAGTCTTGTAAAGTATTTTTCATTGGTACAATGGTGATCACTTTTGTAAAAATAACAAGCTCTCTCACTGGCAAAATACGTAATCACAAGGGAGCAACACCAATCTATTTATTAAAAAAAAAGGAAGGAAATATGTTTTCCAATTCCATGAACACCATACAATCAATTTCAACCTGCAATTCGTATTCGAATTAAAATGTGTACAGAAAAATAAGTTGGCAAATCATATTAATATTTAACAAATTTATCTTTTTAAAGCATAGTATTAAAAAATTATATTGCAAAGGAACCTCCAACGGCTAGTTAACACATACATTAACATATAACTGAAAAAGTAGGTTGTAAAAGGACATCTGGACAACCGACCATAAACTTTTCACATGTTGGCTTTGGCGCTCCTCATTAGATCTAAAAACTAAAAACTTTTCATCTTGTATATATCTCGAACATTGATGACCAATCTAAAAATCCCTAAACCCTTTTAAATCCAAAATGTTTCAAAGACAAAAACCCATTTTCCATAGGGTCTCGAAACTATTCAAAGTATCAATCTTGAGAAGACCCATCATCCCAAGACTCAAGCTTCCCATGAAATCAAGAAGATCCACCAAGAAGGACAAGCTCCTTCAGCAGTACAACTATAAGTTTCTCCAAGAGTATCAATTATCGCCCTCACGCACATTCCTTATTCGATACCGTAGGAAGAGAATTCGCATATCTAAATCGGGCCTTAGACGCATGTACAAGTTACTGTTTCTTTCTCAGTGCATTGGCCGGTCCAATTATGACGAGCCTATGTATTGTGGCCAAGGAGTTGCTTCTCATGCAAGGGAGTTTCCACAGCCGTTCGATTACTTAAGTGAAGATGATTCGATTGACTTGAAGGCTGAGAGATTCATCAAAAAGTTCTACGTTGAGATGAGGATGCAGGCGCGGGAATTTGCTTAATTACAAGTGTTGATTACATTTTGAAAATTTGATTTTTGTATTGTTTTTCATTTTCCACATCATAATTATTTATTAAATTTCTCCCAATTATTTGAGATCCCGGGGAATCATTATTTTGCTTTATTTGGTTTATGTAGTTGGCAAGTGAGTGTGTGACTGTGTGTTGCTTAGAAGTGTTCATCTAAATATTTTATGACTTGAGCAGTTGAGCTGAGCCATGTTCTTAAATTCAGTTTTCCCTATTACAAATTTTATGGGCTTATGCCATTTTACCCGTAGACACTCTATTGGACCTTCAAATGGTTGCATGTTCGTATCGTACTGACTACTGAGTGATGAGGTGAAAAAAGGAAGATGTGGTGAAGCAACGAATGAGAGATCGACTAGAGTGAGATTCAGAAATGACTTTTCACAACTTTTGCCTCACAACGTGTTCTGAAACTGGTAGGACAGTCTCGTACGTTAGTCCACTTCGAATGTCTTCAAACTAAACCATGTATGTATGTATCGAACACGACGTACGTGCACTTTTGTTTCTAGTTATTTTGGGTCCTCATGTCACTTCAATTGCAAAAGGATATCTTTTTGTGGACCGACGCCTTAAGCAATGAACTAAAACGAGCACACATTACGCCCCATGTGAGTTAAAGTTGTAGATTCTTCTTGGATTGTGCCTAATTACAAGCAATATATGTTTTACAATCCAATAAGCCCAACTATATATATACAATTTATCTTTTGTACGTTTATCAACCGATTTGATCAACATATAACACCTGATTTTGATTTTTTTGAAAACAAAACAAAACAAAAACGAAGCAAAACATAAGTAAAAGATAAATAAAATATAAGTAAAACATAAATAAAATATAAGTACTTCATTTGTGAATTTGATACAATTCTAATTGAGTTTTAATCAATATATGATCATTTCAAAATTAAAAGAGAGTTTCGGTTTTCTTATATAAAAATAGTTGATCATTTTCAAAATCAAATAATCATATTAGGAGATTTGATTCGTTCTTTAAAATCAGTTATATGATTTGGAGTTGGATTGAATCGGTTTATATGTATTGAACATTCTCAAAACTTACTATTGGATATCTAGAAAAAGCTTTGAATGTTTGTCAAAAGTTTAATATTAATTATTTTGTAAAACGTTTATTTCCAAACATCTTGGCTCATATACTGATATCAATGTACAAAAGGCGAGTGTTTAATTTTAATATGCTTATTAAGAAAAAGTAACTCAAAAGATGGTCGAAAATACTTAATGTATTATGACATTTTTGTTAGAGGTTTTGATTGGTAGCATCAGGTGTAAGTGGCCTTTAGATTGATCGACTATGTCAACTGTCAAGGTTGCGGAAGTAGCTGCTTTTCCCAAAGTCTTCATCGAGGAGGTGGCTAGATCCCATCTCAGTTCTCGTGTGTCGGCCAAAAGTCTGCAAGATAATTTTTTCACCGCCCAACTCTACGACCTCTGCATGTTCAGCTACAGTTGTAAATGTTTATGCAGTCTAGTATCCTACTAGTAAGCCGTTGGCCCCAAACTCAACCACCAGTTTCTACATTTTCGATCTTGTTTATGGGAAGAGTTAGAAAATCGAAAATATATGAAAAAGCTTTGAGAAACCAACCTTCCATACGTGGATGGGAATCTCAAACTTGATACCCCCATAGGAAGAAATTAGAGTAATGGATCCTCCAATGACGACACTCGTCCTACTCCTACTGCATAGAAAACTAAATTTAGATTGTAACACATCCTTAAACACTATATAAATTTCAGTTTCTTTAATTTTGAGTTGAAGATCCTTTGACCTAGATTTTTGTCACTTGTTTCCGCTTACTACACGACATATTTTCTTTTTGCCTAAAGAATCATGTCTTCTCTTGAGAAATTTCTTCTACAATTTTTTTCTTTCTACTACTATCTCTACAATTTTTTTTCTCAACCGACCAAAATTTCTACTACTATTTCTACTTTCTCTACTACTATTAGATGGGAAATCGTAACCTATATATGACCAAACTTTACAGATTTCCCTAATCCTACCACTACGTACAAATTTTCTTCCTTTATACTATTTATTTCTTCGACAATTATGTCATAGATTATTTAATCTCTACTACTTACTATACTCAACATCAATTATGATGGAAGTTACTACTACATCTAGAAATATGATGGAAGTTGCTGCTACTACTCCTAGTTCTACCTATTAGCTTCATCAAAGGAATTGTTCTCAAACTATTTACTACTTCTCCTTCAACGACATCATGTCCTGAGATTACTTCTACTACTACGTCAACATCACCATCATCATCATACGAGGAAAACCCTCTCAATAATAATGGTGTCTATTACCACTTTGGTTCTACTTTGTGGCCACATACTTATCAGCATGTCAAGGACATACCAACGAAAGCATTGCCTAAACTTCACCTTGAAGAACTTTTGTCCAAGTTGGATGTTCGCAATCCCTCACTTCCAACTTGAGGGAGGGTATTGAGATAAAGACTATATTAGTTAGATTATTACTACATTAATTTAGATAAATATTACTTTAGCTTATTCTAGTTCTATTAGGATTATATACATGTATCTAGATAAGGATCTCTACTCTTGTATAAATACTTCTATTGTACAATGTTAATATCAAGATTTCCATTCATAAGTTATTTCAGATAGGCCACACAAATTATTTTCATGGGATTTCCAAATAGCATGCCCTATTAAAATACATATATCCTACAATTACGTCAAGCGTTTAAATGGAACGTATGAAAGCTCATTTGGGTTGATTTATTATACATTATACGTTTAACTTCCTCAGCTTCCTCATTTGTTTATCAAATGTTATAATTTCTAACTTATGAGAATCTTGAATAAAAGTGGACTAAAAGGCTTATCCCGACAAGATCTAGTACTTTATTCTTATCCTATATGGAATTCGTCCATCGACATCATAATTGCAACTACATTGCGAAAGGTTTAGAAAGAAAGGAACTTTCTTCGGATATACAAGCCATAGCCTAACTGGGAACCAACGAGGCTTCGACACACACCCACATCATCTTTATTCTCTTTCCATATTTCACGTCAACAAAAGCCAAACCCTAGGGATTTTCCGTCTTTCACATGTTCTAGTCACTTTCCACGTAACCTCTTTCTTAGATCGGAATCTGAATGTTTATCTTAGTGCATGTCCCTAACGTACCAAAACCTCCAACATACTTTGACAACCTACCCTCTCCACATTAGGGCGGGGGTTAATTACTCCGGCCTAGACCCACAATTACTTTCTTGGTGTCTACAAAGAGGGAAAGTAAACAAAACATATGTTAAAGAGCTTGCCTTCCGCTAATCTTACGTACTATGAGTCTTATTGTTTCTTTTTTTGGTTTGCGTTTATTTTTACGTGTATATGTTATATTATTATGTTAATCTTTGAAAAGAGGACAAGTTCTTGTGTGTTTTTTTATCTAACATCATATATTACATGCTGAATATGAAAAATAAACAATGAATCAATGATGATAGAATTTCATCTTAGTGCTTATCCCTAACGTACCAAACCTCCAACATACTTTGACGACTACGGACTACCCTATATCCATATTAGGGGTTAATTACTCATTAGCCCACAATTAATTTTCGATGTCTAAGAAGAGGGAAAAAAAAGTAAACAAAAAACATGTTTAAGAGCTTGCTTCCGCGCGCTAATCTTATGGATGTGATGCTTATTGTTTTTTTGTTTTTTTGGGTGTTTTTATCAAATATCTAGCTATTACATAGCTGAATGTGAACAAACATTTTGTTTTCAAATAAACTCAGTACTTTGATACAATCGGACCCCAAGTGTGAATGTGTGATGAAGACCAGACCAAACGCTATACTTTAATTTCTTTCATATGTGTATTTGTAATATTTTACACTGTTATTCAAGATTTTGTTGTCGCTAGACTACTACGGCCTAGGTTTAGAATAAAGTAGAGATCATTGTTTTCTAATATTATAGTTTATCTATTCGGTGGGGATTCATATTTTCATGCATAACATTATTGAAGAAATAATGTTGAGATCGATGTTGTACAGAGATGAACGTACATACAATTAATGTATATATATTGTGTAAGTGTCAGAGTGGTAAAGCAAAAGCAAAAAGAAGACGCATCCTCAAGAGTTATAACTTAGTGGGTGTCTGTTAGATTAGGGTATATACATTGCATGATTGATGGTGTGATGGGTACTTTGATGATTCCTTAAAAAGGGCACAGGTTGCTCAAAAGAGCACGTTTTGGGACTCTGATAAAAAGCTTTTCCTCCAAAAGGGTACCTTTTACGGATACGCAAATGTAAATACAACGTACACGTTCATATATACATGTATGCGAATGTCTTGATGTGACAAAATCTAATCGATTAATATGTGTTGTAATCTTATTAATTAGCATTTTGTCACATATAATCAAAATTATTATATAACAAAATCTTTGTATAATATACCTTCGACATTCGACTTGTTTTGTGATACTCATAGCTGGTCCTTAGCAACTATGGAAACGCCATTTTCCTCAACCGGTAGAAAAAATGTCATACGTGGAATGTTGTGATCCCATCACATCCTCTAACGTCTCTCTAACCAACCAATGTTCAAAAGTACTTTCTAAACCTTTGTTTAAGTTTGAGCACAAAAATCGTAATGCCCATCACACTCGTACCATATACACACTAAATATGTGCCAATTTGCATTATTAAATATCTAAAAACAAACATACTTTGTGTCATGCATATATATTATTGGGTCATGGTGACTCGGATTCCATTTCATGTTTAAACAAGAAATTCTCTGGCCTAACCCTACATATAATATTGCACCCACACAAAAACAACCTACATATAATATTATCAAATTGTATAAGATAATAATTTTATTATCTCAAATTCCGGTATCCGGGGATTCTCCCTAGCTTGTGACACACAGTATTTTCTAAATGCTACGCCAAACTAAACAAGTGGTTCTTCTTTTGGTAATACACATAACACATCCACATCCATATGAAAATATTTGTTTTCTTAGAAAAAGTCAGCATAGTGTAAGATTCCTCCATTATTTATAAATGACTTATGGGAGCTTATAGTAATATCTAAATTAGTTTCACAAACGTATCACCATCACCTCTAAGCACACAATCATTTAACAATTTCGTTGCTTCCGGCCCGTGCATGTTTTACGCACATGTATGCTCTCAAAGAGAATAAACTTCAGAATAGAGAGTAAAAATTTGATAAGTTGGGGTTTAATAATATATAATGCCCATAATTGAAAAAAGGATTCAGTGGTCCTACAAATCCCAGATATTTGAGAACTTAAATGTAACCAAATAGTGTTATTAGTGGGTAATCGACTAAGAAGACCATGGAGCGAATCTGCAAAATTGTAGAAAATCTAAGTTCTTGATTACTTTCATTGTTGTTAAACATAGGCATAGCAATATTTTGGAATATAAATAATTATTTCCTAACCATGCATGAAGTTAAAATGTGAAAACTCCAAAAGTAAAAGCATCAATTCTAACCTGATTGATAATGATATGCTTATATACAGAGTATAAAACAGATTGTGCATAATCAGCTTTGGAGCCGTATCAATTTGAAACGCACATCAAAAAGACCTTTTGACCAGTTTTAAGTTCAAGTTTGAAGCAAACTTGTAAGAAAAGTCTTTATAGTTTGCATTCTCACCTTTCAATGCAATTGGCCACTATGATACGGTGGACAAATTTTTTTTTTAAATGGATCTGATTAGTGGAATAATTATTTAATTTTATGTTGTTTGGTTTAAGTTTAACCATCTTTCCATACCAGCAGACTAATTGTAGTAGCAAAAAGTAAAATATTTAAATATTAAAAAATATATATATATATATATATATATATATTCCACGAATTTGTAATTATGGCTATTTTTATATTCCTTGACATCTTAAGTCTTATACTTTCTTAATATTTTACGTCAGCGGTCAAACTGTTATTTTTTTTTAGGTGTCCCAAGTCTCAACAACTATTACCTTTTGGAATTTAATTGTTCATCATGAATCGGTTAAATATTTTCAGACGTACTTTTGTTCTTGGTAGGAAACATAGATAATTGGGGTCTAAATACTTTTCTAAACAAACAATTACTTTCATTTAAAAATCACTAAAAATAAATAAAATTAATTAACAATGTAGAAAAATATACAAGAGCTAAAAACGTCAATGACCAGCTGGTGCAAGACTCAGATGCAAATCCAACCCTAAGCCATCATCAAAAGTAGACCCCACTTCTCTTGAAAACCCATTAACCGACGTAGGTCTCGGCCCCTGGGCTTGAACATGTCTCATATGAGGCCCATTAATCCCAAATCCAGAATCATACGAGAACCCAACCGCGCCGGAACTCGGACCATCCTGAATCACGCATCCATGCGACACGTGGAGCTGAGAAGGAGAGACACGTGGAAGATACATCCAAGGAACTCCTCCCACCGGAGGTGACACGGCGGATGATAGGAGATGCGGCGGAGGAGCGAAAGCAGAGACTATCGGATTCCTTAGAAACGGAGACGCTGATCCAGCGGCAGAGTAATTAGCGGCTGCGTTTCGTGTAGCTTGAAGCTGAGCGCGTTTGAGTTGCTGACGCTCTTTCTTGTGAGCGTTTTGGTGACCGCCTAGGGCTTGCGAGTTACCAAACTCTCTGCAACAGTACTGACACTCGTACTTACGTTCTCCTCCTCCTCCTCCTCCACCGCTGCGGTTTCGTACACCAACGCCACTTCTTCCGGAGGATCCCGCCGGAAACTCGCTAGGCTCCGAGGATATGGAAGATTGGTTTGTTTTCACCGACTGATCGGAGAAATCTTCTTCTCCTTCGACGTTGAATCCAAATAGCTTTAGGCGAGATGTTGATGTCTTTGAACGAAAATCAAGCTCTTCCATTAAAATATATATAAATATGTCCAAGATTGGTTTGAGAGAGAGAGAGAGAGAAATGGTTTTTTATAAGAAGTGGATGAGTAAGAGGTTATGTGTATATATAGAAGAAGTGTGGACTTTGTACAGTAACATGGGAGACACAGAGCCAAAGACTGCAAGTGTATGTGTGTGTGTGTGTGTGCGTGGAAGATGTGAAATGTTTTTTTTCTTTTCTTTTAACTTTAGTTGATTTGTTTGTGTTTTTGCTTTGTAATTGTTTTACTTTTACTTATCGGAGACATCCGAAGAAGAAAGAAAAACAAGTTAAAAGAATAGTGTAAGTGGGAGTTTGAGTTGAGAAATGAGAACACACGAACCGAGACGTCATGGATAATGGGACCTACTTAGATCTCATTTGTCTCCTTATTTTATTTATTTTTAGCAGTTTTAGGAATTTTCGAGTTCGGTTTCACTTATGTGTGTTTGTTTCTACATGTTCTCTTCGAGTAAAATCATAGGTTTCCCTCCACCAACTCTTTTTAATGTGATTCTAAGTAACAGAGTCTTCTTCTTTGTTTTTCTTTACTATTTGTTCGTGCTTAGATTATAAAATAAAAAAACTCTACGTTTGTTTCCTTTCCATCAAATCTTCATAATATAGAAGATTGTACATTCTGAAGCTACTTTGCATTAATATATATGAACCTAAAGTACAATGGGACAAATTGTAACGATAATCAAGAGAGTACCGTGATACCTATAGGCCATAGCTAATTTGGAATTATCTTGTTCATAATTTATCATATCCTCAAGACCTCAAGTCTTCTAGAGCGCATGTAAATCAAGAGATAACATTAACTTTCAATATTCAGAATGAAATGGAACTTTCGGTATTTAGGCAATCATTTTAATTTTTATGCACACATACAGATATGTGTTTCGTTATGCTGTTGATAGTTTTGTTGCTATGTCATTAATTATTTAGATTGAGAGCCGATCTTATAAACGTTATTGACAAAAAAGAAGAAGAATGCACATACATATATAAGTAAACCAAAATGAACCGTAAACATAATATATATGTAAAGGTGTCTAAATAGATCAAGATCTGTTTGTCAATCCAGTGGTTTGATGGATTACCAGTTTGCTTTTCACATGTATGTACATCTAGATTTTATCACGCTTTTGGACAAAATAATTAAATATTTCTAGAAGTCTTTGAAATTTTTCATAAATTATTTGAACCTTAACCGGAAACTGTTCTGAGAATTTATTTAATTCTGAATTTTTACTAAATTCTGGAAACTTTCTCAAGTTTTGATTATATGAAAGAACTTGTAAATGTTTTACTAATATTTGCACAATATTCATTCACCTAAAAGTATTTGCAAAGTAAAAAGATGCCGACACACGGAAACAAAGTGATCAGTAATGTCAAAAGGAGTAGATGCAAACAAAGATTATCATATACATAACTTATAAATGTATATTGAGAAGGAAAAAAAACCCAAAGCATATAATGTGAGATGTGATCTGATCTGACCCTGAAGCTAAGTAGTTTGAAATGTGTAAGAAATAAACATAAGAATCTAAGCGAAGATGTGAAACAAAAAAAAAGGAACAAAAGCATTTCTCATCTCACTTCTGCGTGGCCCATGTGTCCCCGTCGCATTATCGTGCGTATCTATATTCAGATACGATCTCAAAGTTGATCAAAGTCAAATAACTTCAAGTTTATGGTGTATTATCACAATTATTTTCTTGCATCATGTAAAGCTCTCTTTAATTATGGGTTTAGAGATAATGTTTTCTTTTTCTGAACTTAGTTCAGAGATAATGTTTACATGTACAACACTTTAACGTTCTGAGTAAAAGATGTCAACGCAAAAATGGTTTGTAATCATAACTTAGCGTGAGTTCAAAATTGGGTTGTAAGTTTAAGTTTAATTTAATCTATATATCAAAATTAATCAGTGATTTAATAACGGGAACTATGATTTTTTGTAAGTTTAATTAATAATTACGTTATTTACACAAATTCAACTCTGATACCAATAAGTTTGAGTCACACGTGTTTCACATTTTGGGAAATCTAGTTTTGAAAGAATGTTCAGTTTAAAGCTGAATAAAGTAAGATGGCTTCGGAAAAACAAAACATTTGAAGACAAAGGTTAAGTAATGTGAATACTACCAAGTCAATTAAAAGTTGAGTTTGTTCAGGGGAAAAAAATAAGAGGAACGACCAAAATAAAGTCTCAGATGTTAACATGTTCCCCACAAATTACGTGCCAAATGACGAAGCCTGGTTTGACGAGTATGTTTGCGTGATTGACGTCAAGATTCACACACACACACAAAACTTTTTAAAATTAATTACTCATACTTATATACATATAAATAGGTCTAAGAGATTTGCGAATCTTACTAACTCAATCAAAAGCTAATTGGGTGGTTTGAAGATTTGATTAAGGCTTTTCTTTGTACAGAAAACTAAAAAGTAAGAATTGTGTAAACTCTTATAAACTAAAAGTCTTTGTTAGGGGCTGGAGAAATGTCCCATCTTGTCTCCCTCTTAATTATATTTTCCACGAGAATCTAAACTATTTGTTTTCTTTGGTTGCTTCCGTATGTATCTTCTTCTAATCTCTTCTCACACAAACTATCACTTACAAACAATAACATCTATTATGATTTTGGCATTCATATGATGACATGATATGATAACATCCATTCAAAATGTGTGTTGTTTGATGGAGAACATGATCAGTGAATTCTCTTAATTTGCATAGTGATCGAACGGATTTGCTATAACATTTATTTTAGGCTTTTGTCAATGATTTGGAGTATCAAATATTTCTCATTGAAAATAACTAAAAGCAAAAAAGATGTCCAACAACATGCAATTAACTTTCTACTTTTATTTTAGCGGATCCAATGAAACTTTGTTTTTGACTTTTGTTAATAATGGTTTGTGCATCAAGTATTATGTTCCTACCTCGTCTTCTGGTGGAACTCAAGGACTCTAATAATGTGTTGGGTGTGGATATTTACTTAAAAAACACACACAAGCATATATATTGGCCTATCCTATGACTAGAAAAAATAAAGATTAGCCTATCCTATGACTAAAGAAATAGGATTGGCCTATGTTATAATTATTTTAAAATGTAATCTAAGAGTTCAAATATAAGTCATAGGTTTTTTTTGCGGGGGGGGACCAAATATGCTTGTGACCACTTGACATAGTTGTTTAGTTCTCATTCTTGTTTTCATCATTTGCTCTCTCGTTTTTTTGGGACACTAAATAGTAGATGGCTTAAGGTTCTCTTCGAGTATTCATTGCATCATTGTCCCATATGTTGATTGTCGTGATATAAGATGTGTCGGAATTTTTAAAATTTTAAATGTTAAATTACATGGTGGAATTAACTGTTGGGGATTTTTATTGTTATTCGAGTTACATAGTATAAACGAATGTAGATAATCCCTTTGGAAACATTCGAGCAAATACATTTGTTAAGCGATAGTAGTTCGCAAAGAAGAAGAGATCGAAGTTTCATATATAGATTGTGCCACCTAGCTACTATATCACCAATCAATATACTACTATCTTTAATCATAATCATCTTGTACATGTAATTTGGTGTATTTCTCATCATTTATGAAATTAACATTTCGTTTACATGTAATTTTGTTTGTGTTTGATTTTTTTTTTTTTTCAAATCACATAACATTCTATAACTTCTATCAACCTTGAGGCCCTATTCTAAATGATAAGTGCCATTTCCGTTTGGTTTGATCAGTCTGAATATGTCTAATTTGCTTGTGTTACTGGATGATTTCTCCTTTATGGTCCCTCCCAAATTTTCTACTTGGTTTGAATGGTGTTATTGCAGGGAGTTGGAGCCCGAATATTTGTTGTTAGCTAGGTACTTGGTCACGAGAGAGTTCAATGTCGTTTGCATGATTGTTAAACTTGCATTTGTTGCGTTTTCGATCTCGGGTCGTGGTCCTTAAAGGACATCTCTTCGGTTATGGTGGTTTAAGTCTTATGTTAGCCCCTATCCTTGTTATCTATGCTTTTAATCCCGCTTTGTTTTGCTTGATGCGGTGTCTTTAGCCGGTTTGGCTTTATTATTTTTGTTTGAATAATTTCTCCTTTAATAGAGAGTAATCATCTATAAAAACTTTAGTTCATCCAAAAAAAGTTCCATTTCCGTTTATAGTTGTTACATATATTTTCTAAAATTGTTAAATTTATATATGTTGACTCTTTTTACTTTCTTTTAACTAGTATACGCTCCTACCAACAATAGTTGTGTTTGAAACAATGGGATTTCAAATATATATATTTTTCATTGATAAACTTCTACAACAAAAAAATAAATAAAAGAACTATAAAAAAAAATCTATAAGCTGTTATAGGATATATAATGTATTTAGGGTGGATCGATTTTATTAGGCCCTGCCAATTTAAAAGAAGAGCAAGTTTAGAAACTAATAAAGTAACGAGGCTATCTGAAAGGAGGTAAATGTGAGAAAGTGGGTGGACATAGGCACTTAGTTTTCTCCACTAATGAAGGATTACACATGTGATTATATTGTCTATCTCTTACAACCTTTTGAGTTTTTTTTCATAAAACTGAAATTCTTTCTTTATCTCTTAGCTAGGGAATATAAGAAGTAGGAACCGTCCGTAACCCAGGTTGGTCCCATTTTGTATAACACAACTGCAAACTTCCAGAATTTTTAAACAAACTTGCATCTCCTTGGGATGGGAGACAGACTCACTAATCTTAAGACTTAACACAGTTGAGAACTGGTTTCATCAGAGATTGTCCAAATAATAATCTGACCAAAGATTTATAGCTTACTTTTACTTTCTCTAGATTACTTCACAAGATAACTTTAGGATACGGAATGATCGGTATAAAACTACTTTAGGCTAAGACTTTAGCACTACAGAATAAATAATATATTTCTGATAAACCGCCGTAAAAAAATAAAATGAGGGCCAATTCTTC